GGTCTCTCACTTGCAAAGCGAGTGCTCTAACCACAGGACTCCACAATGTACTGGATATTAAAATAATAAACCTTACATTTGATTACGGCTCCTTATCACATCGTTGAGACATCTCAAAGCGCTTGACAGAATATACTGTAAAGTGGATCGACCGTGTATTTTTGTGGGTGAAATTGTTTATTCCTTTAAATAATCAGTGGCAGAGAAGCCCAGAGAATACCCACTGGTGAGCTTGTACAGAATGTAATGACAGGGTTAATAGAACTCCCACATGTAGTGTGCTAGCACACAGTGAGGGGGTTTGTGCTCGCTGCAGTTATCAGCTCACAGTGGGCAGCACACGATAAGTAAGACAGCTCAGCAGAGGTTCCCAGAATCCAGGCCAGACTCTAACCTGCAGCTCCAGCCGTCGCTTATCAGCTGCTATCACAGGCTGACATCAGCGACACGACAAACATACAACCAGCTCGGCACACGTGGAGAAATAGAGCGAACAAGTTCAATGTCTAACATACATCTCCTCATACACACTCACTCACATGCAAACAGACCCACACACGCAGTCTCTCACACACACACTCTGTAATAATAATAATCCTTGCATTTGATACAGCGCTTTTTCACATCTCCTCGACTTCTCAAAGCGATTCACGGAACATACTGTAAAGTGAATTGACCGTATATTTGTGGGCGAAACGCAGCAGCCAATTGCGCACAGCAATGTCCCACAAACAGTCGTGGATTGAAAATGACCAATTTACTATTGTTTTGTTTTTTGGAGGGATTATTATTAGGCTCTGTGTGGAGTAAGGAAACTTGCCCAGGGTTTCACTCTGCCTGGAATTGAACCCAGGTCTCTCGCTTGCAAGGCAAGTGCTGTAACCACTGAGCTACAGGACTCCACAGGACTCTCATGCATACACATACACACACTCACTCATCCACACTTATGCACACACGCTCACACATTCATGCACTCGCACACACACGTTGTGCACACCATGTCCTCAGTTTCATCCTAAAATTCTCCAGCCGGCACACAAAAGTGTGTGGGTGTGACCCGGTTGGGCTGTTTGTGTCTCTGCTCAGTGACTGAGCCCCAGTGATAAGCACAGCGGTTGTCAACAAAATGGACCCAATCATTGAGTTTCTGAGAACAGTGAAAGATAGAAGAAAACTCTTACATTTCCCCAAGCATCTTATCACAGAGAAACGTCTCAAAGCACTTCACATACTAACTGTCGGATGTGGTGACTGTGTATTTGTTAGCAAATGCAGAGGTTAAAAGTTCTCTCCCCAAGATAAAATGGTTATTCACTTAATGACTATGGGATATTGCTGTGCGCAAATTCGCTGCTGTGCTCACCTACAAAATAAACAGTCACTACACTTTACAGTGAATCCTGAGAAGCGCTTTGTTATTTTTCCCACAGCCAGGGATCCACAGACAGTGAGGAGGTAAGGGGGAATTGCTGGCCTGGACACCGGGGGAGACTCCCTCTCGTTTCCGATAACACCACAGAGTCTTTTTAACCCAATGTCCTTGTCTACAATCCGCCACTGACATTAGCCATTGCTCTTGGGTTGTGTGCGGGAGCTTCCTACGCTCACAATGACTGACAATAAACTTGGCAGCAGTTACTGTGAATCTCTTTGAGAAGTTTTTCGTGACAAACAGCTATTAAGAGACGTGTCCACGTGGAAAAGGACGAGGACAGGATTGGCATCAGAGGTCATGTCCTTGCAAGGAGACATGCCTCACACATAAGGGATGAGCAACACACCAAGCAGGCAGGAGAATAATAACCCTATAGTAATCCTTGCATTTGATATAGTGGCTCATCACGCTTAGCAGAATATATTCTAAATTGTGAACTGGATTGATTTTGTATTCTGTGGGCAAAATACCAACTACCAATTGGCATAGCAGCGTCCCACGAACAGCTGTGGGTTGAGAAGACAGAAAAGGGGGGCAAATAAAGAAAGCTGGCACACTGCTACAATCAGAGAGTTTCTGACTGTAAATATGACCCTGTGATTTCAGCCTCCGAGAGGAGAAAAACACAAACACTTTGTCCTGTTCTTTAGTCAGCACTTTCCACACACATTTCTCAGCTCCTACACAGCGCTGCCAGGTTATTACACAGCAAATTGACCTTGGAGCCTGCCCCCCCTTCCTCCCCCTTTGCTGGTATGAAGCGGTTGCTGTGTCTGTAAGTCTAGCAGAGCGGCACATTCCTGCGCCTTCACTTGTTTACTGTTGCAACTGGACAGGAAGGCAGTCTGAAAGACCCCAAGTCGGTTGCAAAGTGAAGGCAGTTTGTCACGGTGCCTTGCTCAGCAGGCTGGCCTCTCCTGCTAGTGACCCCTGCTCACTCATTTCATGGCTACTTGTGGGGCCTTGCAGCATGTAAGCTTGGCTGCTAGCTTTGCCTATGAAAACAGTCACTACACCTGCCAGTTATTACTGTGACATCCTTTTGAGACAGTCCGACACAATGATACACTGTAAAAATGCACGCTCCTACCTCTTCCCGCGGCTGGCTGTTTGGAAGACGCAGCTTTTGAACCTCGAGGCAGAATCGGTCCAGAATGTACCTGCTTATTCTTCAAGTGGGGATCCTTTTCTGTTTAGTTTATTAATAATAATAATCCTTGCACTTGACATAGTGCCTTAGCTCATTGAGTCTATATTTTGTGGGTGAAATGCAGCAGCCAATTGCACACAGCAGTGCCCACAAACAGTTGTGGATTGAGTGACTAACTTTTTTTTGAGGGATTATTATCCCCAGAAAGCGATCCGCCAATCAACAAACGAGCAGAACTGCTAAGTAAGCAGAGGCATGGTTAGCTATGGTTAACTAGGGTTAGCTGAGCTATGACAGAACCAGAAAGCAATGAACTGCCTCAATTTAGTTACAGTGGTCTTTGAACCTGAACCCCTTTATTTCCCCAGTGCAAACATGTCCTAAGTTAATAGCACAGCAGACGGCAGCATGTACCTTATGGGATGACAATCCACCATTAACAGTTTAGATTTCTTGCTACGTAAACATTCAGATACCAATGGCGAGCTAAAATGTAATGTCTTGTATTCTCGGGTCAATAGCTCACACCTTGTTGCGTTTTCAGAATCATATTTTTGTTCTTTTCTTTGTTTTGTTTTTCTTTTCTGTTTTTATTTTAGGTTTCCTTTTGTTTGTTCCAGAAGGCGATTGGGCAGAAAGCGTTCGAAAAAAATAAATACAAATAATAATAATTAAAAGTTTAAAAATTGTTAGAACACATAAACTTTACTGGGGATTTACAAAGAATAGCTCTTCTGCTGTATAATCTGAGGGATGATTAAGCACTTCCATTGCCACCAAAACACAAGAGGGTTGAGGACTTGTAGCTGAGATAACAATTAATTTTTAAAAAAACTAACTTTCTGTATTTATGATAGATATGAACATATGAGGGGAAGGGAGGGGAAGAGGTTAATTTTTTTTTCTTTGTCATAAGAGAAAAAATTCTTATGCTTTAACAAAATCCAAAGACATACACTTTCACCATTGGTGCATAAAGATGAAAAGAGGCATCTTTATACAGTTCTTGAGAATTTGTTCTTCTGATTTAATAAATTTTTTAAAAAAAGGAATGGTAATATTGGGGTCGTTGCCGTTGCTTCTTCTGCAAGCAAAGGAGCGGCTTAAGACAAAACAAATAAAAATATCAAAAAAAACTTTTTACTTAAAGGTTTGTCCTTGTATTGTGAAATAAGTGCAGTGGTGGTTAGAAGACACTGCTACTGCCATGGATATCAGATAAGTGATCTTTTAAGAAAATGTCTTTGTTATTAGGGAACTTGTGTTATGTACACCTCTGTAGTCACATTCATGTCAAAATATTCATTACTAGCATTAAAAAGGTCTGAACTCTTTAAAAAAAACTTTTTTTGCTGCAAATATTGTAGATGCTTGCTTATACCTTGCTGCCACAAGGATCAGTCCTTAGGCCTCAGCTATTTACCATCTACATCAACGATCTAGATGAGGACATCGAAGCTAATATATCTAAATTCACGGGTGACACAAAACTAGGAGGAAGTGCCAACACAGAGGATGACATTAAAAAAATGCAGTGCGACATAGATAGGTTAGGTGATTGGGCAGGTAGGTGGCAGATGAAGTATAATGTAGAGAAGTGCGAAGTCATCCACCTAGGTAGCAAAAACAGTAGAGCGGGTTGTTGTTTAGAAGGGGAGAGATTAGAATGTGTTCGTGTCCAAAGGGACTTGGGTGTCCTTGTACAACAATCACAGAAAGTTAGTCTGCGGGTGCAGCAGCAATTAGGAGGGCGAACGGTATGTTAGCATTCATTATGAAAGGATTAGAGTATAAGAGTAGGGAAGTCTTGCTGCAACTGTATAGGGCCCTGGTGAGACCACACCTGGAATACTGCGTCCAGTTTTGGTCTCCTCATTTAAGGAAGGATATACTTGCCTTGGAGGGGTTGCAGCATAGATTTATTAAGTTAGTGCCAGGGATGAAGGGGATGAGTTACGAGGATAGGCTGATCAATTTGATCTATAAGATCATCAAAGGGCATGATAGAGTAGATAGCGGTAGATTGTTTCCCCTGGTTGGAGAAGCTAAAACCAGGGGTCACAACCTTAAAATCCGAGGCAGCTCTTTCGCACTGAGTTGATTAAGAACTTCTTCACTCAAGAGGGTGGTGAATGTATGGAACTCACTAACCCAAAGGGCTGTTGATGCTCAGTCCTTGAACATATTCAAGACTGAGATAGATAGATTTCTTATTGCAAAAGGGATATGGGGATAAGTCAGGGTCAGGTTATTAGCTGGAGTTAGATTAGAAGATCAACCATAATTGAATGGCGGGGCAGGCTCGAAGGGCCGAATAGCCTACTCCTGCTCCTACATGTTATGTTAAGCAAGTGTAATAGTGAATCCCAATCCTTCGCACTCACTCTCAAAAGAGGCCAAATACAAGATTCTGGTTCAAGTCGCTTTATTTGCAGACAAATGAGTAAACATTTTACAAGCGAACTTTAATAAATCCACCAGTATACAGCGTAATAGAACAATTACTTCAATTGTACTACGGTAAATCAGTTACTTAATTGGGTAGTGTGTAAAACTGGGGATAGACAAACGAAAGCTAACATGCACCAAGTGAAGATCACAGACAGTGCTGTAAGCAACAGAAGGCAGGAATCCAGGTGTTTAGCTGCTGCCTTCACCCAAGGTGTGCTTGTCAAACAGGTACTCAGCCATGCCGTTCTCTGGAGCACCCAATCTCCGCAGGTTGGTCACATAATCGCCCAGCTGCTTGATGGACTTGACCTGCTCATCCAGAAAGTGGGTCTCCAGAAAGTCACAGAGCTGTGGAGTGAAAAGAAATGCAAATTAATGGGCTACAAAAGCACGAAAGCTACAAGAGAAATAAGTTGTTTTAACAGAGCAGGAGATGTGCCAGACAAAGCACGTCTCTGCTCCCCTCCTCAATCAGTAAGGATGCCTGTAACTATCCTGCAATTAAAAAGGCCGCAAACTAACAGAGTTATATTTAGTGTTTCACAGGTTAGACCATGCCTCCCAGAATAATCAACTGGCCCTAGTCCCAAAAAGCAGCACTAATTAATGGTTTCAGTTTTAAAAACACATTAGAAGCTGGCTATGAACTGTTTTCATAGGTTTGTGAAAATTGTAATATACAACAATGATTCCCCAGGACCAAAGCAACACATATGAATGGATCTAAGCCAGGCTAACTATTCTCCGTACAACCATTAAAAACATGCATTCATTCCAAGAACCTTCTACAATTTACTCTTATCGGCTTTAGTAACCACACCCAGACTTCACAAACTCTGTCCATTAGAAGAAAGCACTGCTTTGGAGACCAGATAAACTCCTCAATGTCCCACACCCACCTAACGACAATTTGATAAATACATACGTGGGGGTCATTCCTTTCTGTAGCCAGCTTATGCAGCTCCAGAAGTGACTGGTTCACACTTTTCTCCAGCTCCAAGGAACATTCCATAGCCACCAGGCCATTTCCCCATTCATCCCGATCTGGTTTCTGTCAGACAGAAAGACAATGCATCGGTTCAGTTACTTTATAATATGAGCATTTAGCAGTTGACATAAAGCCACCTGGGCTCACTCAGCAGCCACAGCCCATAGTGAGAACATTAAGGCAAGCATTATACATTTGAAGTGAAAGACAGCAAGAACAGCAACCACCTGTATTGTGACTCTTTTGTGCACTGAAGACAACAGCAGTAATAATTGACAATTTGCAAAATATTTAAAAAGAACGTGCAAAAGTGGGGTGAAAACAAAGAAAAATGGAGATGGAAAACCCCAGTGGGCAACACATCCAAAGCAGCTCGATTAAAGCACACCACGAGTGCAGGTTTGCTCGATGACAGGACTACTGTGTACCACACAACACGAGGGGACACTGACTTGCTGATACATTGCAACCAGCAACGTCAATGGCAACTCAACAACCTAGAAGCTAGATTTTTATTCATGCTTTGTTTATAGGCATCCGAGATATTGGACCCAAATAGCTTGGTTACCCTTTATATGGTTCAGAAACTGGAGGGATCAGGACTGATGGTATTATGTCAAGCATCTCATTGTGATGTCTAGCACTCAAGGGACAGCAGCACCCTGCATCAGTCATTATAGCGTTCAGCCTACTACCTTGACGTCCTGGAGTAAGATGCGCCCTCCTCGCTGGTTCTGTAATTTCATCAGCCTCTCAGCATGTTCCCTCTCCTCATGGGACTGCTCCTGGAAAAACTTGGCAAAATTCTTCAAGGCAATGTCATCTCGATCAAAGTAGTAAGACTGAGAAAAGAAAGACAAAACAGGTATCGTAATTACACACTCACACCATAGGTCACAAATAATGGGACAATGACACATGACGACACTAAATTTAATCTGTTTAAGACTGCTCTTCCTCATACCTAACCTAAGGCCTCGTCACTGACACCGGAGTACAAAAGGAGATACACACAAATATATTGGTTGCCTTTCTGAAAGGGTGAGCAGCAGTTAGCAAGCTGATATGAACTGCTGTACAGTGGTCATATTGCAGAATCAGACTAGCCAGAATGGTGCAGTGCAAGGCAGACAAACGGGATTCCTGCTAATAACCCAATTACTGCACGTTGAGGTGAAAACAAATCTGTAGTCCAAACCTGCAGAAAGGATCAAGATTCCAGTTGCATTGACAAGCAAAATCACCTCACCGCCCATTTATAAACTTAGAACTGATGCTGTTCACCACCTAGCTTAACGTCAGAAATGCACAAGGTTTTATAGCTAAGAAATTACTCTGACTTGTTGCAAATAATCAGGAACTAGCCAGCCCATTAAAAATACAGCAACCCTCAGCTACACAGAACAGGGCTGGGCTACATACACTGCACCCAGAGCATAAACAAGAAATGCATCCAGCCAAGAGCAGCTCAAGTTACACAAAGTCAGTGCAAACAATGGCTAGGCCAAGGGCTTTCTCTTTAAAACCACAATGTGGATAGTCTCGAATTTGCAAGACTGCTTCCAGAATTAGATATTTCCAATAAGACTATTGCCTAAAAATAACTGGAATCTTCAATTATACCCCAGAGGTGCACAGGTCAAGGCAGATTCAGTTTACTGAACAGTAATTAATAAATAATACTGAAATAAAGATCAATAGAAACAGTAGCCAGTACAGTGTCTTTATTAAACACACAAGTCAAGGCCAATCTATTATGCAACACAATAGTGTGCAGATACCACAAACCATTATACTGACTTAAGAACATTTCAAGGTGCTCTTATAAGCTTCAGTTCCTATTTGCAGGACATATTTGATCAAATCTTCCTACCATGTAAGAATTTACACATACGTTAGAGATGCACAAATTGTCCTTCATCTAACGTGGGATGTCTCAATCATGGGAGGATTGACAACCTATCAGAGCAGAGGGTAGAAGGCAAAGGTAGGCTACATATACGGTACACATATGTGCCCACCAAAAAAAATAAATGTAAGCAGCCAGCCAGGTCACTCCTAGAATCCCGTCACCTGAAAAAAATAGCACTGCCTGGGTAAAAGATTGCAGTGCAAATTTCTGCCAAAAATCAATGTGGCTAATCACCCAGGGCTGCAAGCACTATTATAGACATATCCCATCAAGAAGATGCAACACACCCTTGCCTTACATAGGAACGTCACTCTACAATCCTCCCCCACCCCCAGTGTATTGGACAGACAATCCTCAACATCTCAACCGAAGGATGTAGAGTTTGAATCCACAACCTTCGGATTCAAAGGGTGCTAAATGATCCAGGAAGACAGACATACCTTGCAGAAAGCGAGGTACTCTCATACTGTCTCCCTATTACTGAGCCTCAAGGCATAATACACTCCACTCAGCCTCTTTATCTCCGTCCTCTAAACTCCCTGAATACTTGCAACTCACTTCCTGCTATTAAACCCTTTTTTCTTCAAATGACCTTCAGTCATCTTCCTTATTCTGCCGACCCCAGTGGACCACACCATCCATGACGTCACACTGTGTGAAAGGCATTGCACAAATGCAGTTGTTGTTCCCATCGTCCTCTCCGATGCAATTAATTTTAGGTTTGGTGTACCTTCAGGTGGACATAAATGGACTGCCCTTTTATTGCCATTTCAAAAATATGTGGGGTCTTTCCTGGTTACCTCACCTCATATCTCCCTTCAGACGCAAACTTAGCTCTACATTTCTTACTAATACCTACACATCTCATTATTTATAATCAGATTAGCAGCCGCATGTTTTCCAACACCAAAATATATCAAATGCTGTCATTATAACCTCTCGTTTCCATTCAATTATAATTTGTAGCGCATTTGAGGCTTTGAGCTCAGTCTCTGACACCACAGCGCGGCGCCGCACTGGCGGACGCACCGACCTTCGGATCAGACATTAAACCGCGGTCCTGTCTGCCTGGTCAGGCGGTCAATAAAGATCTATGGCACTAGTCGAAGAGAAGGGAGTCTCTCTCTCTCTCTCTCCCATATTGTCCTGGCCAACAAACAATCCCTCAAATAAAATTGGTCACCCACTCACTCCCTGGCAGTTTGTGGGACACTCCCTGGCTGTTTGTGCGCAAACTACCGCCATGTCTGCCTACAACACACTTGCATACTGCAAAGTGCAGTATATCCAGGCAGAGGGCCAAACCTCGGGCAAGTTTCCTTACTCCACACAGAGCCTAATAATAATCCCTCCAAAACCAAAAACAATAATAAATTGGTCATTTTCAATCTACGACTGTTTGTGGGGACATCGCTGTGCGCAATTGGCTGCCGCGTTCGCCCACAAATATACAGTCAATTCACTTTACAGTGTGTTCTGTGAAGCGCTTTGGGACGTCCTCCCGACGTGAAAAGCACTATATCAAATGCAAGGATTATTATTATTATTATTATTATCATCTGTGTGTACACAGCAGTACCACACAAACAGCAATCTGCAGTGCATCCTGCGAGGTCCTCCTGACATGAAAGGCGCTATAACAAATGCAAGGATTATTATTATTATCAACACAACGCCCCCCACCTCCCGCCCACCATCTCTCCCCCCCCCCACCCGCCCCCACCCCGCCCACCACACACACACGCGCACACCAGAGAAAGCCTGAATCGGGCCCCGCGACTCACCATGGACAGGTAAACGTAGGAAGCGTACAGCTCCAGGTTGATCTGGCGGCTGACGGCCGCCTCGCAGTCGGGGTGGTAGTTCTGACGCACTTGGGAATTCATGGCGGCGAAGGGGACTGGACGGCGTGTATCAAAATATGACGCGGGCTTTTTTCTTTTGGCCTTTTTTTTTTCTTCTTCTCTCTTTACAACGACGACGACGGCGGCGGTGATGATGATGATATGATGATGATGGTGGTAGTAGTAGTTGTCCGGGGGCGGGAGAGACGCAAAGGTTCCGTTCAAACACTGTTGAAGCAGGAAACCCCTCGCTTGCTGGCTCCTCCGATCTGAGGCGCGTTCCGGCGCCGCCGCCGCTTTTATAGGGGCGTGCGTCCGGCGCGTGCGCAGTGCGGTCATTTCCCTCCCTCCGCCCCGCCTCCCCTCCCCCTCCATGCGCACGCGCGCGCGCTGGCGGCGGTTGGAGATTTGAAAGGCGAGGGTGCGCGCGCACGCCTGGTTTGCCATACGCCAAATGAGGCGTCACGTCGTCGAGGCGCCCCAGAGCGCTTCGCAGGATATTTACTGTGCAGTGAATTGGACTGTATGTTTTGTGGGCGAAAAGCGAGGCGGCGTCCGTCCCCCCCTCTCCCCCCCCCCCGCACACAGACAGACAGACAGCCGTGGGTCGAAGCCACCACGTTATTAGAATGAGGAAATTTGCCAATGGTTTCGCACCTCCCCCCCCCACCGCCCCTCCTCCGCCCCCCCCCCACCACCGCCCCCACGCCCCCTCCTCCGCCCCCCCCCACCACCGCCCCCCCCCCACCGCCCCCTCCTCCGCTCCCCCACCCAGAATCGAACCCGGGACCTCCCGCTTGCGAAGGCGAGTGCCCCGGCCACTACACTCCAGAGGAGAGGCGGGTCGTCAAGGGGAGAGGCGGGTGGTCAAGGGGAGAGGCGGGTGGTCAAGGGGAGAAGCGGGTGATCAAGGGGAGAGATGCGTGGTCAAGGGGAGAGGCGGGTGGTCAAGGGGAGAGGCGGGTGGTCAAGGGGAGAGGCGGGTGGTCAAGGGGAGAGGCGGGGAGGGTGATGGTTAGGCGGAATAGATCTGTGGAGGGAAGCAGCGAGTGTGGGAAAGGCGGCAGCGGGAGGCGGTGTGCGGGGGAAAGGTTGTGCTGTGTTCCTCACGTGGTCAGCAATGCCAGGATCTTGTGCAATAATACAGATGTTATTCCACACTAATGCTGAGTCATGTTGCATGACTTTGCGTTTTCCCTTGAACCCGACAGCAGCAGCTCTTACGTAAAATGTCTTGTAGTATGTCACAGAAATATCATGACATACAGTTCATCGTTTAATTGATCTTATTTAGTAAAATCTACAAATGTAATTTTATTGTTATAATAATCCTTGCATTTGATATAGCGTTTTTCACATCATCTCGACGTCTCAAAGCGCTTCACAGAATATGCCGTAAAGTGAATTGGACGGTATATTTTGTGGGCGAAAGCGCGGCAGCCGATTGCGCACGGCAGCGTCCCCCCAAAGAGCCGTGGATCGAAGCCACCACATTATTAGAGTAAGGAAATTTGCCTATGGTTTCGCACCCCCCACCCGGATTCGAACCAGGGACCTCCCGCTTGCAAAGGCGAGCGCGCCAGCCACTACACTCCAGGAGTCTGTAAATATAAAAGCATAGAACCTTGGAATAAATTATTATTGTAGATTAATATATCAAATGGAACGATTTCATCCGAAATCACAAAGGGTGGTCAAGGGGAGAGGCGGGGAGGGTGATGGTTAGGCGGAATAGATCTGTGGAGGGAAGCAGCGAGTGTGGGAAAGGCGGCAGCGGGAGGCGGTGTGCGGGGGAAAGGTTGTGCTGTGTTCCCCACGTGGTCAGCAATGCCAGGATCTTGTGCAATACAGATGTTATTCCACACTAATGCTGAGTCATGTTGCATGACTTTGCATTTTCCCTTGAACCCGACAGCAGCAGCTCTTATGTAAAATGTCTTGTAGTATATCACAGAAATATCATGACATACAGTTCATCATTTAATTGATCTTATTTAGTAAAATATACAAATGTAATTTTATTGTTATAATAATCCTTGCATTTGATAGTGTTTTCACATCTTCTCGACGTCTCAAAGTGCTTCACAGAATATGCCGTACAGTGAATTGACTATATATTTGTGGGCGAAACGCGGCAGCCAATTGCGCACAGCAGTGTCCCACAAACAGTCGTGGATTGAAAATTACCAATTTATTAATATTTTTTGTTTTGGAGGGATTATTATTAAGCGCGTGGAGTAAGGAAACTTGCCCAAGGTTTCACCCTGCCTGGAATTGAACCCAGGTATCTCACTTGCAAGGTGAGTGCTCTAACCACTGAGCTACTGGACCTATTTAGTAAAATGCTTTGAGATTTCATCTGAGAGATGCTATATAATGTAAGCTGTCTATCATTTAACACACACCATGAAATTGTGTCAAGCAATTTGCGGTTTGTTTATATGCATTCTATTGTGGCAGTGTGAGCATTTGAAAGTCACTGATTGTGTGCTAGTTAGCAGATCTGTAGGGCAATAGTATTGGACAGATATATCTGAACCACCCTCATTCAGCTTCACTGGCTCCCAATCACCCAGCACATCAAATTTAACTTACTCATATAACACCCTTCACACAAAGTAGCGCATCAGAGGACTGTACAATGATGTGATTTAACCCCAAGCTGGGGCAAAGGTGACTGCAGGCCATATTCAGATGGGCAAAGAAGGGCAAGGGATTGACACAGGGAGTTCCAGAGATTCAAGGCAATATGGCTGAAAGCACGGCCCCTGATGGTAAAATGGAGGGATCAAGGGATACACAAAAGGCTGAAGCAAAGGTGTTGGTGGAGTAAGGAGTGAACAGACTGGAGAGATAGGCAAGTGCTAGGGCATGAATTGATGAGGATTTTGAAATCAAGAACAGTCTCCTCACTTTCAAATCCCTCCGCTGGCTCAACCCAACCTACCACCCAGTGTGGAGCAGGCCGGAGCCAGCTGAGCAGAGGGAGCGGGCAGATTGGTAGGGGGTTAGGAGGTCGCAGAGGTAGAGTGGGGCAAGGCTATGGAGAGCATTGTAGGTGAGGACCAGGATCTTGAACTGGATCCTCTGAAGGATAGGGAGCCAATGGAGTCGGGTGAGAATGGGGTCACGGAGTTTGGTGCGGGAGAGGACACGGGCTGCAGAGTTAAGAACTTAAGAGCCATTTCTTTACAGCACTTTCTGCTACCCTCTCCCTCCTCACTATGTGAAGCACTTTGAAATGGCCTCCCAAAAGGTGTAAAATGTAAATTGATGAGGACACAAACCACTTAATGATGACATGAAAGTGTAGTGGAGATGTCAATTATTTCAAGACAAAAATAAATTTTCATTATAAGATGCATTACTTGATTTTTCCTATTAGGAGGCAGTGATAAATCAGTAACTCATAGTCTCGTGTGTTTCCCAGAAGCCGGTTAGAGACGCTTGGGCAATAACACTTACCTACTGAGTGTCAAAGATTTACAGGAAACATTTAGTGACCAAGGCCAGTCAGCGCATATTGCTATTACCCAATCTCACATCTTTTAAACAGAACATTTCAGCTCAAAAGGAGATGACTCAGCACAGACAGACCATTCAGTCTACATATCCTTGCTACTTGTTTCCCTTTTTTGATACCGTTCTGAAGCCACAATGTGCTGCACTGTGAATTGCCAAATCCTGTACTTTCTGAAGGAGTATGACCTAGTGATCACGCTTACATCACTCAGGACAAATACAATATTTTTCAATTCAGAGTACACTGCAACCCTGAGAGTTGCAGTTTCATTTAACTCATTCGCTGCACCATTTAGCATCCTCACTGCTAAATTATGTTGCAACAACAAGATTGGGAGGACATCCCAAGGCGCTGGACAGTGTACAGCATTTCAGACCCCAGCTGGGATCGGGGCTGGGAGAAGGGAGGGGAGAGCGATGGCATGGTTGAAGAGGAGAGTTTTGAGGCGGGACTTGAAGGCGGCTAAGGAGGGGGCGAGGTGGAGTGATTGGGGGATGGAATTCCAGAGGTTGGGAGCAAAGTGACTGAAAGCTCTCCCACCAATGGTGGGGCAGGTGGGTCAGAGGACGTGGAGCAGGTTGGAGCCGGCAGGTTGGTAGGGGGTTAGGAGGTCAGAGGTAGTGGGGCTCAATTACCATCAAACTGCTGCCCCAACAGCACCAGTGACCAGGCAACCAGTTAGCAAATTAATAAATCACACCAGGATGGCCTGCTGGGTTGAGCATAAGCCGCAGAGATTTAACAGCAGTTAGTCATACATCAATATGGCCAGTGACCATAGCAACAAACTAAACACCGTCTTTACAATACGTCTGCGTTTGTGTGAAAGTGTATCCACGCACATTTCTCGGCGATGGATTCCACTCTGGCGTTGATTTTTTTTAAAAAAATTCTCATCATGCTCAGCCCCGCTATTATTTGCTCTCAAAATATACAGTGCAATCAATTCAATTTACAGAATTTTCTGTGAAGTGGTCGGAGACATCTCAATGATGTGAAGATGCTATATTAAATGCAAGGATTATAATTAGCATTTGAGATTTTCATATTGCATTTGCAAAATTAAAGCTTAAAGAATCTTGCATCATAAGCTGATGTGGAAACAGACTTATGGCACATTTCTTGCGAGACATGACTTGGACGATGTGCAATGGGCACCTATGGATGAAGTCATTCACACCAAGCTAAAGACAGAAATGCCCCCACACAATTGGGCCAGTAGTAACAGAAGTGACTTTACCTGAAAGACTAACTCGCATCTTACTGCCATGGAAATTATTCCAATTTGTGGGTAAAAACAAATAGTGCCTCCATTCATGAGACCACGGCTAATTCCTTTCTTTTAGTAGTTCCAGTGTCAGAACTAGCAGCAGACAGGAGAGCTTCCTACATACTGTGAATGTTGAAGCTATCCCTTGAAGGCACTGCTAGACAGTAAACCAGACCAGTCAGTATCTCATCACTGACTTGCAGATCTAAACCAAATCCCAACAGTGGTGATGACTAGGCAAGCCAGAAAGCTATACACTTACACCTTATGCCAAAAAGGCAAAGCTGTACTACACTGATGCCGTAGAGCAGTGGTGGACAACCTTTTTGGTCAGCCAACAAAATACATTTTCTTGATTGAAGACATAAATGATGAAATATTCAATCAAGAAAAAACTGGAAATAAACATTAATTTTTAAACAGATTCACTTGGACTAGTGTGAATGTTCAACAGGCCACTTCTTGACAGCCTCATGGGCCATGGGTTGGTCACCACTGCTGTAATGTTATGGCAGCCATGAATGCAAGAGACCAAAAATCTGGAGGATTGTTAGCTAGGCTACCAGGAGACACACACATCCTGCTTTTCAAATAGTGTTCCTGGGTCTTTAAAGTCCACCTGAACAGTCAGACAGACCTTGGTTTAACATAGTACTGCAGCAAAGTATCCGCCTGGACTATGTTGAGGGGTTTGAGATTAATACATTGAAGCTAAAACATTGTATTGGAATGTGATTTAGAATTATGGTTTTATAACCTTAACAGGAACAAAAATGAACACATTACATTAGCTCTTTATTGAAGTTCAGTGAAGTTTTTTTTAAAACTCAAGATCAAAAAAATAAAACACTCCCTTTCATAATATAGCCTCTGTGAGCAGGATTCCTCATTTCAGGACTTTCCCTGTTATCTGAGGGACTATTGCACTGAAGGCAAAAAGCAGTCCTGCTCAGGCTCTCTTCTCATCTGAATGAACCACTATACTGACCTAGGAAAGAAAGAACAACACCTCAGCCTCCTGTCTGAAAGCACGTGCTGTGCTGTCTGGAAAGGCAGCCTACACAGGCCCAAGATCAAGCATTCTTCAGTAGAGGAAAAAAAGTATTTTATGAAAAATGCTCAGTTGTATGACTGAAACAAACTAAAACAATCCCAATATACTAAACACAACCATACTTAATAAAGGTCCCGAGAGACGAGCAGGCTCACCACCACTCCACATTCAGGAAAAAGTCTATCTATCTACAAGGTTTCTATTATACCAAAGAGGACAGAAGGTAAAAAAATTAGGCTATAAACCGATGATATAAGAAGTCAAATCGACAGCAACATAGACGGCAGAACTACATCTTACAGTGATTGGGAATTATATTTTCCCCACTCGAAGGCTTTAGTATTTCTTGAGGCCAAAGATAGAGCCAATGATTTGAGGTGGTGAGTGCCACACTGCAGAACTGGTGCGTCTAAAGTAACGCGGCTTGCTCTTGCCGAAGATATGCTCTAGTCTGGGCTCAAGAAGGACTCCATAGAAGTCGTTCGACTCAATTGGGTGGTAATACTCATACATGATCTGTTGTTGAAGGGCTTTACCTGAGGGGAAAAACAGAGTTTTGTTTACATATTAGGACATCAGCCTCCTCAAGCTAGGAGATGATGCTGCCCAGGACAGCTTTAAAATGTACAACTTACAGTCCAGCTTCATTACTGCTCTCATATACACAGAGCATTCAGCTGAGCTCACGCAGTGCATAAACCTCGCTTACACAAGTTCAAGATAAGCCATATCAGTGCCAGGAATAGAACATTATCCCAATGTTGGCACTTCCAGGTCAGGTTATGTAATATTAGCTAAAGCTTTCTTTTCCTAGACCTCTAGCCTCCTCTACAACAGTCAGAATAGGCCATTGCGGAGGATACATCCAGTCTGGTCTCTACACCTCGTTTTTGCCAAGAGATTCTGAAATCAGATGGCAGTGAGCAGGAATTTATGTTGACCGATTCCAGGGTGCGGTGGGTTGTCTGTAGAAATTTAGCCCAGGTACAGAGGTCTTCAGCAGGTTGGGCAGCAATATTTCAATAGGCTGCGCTGCCTGGCCCAGCAACTGGGTGACCATACAGCAAGCTCAGACTGACGCTTCTTGCATCTTTACTGTTTAGCCATTTCATTAACAACTCCCACAGTCACAAGGAACACAAGTTTGGGCAAGTTTCCTTACTCCACACAGAGCCTAATAATAATCCCTCCAAAACCAAAAACAATAATAAATTGGTCATTTTCAATCTACGACTGTTTGTGGGACATTGCTGTGCGCAATTGGCTGTCGCGTTCGCGCACAAATATACAGTCAATTCACTTTACAGTGTGTTCTGTGAAGCACTTTGGGACGTCCTCCCGACGTGAAAAGCGCTATATCAAATGCAAGGATTATTATTATAACACACCAAACAACTGTATGGATACAGGGTATGGAACTCAAGCACTGTTGGGATTAATTGCTGAAGTGTGAAAGAAGAAGGAACCTAGAATCCAAAGTGACCCACTGCTGAACACCAGCAGGTGGCAATATGATCTGTCATCATCTGCTGCTGGTTCAGCACCAATCATGGCCCATTTAAATCAGAATTTTATAGAGAGAGGCAGAGGAGATATAAATAATAATCCTTGCATTTGATATATATTCATCACCCAATTGAGACGTCTCAAAGAATATACTGTAAAGTGAATTAACTGTATATTTTGCAGGCAAAACACAACAGTCAATTGGGCACAGCATGTCCCACAAACAGATAATAATAATCCTTGCATTTGATATAGCGCTTTTCACATCTTCTAGGTATCTCAAAGCGCTTCACAGAATATACTGTAAAGTGAATTGACTGTATATTTGTGGGCAAACGCGGCAGCCAATTGCGCACAGCAATGTCCCACAAACAGTTGTGGATTGAAAATGACCAATTTATCATTGTTTAAAATAAAAGGCTCAAGTGCAGCATGCAATGCCCTGAAGTGATCATTTTAACCTCATTGCACTCATTGGCTCAATGGTCTCAATGCAGCAAGTAAAGCCTGTAGCTGCGTTTCATTTACTGAAAAAGGTTACTCTTTAGTCATTACAATAGGATGGAGACACCAGAGAAATGCTGCAATTGAAGCTCAACTGGAGATAAGACGAGACCTTAAACCCAGGCCTCGTCTGTGCAACACTAAAGAGAAGGGAGCTTCTCTCAGTATCCTGGCCAAGAAATCGTGCAGATAAATAGGTCATTCACCAAATGGCTGTCTGTGGGACTTCGCTATAATCAAAATGGCACCCAGCCACTTACCATTAGCCCAGGCAGGGATGGGTTTCCGTGGGGTAACCTCATCATCAGTGGAGTCATCACTCGCCAGGTCCATTCCATAGCTTTCCACATTTATTTTAGGCATCTTGGGTTTTGAATAGTTCTTGGGAGTCATAATATAGGACTCAGTGGCTGGAGACTGGAAGATAAAGGGAAAATAAGTCCTGAAAATCTATTGCGTCTCATGAAGTCCAAAAACCAGTGTTTACAGCACAGGAAGAGGCTATTCAGCCATTATATAGTGGTATGACTCGCTCCATGCAGTTATCTGCCCCATTGCCCTGCTCCCCCCAAAACCCTTTATTGTTTTCTCAAATATTTATCCAATTTTTTTTTTAAAAAAACACTTTATAGAAAGTACGAAGGTTCAACAGGCATTTATGGTAAAGAATTCCACATTCGTTGTAACAAGGTCTGAGTAACAAAAAACTATCAACTCTCCCATCACTGTTTATTTAAATCAGCCATAAGTTAAATATTTTTGTAATATAAAATCTTAGCTCCTTTTCACAAATGTAATTTTATTGTTGTTGTTTCTCTCCCACATTCAGCTCCGATTACCCATAACTGCAATCCTCTCCAGCCTCCACTGACTTCTTGAATCCTAGCAGATCAATTTTAAAATCCCAAGCCTGACACAACGACCACTACTATCTGTGCTACTGTGCCTCCAATTTCATTCTATTGCTCGCTCTTCACTCCCTCTGCACTCCCACCGTTGATGATCGAGCCTTGACATTATACCCTGCCCAGATCTATCAAAACCTCATTCCTTTCCTTTTTTCCCCTCTTCTTCTTCCTTAATAATAATAATAATAATAATCCTTGCATTTGATATAGCGCTTTTCACGTCAGGAGGACGTCCCAAAGCGCTTCACAGAATAGACTGTAAAGTGAATTGACTGTATATTTGTGGGCGAACGCGGCAGCCAATTGCGCACAGCAATGTCCCACAAACAGTCGTAGATTGAAAATGACCAATTTATTATTGTTTTTTGTTTTGGAGGGATTATTATTAGGCTCTGTGTGGAGTAAGGAAACTTGCCCAAGGTTTCGCCCTCTGCCTGGAATTGAACTCAGGTCTCTCGCTTGCAAAGCGAGTGCTCTAACCACTGAGCTACAGGACTCCACTAACATAATAACATCTCTTAAATCCTAATTTTGGTCAACTTTCTCAATTCCCTCTTTTTAATCTTGCTATTTGTCAAGCTCTTCAGAAAGTTCATTCTATGTGAAAAACACTAGGTAATTGTGGATTGCTGTTGTACCTCCACTGCAACACACGAGGGCCACATTCAAGCAGACCAGCAGAGAGATCCTGAACTAATCCTCTCTCTAGCAGGGAAACTGCTGGCCTACTGCTCAGCACGTCCTTATGCAATGTAGCCCTGATCAGGAACTCGTGGGGGAGAGGGGAAAACGAAAGAGAGGGTCCCTCTATATGCTTCACTCAACTGACTAAATGAAGTTTGTACCTACACAGGAGTCACACACCCTGCCCAGGGGACTTACGTGCACATCCACAGTAACATTGAGCATGTTTTTGTTGCCTGCACACACTGCCTCCTTAGCTTTTCTGTCCTGCTCTTCCTTCCATTTTCTTTCCTGTTCTTCACGAAGTTTATTCTCGTTATCTCGTTCCTTCTTCATCATCTCCTGGTTCTCCCGCTGCAGCCTCTCCTGCTCCTCTTTAACTTTCTTTTCTAAACGCTGCTTGTTGAACTCTGCCAATCGTTGTTCTTCCTAAGGACAGATATGAAGATCGACACGTGAGATCTGGTCACCATAACAGCTTTGCTTGCTCGCTCTACACAAGATCTGCTCTCAGAAAGGAAAAAGGGGTCTACAGGGAGTTCGAGAGAATTCCTTTTCCAAAACAGAAGCCAATCCTGCGCATTGCAGGAGCCCAAAACTGAGTTCTCCCAGAATGCTAGCCAATACCATCAAGTCCCCTGGGGATAGCACGTGGCTCCCTCTAGGTACATTGATTTGTCAGCAATCAATGATGACAAATCAAAGTTTTTGCTTTCATTGATTGCTGAGAATTCTGTACAGATCTCCATTGCTGGAGGCGTGTGTGAGGCAGCAGTGCCTTCCCATATCAATAGTCACCACTTGACAAGGGCCGGAAGATAAAAGTACTGAACACATTTTGGGGGACAGAAAAGAAAAAGAAAATGTATAGGTGACAATACAATATCTGTATAACTACCACAGACTACAATGTGGATGTCTGTCGGGCTGTGATGAGGGGAATTTTATTTGGCTGCCTCCTTCAAGACCCGTCTCAAGACCTTCCTTTTCGACCATGCCTTCAGTCAGCCCCTTCCCCCCGCCCTCCAACCTCCCGCATCAACCCCCAGCTCAGGTTCAATGCTGATTGTCCAGCACCTTGGGACATCCCCCGATGTGAAAGGCGCTATACAAATCTAATTTTGTTGTTATTGTTGGTTGAGTGATGAGAAAGGTGCGCTCGCACGCACACACAGAATAGATGGGGGATAGAGGGGAAAGAAAAACAGACCCATTTTTGGCATAGTTTTCATATTTGCAATGGAACTGGTTCCAAACAGTGCAGAAATCAGGCAACAGGTTCCTCCACACACCTGCTTCACTGTCTAACTCTGCTGCTGTTTCATATATAAACACTAGCCAGGCCACATTACTAGTCCACACCATTTTGTTTGCCACCCAACCACCATAAGAGTAATGGCAACCAAAGGATAAACCTGCTTTTCCCATTTATCTTAAAATACACGCTTACAACAGACAGAACATGTTACAGGGGAAATCACATTACTGAAAGCTGGAGAGCGCGAGTGTCTCTTACCCGCTTTTGTTCTCTCTCTTGTGCTTCCTTGCGAATTCTTTCCTTCTCTCGCTGAGCCTCCAGTGCAGCATCTTCACGTGCAGTTCTCTCCAGCTCTCGCTGTAACTGCAAGGCCTTTTCCTTCTCCAGGCGCTCACGCTCTCTGTTAAAACAAAAATAAATCTTTATCCGAGGAAAGAGCAGAAAGGGAAAGGTATGAGTCAATCTAGTTCGTCCCATTCTCAAATCCCACCCCCTTATGATCCTTGCCCACTTTTACAGTGAGGAATAATATTCCTGTAACTGCTCCAAATCCCATGCTTGCTGCTTTGGCCTCACTTGCATCACAGAAGGAAAGTGGATACCATACACTAAATTTCCAAGATCCCTACAACCACACGTTCAAGACTGCAATGATTAAAGTGGCATCATAAGAGGTATAATGGCTAAAACCCCAGAGATGTTGCCAGCAAACACTATTATAGTTGGAAGGCAAGTGGGGTGAGGAGATACTGAAGGCATGGTCGAAGAGGAAGGTCTTGAGATGGGCCTTGAAGGAGGCAAAGCAGAGGGGCTCCCAGATGGAATTCTACAGGTTGGGACAGAAAGTCCAATCCCCCAGTGATCACGACATGGTCAGTTACCTCTCGGCTTGGATGCGTTCCTGCTCTTTTCTCCTCTCCAGTTCCCGCTCTGCAGCGAGATGCAAGTCTCGTTGCTGCTGCTCCTTCTCCAGCTGGGCCTGCCGCTGCTCCTGCAGCTTCCTGGCTTCGGCCAGCTTACGCTGCCGCTCCTGCTCCTCCTCTTTCTTGCGCTGAAGCAGCTCCTCCCGCTTGCGCTCCTCCTCCTCCTGTGCAGGAAGCAGCTCCAGTTACAAATACTATGAGAAACTCTTTTCAGCCACACACAAGTAGCCACAATGGCTCATCCAACATTCAGGACTTTTCAGGTAGTGAGCAAACCAGGACCAGTAATGTTGATTAAAGAGCAGTTATCATGCTGAAATCAAAATTGCAGAGTTCCTAGACACACTGCATTTAGCAGGTAAGGAACAGCAGTAAATGTGTCTTAAAATAAATCTAGTAGGCAGCGACTACAAAGATGACAGCCATGGGCCACAATAATGGCACTGACGAGTTGTTAGCAAAGCAGTAGCACTGAAGCTCAGACTTCAGCTCTTAATGTCACCTTATAGGACAGTCAGAGAGACAGGGGTGTCTTGTTCATGCTCATTTCAAACCCAACATTCCTCAATAAGGAACAGAACAAGCATACCATGATTTTGCCACTCTATTTACAGACATCCACTCCAATAGGTGTCTCGACAGATTAGTGAATAGTACAACAACAAGTTGCATTTATATAGAGTACTTCACACAGGATAGTGTCCCGGAGCACTTGTACCGAGTGTACCAGACCAGAAACATCTTTGATTCTTAGGGATCAAGTGAAAGGAATGAACCCCTCCCCAGGGAATGCGCTGGATACATGGCAGTGGATTGGCACAGTTCCTGCTCACCAGCTGCTGCAGTTTCTGTTTCCGAGCTTCCTCCTCTTGCCGCCGCCGAGCTTCTGCTTCCTCCATCCTCTTGGCTGCAACCTTCTTCTTTGCCTTTTCCTCAGCAATTCTTTCCTCACGCACCTGATGGTGAAAAATAACAATAACCCTTACAGCACCTTTTATATCAAGAGCACGTCCCAAAGCTCTCACTGGGTATATATATTACATAATCCTTATTCATACACAAATAACTGAAAACAATGCACTTTTCTGAAGAAAAACTGGTATTTTTATAGTGTGTATTATGGATCAAACATCTCAGTAATTACTGTCAGTCAAATGCATCAAGACAGTAATTACTGTCGGGCAAACAATCAATTAATATGGAGTATTTATTGTCAGCCAGGACACCAGGAGAAACTCTTCCTTTTCTCATGGTGTTGCAGAATCTTTAACATCTACCTGATCAGCCAGATAGAACCTCAAATTGACATCACATTCAAAAGGTGACACCTCAGACTGTGTAGCACTCCCCCAGCACCACACTGAAATATCAGTCTGGGCTATGAGTTTAATTCCTGATGTTAACTATAGAGTTAACTGAGTCAGCTAACATTTCCCCCCACAACACACCTCAACAGCCAGTCTTCAAACCACAGAAGTACCTTTTCAGTTTTCTCATCAATCTGAGCAAACTTCTGTTCAATTCGCTTTTTCTTCTCCTCCTCCTTTTGTTCGACTCGCTCCCGCGTTTCCAGAACTCGTTTCACCCGCAACTCGCGCCTCCTGAACAGGTTGGGAAAGATTTGAACATTTTAAATATCTTTGTGAAGTAGATAATGATTTAGATCAAAATTAGAAGTATTTCTGGGGTGAGTACATTAGAGAATGTGGGGTTGAGTTGCCTCAGATGATAATTGTGCAGTTTGGTCAGACAATGAAAACAAGACACCAGGAAGTATTTCTTTACACACAGGATGATACAACTGAAACAGGTTACCAGGAAAGATGGTGGAGGCTAGGACTCTGTATTCATTTAAAAAAAAGGCCAGTGCTGCAACGGGAAGAGAATGGGCTGTCTGGAAAGGTGAGTTCAACAGAATTTCTCCATTCCCCTTCACGATTACATGGCATTGCTCTGAGATCTTGGAAGCTGGTTTTACTTACTTTTTAACTTCTTCTAGTTTACGTTTCCTCTCTTCCTCAACCCTCTGCAGCCTCTCCTCCTCCATCTCTTGTTTTTTCTTAATTTTTGCGAGACGTACCCTCTCCTTCTCCTGAAACACGCAGGGATCATTAAACAGGCAACTGGATCATTCACAGCCCAACTGTACTACTTTTACCAAAACACCTGCTCAAGCAGTGATACTTTATAAAAAGCAGTCACTACAAACCCTGAGCAAGCTTTAGATAATATTTTTATTCAAGTTCATCGGTAGTCTCTTACATAAACACAAACTAGTTCCTATTCTCCCTTAACTGGATGATCAAAAGCCTTGCATGTGAAACAGAAACACAGAGGCACAACACACACCCAGGAGCAGCATGTTAAAGACATTGTTCGCTGGTGCTGCGTTTGCTCACATTGCATTCTATATTAAGTACTATTAAGTATTTCTACATTAACAACAACTTGGATCTATATAGCGCCTTCCACGCCGGACAGCGTCTCAGAGCGCTTTACAATAACGGATCCCGGGACTGAGCCAGGGGGAGGGGGAGGAAGGTGACCAAAGGCGCGGTCGAAAAGAAAGGTCTTAAGCAGAGACCTGAAAAGGGGAAGGGAGGGCATTCCTTTCCATTAGCATTCCTTTCTCTATTTAATTTAGGTTCTATGGAAGAAATAAGACTTATTTTCACAATGCTAAACTGAGTTATATCATTACATCCACTACAAAATACAGTCACTCCACTTTACAGTATATCCTGTGAAGTGCTTTGAGATGTCCTCAATTTGAAGGGGCTACATCAAATGTATGTATTATAATACATATTATTATATTATAATACCCCAAACCCATTCGGTTTAAGGATTGGTACAATAATCGCATCAAGTTATTCAAAGCCAAAAGGTTAAGCATCTAAGCAGTTTCATAAGTAGCTAGCAATCTTCCAGTTACCTTACTCTTTTCACATTTATACACATGTAAAAAAGGCAAGAACGCACATACCTTAGTGTCCACCTTTATTGGAGTGCTGCGTTTAATGAAGGATTTCACCATTGTACGGCTGAGAGACATCGGGGTCATAAGCAGCTGATTCCTCTGAACCGTCTGGAGGAAGGTTTTGGACATTGGACGAATCACCTGTAAAATTAGATAAATCACTTTAATCACAAGTGTTGCAGGCCGGATTTGTGGTAAAAATGCTTCAACCGAAACATAAACTGATTCTGAAGAGGTGCAGTAGCATAAAATGGAACATTAGCTTAGTCCAATTCCTTTCAAGGTTACAGTTCAGTGCATTTCTCCAGACGATAGGAATGTATAAACTCAACAGAGGTTACAAACAGCACAGGATTACAGCATTCAATGGCCAATCCAGAACGTTCTGGTTAATTTTGCGTGACCTTTCCCATTCTTGTGCAGTGTGCTCTCGTACATACGAGGAAGATCAACAGGAAAACTGTATAAGGTTTGGGGTGACCGGGGATGACCGTCTCAATGGTAAACAAACAGCAATACATAAAAATATCTAGGATTAAAATCCTGACGGGTGGATACCATTTACTCAATCCAGTCTGTTCAGCCAGTTCATTAGCATTTACTTTGCTTCCCAAGTAGTTGAAGATCTTGACCTTCAACAGACTTTTTGTGATCCATGTCAGGGCTGAAATGGCCGATGAATTCCCATAAATTGTTCCTATGAAGACTCAGTTAACCTTCTGGAAACAAAAGTGGGTGGAGGGGAATAAAAGAGAAGCTAGAGTTCTTTGTGTGTCTGGGCTGTGAGCAGGAAGATGGTGGCAGTGCTCTCACACATTTCGCAGGTAGTTCCTGGTGAAGACTCAAACCTGTGTTTGTGTGATGTCAAATGATCAACTCGGGACTATCCTCCTGGGTGAGAGTGAAGGGATGGGAAACTGGCTCCAAGGTGACACCTTTGAGAACAGAATGTCAGAATCCAGTCTACCCTCTGAAACTATCTTGGTGGTCCGGTTCCTGAACCAGGTGGGTCTGCAGTACTCCAGGGAACTGCTGATGACAACACAGCCAGCCTGGCTCATCAGCAGAACTTGGGAGGGGCAGATCAGTCACTCGGGGCAGGGATTCTTCCCACTCATCTTCTGTTAACCTTGCAAGCCAAAGTCCTGAACAGATAGAGCTGGCCTAGCTGGACAAGCAGTCCTTTCAATGGCAATCTATGTGGTTTTAGCTGGTTAGGTTCCAGCAGTAACCCAATTACCTCTGGGGTCCCCAAGCCTTAGTTGTTACCAACTTGCATCTAATACTTCACAAATTTAGGTAAACATGATGAAATATATCCTTGGAGAGTGTGCATTCCATTCCAACAAATATCCCTGAAGTTTCCACGTATATGGGATGCCAGCCCAGCCAGCCTCTTCAGCAGGACTGTTTGAATGGATACTCAAGCTTGGTGATGGATACCCCATTCGTCACTGGCTAACCCGAAAAACACCAATATGGCTCTCAAGATTATCCTTGCATTTGATGTAGTGCCTTATCATGTTGACAAGAAGTCCCAAAGCGTTTCACAGGATATAGTGTAGAATAACTAGTTATTTAGTGGGCGAAACACAGCTGCCAGTTGTGCCACAGAAGTGTCCAACAAAAGGCCATGACGTGAGTGAACAATTTTAGTTGGGGGATCCTCTTAGAGGGCCAACACCCATTAATTCCAGTTGAATCAGAAGATAAACAAAATGGTTCCACAAACAAAGAGTTACCTTGGCAGCTGGACAAGGTGGTGAAGGAGTCCTCTTCCTGGGTGGAGAATCCTTAGCTCCTTCCACCACATCAGTCTCATCATAGACTTCAGCTACTGCACGCTTATAACTCTTCCTCCTAAGGAAAAATAACATAGCAAATAAATACAGAGAATGGGTAAAACACTCAAATAAATACGCGGATGTGCTCTGTGCTGTTTTAGCGTGCATTATTTTATACAACTCGCTTTGCATCCCCAGCCCGCTCCATGCCCACCCAGCCTGCTCTCCTCCCAACCACTGAGCTCCAACCCTTGCCCCTGACCCCTTCTCCTAACCCCATCATTATCAGCACCTGCTTCTTCTGGGCAGCAAGCTCACACCAATTTTCCGATTCTGTTCAGTTAACATCTCATGCCTGGACACAAGCGACCCAGAATGCTTCCTGGCCTCGCCCATAAGATTGCACAGAATTTTGGAAAATTGTTCACACTCTTAAATTTGAACAGAATATTTTAAGATGAAGGCCATCAGCCATTGCGAGTCTTGGGTCTCAATAGGTCCAGTGAAATTACACCACCCACCGCCTCAATAGAAAAATGCATCTCATTTTCCCCCAATCAAGACATTTGCATTACACTGTAAAACCTTCTTCTCAAGAGCTCCCTGAGCAGTCACGGCTTCTTGCCCCAACAATACCTTGCATTCGAAGCCAGAGGAACAGGTTAATAGAAGTGTAAAATGTCTGCAGATACTTTTTCCTGAAATTCAGTACTTTACACATATACACAGCTCATGTACCCACCTCGAACTCTGTTCAGGTGCAGAATATTGCTCCTCTATGAAAGCAAGAAAAGCACATATTAAACCACTGAGAGAACAGTACCACAGTAATAAGGACAAAGGAGCTGCAGTATGTCACAGGCAAACTTCATCACCACTTGAATTCTTATTGTCCCTTTTACACTCTGCAGTACTTTGACATTATTCCCTTCAATATAAAAATTGTTCTTCCAGTTTCTTTTTCTGCCACCTCCCCTTAGCTGCCCTAATGAGTTATGTGGCAAAGCCTAGACATTCTGGAGGACAATGTCCAGCCCCCTCGGCATTTCTTCTACTTTAAGGAGGCACCGTTGCCCTTTCAAGCCTCAAATCTAACATTTATTTTGAGTGGATTACCTGCTGGAAAACTAGCAGATATACAGCATGAATGCTTGCACACCAATAGTACTGATCAATTAAAATAAAATTAGTGCTGATTGGAATTATTAGCTTATGCGAAACAATTAAAGCAGTGATGACTTTCATGAAGCATCAAAGTTTACAGCACAGAAGGCCATTCAACCAATCATGCCTGTGCTGGCTCCTTGAAAGAGCCATTCCCCCACCCCATGCACCTGCAACTAACTCCTTACAGAACAATAGAGTTTACAACTGAAAGTTTACAACATATAAACTATTTTAAGTATAGATTTAATAAATAAAAAAATCCTTGCATTTGATATAGCACCTGATCACATCTTCGAGACATCTCAAAGCGCTTCACAGAATATACTGCAAAATGAATTGACTGTATATTTTGTGGGTAAAAACTGATTTACATTTGGGAAACAGTTTTCAGCCTCTAGAATTTAAGGGAACTTAGGAAAGCAAATTGCAAATGGTTTGCTTATAAGTAAGCAAATTGCAAATTTGTTGTTAGGAAAGCAAATAAAGCAAACAGGAGAGACAGCCATTCGATAGTGCTGATTTCTGCATGGAGCTACCGGTTGCATAGAATTCACCAAAAGCAACTGACCTTCTTCCTGTGCCTCTGCAGAATCTTTCCATGTTTGTGTCTCAGACCCAGAAGCTTTCTGCGCTGGTTCTGCAGAACTGATAGCAATTCTTTTGGCACTTCTTGTGACTCTGTACTCTGGTGCCTCAGGAACCTGTGCACACACAAAGCAACGAGACCTCACTTTACACAATCAGCTACCAAACTCAATTTTGCTAGGAATAATAATAATCCTTGCATTTGATATAGAGCCTTATCATGTCTTTGAGACTTCTCAAAGCGCTTCACAAAATATACTGTAAGGTGAATTGACTGTATATTTTGTGGGTGAAACACAGCTGCCAATTGCACACAGCAGTGTCTCACAAACAGTTACGGATTGAAGTGACAATTTTTTTTTATTTTTTATGGTAAAGTGATCCGCCAACCGACTAACAACTGGGTTCCTTCTTACTGCTAGGTAAACAGAGGTGTGTAGAGTAAGAAAACTTACCCAACATATCATCCTGTTGGGAATCGAACCCAGGTCTCCTGCTTGAGAAGCGAGTGCTCTAACCACTAAGCTACACGACTCCACATTTCCATATGTATTATACATTTGTTTTTATAGAGGAGAAAGAAACTGGGAAGGTTACGTGTGAATTATTACTCACCTGCGCTGCTGGTTCCTGTTTTTGTTGCTCCTGCTGCTCCTGGTCAGAGACATTGTCGACATTTGCCTTAATGCTGCAAATAACAAGAAGGACACCATGTCTTTGCCCTCAGTTACCCCTCCTCCTGCACACTAGCCTACATCATGCAAATTTCACAAGACACAGCAAAATGGGCACCTGAGCCCTCCGCATTTTCAAATACCACAAAGGATACTGGAGAGAAGAAGATCCGAAATCTATCAGGAGAACCAGATCCCCTCCAGTGCTCAGTTGACCTTCATACTGAAGTAACAACCAGATGTTACTACAGCAAACCTTACACAAGTTTTATCTTTATAAATCATATAATCGCCTACGTAGTGCATGCACTCGTGTTCCATTCAGTTTCCTACTAAAAACACTTACTTTCTTTGCACTAGTAGTATTTTATAAAGCAAAATCACTTCCTAACTCATAGCGCCACTACCACTTACAGGAAATAGGTTCTGACCCACAGACACATGCGCACTTACTGGCTGTGTTGAAGTACGGTGCATAGTGTAGATTATTAAATCTATTGGATTAAATTGAACTTTATATGATTTACTCAAATGTATTGGTTATGTTCCCGACTGATACAACATGTGGGTTATACTGTATTTCAAACTAATGTGGATTAATTAAAGACAAAATACAGTCATCTCGCACCTACTTCTTGTGGAAGCGTTATGAGATGTTCTGACACTATAGGCACTAGATCAAACAAGGATTATCAATGCAATAATGTAAATTTAAACTAATGTTTAGGTATTGGGCGAGCGAGACGGCATCCTCCAGGCCAGTGGCAGCCCAGAGAGAGATTTCAGTGCTCATAGACCAATCACCTCCTAGAAAACAAGATTGAACCAAAAATAAAACCTACAGCCTGATATAGGACTTCACATTTTTAAAATGGAAAATCCTAATTTCTTAACCCATTTGAGTAATGATGCATCCACCACTAGTTTAACTTCATTGCTTTCAACAGGAAAACTGGGAAGCAGTTTCAACAGACATCATCAAACTCAATACTGAGGTATGTCACCAGTGACTCGGATAAAGAAAATGCCTCACCATTCCTTTTCATTCTCTTCAATTTTTTCAAAGGAGCTTTGATCTACAGGGAATGAAAACGAAACATTAGAACCGTAGAAACAGAAGATGACCATTTGGCCCATTAGACAGATGCTGGCTCTTTGAAAGAACAATCCTTTACCTCCCATTTACCTTCCCCCACCAACCACTCCTGCAAATTACTTTTTAGCAGAAAGAACATTCAGTTTACATACAATACAAACCATAATATTAGCCAAAATATTATGTCCCAATGATCTGAGGTATAATCTGACACATTACCATGTCCTGGACTGGATTCCAAGTGGACAAGGTCATGCACATAGATCTTCAATGTACAATATTAATATCACACTTCCACCAGCAGGAGGTGAAAATGAACCCTGATTACTGACGCAAACCCAAAAGTCTAAAATGGATATTATAGATCTACAATCTCAAGAGGGCAATATTCTGCTTCCGCCCACCTGCAAGACAGTGTGTGAGGAGGGGGAAGGGAGAGAAAAAAATAGAACCCACTTTGTGAAAAGGAAATCTCGTAACCTCTCCCTTTGTTTTTTTGTGTGATGATCTGGTGTTTTTACTGACTCACAGAATAGTGGAACTAGGTTTTCAACCCCCACTGATGTTGTCAAACCCTCATAACTTTGAATACCATTCTCTATGTATTTCCACCTAAATATTTAGGTGAGATTACCAAATGATTAAATAGCAACTGTACTCCACTCCAACTCACATTTTAGTATAAACAAAAGGGGAAATACTGCAGATGCTGGAAATCTGAAATAAAAACAGAAGTCACTGGAAACACTCAGCAGCATTTATGGAGAGAGTAAAGTGAGTTAGCGAAATGTGATTGGTGAAGAGATTGGAAAAGGAGGAATGCTATACTCACTGCTAGAAGTGGAGTACTCAAGCACACTCCTCCTCCTGGAGGCTGATTTCCGAATGGATTTCCTGATGGCCTCTTGTGAAATGGCACTCCGTTGTAAACTCAGGGAATATCTGGTCAGCCTGGCGAAGCTGGAACGCCGGGTACTTCTGCGGACGGGTTTCCTGGTGCTCAAGGGAACACACTCATCTGTCTCAGGGAGGACATCGCTATCAGCCGCCACTTGCTCAATCTCAGATTCCTGGTCAGATGTGCTCTCTTTACTGGCAGCAGACGCTATTTTCAACTTGGATGCCTCGCGGCCTGGTGTTCTCGAGCTCCCAGGAGCGATAGGACTCACAGTCTCAAGAACATCAAGCTCACTTGGAAGTATCTTTGCCTCAGCTTCTTTTTGGGGATATTTATCATCTTCAGAGCACAGCAGGATAACTTCTGGATGTTTGGGTGACGCTTGGCCTTTTTGGTACATCTCCGGATTCTTACAATCATTCAAAGACAGTTCAATCAATGGAACCCGCCCATTGACTGATACAATGGAGGACACTTTGCGCTTTGCCGCTGGCACACCCGCAGCAGCCATGGAACGGGTTGCAGCACGTGTCAGACGTACAGGCTGAACCTCCCCCTCAGGCACTTGGCTGCAGTCTTCCTCATTAGCTTGGCTTTGCACTTTCAGATGCTTGACGGAGGAACGCCTCAGACTCTTCCTGCTTCTAGAAAACCTAACAACAAATGGCACAAGCACTTATTCATGTCAGTTTTACCCTTCCTTAAGTGACAGATACAGATTTTGACTAAACCTGCAATAAGCCTGGTAACTGCAGACCAGTCAGCGTAACGTACCGTGGTGGTAGAGAAATTTCTAGAGACCATTATCCAGCACAGAATAAATTTTTACTTGCAAAACCATGGGTTAATAAAGTACAGTGAATTTGTTAAAGGCAAATTGTGTCTAACTAGCTTGATTGCCAGCTCTGATGAAGTAACGTAGAGGGTTGATGAAGGTAATGCAGTTGATGTTGGCTTTATAAAAAGAGGAATGGAGTATAAGAGCAAGGAAGTTATGCTGAACCTTCACAAATCGCTGGTAGGCCTCAGCTGGAGTATTGTGTTCAATTCTGAGCACCAAACTTTAGGAAAGATGTAAGGGCTTTGGAGAGTGTGCAGAGAAGATTTACAAGAATGATACCTGAGATGGCGGACTACAATTATGTGGAGAGACTACAGAGGCTGGGATTATTCTCCTTAGTGCAGAGAAGTTTGAAAAAAAATGCAAGGTATGCGTTTCCATCCAGCTTTGAAATTCCTCAGCTAGTTGACCTTGTTGGTTAGTGTGACAATACCTCCTTACCTCCTCTTATAGACATCTTGTGTGGAGGATTGACGTCTCCTGCAACGCCGCTTTTTCTCCGAAGGTGTTTTGGGCATCAGCTCGGGTTCTGCACTGAAGTCACTGGAAAACATCAGACCTTTTAGACATGAAACTTACTAACCAATTAAATGCAGCATGTCCTGACAGCCACCGACCTTCATAACAAATAATAATCCTTGCACTTGACATAGCACTTTTCACATCTTCTAGACATCTTAAAGGGCTTCACAGAATATATCGTAAAGTGAACTGACTGTATATTTGTGGCCAAACACGGCAGCCAATTGCAAACCACAGTGTCCCATAAACAGTCGTGGATTGAAGTGACCAATTTATTATTTGGTTTTTTCTTGAGCGATTATTAGGGATGTGGATTAAGGAAATTTAATTTGCCCAAGGTTTCACCCTGTCGGGAATCAACCCCAAGTCTCTCGCTTGCGAGGTGCATGCTCTAACCACTGAGCTACAGGACTCCACAACCCTCCACAAATCACAACAAAGGACAGTATAATCACACCTTCATTTTAATAACGCAGGACATACAGGACATACTCCGTAATTTCCAGCTCATAGAAACCTGCATGAAGGAGCAATCCGTGCCCTGGATTTATGGTAAGGTTCGAGTTTACATAGATTGCCGCCAAGCATGGTGTGTTCCCATTGTACTTTACAAGAATGAACATGCCAGCCGACACGAGAGGCGTCTAGTCTGCCATCTGCTGCAGTCCAACTCACCTGATAAACATCTTTCTGGCCACCTCCTGAATCTCTTCCAGCCATACTTTATGGTTTTCTTTGAATTCTCGCTCAACAAACTCCAGTTTCTCACCAAAAATCTTCAGCAAGTTATCCGTGTCCACCATTGCATGAACTGTTTTGAAAGCCATGGTGTCCCTGGACAGTGAGACAAGGGAGGGAAAAACTCTTTAAAAGCAGTCAACTGCACTTAACTGTGGGCCTTCAAAATTCACAACCCTGACCCAATGAAATTCAACAGCCAATATTAAACACATGCAAGCACTAACCCAACCAGAACACTTACAGCATTCAGATGGTTTCAATAGAGTGGAAAATCTAAACCTTGGTCAGAATTTGTTTCGTTTTATTCAAGATCCTCACACACCTGTACACATCACTTCATGCCCTCGCACCCTCCTTCCCGTCTGACCTGCTTACACTCACTCCTCTACCCACCCTCTTCATTTAGCCGCTCCGGCCTCCTGCACATACCTGTACTCTCCACCCTCAGATGCCATGCTTTCAGCACCAGCCCAAGACACTGGAACTCTGCCTCAATCCCTCACACCCTCCTTGTCCATCTTCAAATCACACCTGAAGACCTTCCTCTTTGAACGTACCTAGACATCAGCCCGCTCTCCCTTGCTCAAGCTTCCCCACTGTTACACGCTCCAAGACATTACCCCGCATGACCGGCAGTATATAAATCAAGTTGTTGCCGTTATATTATTAGGCTAGTAATTGAACATTAGAAAATTAAGCTACTTTTTGGCAGGTTGACAGTAGCTCCATTTATAAATATTCACTCAAGTCCGACAAATTCCCAATGACACAAGGAAAGCAAGTCCTTCCCTGAAGGAGGCAGCTCACCAGTGTATAATTCCAGTCGTTGCTCATTTTCTGGCACTTGACCAAATTGTCATTCTTAACACGCAATATTATTAAAATGCATGTCTGGACAGCTACTGAAGGATTCTGTAATTAAGAGGTTAAATAATCTGCAGCCAACCGCCCTTTCTCATCTCAGGTTGGTTTCTGTGTAAGAGACTTTGTTGCAAAGAAAGAACTACGTGAATTGGTCACAGGTTTCACTGGTGCCACCTGGTGAGAGGTGACGCAGGTGCATGGCAGAAGAGTGTGTGGTGTGAAGAAGAGACGGCCGACATTGTTATTCAAGGACAGAGAGAGAAAAAATTCCTCCTAGACTGTCTGTTTAAGAGACTTGGAGAAACCGAGGCTCAGAAGAAAAAAAACTTGGAAGAAAGAATTGAGAAGAAGAAAAAGAAATTGGATCTTGGAGTCACAAACCTTACTTGGAAGACCTTTTGATGGACATGAAATTGGACATTGCTTCTCTAACTCTTCTGCAGCATTTGATTAATTAAATTGTAATATGTAAGATTCTTTTGATTACTTATAACCATTATTAATCGAGTTAATAAACCTTGATTAACTGTACATTTGTGTCAGTTCTTACTTCACCGCGGAGTCACAAATTTAACCGTACCCTTACACTATGCTGTTCAAACATTGCTTTGCCTTGGTGATGGTGGGCTTTGCCTGCCAGAGATCGGCTACCGCTCTTGTCTACACAGCAGTCTAGTTCAAATACAAGGTTTTATATTTCCAAGTCATCATCCTACTTTATTGATTTTTGTTAAGCTGTCTTCACATTTAGGTGGAATAAAGACTGCAATACTGTTGCTATTCCAAAGAAATGTAGCATTTTTCTCATTTAACTTCTTGTTCAAATTTACCCAGAATTCAGACCCATTTGATTACGAGACATTTCTGGCACAAATCAACTGCCGCACCAGATTTTTTTTTGAATCTTACACCACAGGAGACCATTTGGCACATTGTGCCTGTACCGGCTCTTGAAAGATAAACCAACCAGTCCCACTACCCCGCTCTTACCCCACAGCCCTGCAAATTTTTCCTTTTTAAGTACCTATCCAAATCCCTTTTGAAAGCTATTATCATCTGCTTCCACCACAGTGCATTCCAGACCATAACAACTCAATGGGTAAAATAAATACTCCTCGTCTTCCCTCTGGCTCTTCTGCCAATTATCTTAAATGAGTGTCCTCTAGTTACTGACCCACCTGCCAGAGGAAACAGTTTCTCCCTATCGTCTTCGAAACTAATAAAGACGTACGGTCTGTTTCCACCAAGAACCCAATAACTGATTGACGTAGACATGATTTATACCTCATCAGAAAGATCTTGAATTGGGGGGCGTCATAGCATGATGAGAAAAGGCTAATTAAGTTAAACCGGTTGCAAGCATAAACACCTGCAATGGGTGCAACTAGTCTATCAAAACCCCTCATAATTTTGAGCACCTCTTAAATCTCCCCATAACTTTCTCTGCTCTAAGGAGAATAATCTTTTAAGTGCGACACGTCCCAAACAAATCGCTATTTTCAATTGAATCATTATGTAATTTAGTTTAATAAATGATTTGTTTGGGCTGTATCACACTTCGAAAGATAACACTATTAAACCTCCAAAAAATATCTACCGTGAGAGAGAGCGTAAAGTCGCAGGTTTTCATTAATTTCTTGTCAGGGGTTTAAAGCTACTGCCCTTAAAATCTCGACCTAATCCGTTCAATGGCTGCTCCTCCACTTTCCCCACTCATTCACATCAAACTTCCTTTTCAAAAGGCCCACACACAACACACAACACACACACACACAAAGAAAATACATGTCAAGCAATAACCCAGGAGCAACTGACGGATTTTGCAGACGTGTCTATCCGACCACTTGCTCGGTAGAAAAACACATTCAAGTCAGATGACGATTATCATTATTATAGATTGTAAAAAATATTGCTTTGAAGGGTAGACTCATTCGCAGATTCGTGCAACGCTCGGGAGACGTTTCCTTGCGAAACACGACGAAGAATAAGACGAAGCAATGCGCATCAATTTCAAAATATAGGAATAATGCCCATTTTAAAAAGCTGGTGACCCCCAATTGCTACACAACCGCTGGAATTCTACGTCCGGGTCCCAAATCCAAGCAAAAATACTCAAACCAACTCCGCTGGGTTTAAAAGGCGGACGATTTTCCGGATCGTTTCGAAGCTAAAACGTAAGGCAAGAGGCCTTTTTTTTTTTAAAAAAAAATTTGCAAAAAGGGCCTTTTTTTAAAAAAAAAATTGCAAAAAGGGCCTTTTGGGAAAAAAAATTGCAAAAAAAAAACATGTTTTTTTTTAAAAAATGTTTTTTTTTAAAAAAGTTGTTTTTAAAAAATGTTTTTTTTAAAAAAAATAACTTTGAAATAGCTTTTTTTTGGTGGTGGGGGAGGGGGGGGGATGGGGGGGAAGAGGAAGGTGGAAATAACCTGAGTCAGACCGGGGAGGGGGAGGGGGGGGTGTGGGGGGTAGAGAGAACCTTTATAAGTGTTTTTGGTTGAATATTTCTTACTGTATTCCATCAATCAAAGTAATACTCAATTGCTGTTCGACCCGACGCTGCGCTCCCGCAACCCCTCGAGGAGAAAGCGCCGCACATCCCACCCCGGCCCTGGCGGTCGGACCGCAAGGCCCGTCCTCTCAAGGCGACCTCTCCTCCCGAGGCCGCCTTCTCCCGAAACGTAAGCGTTCCCGGGCCTCACACACCGAGTCCGCCTCCCTCCCTCTCTCCCTCCCTCCCTCTCTCTCTAACCGAGCCCTGGCCTCTCACCTGACCGCCCGCCGCGGAGAGCGATACACGTCAACGATACCGACCGAGCGAGCGAGAGCCGCCAACGGTCCCAGCACTGCCCGCGCGCTCTTCAAATGTTTAAACTTCGTGACGGTTGGACTCCGCGCCAATCGCTGAGCCCCGTGACGCCAACGCGCCACGTAGGTCTTTACGCACCCTTGCGTCGACACGCAACGTAAACCTGATGCCTGCGCGGCGAGGCCCGTTTCCGGGTTGGGCGGGGGGTTCACGCCCAATCGGGCGGGTTCGCGCCCAATTGGGCGGGTTTATGTTTGTGCATCTCTGTGCGTGAAAAACCGCTTTGGGGGGTGGGTGGGGGGGTGTCTTAATGTTTATTTTATAAATTAAAGCAGCCTTCTTTTTTCTCTCTCTCTTCTTTGCACCTTGGGACGTCCTCCCGACGTGAAAGGCGCTCTGTAAATGCAATCTTGTTGTTGTTGTTTTGAAGACCTTTTCTTGGGTTTCGAAAGCACTAACCTAATATTCTGACGAAAGGTCATCGACCGGAAACGTTAACTCACTTTCCTCTCTCCATAGATGCCGCCTGACCTGACCTGCACTGTGCGTTGTTCTCAGCCACTTGCGTTTTTATTTCAGATTTCCAGCATCTGCAGTATTTCGCGCTTTTTTTTAAACCTAATATTTCGCTGCCCGTAATAGGCAATGCATACTATTGGGCTATATTAGAGCTACAATGGTAAACTCTGGGCTATTATCAAAATATGACCGACCAGTCCTGTTTTATGTATTCAAGGAGATGTCAGCACAGCCCTGGTCCGCTCCTCGCTGACCAATCCAGCCCCTCAACCAGGGTCCCTCAGACCCTCATGCTTCCATGCCCTCGCCTCAACCAACCCACTGCCTGCTGCCTCCTCCGCACTCACTCTCCGCATCCCCCACTCTCCACCGCCTCTATTCCCTGCTGTCTTCTGTGCCCCCATAGATACAATGAAAGGCACCAGAGAGGCCTGAATACAGAGTGGGTTAAAGTAGCATTCTCCTCCTTAACAGACAAACCAGGCACCGACTGATATCACTTTATTTTTTGAGCATTCTGACACCAGAACACAGCACAAACTCACAGTGTACACAGTGTAATTTTCAACCAAATGCGCATTAACAATTTGGCTCTGTGCGAGCTGTGCATTGCCCTGTGCACTTTATCACAAGAGATCTGGAACATAACAACTTGCATTTTTATAGCGCCCCTCGTGCGGGGTAGCGTCCTAGAGCGCTTAGAAATAAGCATAAAGACAAAAAAGTTATACCAAGCTCAGGTCAGACCTCATCAGATGTGTGTTGTTCAGGTTTGGGTTCCTCCATCTTAAATAGGTCTCAGCCTAGCTCCATCCATAGAGTCAGAAGATTTCAAACCGCACGTTGGGAGCTTAGATTCACAGTCTGGGCTGGGCTGACACTCCAGTGAAGTGCAAAGCATTGCAGAGTTCATTACTGTAAAGTCTCTGTGCGATTGCCAGCAGCACACCGGGAGACCAGGAGAGACAAGACTCCCTTCGCTTTTCATATAGTGTAGTTAAAGAATAGCTGAGAGATAAATTGATATTTTGCCTCATTGGGAAGAGATTGAGAATAACAGATCACCAATAGTTTATAGTGTGTAACCACAGGGTCAGCGCACATTGCACAGCCTTGAGGAGCTGTTTAAGTCAGGTGGAAGAGACCCTTAACATTAAAAGGCGAAAGTCAGTCAATAATATGCCCCAGAGTATGGCCCGCAGCCTCTCAGCAAGCCTGGGGAGTGTATACTGGATAAAAGGTGCAGCTTGTACCATTGGAGCTATGATCTGTTGAGGAGGGGAGACCTGGAAAGAGGGAAGGAAATAGTGTGTCCAGAGCTCACAGCAACCAGCAGGATGACGTCTGCTTCTGTATCTTTCCTGGTCCTGGAGCGAAAGAGACTGGTTGCCCTGGAACACACATACAACAGGTATTAAAACGGCAACAGTAACAACAATAGTAAACAATAGCAATCATAACAATAACAACAAATGGGAATAACAATCATAATAGCCATAAATGACAATAACAATCATAACAATAAATGACAATAACAACCATAGCAATAAAAACAATAATAAGCAATAATATAATGCCATTATAATAACTGTAACAATAAACAATACATAATTCTAAGAAGAATTACAGTAATAGCAATTATAAAATCTTTGCATTTGATGTTCCACCTTTTACATTGAAACATCTGAAAGTCAGGAGAGCCTGGGGGTAGTGGGGCTGTTTTTATTGGAACAGAGATGGTTGAGAGGAGCTGCGGTAGAGATGTTCAAAATGATGAGGAGTTTCCATAAACAAAATGGGGCTAAGCTATTCCCACGGGAATCACGGGTGAATGAGTCAGTGGCTGGAGCACATCAGTTTAAGATCAGCACCACATACCCAAAGGAGAATGTTATTTGTCACACAGAGTGAGTGAATGTGGAACCCGCCACCAAGAAGAGGAGGGCCTTGAGACGGGTCATGGAGGAGGCAAAGGGGGTGGGGGCGAGGCAGAGGGACTGCGGAATGGAGTTCCAGAGGGTGTGTGTGTTGCACTCTCTGCTCCTGTCTGTCACTTGTGTGTGTGTCTCGTGCTCTCTGTTTCTATCTATCACTGTGCGTCTCTCTCTCTCGCGCTCTCTGTTCCTGTCTGTCACTGTGTATGTGTCCGTCTCTCTCTCTCTCTCTCTTGCGCTCTCTATTCCAGCGTCTTGGGACATCCTCTCGACATGAAAGGCGATATATAAATGCAAATTGTTGTTGCCTGTCACTGTATCCCTCACTCTCGCTGTTCCTGGCTATCACTCTCCTGTGAGTACCTCTGGGCCAGACTGGGCCAGCAATGGGCAGTGTGGTGACGGGGTACCTTTGTACAATGTGAAGCTTTCTCCTGAACCACACAGCACGGCTTCCAGCAGGTTGACCTGGGGGCCCGGGGCTGCGGTCAGGACAACAGTGAACAGCTCCTTCGTCAACTCAAAGTCCAGTTTGTTTCCAAGGTAACTGATGCCAGTAATTCGCAGCTCGCTGATGTTATCGAGCAGTATGGGATCAAAGTATAGACAGTCCTTCCTGACTCTGAAAAACACCCACCACATTGACACCTGCTCAGGTCAAATCATCCCAAAACATTTCACAGTGAAGTGTCAGGTGTAGTGACTATCAATAGGCAAACAATAGCAGCCAATTTGTGCACAGTGATGTCCCACAAACAGCTGTGGAGTGAGCGACTACTTTTATCTGGGGAATTGTCAGCCAGGACACCGGGAGAGAAAAACTCCCTTCTCTTTTTAAGTCGTGTCATGGGATCTTTAACGTCCATCTGAACAGGCAGACAGGACCTCAGTTTAATGTCTCATCTGAAGGACGGCACCTTTGACGTGTGGTGAAAATCACCAGCGTAGTCTTGATGAGCCACTTCTGTGCTGGAACATTCTATATTTTTATGAATCCCTCTGGAACGTGGCTTAGACGCTGATCTCCGCTCTGGCCTCCATGGGGTCAGTGTCTGTGAGGAACCCCACAGGGTTGGCTGTGATCCAGGATTCACAAGTTACTCAGTCCTCTTAACACTGGGGATCAGGTTTGTTGCTCTCCTCTGTATTGTCTCTGGGGCCTGTGTCACTGTGACCAGAGCTGTATGCAGCATTTAAGGTGTGATCTAACCAGAGCAGTGTATAGTCTGAGTAACACATCTCGTGACTTAGCAATTAGCCCAACATCCTGTTGGCCATGTGTACTGCTGACACAGTGAGCAATGAGGTTAGCTTAAATCCTTGGACCAGCTTCTCTCTGATCAAGGCCTAACCCAGTCACAGGGTACTTACTGTACGTGCGTCTCCTGTAAGTACAGTATTTTTGGAGGAGAGAGGGCAGGGCCAGAAACACAACACAAGGAATGGACGGGGGGCAGGGCCTAAAGGTGCGCTGAGCTGAGTAGGATTGGCTGGGGCTCAATTGGCTTTGGTGAGGCAGGCTGGTGGGTGCGGCTGAGAGGCTGGTAGAGCCAGTTGAAGGGTGGGGTGGGAAGGTGGGCAGGGCCAGCAGGTGAGGCAGAACCAGGTGGGCCACTTGGTGGGTGGAACAGACCTGATGCCGGTGCAGCCAAACAGTGGGAACTGCAGGAAGCCGCCTGTCCCAGTGAGGAAGTTGACGGCTCCCGAGCCATCAGCACTCTCGCTCCACACCTGACAGAGAGAGAATAATAACATAATAGTCATCCTGGTGTTTGATATCGCATCTAATCAAAACATCTCAAAGCAATTCCTAGAATGTATTTTAAAGTGTGATGACTGTGTGTTCTCCCGAAAACGGCAGTCGAATGTGTGCACGGCAATGTCCCACAAACAGCCGTGAAGTGAGCGACCAGTTTTATTTGGAAGATTGTTAGCCAGGACATTGGGGGAGAGAAACTTCCTCCTCTTTATGAATAGCGCAATGGGATCTTTAACATCCCCCTGAACAGACACAAACAGTTCAACGTTCATCGTCTCATCTTAAAATGAACTGAGCCAAATGTGGATGAAGCTCAGTGATCCCGACAGCGTTGGCCCCGGCAACAGTACCTTGAACGGCTCTTGGATATTCTTGTAACATTTCTCCAGTAGCTGTCCGGCTCGGGCCGTGGCCTTCAGCTCTAGCCAACCGATCGCAAACATGCTCTGGAAAAGAAGTGACCCAGTAAGTAACAGGAGCAGCCAGAGGCCAGAGGGCAAGAACAGTCCCTTTTACACCAGTGAACGTGTTGAAAAAGAGGAACAGTGAAGAGTATGGAGCATAGAGACTAGACTGGGCTTACGTGGAGCTAAACACCATCACACACTGGAAAATTGCACGTTTCTTATTAAAACATGCCGCAGATTAGCCCGATATGTGTAGTTTCTAAGCATAAGATAAGGGCTGGCCTTTCATGGCTGCTCTTATCGCTGGCTGGCTTTTTGTCCGGGCGCCTGTAAGGTTCTCGCCCCACACCAACCCCATTCTGTCTGTCCGTCCATCTGTCATCTTCCACCTATCTGTCCTCTCCTCACTTCTGTGTGTCCTACCCCCATTCCCGCCACCCCATCTGTCCATCTGTTCCCTCGCCCTTCTGTCCAGCCATCCGCCCCAGCCCAGGTCAAATCTTTCACTAACCCAGGTCATGGCTGGCCCGTCAGGATCCGTCGCACCTTCATATATCTCCAGGTCGTTCCTCCGCACCTCGGGGTTCATGGGATACATCAATGGGAATCCTAGCAACACAGCGTCAGCCTGCTTCACATCAGTCCCTGCAGCCCAGAAACAAACAGCAGGAGAAAGGAACATTTTAGCCAGTCAGAACCTCTCAAGGTAATTCAGATCAAGTGTGGAGAAACAACACTGGGTGTGTTGGACCGAATCTGTGACAGACAATTTGTGCACTCCCTGCCTTACCTCACACACATCATGTGGCCGATTGTGCGATCAAAGAGCTTATATTTAAATGGTGCCTTATTATGGATAAAGCACAGATAAAGCTCCACAACAGCCATGAGGTGAGTGATCAATTTACTGTTGGACACCAGGAGAAACTCCCTCTTTACTAGCAGTCTCGCGGGGTCTTTAAAGTCCAGAGGAACAGTTTGCACTAATACAGAGACAGAAGGGGAGCCCGGGCTGGGAGGGAGATGGTCAAAGGTACAGTCAGACACATAACCTTCAGACAGGGTTAGAGGGAGGGAGCAAGTTGGAGGGATTTCAGCAGTGAGCTCCAGAGGGAAAGCTCGCCATCCAATCGTTGGGTGGAACAGGACAGGGAAGGCCCTCCTCCCCAAGTTCAAAACCTGCCTCAACACCCATCCTTTCGACCATCTTCCTCTACCCCCCCGCTCAGACTCCTGGTCAGTTGTGAAGACGTTCTCCCAATGTGAAAGCCGCTGTATAAATATAAATTGTATTGTAAATCATGCCCATTTGCCAGAACATTCCAGTAGCTTGAGGTGACGGCTGTTCCCACCTGGCGTGTACCCGTCATACTCTGGATGATACTGCCGCTCGGGGTCAAAGGACACCTTCAGTTTCTCCGCGATCTCCTCCCACTCGGGCCGCACCGGCTTGGATAACCTGGTCCCCAGCTCCACAGCAAACTGTAGGCTGTGGGCAAGAACAGGGGGTCAGGCCCGGACCACCCAAGAGCTGGCGAGGGTCTACCCAACAGCTGGTGAGGGGTGGAGACCATGAGATAGAGGAACTGTCGACCCATATCAAGGTCAACATATTAACACATCTCCCGCATCCTCCCCTTTCCTCCTCTGCCTCCCGCTCAGCCATTCTATCACCCCACCCCTGCCCCCCCACCCACCCCCCCCACTGGGGGGTTTTACCTGTATTTGGCGACCACAGAGGTGTACACTGAGTTGTTGATGTTGGGTTGATATTCATCAGGAGGCATCACTCCTTCAACAGAAAACAGAAACTCTGTGACTGACCACCCAATATAGTAACACGATGACCCACTGACATTCCACTCAGGTAACCCAGGAGAACTCCATTCTTCTTCACGGCCAGTCGGCATTCACCCCCACATCTCCCCCCACCACCCCCCAAGGTCCATGCCTCTCCCTCCCTCTCACACACACCCCCACCCCCCCGCCCTCCCAGGCCAGCCCCTCTTGCACCTTTGATGTCGTAACAACCCTCCTCAGGGTTCCACGTGACTCGGCTGCTCCAGAACTCGGCGATGCTGACCACCACCTCCCAACCCCCGCAATTCCGGAAAAACTCCAGATCCTGCAACACAGGCAACATCCTCAATATCCCTTGTGCTTCTGGGTGGCTCTGCCCATCCAGCATCTGCCCTCAGGGAACAAGTTCTGACCCACCCTCAGCCCAGTAGAGCTCATACGGTTACCAGAAACACACACAGAGCTGGCCTGGGGCTTTCCAGCTACAACCCTCCGCCTCAGCTAGGCTCACACTCCACCTTACACACACACACATGCAGAATATCACAACAACAACAACAGCAACTTGTACATATATAGCACTCTCCGCGCAGGGTGGCGTCTCAGAGCACTTGCCATTGACGGAGCACAACACTGAGCTGGAGGGACACACACACACAGTATCACTTGCACTGGCACTGCATCTCACACACACAGTACAGGTGGGCTCACCTGTGTCAGGTAGAAGTACTGTCTGAATGCGAACGAGATGTCACCGTTGATGTGGATTTCTCTTTTCCCGTAAATGTCAGCATCACTGACCTCGGTCCCGGTGCCAGCGCTCTCCCATGGGTATTTGGCGCCCTGAGGAGCATCAGAACACACGCTTACATCACACTGACCGGGACCAGGCACCGCACGCGGCAACAGAGAGCAACACGTGACAACACGCAGCTACACGCGACGACAGCAAATCAGAACATGGGAAACAAGAGCCTGTCCCACCAGTTTGGAAGATAATCTGAGCCCTGTGAGCTCCACCGCCTGCTCCTGTGCGTACAGCACACGCCAGGGAACAACACCAGCTCGAGTGACAGGGGACCCATAGGGGTGGGGGCCGGTGATGGCGGGCCTGGTGATGAGGGGTCCAGTGATGAGGATGAGTACCTGGTAGCCCTGTTGTCGGGCGATGTCCCTGGCAGGGCCGAGAGTCTGCACACGGTACTGAAGCAGCTTCACCGCCAGATCCGGCCGGAACATCACCACGATTGGGAACATCCAGATCTCCTGGGAAAACCGGGAACAGTGTGAGGGATCACTCCAGCTCAGCAACCCCAACGAGGCAACCAGCAACACTACCAGAGTCTGGGATGGCTTTCCACCCCCGTGAACAGAGGATAAACACAGGGAAGTGATCAGAAATAGCCTGGATCAGGCCACATTTGGAGTCCTGTGTACAGTTCTGGTCACATTATAGAAAAGGCGGGTCCGCAGTATTCCAGGGCACTGCTGATAATAGAACAGCCAGCCTGGCTCATCAGCAAGACCTGCAAGGGCAGACCAGTCACTGGGGGCAGGGAGTCATCCCAGTTTGCTCCTGGTAACCCTGCAAGCCAAAGTCCGAAAGGTGTTCCTAGCTGGACAAACAGCAGGAAAGCTTGCCCAGACAGTGATATCAATGGCAAGCTATGTGGTTTTAGCTGGTTAGACTCCAGGAGTTACTCCAATGCATACTTAGGGGCCCCAAGCCTTGGCTCTTGCCAACCTGCGCCTAATACTTTCTGGAATTAGGGAAGCGGGATGCATCCCTCCAGGGAGAGAGTGTCCATTCCATTCCAACAATCTATCTCTGGGATTTCCATGTGTCAGTGGGATGCATGGAATTCTCAGCTTAGTTTGGATACTCTTAAGCATGAAGATGAGTTTCCACATGTGTCGGACAGTCGGCTGAGCCTCCCACCCACTCCGCGCTCACACACCTGATCCCAGAACACGTGGCCGTGATAGTCCTGCCCTCTACCCCCGTTGGGCAGCCCACCCGGGCTCAGGCCTGTGAACAGGAAGTCAGGGGTGTGGGCCTGGGGGAGGCTGCTCATCAAGTAGTACAGACCCCCGAATAGGGCCTGGCTCAGATGCTGGGACCCCGTCACCTCCAGCCGGCTCTGCCCCCACAGCCAGGCCCAGGCCTCCATGTGGGAGGGGTAGAGGGTCCCGGCCTGAGCCAGGGACAGCCCCTGTGTGTAAGCCCTCCTCGCCCCTTCCTCCGTTTCTGCCACCGCTGTCAGGAATGCCCACGAGCGGCTGTGCTCGCCGGGTTCCAGCCTCAGAAACCCAGGCAGTGGGGTCCAGAGCAGGTGGACACTTAGCTTCCGGCCACCTTTCACCTCAGGGGTCAATGTTTGTCCATGGATATATCTGTAACATAGAGAGCAACCAGGCTCAAAATTGACAGCAACCTTACAAACAAACAACAACTCATCGCATTTCACTTCAGGAGGACGTCCCAAGGCGCTGGACAATGAGGGGTTTGCACCCGAGCTACGGGATGGGATTAGAGAGGAGTGGAGGTGGGAAGATGACTGAAGACACAGGAGAAAAGGAAGATCTTGAGACGGGCCTTGAAGGAAGCAAGGGAGGGGCTGAGGCAGAGAGGTTCCAGGATGGAGTACCAGAGAATTGGCGGAGAAATACTGAAGGCCCGACCAGCAATAGGGCTAGAGACTGGAGATGGTGTTGGGGGCACGTGGGGGGCATGGAGCAGGTCGGAGCCCACTGAGTGGAGATGTTGCATAAATAGCCGTGAAGTGAATGAGCGATTATTTTCTGGGATGGGGGGGGCTTGTTTGCCAGCACACTGGGAGAGAGAGAGCTCAATTGCACCATGGGATCTTTTAACGTCCGCCTGAACAGGTATAGACAGGGAGCCCGGTTTGAAGGACTGCACCTCTGACAAAGAAGCGCTCCCCCCAGCACTGGACTGGCTCCTCAGCCTAGACAGAGTTTGAAGCCCTGATGAGGGGCTTGAACCCACGGCCTCCTGACTCAAGAGGCGAGAGCAACTGAGCCTAGCGGATGGAGAGCTGAAGAATGCAGACATGCGTCACAGAGATATGTACCCTCCCCTTGCCCCACTCCCCCGGTTCTCACTTTGCTCCCATGAAGTCCGGGCCGCTCACAAACTCAATATCTTGGCTGTGGGGGGTGAACGTGGAATTGATGGTAATGACAACGGGCTCCGTGTAGTTGCCCAGGCGCTCAGCCTCCACCATTAAGGCCAGCAGGTGGACATGAGTACGGTGCGCGAATATCCTCTGGGCCACCCTGAACTTCCCACTCTGAATAACACAGGAGAAAGTTCCTGGGGAGAGAGAGGACGGAAGTGTTATTCACTAGCCCAGAAACAACAACGTAACTACTAACTGTATTTATATAGCACCTTTCACATCAGGAGGATGTCCCAAGGCACTGGACAATGAGGGGTTTGCACCCAAACTGGGTGTTGGAACCAAGAGGGGTGGAGGGCAGGGGAGGTTGTAAATAGTTGGGATTATAATATAAGAATCATTAGTATTGATCATGTAGTGAATAGATGGATTAAGCAGAATGAATTAAAGAAAGAAAAACTGCCATGTGGCATGCATCACACACACAGCCACAGTCACAGTAAAGAGACACCGAGCTCGGCAGGAGTACACTGGAATGCAACCCATTGCCAGGGAAGATAAGGATAGCTGGATAGGGAGGATGAATGGTAGGCCATCTGCGCTTACAAGAGCACATGACCTACAGGGAGGAGAGATAGGAATCTGGGATAATTGGACCAGGAGAATGGATGGGAGGCCAACTATGTGGGCAGGTATACAAAATTAGCAATTAAAACTGAGGAAAAGAATGCTGGGGCAAAAGAGCAGGGTTTTAGAACTGACAATTAGAGAAAGAAGTAATGAGAAGAAAGGAGATAGAATACAGATGGCTGGTGAAAAAGGATATAAAAAACGGAAGCCAAAACTTAGAAGTAGTCGAGCCTCTGAGGAGATGAAGAGGACGAACCTCTACAGAGAAGAAGAAGAGTGCCTTTGAGGGAAAGAGGACAAGTCCAGCTCTCGCCGGAGTGGACCTCAAAGAAGACAAGTTCAGCCCTTGCCGGAGTGGACCACGGAGAGACATTTGCAGCCAGAAGCAAGCCGGAGACATTTGCTGCCAGCAGCACACCAGAGGCAGTGTTTAACTTTTCGTGCCAGCCTTAGAACTTCGTCATGACTTCCTGCCTGCTTGGTAATATCTCTCCTACTTACTAAAACACCCACCCAACACACATACAAAACAGTTAGAGATTATTTAGGCACATTTCGTATATCACATCATGTTTTTTATATGTTTAGAATTTTAGTATTGAGTGTATCCTGTTAAGCTAGTGCTTTAGTAATGTATCTTGTTAAGATAGTGCTTTAGTATCATTTAAGCATGACGAGTAATGATAATGCTTCAGGTGTAATGTGATGCTTATGCTTGTGTGGTTTTAAAATTGCTAATAAAACGTTTCAATGATATCCTTGGTGTGGTTTCTGACAAACTCTTGAACACAATTTCACAGGGTGGAAGAGGAAAGATGACAGAAAAGGGATTACCTGCCCACTGGATCTAACATAGATCAGAGTAGAGGTAGTCAGGACTATCGGTCTTAGGGTGATTAAGAAGTAAGAAAGGAAGAAAAAATTGGAAAATATATAAACAAGAGACTGTCTAAAAACGAGGAAGGGTTTGCGACAGGGCAGACTTATCCAACTCCATTTATGACGTGTAGTTGTATTTATGTGGAATTAAGAGAAAAGTGTAAAATAAAAAAGGGTATTGAGAAGGCAGTATGGTTACTGGCCTCTCAGTTTAAAATTGCACAGAGTGTGTTAAGACAAGGAGAACTTACCACGGAAAAAGTGTTAAATCAGGAAAAGATTAGAGTACTCCAGGTGAAGGAGAAAGCCTTAGCAGGAAAGGCAGAGGAGTTAGAATTTCTGTTAAAGAAAGATCTAAGGAAGAGCTGAAAGCAGAAAGGCAAGGAAGGAGAAATGAAAAAATCAGACAAAGTTGTTAAGGTTGTTTGAGTACTAATCCATTAACCTGGTGAGTTACAGGGCCGAGGCAACAGAGAGGATCCCCTCGATTTTTGACTCGAGGAAATCCATCATCTTGAAACAGCAGCACGACTGCCACAATAACACTCCATACAGAGTTATTAATAAGTGCAGTGACTGTGTAATCCCTAGGTAAGCGCTGAAGCCAATTTGCACAGCAATGTCCCATAAACAGCCATGGAGTGACCAATTTTATTTGGGGGTTTGTTGGTCAGGCCCCGGGGAGAGAGAATCTCCCTTCTCTTTTCCAATCGGATCTTTAACATCCACCTGAACAGGCAGACGAGACATCAGTTTAATGTCTTATCTGAAGGACAGCACCTCCAGCAATGCAATGCTCCCCCAGGACTGCACTGGAATCAACAATAACAAATTGTATTTGTATAGCACCTTTTACATCAGGAGGACGTTGCAAGAAGCAATGAGACTGCGAGGCTCAAATTCCCCACATGGGGTTCGAACCCACAATCGATTCAGAGGTGAGAGAGGCAGCGGGTGTGTCGGGTTTGGGGAGTGGGTGTGAAGGTGGTGGGTTTACCTGTCCTGGTATTGAGAGTGAAGCTGGTGTCCTCGGCCCCCGCCCCGGCCACATTCAGCTCCGCACCCGCCGGGGATGGCACGTCCGCACGGTGACACTCCCCCGCCTCGCCGTTGTACACGCCGTTGACATGCATGACCTTGTCGTACACTCTGGTGCCCAGGTAACCATTGCCAACTGTTGCCATGAAGCGCCTGTCAGCCGGCAACGTGTCACTGACAAAGAGGGCCGGGTCCACGCCTGGCACCAAATCCCCCGCAGCTGCCCGGGAAAGGCAAGTATGTCAATCACCAGGAAGCGGCCACAGACAGCGTCACCCCGACTGACTGACTAACTAAATAATAATAATAATAATAATCCCTGCATTCAATACTGTGTCCGTCTGCATCAAAACATTTCATAGGGAATTGTCATCTCTTGACTTACCGGGTGTCTGGCACATGTGGAAACCCACCACGGTGCTGAAGAGTATTAAACCAGACTGAGATTTCCATGCTGATAATAACACCAATAACAATAATCCTTGCATTCGACGAGGTGCCTTATTTGCGTCTTCACGGCGTCTCCCAAGCGCTTCACAGAATACGCTGTAAAGTGAATTGACTGTATATATTTTCCGACGCATTCTCACCGACACTTGGAAATCCCAGAGATGGATTGTTCGAATGGACTGTGCCCTCTTCCCCTATCCCTGGAGGGACATATCCCACTCCGCCCCCCCCCACCCCCCCACCCCACCCCGGACCCGGGCAAAGCAATAAGTGGCGTGCCACCTTAACCCTTTGTAGCCCGTCTGCACTCACCTGCCCGGGTACAGAGCCAGACTGTATGTGTCTGGTTGGCTGTCTCTGTCTGGCTGTGACGGTTCCCGCAGCCCCTGGGAGTGTGGGGGTGGGGGAGAGGGGGTGGGGAGAGGCAGCTCAGAGTCCGGCTGACTTTAGCGCAAAAGAACCCCCCGCCCCCCGCAGGATTAAGCGTGATACGCAAAGTACAAACCGTTCAGTGAGGTGGCGCTCATGCCCTCCCCAGGGCAGGGCAGGACAGGCTGATCCCGAACTCGGCCAAAGTTCTTGCTAACTGTTGGCTGTAAACTTCGCTCAAAAGCCTTGGCTCCTCTTTCTCTGTGCGGGGGGGTGTCCCTCCAGGTCTGTGAGTGTGTGTATGTCTCTCTCTCTCTCTCTCGCTCACTCTCTGTCTGTCTGTCTGTGTCTGTCTGTCTATCTGTGTTTCTGTATCTGTCTGTCTGTGTTTCTGTGTCTGTCTGTCTGTGTTTCTGTGTCTGTCTGTGTTTCACTCTGTCTATCTGTGTTTCTGTTTGTGTGTGTGTGTGTGTGTCTGTCTCAGTGTGTGAGTGTCTCTCTCTCCCCCTCTCTGTGTATTTCTGTGTGTGTTTGTCTCTCCTTCTCTTGACTCTCTCTCTCTGTATGTCTGTGTGTATGTGTCTCTGTCTCTCTGTCTGTATGTCTGTCTGTGTGTGTGTGTGTGTGCCTCTCTCTCTGTCTCTCTCTCTGTGCCAGTTTCCAGTCTGCACACACTGTAGAGAGTACACACAGACTGGCTTTGTGGAGCCAGCAGACAGGATGAGGGTGGGAGGCAGCCAGGAACCCTTCCTGCTCTGTTAGTTTCGTAAAAATAGCGGAATGACCTTATAGGGGGAACCAATGCAGAGAACTTTCTTTTTAAACTTTCTTCCCCTAGCCAGTGAGGAGGAGGGGTGGGGTGGGGAGGGGGTTGTTGGTCTGCAGGCGTATCTGCAGGCACTAAATAATAAATACACCAAATACCTTTTCAGAGCAAAAAGCAAAATACTGCAGAGGCTGGGTATCTGGAGTAAGACCAGAAGTGGCTGGAAACACTCAGAGGGTCAGGCAGCATCTATGGAGAGAATGAAAGTGGGTTACGTTTCAGGTCCATGACCTTTCGCCAGAGATTCTGCTGCCTGACCCGCTGAACGTTCCCAGCGACTTCTGTTTTTATTTCACCAATTCAAAAAAGTAATTGTTATCAAGTGTAGTGACTGTGTTTTTTTTGTAGAAAACTGTTTACTCACAGCAAAATCTCACAAACAGCCATGAGTCCATAGATCCGTTTATCTGGGGGTTGGTTGGCCAGGATACCAGGAGAGAGAAAAACTCTCTTTTCCGATGATGTTGTGGGGTCTTTAACATACACCTAGGCAGGAGCCAGGTTTAATATCTCATGCGAAAGATGGCACCTCTCTGACAATGCATTTGGAGCTTCTGTGAGCTCAATAACCATCTATCTGTCTCAGTTCCATCGTTCCTTCCTCTCGGCTTTTTGATCCTGAACGAAAGCGACACCTAGATCGGTCAGTTGGAGAACCCTGTCCTATGTGAAGAGCGCTATATAAATGTAACTGTTATTGTCATGACTGTGTATTTTGTAGGCCAGTGTGACAGCCAATTTGGGCACAACAATTTCCCACAAATAGCCATGAAGTGAATGATTAATTTAACTGAGGGATCGTTGGCTTGGACACCAGGATAACCTTCCTTCTCTATTCAAGTAGTATCATGGAATCTTTAACCTGAATACGCAGGACAGAACATTAGTTTAACATCCGAAGGATAGCACCCCCAGTAATGCAGCACTCTCCTAACACTGCACTGGAGGGTTAGTTCAAAGTCCTCACATGGGGATTAAACCCCTGACATTCTGATCCAGCGGTAAGAATGCTACTAACTGAGCCTGACAGACACTTGAGTAACAGTTGTTCTTTGTTGTTAGTTGAATGCATTTACCCAGCTGCATTTACCCAGTGCTGAACTGCAAGGTCAAAAGCTGGAGAGTTATTGCTTTCAACGCCTTGGTCTGACTATATCTTCATCGTTTATGCCTGGAAACAGAAGGTGCCTGAAATGGTTAATAATTAAGAGCAATTGCTTGATTTGGAAAACAGTTGTTACTGTATTTTGATCTTGAGTACCACACAATTAGCCAGTAGTGTATCTTGTGAAATAGTCCTTAGCAAACACACAAGGTCATGAACAGATTTTTTTTTAAAAGTGCCAAATTGTGTAGCAAACAGTAAATCACAATGGATGAGATATGAGTTTGGGGAGGGAGTGTTGATTATTAACCAAGATTCTAGGTTAGCCAGAAGTCACTTATATTTTTAGAAGTCTCTTTGCATTGGGTCCAGATAACTATTTTCCAGCCATGAATACTACTGTTTGTTAAAGAAGCTCTGCGAATGTAGGCTGGTTTAGAACAACGCTCAGATTCAACAGCAATATAAGCAGAGTTCTGCAGCAACTTGATAACTGTGGTCCTCTGCACTGATCTGCCAATGTCATCTGTTTACAGTTAGACTCAAAGTGAATCTTTGTGCAAGATACTGAGCTTCTGTGATGAACCCATAGTTTGGGATCAGTAGGTAAAGGTAAGCCTACCCGCCCCTTGGCTCCCTATAAAACACTGATATTGATCAATTTGAGAGTTTTTGCGAGTTCTTTGTGAGTCTTTGGATTATTATTATTATTATTAACTACCTTTACTGTGGCATGTTGAAGAAAGCCCAAATATTGCCCTTGGAATTGCTAAGAGGCAGCCCAGCTCTCAAACCTGATTACTGGAGCACTGCCTAAATAGAAATAGTTACAAGGTCTGCAGTAGCAATAAGCAGGTGGGATGAAAAAGGGCCTCTTTGATCTGGGACTGTTTTTTTTCTCAACTACAAGGCACTGTTGGCACATGCATTGCCTCTGCTCCATGAACTCTGGCCGTTTTTTGATGTAGACTTCAGAAGCATGTTATACAGTAATACCATTGGTGACAGAGGCTTTGATCTACAAAGCTGATCAGATTGATCAAAGTGTCACCTGATGGATTGCTTTAAATTTATTTAAAATATTCTGGCTACCTTGGTAACTCAGACGAGATGACTCCTGGGTCGGTAATCTTTATGTTTTGCAAAAATAAGAATCTATGAAAAAGTTACTGGTTTATTATTTAGAAAACTTACTGAGCATCACGTTCAGACCAGCCAAGACTCATGTTCTAGGATCTATATCCTACCAAATTCCAGTGAATATGATTCTGACAAGATCCTCTGATGGTGACAGCCTAACAATGGGGCGAGAGTCACAAGGAAATGTGAAACTTAAAACCAGTCATTTGCACTGTTACTGGATCAGAAATCTCGTAGTTGCACTTCTCCAGGGGAGAAACGAAGGCCATGATCTTTCAAAGATGTAAACATTGGGTGTGAACAAAACTCCAGGTTAAACAATCATGGACCTCCAGCTCAAATTGAGTGAATGCCTGATAAGTGACTAATCCTGCGAGGGAATTGAACACTGATACTTCCAATCCATTCCTTATCTGCACCTCCTCTGCTCACTCCTGCTGTTCATTTTAGCTGCGACTTGAGTTGCACTGAATAATGGGGTCTGTTTTCTGACAATCTAAAACAAGCTAGGAGTAATAACTTCAGACATTGCAAGCTCCTCCCTTACAATGTCTTGAGAGTCCTTGGGGCTTTAGTGCATTGTCCAATATCCAGTGTCATTGCAGTTGTGACTGTGCACCAATCAATAGCTGACAAGCTGTTGGATTCATAGAATTTTACAGAACAGAGGCATGAGGGGCATGAGAACCTCATTTCCCCTGAAACACTGACTAAGATGTGTGCAGAGTTATAGAAATTCAATGGGACTTTTTGTGGAGCCCTTGGTCATTGGGGCTTGGAGCAGCACAGTGAAGTAGCCAAAGATTCAGTTAGTGAGGACACAGAGAGCACCAGAGAGAGTGGGAGCTGCCGGGTAGGAAGGAGGGTGCAGTGTGAGATGCGCATGAAGTACAAAGAGAGTGAACAGGACCTATTCTTAAGAATTGTGGCCGCGTTTGCCTCATTGCTGTTGGAGTGATATTACTAGTCAACAACAACAGCAACCAATTGGATTTATATAGCGCCTTTCAGGTCAGAAGGACATCCTGGAAGATGGGATTTTACTGTCCAAATTTTGAAGCATTTTGAAGTTGATCTCAATCTTTTTAGATTATTTCCTGAGGCTGAGAGACAGACCTCAGCTCGCTTGCCACTGTTACACAGTTATGGGCTAATGGCGGACAACATAATTTTCCTCAGGGAAGCCTGCTGTGCTTTGTAGCATTTTTAAATGAGGTTAGGGAGGCCGGCCAGATATTATTGAAATCAAAGCCTTTCGTTATTCCTTTAATTCTCCACTATTAAGATTGCTCTTTCTTCTCCAAACCCACAGCCTCTTTCCTTGGGAGCAGAAGACTTCTCCATCGGCTGCTCAAAATACATTTCGCGGTGTGTTTCTCACAGGGCAGAACAGCCCCTGACAGGAACCCCACCTTTGCCCTTTCCTCTTCCACCCCATTCCTCATCATGTAGCACCAGGTGGGAACAGGGAAAACTTACCCAGGGAGGGCAAACGGGTAAATGTCAAAGTGCTACAGAGTTTGAACTCTGGAGCCCTTTCTGGGAGGGAGTCCAACACAATACCCTTCTGAGCATTTCTTACAAGCTCTCTTAACCATGTTTACTCCTCTGACTCTCTTCACACATCCTCCGCTTACATCTGAACAGCTACAACATTATCACCAGCAGGTCAGGGTACCGGGAGAGGAAATCAGAGCTGAGAAAGAAGAAAAAAAGTAGCACACAAAAGGAACTTTGGTTCCCTCAAGCCTGACATCTTTGAGTTATTAGGAGAAAGATGTTTCTATATCACATTTTGTTTATTAAGCAGCTGGTCTTCTGTTGCACCGCTGTACCAGCCGTGCTGAACGTTCACCCTCTGACATATTTCCATGCAGCATTGCATGTGAAACGTGAAAATAATATTTTTTGTGATGTTGCTTTTTTTTGCCGATATTCCAAACGAACATTTTTTTAATTTAAATATTTCAATATATATATATATGAATATGTATTTTAACATAAATATATTTTTAAAATAGAGTAATTGGAGTTAAGGTGAGTCACCTTGTCTGATGTCACTGTAGGAAGAAGCCAGTTAAGGCACCTTTCCCCCACCCAGCAGGAGAGAGTGAACATGGAAGGCAAAGTGCTCACTGCTTCACTCTGCATCCCTAGAAACCAACCAAATCACTAATATCACAGGATCCTGGGAGCAGGACACATCCTGGGAGCTGCTCTCTCACTCACACTGCCAGGAAAACCAGAGGGAGTGTGACCCTTAATAAAGCCAGTAAGCAGTTCTCGCTGGAAGCTGCAGAGTTTCGCCTTGCACACATTGGCCCGAGTTGGAAGGTCAAGATTAAAAATAGTTCCCTCGCTGAAAATCCAATTTGTATTTCTCACACAATAAGTCGCAACCTCAATGGTGAACGTCAACTCTGTCTTGGATAGTAACTGAGGAAGGCAGAAACTGACGGCACCAAGTACTCTCTGTGTAATCTTTCACACAAAAGGAACAGACTGGAGAAAAATCCCAACACCTGTTTGATTAATCAAATATATTGGATTTCTTTGTACTCAAAGCAAATTCTCTCTCTGCACCCGTCCCCAATCAGCAACCCTTACTGCAAACGATTCTGAATACCTGGGTGTAAGACACATTGGTCGCTAACACTAACAATTGTGTCAGTATGGCTCAGTTAGTAACATTCCTGCTTCTGTGTCAGAAGGCTCTGGGTTCAAGCCCCATGTGAAGCTTTTAAGAACACAGCTTTGGCTGACATTCCAGTGTAGTAGTGGGAGCGCACTGCTCTGTTCAAGGTGTCATCTTTTGGATGGGACATTAAACCAATGTCTCATCTCGTCTGTTCAAGTGCATGTTAAAGATCTCGTGATATTTTTCGAAAAGAGAAGGGAGTTTCTCCTGGTGCTACAGATAAATTTGGTGCCACTTCCCAGTTTTTACGCCTCTCTTAATGAATATACCTTTCCGAAAATAAAGGCTCATGCCCGGAGGATGCTTGTGCTGTTTGGATCAACATACATATGTGAGGAAACATTTTCTGTGATGGAATTCAATAAATCAAAACATAGATCTGTGATGACTGATGACCACCTTGCAGCAGTACTCCACATTGCAACAATGGAGACGATGCCTGACTTCAATTATCTGGTTAACGCACATCAGCGCTTTCATTCTTCCCATTGAGTGAGCTTCTCACATTCCCATTATATGTGAATAAACGAATAAATATCAACTAAATGTCTGCTCAATGAGTTTTTTTTAATTTAACCTAATTTTAATGAATGTCAATTATATAGACTTTATTTTACGCATTTTATATACAAGTGGAAGACTTGATTTTGAGTTATTATTAAGCATTTGCATCTATATTAAGTGTGTGGCCCGCGAAGCTTAGTGAAACTCGTGAAGTGGCCCACCAGCCAAAATAATTGCCCACCCGATTGAGACCCTTTGTGTCAACATTCAAATTATGTTTGTGTAGATCCGAGGACAAACTCCCTTCTCTTTTCCAAACAGGCAGACAGAACCTTGGTTTAACGTTTTATACAAGGGACGGAGCCTCTGATTTCTTTGAACGCCTTATCACATCACACTGTTGAGATGTCTCAAAGCGCTTCACAGGATATATTTTAAAGTGGATTGACTATATTTTATGGGTGAAACGCGGCAGCCAATTGCTTAAGTGTCCCACAAAAAATCATGAATTGAGTGACGTCAAATTGTTTTGGGGTGGGGATTATTAACCCTGGAAAACGACCCGTCAATTGACTAACAATCGGGTTCCTACTTACTGCGAGGTGAACAGAGGCATATGGAGTAAGGAAACTTGCCTAAGGTCTCGCTTCACTCAGGAATCGAACCAGGGTCTTCTCGCTTGTGAGGCGAGCGCACTAACCACTACACTACAAGACTATCCCGGGGACAGAACGCATCGCTGTTCGGTCATTGAGCAGCTGCACAGCCATCTGGGTTGTAATAACTTTTAATGAATGAAGAGAATGGTCTGGGGGAATCTATTTACATAATGTTTGACGGGGAAACGAGTGATACACATATTCCAACAACCACAGTGATATACAGTCACGTACATTACTCTTTGTAATCCTTACTCTTGTCTCGGTACCGTAGTATGTGCCGGGGATGTACGGGGGAAAAACCAGAGAAAATAACAGAGCTACATACATCCCCGGTCGTACATCTCTAAGCGCTATCCACTGACGTTCTCCCCTCCCCTCATGTCTATCCTTCATTTGTCAACATGTGTGGCCGAGTGTTAATCCCTCCGCGGAGGGCATCATCCTGTCCTGGCTCCATAGAGACGCTTGGATGAAGACACTTCAGCCCATTTGTTCCCATTTCTTGGGCATTCATTAGGAGGAAGGGCTCTGGATATTATTTACCACCTTCCTTAAGTTCAATTTGCTCCAACTTCAACTCCGTCCCACTGTGATCAGCCAGGTATCTGACCGACGGGTAAACCCATCTCCGTGATCAACCGGGCGTCTTGATATACGTGGAAACCCATCGTTGTAATCAGCCAGGTGTCTGACACATGTAGAAACCCATCACGCTAGCTGTCAGGGCTTTTGCTTGCAAAGTTAACAGGAGCTGAATGGGAAGAGTCCCTGCCCCCAGTGACTGGTATTTGATGCTCCAAGTCCTGCCGATGAGCCAGCCTGGCTGTACCAGTGGGGAGGGCCCCGTCAATCAGTCCTCCAATGGCTCACTGAATGGTGTCAGCCACTGCGGCTACAGCGAGCAGCTCTGCACTGAGGCCACAGCGAGTAGCTCTGCACTGAGGCCACGGTGAGCAGCTCCACACTAAGGCTGCAGCAAGCAGCTCCGCACCGAGGCCGCAGCGAGCAGTTCCTCACCGAGGCCGCAGTGAGCAGCTCCACACCATGGCCGCAGCGAGCAGCTCCTCACCGAGGCCGCAGCGAGCAGCTCCTCACCGAGGCCGCAGTGAGCAGCTCCGCACCGAAGCCGCAGCGAGCAGCTCCGCACCGAGGCCGCAACGAGCAGCTCCGCACTGAGGCCACAGCGAGCAGCCCCACACTGGAGGCTGCATTTTAAAAAAAAATTATTTCAAGTTAAAGAATCATGGAGAATTCAGCTCCATCGTCTGATCCCAAGACTGAGAGCACGAGAAGCGATTCCAGGCCTGGGATGCGAGGGGGGGGGGGGAATGTTGGGGGGCCCCTGGAGGCCAATAGCCGTTCACGGCCTGAGCTGTGTGGACTCAGGGTAAACCTCGTGGCTGTGGCCCTCACAGCTCTGAGGCTCAGTCACATTTTGTCGCTGGGGCCATTGGGAGGTATAAAAATGCTGAGCTTTAGCTCATGTCTCTGAAAGAATCATCTCCCTTTAATGCCCCAGCAACAACCTCCCCCCCCCCCCCCCCGACCCACCAAATTCCTTGTCCGTTTTATCCGATCACTGTGATTTGCCGGGATTCTCTCGTTGGGCTGTTGGAGCCGGGCACGGTGTGGTTGGGATCGGGAAGCGGGGCGGGTGTGGCACAACCAGAGTGGGCAGGGCAAAGTAAGGCAGGGTAGACGGGGCGGAGTGGGTGTGCAGGGTGGGTAGGGTAGTGAGTGTGACAGGGTGGGCGAGAGAGTGGGTCAGGGCAAGATGGAGTGGAGCAGGTTGTGGGTAGGGACAGGCTAGTTGTTGGACGGGGGAGGTGTGAAGACGTGACTGTGGTGCTGGAGGTATTCGGGACTGTCAGGGGTGTGCGAGAGCGAGCACCGGGAGTGATCCAGGAGCAGTTGGATGATGCGCATTTCGTGCTCCCGCTCTTCCCGTCGCCGCTCCTCCTCCCACTTGTAGAAGCGCTCCTCAGCTTTGCGCTGGTAATCCAGGAAACTGCTGATAATGGTGCCCAGGTGTCGCTGCAACAAGCTGCCCTTCTTAGGCCTCAGACGCTTCCTCGGACTTGAGGAATCTAAGAGAGAGTGTGAGAGAGGGAGAGATTAGTGACGAAGAAAGAGAGAGAGATTAGTGACAGAGATTAGTGACGGAGAGAGAGAGAGAAAAGAGATTACTGATGGAGAGAGAGAAAAAAAGAGAAATAAGTTATTGATGGAGAGAGAGTGAGAGAGTGTGTGTGGTGGGTGGGGGGGAAGAGAAACAGAAAGATAAGAGAATCTGATCCCCAATCCTGGCCCCACTGCTCTTTTGAGCAGTGCTAGCTGTGGGGACCTCATGTCTGCATTACCTCACACACTGTACTGTACACATTACTGCACACACTGTACGCATTACTATAATAATAATCCTAGCATTTGCTATAGCGCTCTTCATGTCTTCTCGACGTCTCAAAGCGCTTCACAGAATAACTGTAAAGTGAATTGACTGTATATTTGTGGGCGAAACGCAGCAGCCAATTGCGCACAGCAATGTCCCACAAACAGTTGTGGATTGAAAATGACCAATTTATTATTGGTTCTTGTTTTGGAGGGATTATTATTAGGCGTGTGGAGTAAAGAAACTTGCCCAGGTTTTCGTCCTGCTTACACAACATACACAGAAAAAAGTTAAACATTCGACCAGCAAACTGCCCACATTACTGCACTGTGCACATTACTGCACACTGTCCTGCATACATTGCTGCACACACGACTGCACACGCTGTACTGCACAGATTACTGTACAAACTGTATTGCACATATTGTAATGTACACACCATGCTGCTGTTCCTGCTGAGGTTCTGGCTCTTTCGGGCTCGTTGTTGCCGGATCCTCAGAGACTGTGTTCAGCCTCTGCTCCTCCACAGGCCCCTCTGTCTCGGCTGGGGGTGGGGGGGGGGCAGAGAGAGAAATAAATAAGCACAGCTCAACACTTCCTCAATTATACAGTGCCTCCCTCACCTAACATTCAAACCACTAACCCCCATGTATAGTGAATGAGGAATGGACTGTCGGATGCAGTCAGATACCAATAAACTTCTATTTAATATTGATTGCTGTTATGTGGATAAAATAACAGCCACTTGGCCATTGTTTAGAGCTCTCCAGAGAATCAGCAGATGAAATCTCAAAACTAATAATCCTGGCATTTTATCCAGCTAAGATGTTTAAATCTCTCAAAGGACTAACTACAAAGTGTAGTGACTGTGTATTTCATTTGCACACAGCAATGTTTCTTATACAGCAATGAAGTGAATGAACAGGGTTTTTTTCTCTCTGGGGAATATTGTCCGGGACACAGGGAGGAACTCCCTTCTTTTATCGTGCTGCAGGATGTTTAACATCCACCGGAACAGATGTAAGATGGGACCTCAGTTTAACATCTCATCTCGTCTGTAGGATGGCACCTCAGATGATATAGCACTCCCCCCCATTACTGTACTGGAGCATCGGCCTAGTCCACAATATGGGACTTGAACAAAATAATAATCATTGCATTTGATACAGCACCTTATCACGTCGTTTGAGACGTCTCAAAAGGGCTTCACAGAATATACGGACGTTGGAGGAGATCCAGTACCTTGGGATGTCCTCTCGACGTGAAAGATACTTTACAAATGTAATTTCTTGTTGTTGCACATTGTAAAGTGAATTGTCTGTATATTTTTGTGGGCAAAACACAGCAGCCAATTGCACACAGCAGTGTCCCAAAAAACAGTTGTGGATTTTGAATGATTATTACGTCCGGAAAGCAAGCCGCCAATCAACTAGCAACCAGATTCGTACTTACTGCTAGATAACCAGAGGTGTGTGGAGTAAGGAAACTTGCCTAAGGATTTGCCCTGCCTGGGAATCAAACCCGGGTCCTCTCACTTGCAAGGCGAGCAAACTAACCACTAGGCTACAAGACTCCACCTGGAATCCAGAACCCTCTTGAATCACAGGCTGGTACCTGTGATGCTGTCCAGTCCAGGCCGCTCTGCAGGTGTGTACAGGGGTTTGTCTACCTCCTGGTCGTCGCCCTCGGTGCTGTCTGCAGGTAGCTGGAGACTACACGCTGGAGGTTTAAGAGTTACAGGCGGTGAGCAGCCTCATACAGTAATCCATCCCCCCAGCTGCCCCCACTCCATCTCTTCTTCTCAGCTTGTTTGACTCATCTGGCGGACTGTGTCCCAGCTGCCTCGCTGCCCCGCCTGTGTGTAATCCTGCCTGTCCCAGCTCTGTGTGTGTGTGTGTGTGTGGCTCAGTCAATTTTGCTCTAGGTTCATAAGCCTCTCCCGACAATGTGGCACTTCCCCAGCGCTGCACTGGAGTATTAGCCTAGACTGTGAGCTCAAAGTTCTGCTCAGGGCGGGTATGTTACCAGCCCATGAAACATCATCCAATCATCATTTTTTTTCGGTCAGCCCGGTATCAGACACATGCGGAAAACCATCACCGCGCTTAAAGAGTATCCAAATCAAACTGAGAATTCCGTGTATCCCATCTACATTTGGGAATCCCAGAGATAGATTGTGGGAATGGAATGCGCACTCTCTTTCTGGAGGGATGCATTGTGGAATTACCTAATTGTGGAAAGTATTAGGCGCAGGTTGGCAAGAGCCGAGGCTTGGGGACCCATAGGTGTTTGTTGGGGTAACTGCTGGAGTCTAACCAGCTAAAACCGCATAGTAACCATTGAGAGCACCGTCTGGCAAGCTTTACCGCTGCTTGTCCAGTTTGAACCACTCTACCCTTTAGGGCTTTGGCTTACAGGAGCAGAGTGGGATGGCTCCCTGCCCCCAGGGACTGGTCTGCCCTTCCATGTCCTGCCAATGAGCCAGGCTCACTGTGTTTTTACTGCGGATCCGTCTGGCTCGAGGCCTGGACCACCGAGACCATCACTGGGGCTGGCTCAATTTTGACATTCTGTTGCCAAACATGTCACCTTGAAGCCAATTCAGCTCCAAGGAGATCCCCCCCTCCTGCCCCCCCCTCCAAAGAGTCACTAGTTGGTTGTTCATTATTCAGAGTTGGTATCATTCTTACTGTCTAAACCTGCGCGTAACCCACACAAGATAAACTCTCAGTCTCACAGACCCTAACCTCTCGGTCTCAGCCTGAACACAAGTGGCTCGAATCTTAAAACAATTTTTCACAATTCGTAAATTCAGTCTCAATACAGAAGCCACTTTCTTGAAGGGCATGGCAGAAAAAAAAAGGTTTTTTTTCTCCAAATTCCGACTGAAATTAACAATTTGCTACAAACCCTCTGGTTACATTTTAAAAGACTTGATGTTCAGGCTGAAAGTGTGAGTGGCGTCTCTGTGTCTGTGCTGGTCAGAGCTGGGGGGAAGTTAGTGACGTGAAGGACGCTATACAAGTATAATTTGTCGTCGTTGTTGTTGCTGCCAGTGCTGGGGGAGGTTTGTGATGACACATCAAAGTGTAGCACCACATTCAGTGCAAACCCACTCCAGCAGAGCGGCTGCTTCCCACAAACACATCAATTTATTCTGAATCACAGGCTGTCAATCCTAGTGAGTGGTTCAGCCCAGCTCAGAAACTAGAGGCAGCTGCACGTCAGCAATTAGACGAAATCCGCTGCGAGGGGCAGTGTCAAAGGGGATGGGGACTGTCTCTCACACTCACTCGCACCCACACTCACTCACCCAGTCACACGCTCGCTCACACTCGCATGTTCACACACACTCGCTCACACACACACACACTGGCTGTGACGCTCTAATCTCCACGCAGTGTCTCGCTGCAGCGAGTGCACTTTGATGCGTTTTGACATAAGGTAGGTTCATTTGATCTCATTGTTCACAATACCCACCGTCACAGCATCACCAGCACATGCACACATACATGCATACACACACGTATACATACACCTGCTCACATACGCGCGCACACATACATGTACACATACACACATGCACCCATGCCCATAAGCATATATACACCCAGACATTGAAACACAGACATACCCATGTACACGCACAAGCATCAACTTGCACTTAGTGTGCAGGGCCAGGTTAAGCTTGATACCCCAGGGCTATTATAGGTTTGGGAACCGCCTCTGCATGTTCTATTCCTTCCCTTTACTGTTTTATCACCACCCATGCCTGTGACTATGCCAAACACTCTTATTAATTTACGTCTGATCTCCTGCCCCTTCTTTCCGTCTCACATTCACAAACTCTTCACTCCCTATCACCAGGTCCATTAGAAAAATGCGGAAATATTTGTCCAAAATTGTGGGAATTTGCCAAATTTGGGGGTAAATTGCGGAGAGTTGATTTGTGCTACTGAGAGACACACTTTACACACTTGACAAAACTAAACACCAGCCCAGGCCCGAAAGGGCGAATGTTCAGTTTCCACCCAGCACTAAGTTTGAAGATGAGATCTGCCAAACAGCAGCATTGCTCGGCAAGTTCGCCAGTGTCCTGATTGTGGGACTCCAGGAGGTCACTAACCCCTGCTTCTCGGAGCCATTGCACACAGACATCCAGAGAGAGACACTCACAGACAGAAACACCGAGAGAGAGAGACACACACACAAATACACACACACACACAGACACAACCTGAGATACTCACACCCACTCACATGCAGAGAGAGACTCACACACACAGAATACACCCACATAGAACGAACATACACAATTAAGGAACCCACACACACAAGGAATACACACATGCGTAGAATTCAAACAGATAGATAAGACTGCAAGCATATGCAGAACACACACACACACAGAACGTGCACTTACACAGGACACACACACACACACCACACAGAACACACACACACTATCTAAAGCAGGGATGGGCAAAATTCGGCCCACAGGCCATATCCGGCCCGCCAAATGATGCTATCTGGCCTGTCATTGTGTCTAGTAATAGAAAAAATTATAGTTGGTTCAGTCCCAGAAAATCCCACAAATTTCGCATTTGAATCAGACCGGGAACATCGGCCAATCACACTGCTTAGTTGTGCGCGCGCTCCCTTAAGTGTTGAATCAGGCTATCGTCGGAAATGTACGGATCGGCAAATTTTCAAACACGAGCGCACGGCAACCGCGGCAATACTTTTCACCGAAGAGGACGTCAATTCGAAATGAGTTTATCAGAGAAGCGGAAAGTGGACGCTGAAAGCCGAATATTCAACAAAGAATGGAATTAAAAAAAAATTTTAAAAATTTTTTAACCAGTGTGTGTGTGGAAAATAAAACAAAATAAAATAAATTAAAAAATAAAATGAAGAAAGAAAATAAAAACAGGCTGCAGTTACAAAATAAAGTAAGCAATTTTGCGTGTTTTTCACTGGCACTCGATGTCAAAGACACAGCCCAGTCGATAATTTTTATTCGAGGTATCACCAAACATTTTGAGCTCACAGGAGAATTGGCATCAATGCAATCAATGAAAGATACGACAACTGAAGAAGACTTTTTGTTGGAGGCAGTAAATAAGTGTATCTTAATATTAGGAGTGGAGTGGAAAATTTGGTGAATGTGACCACCAATGGGAGCCTAAATCTGACAGCCAAAAATGTCGGGTTACTAAAAAGAATTCAAGATCAAGTCAAAGAAACAAATCTAGAACAGAATACTGTTTTTCTACACTGCATTATCCACCAAGAGGTCTTCTGTAAGAGTGTTCTAAAACTAAGCAATGTTGTGGACGTAGTTACGAAAGTGGTCAACTACATTCGACCAAGAGAATCAAACCACAGGCAATTTGTAACTCTGCTTGAGGAATTGGAATCCGAGCACATGGATGTTCTGTATCACACGGATGTAAGATGGCTTAGTTTAGGAAAGGTCTTGAAAAGAGTGTGGGAACTGAAAACAGAGATTGATTTATTTTTGGACATGAAACAAAAAGATTCGGATTTCCCACAGCTGAATGATGTGAATTGGCTCTCTAATTTCGCATTTGCCGTTGATATCATGGGCCACATGAATTCAAAGCTGCAACGGAAGGGGGGCTCTGTGCACGATTTGTATTGCAGTGTCAAGTCATTTATGACGAAATGATTTATTTTATCGAGTCGGATAGGAAACAGGCAGTTCGCCCACTTTCCAACTTTTCAGCAGATTACTGTTTGCGATCAAAGCCTAAAAAGTATACTTTATCACTACTTGACTTACATGCCGAATTTTCTCGCCGATTCAAGAATTTCAATTTGATCAAAAATGACCTGTCTTTGGTCTCTTCACCTTTCTCATTTGATGTTGACAAAGCCCCAATTGACCTCTAGCTCGAGCTTATTGACCTGCAATGTGATCCATTACTTGTGGAGCAATTCAAATCAGTGCCACTTCCCAGTTTTTACGCCTCTCTTAATGAATATACCTTTCCGAAAATAAAGGCTCATGCCCGGAGGATGCTTGTGCTGTTTGAATCAACATATACATGCGAGGAAACATTTTCTGTGATGAAATTCAATAAATCAAAACATAGATCTGTGATGACTGATGACCACCTTGCAGCAGTACTCCGCATTGCAACAACGGAGACGATGCCTGACTTCAGTTGTCTGGTTAACACACATCAGCGCTTTCATTCTTCCCATTGAGTGAGCTTCTCACATTCCCATTAATATGTGAATAAATATCGAATAAATATCTGCTCAATGAATTATTTTTNATTTAACCTAATTTTAATGAATGTCAATGATATAGACTTTATTTTATGCATGTGCAAGACTTGACTTTGAGCTATTATTAAGCATTTGCATGTATATTAAGTGTGTGGCCCACAAAGTTTAGCAAAACTCGTGAAGTGGCCCGCCAGCCAAAATAATTGCCCGCCCCTGACCTAAAGGACGGAGGGATTAATGGATATGGGGATTGGGCGAGTAAATGGAATTAGGTTTGAAGATCAGCCACGATCTTATCAGATGGCGGGGCACAGGCTCGAGGGGCTGAATGGCCGACTCCTGCTCCTCCGTCTTGGGGTCTTACACACACACACACACACACACAAAATAGACAAACAGAGAACACACACACACACACTGACACACACACACACACACACACACACACACACACACGGACAGACACACACACGCATACACAATGGAACACACACACACACAGACAGACACACACAACTCACATACACAATGGAACACACACACACACACAGAGAGACACAGACACACACACTGACAGACAGACACTAACAGATACACACACACACACACAGACACACACACAGACAGAGACACAGAGACAGAGACACACACAGAGAGGCACACACAGACAGAGACACACAGACAGAGACACACAGACAAAGACACACACACAGAGGCACACACACAGACACACAGACAGACACACACAGACAGAGACACACAGACAGACAGAGACACAGACAGACAGACACACACACACAGACAGACACACACAGACAGAGACACACAGACAGACAGAGACACAGACAGACAGACACACACACACACACACAGACAGACACACACAGACAGAGACACACAGACAGACAGAGACACAGACAGACAGACACACACACACACACACAGACAGAGACACACAGACAGACACACACACAGACAGACAGACACACACACAGACACACACACGGCAGCCGAGGGGGGGGTTTTGTTACCTGTGACAAAGTCCGGCGGCTGCGCGGACGCACTGTCCTCCGCCTCCTCCTCCTCTTTGATGACCACATTGAGGTGCTCCCCGAGTAGGCCCGAGGCCTGGGGCTGGGGTGGGGGCCGGCGGCCCAGCACAGAGTCCATCTCCTGGTAGAAGCGCATGGCCTTGCCCCGCCGGCCCACCCGCCGCCGGCTCACCATACTGCGGTACTCGTACTTGAGGTTCTTCACCTTGGCGCGGCATTGCTTCCAGTCCCGCTGCACCCCGAGCCGCTGCAGACTGTGGGAGATACCCAGGAACACCTCCCGGTTCCTCACGGCCCCCGCGAGCTGCTCCTGCACCTCCCGCTCCTGCCACACGGCCAACAGCCCCCGGATCTCCCGCTCGGCCCAGTTCTTACTGGCTCTGCGGGTCATGGCCAGCGGCACTGCCCCCGTCTGCCCGTCTCACACACACACACACACACACACACAGCCCTCCCTCCCCTCCGTCTGCCTGTCTCCCCCTCACACACACTCAGCCCCCCCTCCCCTCCGTCTGCCTGTCTCCCCCTCACACACACACACTCAGCCCCCCCTCCCCTCCGTCTGTCTACCCCTCACACACACACACACTCAGCCCTCCCCCCTCCGTCTGCCCGTCTACCCCTCACACACACACACACACAGCCCTCCCCTCCGTCTGTCTCCCTCACACACACACTCAGCCCTCCCCCTCCCCCCCGTCTGTCTCCCTCACACACACACACACTCAGCCCTCCCTCCCCTCCGTCTGCCTGTCTCCCCCTCACACACACACACACACAGCCCTCCCCCGTCTGCCTGTCTCACACACACAGCCTCCCCCTCCCCTCCGTCTGTCTCCCCCCCCCCCCCCCCCCCCACACACACACACAGCCCTCCCCCTCGTCTGTCTGTCTCTCCCTCACACACACACACAGGCTCTCCCTCTGTCTCCCCCCCCCACACACACCCTCCGTCTGTCTCCCCCCCCCCCCCCACACACACACCCTCCGTCTGTCTCCCCCCCCCCCACACACACACACACAGGCTCTCCCACTGTCTGTCTCTGTCTCACACACACCTCAGACTCTCTGTCTGTCTCTCACACACACACTCCTCCTCCCATCTTTTTGTCTCTTTCTCTCTTACCCACTCCCTCTCTCCTTCACACACACACTCACTCTCTCTCTCAACTCCGTCTGTGTCTCCCCTCGTCTCTGTGTCTCTGTGTCTCACCCCCACCCCTTCCCCTCTCGTTTGTCTATCGTTCACCTCTCACTCACTCTCCGTATGTCTCATCCTCACTCTTTTGTCTCACTCTCTGGGTCTCACACTCACTCTGTATCTGTCTCACTCTGTATCTGTCTCACTCTGACTGACTGACTCTCTCTTTCTCTCTGTGTCACACACTCTGTCTCTCTGCGTCACATTCCCTTTCTGACTCACACTCTGTGTCTAGTCTCTGTGTCTCATGTTCTCTCCCTTTCTCTCTCTCTGCCCGTCTCTCACTCTCTCTCACACACACACACACAGCAGGACCTGGGCTCAGGATGACAGCTTTTCCTGTTACAGTCTCCCACAGAGGAAGTGATGTATCAGAGCCAAATCAGTGCCTGTCTCATCCATCCCCACACAGCCTGAGAGGGAGGGAGGGAGGAGCCTGGGGTTGGGACTGAGGGCAGACCTGAGCTAGACACCTGGGGTTGGGACTGAGGGCAGACCTGAGCTAGACACCTGGGGTTGGGACTGAGGGCAGACCTGAGCTAGACACCTGGGGTTGGGACTGAGAGCAGACCTGAGCTAGACACCTGGGGTTGGGACTGAGGGCAGACCTGAGCTAGACACCTGGGGTTGGGACTGAGGGCAGACCTGAGCTAGACACCTGGGGTTGGGACTGAGGGCAGACCTGAGCTAGACACCTGGGGTTGGGACTGAGGGCAGACCTGAGCTAGACACCTGGGGTTGGGACTGAGAGCAGACCTGAGCTAGACACCTGGGGTTGGGACTGAGAGCAGACCTGAGCTAGACACCTGGGGTTGGGACTGAGAGCAGACCTGAGCTAGACACCTGGGGTTGGGACTGAGGGCAGACCTGAGCTAGACACCTGGGGTTGGGACTGAGGGCAGACATGAGCTAGACACCTGGTGTTGGGACTGAGGGCAGACCTGAGCTAGACACCTCCACCTCCATCATCCATTCAGCTGAAACCTCTGTCAGAAAGACCCTCCGCATGGAAGAGGAGAAGAAGAAGAAGAAGGAGAGGGAGTGGGAGGAGGAGGGGAGCGATAGACGGCAGAGGCTTTGAACAATGTTGAGTCTCTCTCTAAATGTCACACACTTCAAAACACAGACTGGTTTCAAGGGAACAACAGCAACGACAACACAATTACATTTATATGGTGCCTTTCAGGTCAGGAGGATATCTCAAGGGAAGGGTGGTCTCCCCCCCCCCGCCAGGGAAGACAGGATATATATCTGGACCTTTCCAGGACTGTCCCACAAAGAGAAATAATTTTTTTATTAAATATTATACCTTCAAAACAGCCCATAGAGCTTTGCGTTTAATTATTATAAATGTATAGTGATTGGGCGAACTTTGCTACTAATTTGCAGCAAAAATGTTGCACAAACTGCCTTGAAGTGAAGGATCGTTTTACCTGTGGGATTGTCGGCCAGGATACCCACCTGGTTTCTGATCAACAATCTCCTGGCTCCTTACTTGTGGGATTTTGCTGTGCGCATATTGGCTGCTGTGATCACCTACAAGAACACAATCACTGCACACTGCAGAAGACTCCCTGACATATTTTTTGAGAAATTTCGATCTGATAAGGGGCTGCATCAAATGAAATGCAATGTTTTGGTTGGTTAAACTCCAGCCGTGCCCTGACATACACTCTGTGCGGCTGCCAAACTGCACCTAATGCTCTGTGGAATTAGGAAAGTAGGGTGCGTCCTTCCAAGGAGGGAGTGCACAATCCATTAATGATAAGTCTTACATTTGGTACAGCACTTTTCATGTAAATACACTACAAAAGCGTAATACCCAATACATTGAGAGGAGTGCAAGACACCGACCCAGAAGAAGGGCAAGTATCGACGTACGGTAAGTGGTCAACATCTCTCCCGGAGGAAGGATTTAATCACCCTTGAATCCGAACTATGCATCTTGTTTGTATGTATGGTATACCAGCTTATCAATGTCACTTTGACTGTGTTAAAAGTACTGACATCATCCTGAAGAATGCTGGTCAGCCTCATTGTATTACATCGTGAGGAACTCAAAAACTTACAAGAGCATCACAGGATACATTGCAAAGTGAAGTGACTGTGTATTTTGTCATATTAGCGATAAAGTGAATGTCCACTTTTATTTGGGGGCTTGTTGGCCAGGACACAGGGAGAGAGAAACTCCTTTCTTGTTTCAAATACTTTAGTGCCATATGTCCACCTGAACAGGCAGATGCGACCTCAGTTCAAAGCCTCATCCAAAGGATGGCACCTCTGATGACGCAGTGCTCCCCCAACACTGCATTGGAGTGTTCATTCCAGACACAGGAAATCTCCATATGCAGATGGCATATGGATCTGGAACTGGAACTTTCAGTCTTGTTCGGAGACTTTTAAGCAATGGTGATGGGCTTCTGTATGGCTGACCAAAAAAATGTACGAATAGATCGATTATTATTTTTTATTGATAATTATAATTTGTTGTCAAGTTATTACAGAGGGTTCGGCGGTCACAGCCTTCCTTACAGTGCAGCAGGTGAGGAGGAGCAAGCCTGGCTGAGGAGCAGGTAGGCTCTTGGGTGGGGAGGAGCTAGATCAGAATGGGAGGAGCTAGGCTCTGGGTGAGGAGGAGCTAGGACAGAATGGGAGGGGCTAGGCCAGAATGGGAGGGGCTAGGCCAGAATGGGAGGGGCTAGGCCAGAATGGGAGGGGCTAGACCAGAATGGGAGGGGCTAGGCCGGCTCCATGTCGGGAGGAGGTGGTGACCTCCTGGTGATGGTTTGTTCCTCTCTGGAGCCTGCCCCACCCTGCGTTGTCGCAGTGACAGGCAATGTGCTTCGTGGATTCAGGAGGTTCAGGACGGACAATCTCTGTACACAGGCGTTAAGGGTAACAGACACGGAGACGCTGCAAAACCCTGAGTGCTCCCGGCAGACATCTCATATTCAACACTTGATGACCTTGGGGACCTTTTAACTTGTCAACTCCCCCATGAAGAAAACATAACCTCTTTTTCTCGAGTACTTTTCTTGAGTACCCGTCCTCAACACACTGTGAATGTCCGTCACCAACTAAACTTGCCAACTAATTGGCTAAACGTACCAGCTAAATTCATTAAACTAACTCACTAACTAAATTCACCAACTCACCAGCTACATCTACCACTCACTGGCTAAACTCACTAACTCACCTGCTAAACTAACCAACTAAACTCACCAGCTATATTCATTAAACTAACTCACCAACTCACTGAGCAACTGGGGGGGGAGCTGACTGCTCATTTTTGACCTCCTGCTGGTTGCGGGGCCTATAACTCGAGGGTGTAAACCTCGGAGAGTCAGTGACACGTCTAATAGAGAGGTTGGTGAAATTGTGGAACTCACTGCCGGAAACTGTGGTTAAAGCCGATAGTATCAATGTACTTAAGAGGGAACATGAGGGAGCAGGGAAAAGAGAGGAAAGGAGAGGTGGAGACTGGTTGGGGAGAATGGGTTGTTTCCGTGCAATATAGTTGTGTGTAACACTGCGCTAAACGGTGACCCTCATAAACAGAGAGAGGAGGGGGACAGTGGAAGGATACAGTGGCGGTGCTGAGCGAGGGCAGACTGAGCACTGAGGGAGGCTGTGTCAGACGATACAGGCCTGGTGAGCCCGATGGGTGAAAGTACAGGTGAGCTTTCGGAGTAAACACCTGTCCTCCCTTCAGCGGCATAAAGAGTGCGGGGAAGCAAATCTCACCTGTGATCGAGAGGGAGAGACGCACACATCAGCAACGGGGAGTAGCACAGAGTGACAATGTGTGTGTGAGACAGAGTGATAGTCTGTGTGCGTGAGACAGAGTGACAGAGGGAGAGGTGTGAGGCAACTCTGTACACATCTCTAACTATTTTGGGGTGCGAGAGTGAAGTCTTCCTCAGGTCAGCCACAGCTCATTTTTGATACAGAGTAAAGCTCCCTCTACACTGTCTGTCCACACTCCCAGGTCACTGAGAGCACGGGTTAGAGACAGAGGACACCCTCACATTTGGTGTCAGAGGTGGGGATGGAAAAGCTTTGAGGGAGGGGAGGAAAAAGAATTGATGGAGAAGAGGAGCTTGGGGTTTGTGGATGTGATACAGAGTGACAACGTGTGTGAGAGACAGATTGACAGTGTGTGTGAGAGACTAAGAGTAATAGTGGGTGTGTGTGACAGAGGGAGAGGTCTGAGGCAGTCAGTGACTAGGCTGATGGGTTGCACATTATACGCACCATGTTGAGTGGTGGCTGGTGCTGTGCCGGGGGGAGCGGGGAGATGGAGCCTCCTCTGGCCTGACAGACGTTTCTCCAGCTCTCTGCTGGTCTCAGCCCGCAGCCTGGCAATCACACACTGTTTGCTTCTCAGCATGTTCTCCTCCAGTACCTGCATCCTCGCCCACACCTGTAACAACAACAACTTGTATTTATATAGTGCCCCTCACTCAGGATGGCATCCCAGAGCACTTAACAGCATTGTGGCTTGATGCCGAGCTGGAAAGGGGAGGGGAGGTGACCATAGGCGTAGTTGAAGCAGAAAGTCTTCAGGTGTGATTTGAAGATGGGCAGAGAAGGGGGCGGGGGCAAGACAGAGGGATTGAGGCAAGGAGTTCCAGAGATTCAGGGTGTAGTGGCTGAAAGTATGGCCACCAATTGTGGAGGGGATGAGGGACACACGGCTGAGCAAAGGCAGCGGGATAGAGTGTGGTGTGAGCAGATCTGATAGGTGGAGGGCGGGGGGGCAGTAAAAGGGCGTGAAGAGGTTTGAAAGTGAGAGCGAGGAACTTGAAATCGATCCGTTATTCTATGCTGTGCACACTGCTGTGCGCAATTGGCTGCCGCGTTTTGCCCACAAAATACACAGTCAATTCACTCTACAGTATATTCTGTGATGCAAGTTGAGACATCTCAGTGATGTGATAAGGCGCTATATTAAATGCAAGAATTATTATTATTATTAAGTCCCCAACATGGGGCAGGAACCCAAAATTTTCTTACCCAGAGTGTGAGCCAGGCTGATACTCACTGTAAAATGCAATGACTGGGTATTTTGTAAGTGAGCTTACCCTTACATACCAATTTTCACATTGGAAAATTTCTCAAACTTGTCTTTGTGGGGGAATGTGTGGAGGGGGTGTGCAGGGAATGACAGCCAAGCCTGACCCTCACCTTACATGGCGCTACAACACCAAATCCAATCCAGGGATGTGCCAAAAGGTGGCATAAACTGGGGTTCTGGGGAGTTTGAGTGGTGGGGGTGTTGGAGCACAGTTAATGAGGGGTATTTAAAAAGCATTAAATAGGCAGGTGTGAAAGAAGGAGAGTAGAGGAAACAAGCAGGGAAATGGACTCCGGTTGAGGGCATGAGTGGAGGAGCAATACCAACACTCATACTTTGAATGTGTGGAGGTGTCTGTGGGTCTGTCAGGCTCAGGTACCTCTGCCCCCACTCACCCTCCATCGCTCTCCCCTCCCTTCATCTCCCCTCCATCCACCCCCGCCCCACCATCACTCCCCCACCACCAGCATCTCTCCCCCACTACCACAATCTTCACCCCTGGCTTACATCTTGTGGGAGCTGACGATTCAGAAGCAGCTTCCTGCTTCTACACATCTTCTGTAACCGTCCAGGAACACTGAGACAGAGGGAGAATGAGTGAGAGACAGAGTATGTGAGTGAGAGAGAGTGTGTGTGTGAGAGAGTGTGTGTGAGTGGAAGAATGAGAATTTGAGAGAGAGATTCAGATTCAGGAGCATTACCCTTTCCACACACCCTCCCCACTCCCACCCCACCCCGACCTGCTTTCCCCTCTCCCCAGGTGTCTGCCTCACCTTCTCTGTGCCGGTGCTGGTGATATCCTGGGATCGGGAGCCAAGTGTTCCCGGCACCTTCCGCCATCCCTCTCCCTACCCACTGTCAGAGCTGCTGAGGGAGAGTGTGACACCGCCATACAGCAGCCAGCTGTCAGTCAGCGTATCAACAGCAATAGGTCAGCCACCAGCCAGGATAACAGCAACAACAAATTACATTGTATGGCACCTTTCACGTTGGGAGGACGTCTCAAGGGTTTGCACCCGAGTTGGGGGTTGGAGTCAAGAGGGGTGGAGGACAAGGGGCGAAAGGGGGGGTAGGTAAGAGGGTGACCAAAGACACAGTCGAACAGGAAGGTCTTGAGACATGCCTTGAGGGAGACAGGAGAAGGAGTGAGGCGAAGGGGCTGTGTGGTTTGGAGTTCATCATATCATAGAATTATACAACATTCGGCCCATTGTGTCTGTGCCGGCTCTTTGTAAAGAGCTACCCAAATCAATCCCACTCCCCATAGCCCTGTGAACTTGTCTTCCCCAAATAATTATCTACTACTTCCAGAGGGTTGGTGCAGAGAGGCTGAAGACCCGATTGCCGATGTTAGAGCAGGCCAATAACTGCTGAGCGGAGGAAATGGACAGGTTGGTAGGGGTTTAGGAGGAGGAGGAGGTCACAGGGGTAGGGAGGAGCGAGGCCAAACCTTGCCATGGAGGGCTTTAAAGGTGAGGACGAGGATTTTGAACTCGATCCTCTGAGGGATGTGGAGCCGGGCGAGGATGGGGGTGATAGGATCAAGGAGCTTGGTGCGGGAGAAGACGGGAGCTGTAGAGTTCTGAATGACCTGCAGCTTCTGGAGGGAAGAGTTGGGAAGGCCGACAAGCAGGGAGTTGTGGTAGTCGAACCTGCATGTGATGAATGCATGGATGAGGGTCTCGGCGGGTTGAGGAGAGAGGCAGTGATGGAGCTGGGCAATGTTGCAGAGGTGGGAAAGGTAAAACAGATCATGGTACGAATGTGGGGTATAAAAGACAGGGAGGGTTGAACAATGCATCAAGGTTGTGTACTGGCTCGGAATACCCACCTGTGTTTGGTGACCGGCTTGGGGAAGTCGGTGCTGGTGAGGTGAGAGCCTGGGTCAGCTCCCTGTAAAGATATTAAAATAATAATAATCCTTGCATTTGATAGCGCCTTATCACGTCGTTGAAACGTCTCAAGGCGCTTCACAGAGGCGTCGGTGGGGGGCGAGCTGGCCGGGACGGGGGTTTGCCGGGGGAAGGGGGTACTCACCTGTCTAGCTCCTGGCCCTGGGATGGACGGACACTGTGATCCTCAAACAACTGTTGTTGTTCATCAGGCAGTGAAATTTGTACAGAAAGCGAGAGTGTGGGTGAGAGAGACAAAGGTGGCGTTTTACTGCTACAGAGTGAGACAGACACACAGGCCATAAAAATAGCATCATAATATAAGTGGTCTACACAATGTCCCACAAACAGCGATGAGGTGAAGGATCAATTTTACTTTGACCCTGCCCGCGGTCACCTCCCACCCCCTTGGCTCGGCATCAGGCTCCGCCACTGTTAAGAACTCCAAGACACAACCCTGCGGAAAGACACTGTGTAAATGCAAGTTGTTGTTATTTGGGGGATTGTTGACCAGGGACCCGGGAGAAACTCCCTTCTCTTTTCTAATAGCGCTGCAGAATCTTTAATAGGGTGGGTGGGGGTGTAACCAGTGACTCGGTACCTGTGAGGGTGGGAGCTCTCCTTCCTGCTCGGCCACCTCTCCCCAAACACTCGCCATCGACATCTCAAACCTGCTGTCCCTGGAGCTGAGAGCAAAAGGAGATCTGTCACTGGAAGCAGCTGGTCCTTACCCTGAGTCCCTACCTCGACCCCTCTGCCCAGATCCACCCACCCACCCCCGGGCAGTGTGTCAGGTCAGTGCGTGAGGAGAGCGCCATGGTGTAACTGTCCACGCTGACTATGTTCAGAGTGAGGGTCAGACTGTACCTGTGCTGGAGGTCCCCTGTCCAGGTGCTCTGTTCCTTGCTGTGTCTATCTGTCTGTGTCGCTCCATCACACATGTTAGCCTCAACACCACAGCCACACTCCTTCACCTGCAACCACACAGCGTGTCTCACAAACACATCACACACACACAGCATCACACACACATTTACCCACAGTGTCTCATACTCAAGACATTCACAGCGTGTCTCACTGTCTAGTTTGGGTCGTCCTCCCGATGTGAAAGGCACTATACAACTCTTGTTGTTGTAGTTACCATGGCTAGTGGCTCTTGGCACTGGCCTCAAGATGCTCACTGTGAGACACGGGGCGCTGCCATGAGTGGCCACTGTGGGCAGACGGGGGCTCACCTCTATGGTACAATGGTACACTAATCCCTGTGCTCCCACCCAGATCCCACACACGTGCAGTTACACAGCCACCAATCACTACCTTGTGAGAAGCAGTCGCACACTCTCCCAGGTCCCCATCTTCCTCCTCTTCAGCACCATCATCTTCATCACCATCATCCTCATCATCACCACGTGTCTCCATATCAAGCTGTTCATCTGCTCTGTTGAACACATCCTGCAGAAAGTCCTTCACAAAGTGATGAGACCAGTACGGGTTAGAGACAGAGTAAAGCTCCCTCTACACTGTCGGTCCATACTCCCAGGTCAGCGACAGCACTGGTTACGACAGAGTAAAGCTCCAGGAACATTGAGTAATTGTCTGTATGGTGGAATAGTGTCACTTATTGAGATGGGGTTATGGTGTGTGTGTGTGCGTGCGGAGAGAGTGTTGGGGTATGTGGTTAAGATGTGTGTGGGTGTAGGTGTTGGGGGATGTGGTTAAGGGCGTGAAGCCCTCCATGGCCTTGCTCCCCCCACCTCTGCGACCTCCTAACCCCCACTAACCTGCCCGCTTTCTCCGCTCAGGGGCCTCCAGCCTGCTTCAGATCTCCAGCCTCACCCGCCCTACCATTGGCAGGAGGGCATTCAGCCACTCTGCCCCCACCCTCTGGAACTCCAGTCCCTCTGCCTTGCCCCCTCCCCCCTTACCTCTTTCAAGACCCATCTCAAAACCATCCTCTTCGACCATACCTTCAATCACCCACCTTCACCCCCTGCCCTCCACCCTCCACGATCTCGACCCCCCGCTCGGGTCCGAAACACTAATTGTCCTCACAAAGTGAAAGACGCTATAGAGATGCCATTTTGTGGTTGTCGTTGTTGTTGAAACACTGTGTCAGCTTGTCTGTGCTGAGAGGACAGGTGTGTATGTGGCAATCACTAACCTCTCTGGACTCCATAAGAGCCTCAGGCTGTAGCCATTCTCCCATCCGCTCCCACTGGCCACTGAAACAGCAAAAAGAGACCACGTGCTATTAGCCTGGAGGACATTTTGTACTTAAAGCTAAGGGGGTGCGGGATTGGGGAACATTGCGACAGTCACTCTGCATTCGGACGCCAGTTAACCCTTTCCTGACAAGAGACCGGCTTCCAAACTAAGACTGAATTTAAGAATTTGTCATAACTGCACAATTGACTTGGTGGTATTTGGTGCTCCCTGCTCGTAACAACAACAACTTGCATTTATACAGAGTCCTTCAGACAGAGCAGCGTCTCGGAGTGTTTAAAACCACAGAGCCTGACACCAAGTGGGGTGGGAGGGGAAGAAGGGAGGAGGTGACGTAAGCATGATCGAAAAGGAAGTCTTCATGCGTGATCTAAGAGAGCTAAAGGAGCGGGCAAGGCAGAGTGATAGAGGGAGAGTATTCATAAGCTTGGGGTGTAATGGCTGAAAGCACGGACCCCAAAGGCAGAGCGGAGGGGGTCCAGCTGAGCAGAGGTGGTGGTTGGGTGGTGGGTTGGGGAGTGAGCAGGTCAGATCAGAGAGGTAGGGAGGTGCCAGGGCGTGAAGGAATTTGTGTGAGGATCTTGAAGTGGATTCTGAGACATTTAAGTTCTTGGTCAGCAAACAGCAGGTGTGAAGGTTATGTCTACCCACCACTGGGCCGCTTCCCTCATCGGACACCTCACTGGGAACATACAGTGTATCCCAAAGCCCCTCACAGCCTGAAATGATAGGAAGTGAGGAGCTCAAAACATGCACAACAACAACGACATACATTTATATAGCGCCCTTCACGCAGGGTAGCGTACCAGAGCGCTGGAACATAACCACACTCCGCCGTGGTTCTCGCATGTGGGAAAAGCTAGCTCCTAGTTTTCCAAAATTCTGCACAATTTTTAAATTTGAGACAATTTAAATTTGGTTTTAAGGCTGAGGTGCAACACAGAGTCCCACAAAGAGTCGGGGAGTGAGTGAGAGACCGATTTGATTTGGGGGGATCGTTGGCCAGTACTCGGAGAGAGAGAAACTCCCTTACCCTTTTTGAATAGCGTCGTGGGATCTTTAACATCCACTTGAACAGGCAGATGGGACCTGAGTTTAACATCCCTGGGTTCACATCCCAAGGTCAGCACCTCTGACAACGCAACAGCCCACCCCACCCAGCACTGCATTGGAGCATCACCTTAGATTGTGGGGCCAAACTGCCAGTGCTCTCCCACTGAAATGTCTCAAAGTGGCTCACAGTTAGTTACAGTGTCGTGACTGTGCCGTGGGCCCGCGTTTATTGAGCGAGAACTTCACTGACCATCAACTTCCTCATCAAACGTTCCCAGTTCAGGATCCGACGTTCCCGAGCAACCCTCACAGACTGCAGGAAAGAAGGAGATCAGTGCGGAGTTAGTGGGCAGCACTGTCCAAATCCTCACCTCAACCTCTGGCTCCCGGGGCAAATGCTCAGTCAGGGAGGAGGTGGAGGGCTGCTCTGTCTCTGCTGCCATCTCACGCCCGGGTCTGAACCCCTCCACATGCCCCCACCCCACCAACACAGCGCTCTGATCCCCAACACACTTTGACTCTTGGCCTGCAAACCGCTCCCGAATCCGACCTCGCCCCAACTCCCCTCTATCCCCCCGACACCCCGCCCCCCCCCAACCCCATCCCCAGACACCCTCCTAGATCTCCCACCCAGACACCGGACGGGAAGGGGGGAACACACGTACCTGACCGTGCAGCAGCTGTAGCCTTCTGATCGCTCCGTTCAGCTGCCCCTTCACCCTGTCACACACAGGTTAGCAGCCCCTATACCTTAAAGCCCCCCAATGCCCACATACACCCCCACCCCCACTGCACACATACACCCCACTCCACACACACACATTCGCCCCCCACCCCATACACACCACCACCTAACACTGCCCCCCCTCCCCTTGACTCTGCGCTCTGCCCCCCCCACTCAACCACTCCTTCATCCTGTTCCACCAATAACCACCCCCACCCCTCACATGCACCCCCACCGCACACACTCACCACCTCCCACACAAACCACCACCTCCCCCCACCCCGCATGATACCCTCTCTTGCACCCCCTCTCACCTGCGCCCCCCTCCACCCCCATGGCCCCCATTATTACCTGCTGTAGTTTACATGTAGCAGCCTCAGCGCCTCCTCCTTGTGCCCCCAGGGTGCAGCGTAGACTCGCACCAGGCTGACCAGCTGGGTGGCAGGCGCTGTCACATCAGAGGCACTGAGTGACAAGCGGAGAGCGGGCATTAGGGGCTGGAGGCGGAGTGGGCATTCCATCCCAACAACCTATCTCTGGGATTTCCATGTGTAAGTGGGAATACATGGAATTCTCAGTTTGGTTTGGACACTCATTAAGCACCGGTGGTAGGTTTCCACTCGTATCAGGCTGACCAAAGAAAAATAAACCATCTCTGGGACAGGGCTCGGACCCACAAGCTGTTGACACAGGGCCAGAGCGTGAGCGCTCGTCAGACACGCGTGTGTAGGCGAGGACAGACCGTGCCCTGGGCACCGTCGCCGTTAGTCGCCCCCGGAAACCTTACCTGCGGAGGATGTGGCCAGTGGTGATGATCAGGTGACACAGGACACTGCTGGGAAGAGGATGAGACAGCAACTGATCCTTAAAGTCCAGGAGCTGGAGAGAGAGAGAAAGAGAGAACGTGAGTGTGTGTGTGAGACAGAGACAGAGAGAGAGATGGGGCCTCGGTTTAATGTCCAAGCTGAAGGATGGCACCTCGGACAATGTGCTCCCCCAGCACTGCCCTGGAGCGTCAGCCTGGACTATGTGCTCAAAATCATGGGACTTGAACCCACAACAAAGAGAGCAGAAAGACAGCTGCTGAAGGATTTGAGAGAGAGAGAGAGAGATGGAGAAAAAATGGCTGGGGCTGAGGGGTGGGGGTGAGAGTGAGAGTGGGGATGGGGCCGAGGATGAGGGTGAAAATGGGTGCTTGTACCTCACTGATGCTGTTGTGAAGTAGGTTGAGTGAGGACAAGAGGCTCTGACACAGACTCTCGAACACACAGCCCTCCCTGGGCTCCACGGGCTGTAACACAGACACACACAGTCAGTCTATCCGTTCCTGGCTCTGCCCTGTGCCCCCACCCCCATCCCCATATCACAAGCACAGCACCACCCCCCCAGTCAGTCAGTCAGTCATTTGCCCTCTATCCCTCCGCCTTGAGGTCAAGAGGCTTTGACACAGACTCTCCTGTAACACAGACACACACAGTAAATCTACCAGCTCCTGGTTCTGCCCTGCACACCCCACCCCACATCACATGCACAGGCCCCCCACCCACCCCCAACCCCCAGTCAGTCACTTGCCCTCTATCCCTCCGCTTTGCCCCTTCCTTCCCCTTCTTCAGGTCGCACCTGAAGAAGTTCCTTTTTGACCAGGCTTACGGTCTTCTCCCCCTTCCACTGGCTCGTTATCCTACTCCGCCACCATCAAGCGCTCTGGGATGCTACCCTTCATGGGGTGGGGGGGGCACTATATGAATAAAGTTGTTATTGATGTGACACAGGCTCTTCCCAGTCACTCACTGTGACACAGTCTCTCCTGCCACACATTACAAGAACGAATCACACCAAACCGATTCCCAGCAAATTCCTGCCAAGTGTAGTGATTGTGTTTGTTGGGTGGCTGACCATGGGTGGGTGGGGGGTGGTCTGTACAGTGCAGCTGTGACATTACCGTGCCCCCTGGCGATGCCGGCCTCTCCCTACACTGGGACGGTGAAGCCGGGCTGTCTCTGTGTCGGGACAGTGAAACCGGGAAGAGATCACCTGTAACACAGGAAATAGACTCTGATCTCATCCCTCAACATGTCACCTTGGAGCCAGATGAGCTCTAATGAGACCCCACTTACCCCATCCTTCCAACAGGCTCGATTGCTATGTACAATACAATACAAAATGACATTAATAAAGTGTCTTTCACTTCGGGAGGAGGACTCAAGGCGTTGATATGATCAACTCATATCAAGTGAGTTAGACCCCAGACGTCATACTCAGGCTGTGCACTGATCTGGTCAGACCGCACCTTGAATATGGAGTACAGCTCTGGTCACTGTGACATAATGCAGCTGCATATGCCCCAGAGACAGCGCAGAGGAGAGCAATGAGGATGATCCCCAGTGCTAGAGGTTGAGCTGTGAGCTATGTTCCGGGTTCACTTTTTCAATCCCATTTAAATTTTATAAGTTCCCATCTGAGGCGTCTTCACTCAAGACTGAAGAGCTTGTCTAATCACTGCTCATGGTCCACAGTGACAGAGAGACACAAACACATACATAATAATAATAATTCTTGCATTTGATATAGCGCTTTAATTGACTGTGACTATACTGTAAAATTAATTAATTGTGGGCAAAACATAGTGACAGAGAGAGAGAGAGAGACGCACACACACGTACAAACAGTGACAAAGAAACACACACAGTAACAGAGACACACACTGACAGTGACAGAGAGAGAGACACGCACAGTGGGACACAGAGACATACACAGTGAGAGAGACACAGTGTCAGAGAGAGAGGAGAGAGAGAGAGACACACACAGACACATACATACAGTGAGAGATACACACATACACACACAGTGAGATAGAGACACACACTCACAGAATAGTTTGTGAATCGATAAACTCAGCCCTTTAAAGCTACCAAAGTTATAACATTTCCTCTCAACACTTTCCCCGCTGTTTGCTGTGGGGATTATTAGCCGCTGCTCCAGATTGACGCACACGTACCCGCTGTGGTGTCCATGTCCATGTCCCTCACTTTGTGTGTGTGTGTGAGACCAGCTGGTGTGACTCTGTGCCTGTCTGGTTACCTGGAGACAGACAGGGGCTGACTCTAGCCCAGAGGTGGTGCTGCTGAGCTGGACATTGTCCTGAGAACCTTTAAAAGGGAATTAGAGAAATTCTATATGTGAAAAGTAATGTATGTGCTTGTGAGTCCCAGATTATTGTCAGGTTATCTTTTGATGGCACCTTTGCTGGTTGATGCTTATACCGGTTGGTCTTTATATCAATATCAAAGTGTTTAATGAGGGCCGCAAGTCTCTTACTTTCATCAGCCAGGAGCAGAAACCCATCATCATAAGACCATAAGAATTAAGACGTAGGAGCAGGAGTTGGCCATTCGGCCTCTCGAGTCTGCCCCGCCATTAAATAAAATCATGGCTGATCTTCTAACCTAATTCCATTTATCCACCCTATCCCCATATCCCTTAATCCCTCTATCCTTTAGAAATCTTTCAACCTCAGTCTTGAATATTATCAAGGACTTTCTAAATGTTAATAATAATATAATCCTTGTATTGATGTAGTGCTTTTCACATCTTTGAGACATCTCAAAGCATCCGCAGCCTTCTGGGGCAGAGAATTCCACAAATTCACTACCTTTTGAGTGAAGAAATGTTTCCTTAACTCAGTTCAAAAAGGCTGACCCTTAATCTTGAGTCTATGATCCCTAGTTTTATATTTTCCAACCATGGGAAACAGTCTCATGGTATCTACCCTGTCAAGACCCTTAAGAACCTTATAGTTTTTTATAAGATCACCTCTAATTCTTCTATATTCTAGAGAATATAAGCCTAGTTTACTTAACCTATCCTCAGAGGTCAACACCCTCATCCCAGGAACCAACCTAGTGAATCTACGCTGCACGCCCTCTAAAGCGAGTATGTCCTTTCTGCACACATTATTCTAGATGCGGTCTCACCAAGGCCTTATACAACTGTAGCAAGACTTCCCTACTCCTGTACTCTGTTTTGCAAAACACGCCAACATGGCATTAGCCTTCCTAGTTGCTTGCTGTACCTGTTATACTAACTTGTTGTGACTGGTGTACAAGGATACCCAAATCCCTCTGAACACTAACATTACCTAGTCTCTCCCCCGCTAGAAAATAATCCGCTTTTCTATTTTTACTACCTAGGCGAATAACTTCACACTTCCCCACATTATACTCCACCTGCCACCTTCTTGCCCACTCACCTAGCCTGTCTATTTCCCTTTGCATATCATCCTCAAAGCTTACTCTCCCACCTATCTTCGTATCATGCTTAAGAGCCTCCAAACCAACCTACTGAATTTCACAGATCAATGGAAAATTCCATTTGTCTGGAATCAAGTGCACATTCTCTCCCGAGGGACACACCCGGCTCACCTAGTTCCACAGAGTATCACACCCAGGTTGGCAAGTCAAGACCTGGGGTCCCCAAACTGTGCTTTAAGCTAGAGTTCAACCAGCTAATACCTTTAGAGTATTGTCTGGCAAGCTGACCCCGGTGACTAGCCTGCTCTTCCAAATCTTGCCGATGTGCCAGGCTGCCTGTGCTGTCATCAGCAGTGCACTAGACCCGCTTAGCTTAGGAACCATACTAGAGACCGTCACAGAGGGCTGGCTCAATTCCGACGGCTGTAAAACTTGTCACCTTGGAGCCAGTTCAGCTCCTTAGCTCTATGATGAAAGGTTCTAGACTCTTCTCTCTTTTATTTCTCTTTGTCTCTGATCTCCAGGCTGGGGCGTTACAGACTGACAGATGACTGCACCAATGATCGCCGCTCTCAGTACAAGCCACTCACTATGGTTCCTGTCACTGGGGTCTAACTCCTTCACAGACGGGACTGTCCCCACTCTCCGTCACCTCATATTGACCTGCACCAGCCTGGAGGGGTGTTTTTGTCAGTGACCCAGAGGGAAAGAGATTGGTTATTTGACTGGAAATAGTTGTGACGGGATTTATTTATTAAATTGTGACGTGAACAGTTTACAGTTTATATTATTATCTGACGTGCTTATATCCTGTTTAATCTTTAATCTGTTCCAGGCTATTGGGGAATCGGCTCAGTTCAGATGGAGAGAAACAGCTGGTGTCACTGCAGAAACAAGAGCTGGGCTGAGAGTGTCAGTGAGATCACAGACTGAGGAGAGCCTCGAGAGATTGTCTGTCTGTTTAATATGAAATACATTCTCTACAATTGGTGCTCAGTAACCCATTGATTGGTACATGAAAGATATAGAGAGAATCCTGACCTTGTTTCCTATCTCTCTGGTGAGCTACAGTCTTGGCCACAGACACAGTTGATGGATGGTGTGTGGGATGGGGGTGGCAGCTGGTGACAGTGATTGTGGTTATGCTGGTTAATGGTTGGTTGGTTATGGTTACGGTGGCAGAGACGGTTGGAGACAGCTAATTTACACTTACCATTAATAATAATAAATAATAATCCTTGTATGATACAGCACTTTATCACCTCATCAAGATGTCTCAAAGCACTTCACTGGATATCTTGTAAAGTGTGGTGACTGTGTCTTTTGTGGGCGAAACATGGCAACCAATTGCACACAGCAATATCCCACATACAGCCATGGGAGTGAGTGTCCAATTTTATTAATTTGGGAGATTGTCGGCCAGGACACCGGGGGAGAGAAACTCCCTTCTCTTTTTGAATAGCGCCATGGGATCTTTAAAGTCTACCTGACTCTGTTTAACTTCTCATTAGAAAGACGGCACCTCCAACAATACAACACACCCCCCAGCACTGCACTGGAATGTCAACCTAATAATAATAATAATAATAATCCTTGCATTTGATATAGCGCTTTTCACGTTGGGAGGACGTCCCAAAGCGCTTCACAGAACACACTGTAAAGTGAATTGACTGTATATTTTTTGTGGGGGAACGTGGCAGCCAATTGCGCACAGCAATGTCCCACAAACAATCGTAGATTGAAAATGACCAATTTATTATTGTTTTTGGTTTTGGAGGGATTATTATTATTAGGCTCTGTGTGGAGTAAGGAAACTTGCCCAAGGTTTCGCCCTCTGCCTGGAATTGAACTCAGGTCTCTCACTTGCAAAGCGAGTGCTCTAACCACTGAGCTACAGGAACCTAGACAATGTGATTGCAAGTCCTGACGTGGGGCTTGAACCCACAATCTTCTACCTCAGAGACAACAATGCTATCACTGCGCCAGGCTGACACACATGAAGTGAATGATGATTTTATTGGCCGGGACACGAGGAGACACTCTCTTCTCTTTTCCCATCGCGCTGCAGGGATCTTTAATGTCCATCTGAACAGTCAGACGGGACCTCAGTTTAACATCCCATCCCCGGCGATGCCTAATAACGAAGGTGATCTCATCTGATACATTTATAGCATCACAACATTGCTGAGCCTGATCTGGTCTCTTCCGCAGTAACCCCAGCCTTCACCCCAGAGGCCTGAGTGTTGGGTAAGAAAGAGAGCGAGGGCAGAGGTTTACAGGATATTGTATAGATAATTTATTGCACATCATTTATATAGTCTTTTTGGGGTGAGGGTAGGAGGGGTCAGTAAAGAAACATGGTGGCGGATTTGGCGTCTTCCCCCGTGGCTTTGAAGTCCCCACTGGGCTGAGCGATCATGTACCTGCCGTTCGGGGCTTTGAGGATCAGCACATTGGAGCCCACCAGCTGGATGGTGAAGTTAATGGGGAATTCGCCCGTCCCTGTGACAAAGCCATCCTTGTCCATCTCCCAGTATCTCTCCGTGGACACTGAGCAGAGATACACACACACACACACACACACACACATAGAGATAGAGACAGATACAGAGAGACAAACACAGATACAGAAAGACAAACACAAACACACACAGACCCACACATACGCATGCATGTGTGCGCACAGACAAAGACGGAGACACAAAGACACACGAACATGAGAGAGTCACACACACAGGCAGAGACAGATACATATAGACAGAGCAAACACATAGACAGACACAGACTCGCATACAAGCAGACACAAATGCACAGACAAAGAGAGACACAGAGCGACACTCACATACATGAGAGAGACACACACACATACAGACACAGACACACATGCACAAATAACACACATTTACATGAAAGAGAGAGAGAAAGACACAGACCGGTTACCTGGGGTAAGATACTCTAGGGACATTCATTCAAATAATAATCTTCACATTAGATCTACCATCTAAAACATCAGGAAGTCACTGCCAGTGTAGTGTGACTGTGTAGTTTAATTTAATAATCAATAATAATTATTGCATTTGATACAGAGCCTTATCACATCTTCGAGATGTATCAAAGCGCTTCACGGGATATACTGTGAAGTGTAGTGACTATGTATTTTGTGGGCAAAATGCAGCAGCCAGTTGCACAAGACAATGTCCTACAAACAGCCATGGAGTGAGTGACCAATATTATTTGGGGGAACATTGGCCAGGACACTGGGAGAGAGAAACTCCCTTCTTTTTTCAAATAGTGCCACAGGATATTTAAAGTCATCTGAACAGGCAGACGGGACTTAGGTTTAACGTCTCATCTGAAGGATAACACCTCCGACAATGCAGCACTCCCCCAGTGCAGCGCTGGAGAATGAGTCTGGACTGTGAGCTCAAAGTCCCGACGTGGGGCTTGAACCCACAGCCTGCTGATCCTGAGGTGAGAGTGCGAGCGAGTGAGCCAGGGTGAGCCACTGAGAACTAGGAGAGGGGACAGAATCTCGAGATCATAACTAGCCTGGGATTGCCAGCCAGCAGAGGGCCGAATGAACCACCTCTTGTTGCCCCCCCCAATACACACACAGCTGCCCTCGCACTGGGGCTCTGCCCTGATCCCTCTCCTTACAGACACAATTGTACGTGTTGCTGCCAGGGTCACCTCTGTTTGGTGATAGAATGATGGGGTCACGTTAACACAGGGGCAGGCGCGTCAATCGCCCTCTCCCACCCCCCCGCCCAGGTCACCAGTATCTAACGTTGTGATACCAGCAGATAATGTTGCATATTAAAATGTCTTGTATGAAAAATGTCCCCCCCCACACCCTCAGGAGCCAGTGACCCCCTCCACCTGCTCTCTCAGTCGAGCGTCTGACGCACATGGAAACCATCACCGTCTGTCAGTCTCCAAACCAAACTGCATCAAGTCCCAAAGTGTGCGTGTCTCATTTCCCCGTAACTGGAATGTGATTCTCTTCCTGACCTAACACACAGACACCCGGACACACTGGACATACAGAAACCCCGGACATGCAGACATGTGGACACGCAAATACTCAGGCACACTGGACATGCAGACACGCCGGACATGAAGACATGCGGACACGGGACTCACCGAGCTTGAACTGGTAATAACCGTCCTCATCACAGCTCAGCTTGCTGGCCTCGTGTGTGCACCTGTTGCCGTCCAATCGCGAGGTCCCGGGGCCAAACCCCACAAACCCATAGTCACTTTGTAATATCAGCAGCGGCCGATTGGTCAGTTGTAAGATAAATTCCTGAGCAGGGCCTGGGGACAGAGTGACAGGCTGGTGACACCGGCCGTCCAGCTATCTGAACCTCCCTCCCTCCTTTGGTGACACCTCCCAACAGACCCCACAACATCCCAACACATGACAAAGGCGACTATTAGTACTGTAAGACACGATGTGGGGTTGGGGTGTGGGCAGCTCACAGACCAGGAGCTCAGTGTGCTGGTTTTGGCTGGGGCTACACGGAGGAGGCTAAATTGCTCCCTGCCTTCCCAGGATCAGGGAGAGGCAAAGCAGCCAGGCTTCCTGCTGCAGGTCCCTCTAGTACACCCTCCTGTGGCTATGTGCTTGTAGTGACAGTGGGTGGGGAGAAATCAGGCTTTCAGCATTGAACTCAATACAAGACATCTCAACACACACACACACACACGTACACTAACATGCCCACTAATATGCTCACATGCACTACAACAGCAACAACAAATTAAACATCCCAAGGCGTTGGACAGTGAAGGGTTTGCACCCAAACTGCGGGCTGGAGTCAAGAGGGGTGAGGGTAGGGGGTGGGAGGATAATCAATTGAAGAGGAAGGTTTGCGACTGGCCTTGAAGGAGGCAAGAGAGGGGGCAAGGCAGAGGGGCTCTGGGATAACACACTAACACACACATTGACATACACACTAAGACACAAACTAGCACACATACACAATAATACACACATACATACAATACCACACACACACAGGTGTGGAGCGGGCTGAGTTGCTGACCTGAGGAGCCGGGAGCCACGGCGAGTTGGCCGTTGCTCTTTGTGGTCACAAACTTGCCGTCCGAGGTCTTGATGCCGACACGGGGGCCGTTATACACCAGACTGAACCAACAATTGTCAGTCAGAACCGCCAGGGACACCAGCAGGTTCTTCGGGCCCTGAAAACAGCAACCAGCAACTTATTATTGGTCAGCCGGGTGTTGGACACGTATAAAATCCATCCCCGTGCTTAAGACTATCCAAAGCAAACTGAGAATTCCATGCATCCCACCTACACATGGAAATCCCAGAGAAAGATTGTTGGAATGGAGGGACACATCTTCCTTACCTAATTCCGGAAAGTATTAGGTGCAAGTTGGCAAGAGCCAAGGTTTGGGGACCCCAGAGTGTGCTTTGGGATAACTCTTGGAGTCTAACCAGCTAAAACCGCATAGCTCACCATTGATATTACTGTCTGGCAAGCTTTCCCGCTGCTTGTCCAGCTAGGACCACCCTACATTAGGGCTTTGGCTTGCAGGGTTAACAGGAGCTGAGTGGGAAGATTCGCTGCCTCCAGTGACTAACTGGTCTGCCTTTCCAAGTCCTGCCGATGAGCCCCTGCTATCCCTTTGCTCTTTTCCTTGAAGGCTCCTGTGTCACTGATTGTATCTCTACCGATGTTACTCCAACTCCCTCTCACTCTGTGTGTGTGTGTGTGTGGGGGAGGTGGGGGTGGGGGGCGGTGTAGGCGGCAAGGCCTTACTGTTTGCTTTGTGCCAGTCTCCCCCGCAGGCTCTCTCTTGCCACGATGGGTGATCCCGGGTACCTACCACGGCCAGATAGTCCTTGGACGCAGCCTGGAAGCACGCTTTCCTGGTCGTGTTGTTAATGATGATCTGGAAGATTTCAGACTCCTTCGCCTCCGTCTGGTTTGCCTGTAGGTCTCCGTCTGACAGGAGACAAACATCACCCTGCTGTGACTGACTTGGAAGTGTGGACAGATGTGTAGAGGGAGCTTTATTCTGCCTCTAACTATATCCACAAAAACATGTCTACAGATATACACACGCAATTTCACTCAGATACTTGCACACACTCACAGACCTGCATGCACTTTTATACACGTACACTCACACACAGACATAATTTCATATGCACTCCTTTGCACCCACTTATACTTGCTTACAGACTTGCTCCATCTCAAGCACACACACACACATGCATGCTCACACATGGTCAAAGCTGGACACGCTTCACACACACCAGGCTCACTCAACACACACACATACACAAACACTTGCATGCATACACACACACCCACCTAACATAAGCACACATACATACACTCACTCATACGCTCTCTCGCTCTCGTGCTCACACGGTGTCTGGGTTGTCCACACTCTGGCCAGCGATGCTCCTCACCTGATCTGATGCTGATGTACTTGGCGTTGAGGAGGGAGCGGATGGTGACCTGGCCGGGGCTGGGGTCTGGGGAGAATAGCTCGTCCTTGCTCGGGCTGTCGCTTTTCAGACTGCGCACGTAGCCCTCCCTGCTGCTCAGCACCCGGCCCTCCCCGTCACTCAGACACAGCAAACCGCTCCGCACCCTCAGCACGTACAGGCTCCGCGATGACGGCCCCGGCTCCAGCTTCCCGTTACAGCAGATCAGATTCCCGTTACTCGTCCTGATCCCGTATTTCTTCTCTAACAATGAAATCAACAACAACAATAACAACAAATAACATTTTTATAGCACCTTTCAAGTCGGGAGGACGTCCCAAGGCGCTGGACAGTCAGGGATGTGCTTCTGAGCTGGGGTTGGGATCAGGAGAGGTGCAAGGCAGGCACGGTAGGGGTGGGAGGATGATCGAAGGTGCGGGGGAAGAGGAGGGTCTTGAGACAAGCCTCGAAAGAGGCAAGGGAGGTGGTGAGGCGGAGGGACTGTGGGTTGCAGTTCCAGAGGGTGGGGACAGAGAGGCTCCTGGTACCTTTGAAGTCAAAGATGAGAGTCATGACACAGTCGGGGCCCCAGGGCAGCTCGCTGTCGCACCTCACCACGTTGCTAGCCGCATCGTAGCGGAGGTAGCGTTTCTTCCCAGGGCTGAAGAGGTTGATGTTGGGGTGGATGGCCAGGTGGAGCACCCACTTCTCGCTCTCTGAGACAGCCTGGGCGAAACAGGTGATGTTGTCCTCCGCCCCACCCAGGTAGCGCTTGGTCTCGTCTGACTGGAAGGACACCTTGCCGTCGGCCTGAGTGATCATCACAAAGTTGCTGTAGGCGCTGGGGGCCTCCTGGTCGCAGGTGACTTTGCCGTTGTTATCGCTAGCCAGGTAACGCCGCAGGGAGCTCCTGATGTGGACAAGGCACGAGTTGTCCTTCAGGAACTCGATGGTCCAGATCTGCTTGACCTTCATGATGGTGCTGCTGGCGTTGACCCTGAAGTTGAAGCTCTCTGCAGTCAAGTACTTCTGGGCTGAGTTAATCAACCCGACCAGTAGTGCTCTGTACGCCATCTTCACTTGATCGCTCGCTCAGACGCGAGTGCTGTGCTCCTCAGCCCCCCTCCCTTCCCCCCTGTGCCCTGTGTGATGGTGACAATGACGCACTTGTGAGCTCACAGCCCGTTTGTGGCATCAGCGAGAATCAGTGTGGAACGCTTGACCAACTAGTGACTATCCTGCTGGGTAGGGGAGGTAAACAAACTGAACTGGCTTTAAGGTGACATGTTTTACAATGGAATGTCAGAATCGAGCCCACCCTCTGTGACGGTCTCTAGTCTGGTTCCTGAGCCAGGCGGGTTCACAGTATTCCAGGGCACTGCTGATGACAGTACAACCCAGTCTGGCTCATCAGCAGAACCTGGAAAGGCAGACCAGTCACTTGGGTCATGGACTCAGTACCTGTTAATCCTGCAATCCAAGCCCAACAGGTGCCCTGGCTGACAATCCCTCTGATAAATTGGCCTTTCCAGGATGACATTATCATGCACCAAACAGATGCTGTTTCCTATAAATAGTCACCACACTTGACAAACACACAGTCACTGTGTTTGACAGCAGTTAACTATGAAAGCATTTGAGACATTTATGAGTATAAAGTGCTGACGGGAGCCAAGGAGGGCCTCTGTCTTGTCAACATTCAACTGGAGAAAGTTGGCTCTCAACCACCAGGACTTGATGTCCGATAGACAATCAGTCAGGACAACAGTGGTCCTGGAGTCGAGGGTGGGGGCAGAGGTACAGTTGGGTGTCATCCGCACAATGTGGAAATTAACCCCATGTCTGCGGATAACATCGCCAAGTGGGAGCAAATAGATATTAAAAAGGAAAGGATCAAGGACAGCGCCCTAAGGATTACCACACATGATGGTGCTGGGGCAGGAGAAGCTGGTGGCAGATAAAAAGTGGGGACAGTAGGAAAGGTAAGACAGACAGGACACACTCAAAAACAGACACACAGACTGAGACAGTATCACTCAGACACAGAAATGGAGTCTGGTCTGTTATCAGTACTGCATACCCACCTGCATCGGGTGATCAAGACCAAGGAGGATTCTCTTGATTTTGACATTCCAAACACATCATTTTGGAGTCAGCTCAGCTCCAAGAGATTTCACTTACCTCCCCGCAGACTCACTGCCAATTAGTCAGTGGGGAAGCTGAGCTAGAAAAGGTGAAAGATGAGGTCAGGAAGCATTTCCTCACACACAGACTGTGTAGATGGGGAACACTGCACCAGCACGCTGTAGAGGTGGAATCAATCGAGATGTTAAAAAGAGAAACAGACAGAGATTGAGGGAGTAGGGGTGTTAGAGGTTATGGGAAAGGACAGGGAGTTGGGATTAAATGTTCTGACAAGAGCTGGTAACCTGGAAAAGGCTTAATGGCCTCCTGTTCCTATTTGCCTTTATGTTCAATCTAGTGCTCCGAGGAACGGTCAGTGGTTTTCAAGGTATTAAATAATAATGCAGGTACAGGATTTTTAATTTAATACAGGAGAACATCTCAAAACCTTCACGGGATTTACTGTAAAATGCAGTGACTGTGGATTTTATGGATAAATGTGGCATCCATTTTATACACATCGATGTCCCACAAATAGTCATGGAGTGAGTGACCAATTTTATTTGAGAGGATTGTGGGCCAGGACACAAGAACAGAAAAACTCCCTTCTCTTTTCGAGTAATACCACAGAATATTTGACGTCCACCTGAACAGGCAGATGGGACCTTCGTTTAACTGCTCATCTGAAGGACGCACCTCCAACAATGCAGCATTTCTCCAGTGTCAATCTATATGACCTCCAAGTCCTGATGTGGAGCTTCAGCCCACAACTTTCCACTCAGAGGCAAACTGCCAACTGAGACATTGGCACAGGTGTGAGAACCCACAGGGAGTTTTGAACAAAAGAAAACACAGCCAATTAATCAGGAATCTACTTTTTAATCTGTTTGGGTCTATTTCCAATGTTCTGTCACTAAAATATGTACAGTAACGATCTACAAAAAACATTTACAACGCTTTCATTTTAATTTTTTTTAATTCCACAGTAAACGCACGAGCCGAATACAAAGTCACCGACAAATCTTTGTCCTTAAATTGGTACAACTAAAAAATTACCTTCTCATCGTTAAAAAAAAACAAAAAACAGAGAACAGTCAAGATTCAAACCCTGAAAGGAATGCTAAAGCTCATTCGTCGCTTCTCCCTTCTCTCTCTCTCGTTCCCTTCCTCCCTGTCCCGCGCTTCAGTGTTGGGAAACTCTCTTGAAGCCAAACCAGCCATTGTTGAGCTCGCTGCATGCCTTGTGGTGCTCAATACCATTGCTGTTTCCAGCCAGCCAGTAGGTGAAGGTCTACACTGATCTTGGATGCAAGTTGAGGTCAGCCTTTCAAAGGGAATGCGCTTTGTATTCTGCACGGCTGAGATTTGGGATTAGCATTCACAAGCACCCCGGCCCCCATGACATGACAAGCCACAATCTGCTGCCTCAAATCCAGGGAGCCATGGCTACAGATCCTTTCACTCACCCCCATCGCATCACCATTGGTTCACCTTCTGCTGTTACATTGCCCTTTAAACTTGCTCTCCCTCGAGCACTTGAAAGCAAAGACTGCAGCTCTAAGCCAGGCACAAGACAACTGGACTGGCTGGTCAAGAGCGGGGCTGCAGTACCTGCCATGAGGTGTCCCCATGGTGCTCAGTAACATTGGAAGTCAGGTCACGCTACCTCCATCTAGTTGAGGGTGAAGGGATACATGCTGCGTGAAGGGGTATATTGGTGGCTTCCTGTTCAACACAAGGGCAGGAAAACAGCAAGTTGTGACCCATTGGGTTGCGGATAAGGGAGACAGCACAGAGCAGAGGCGGGATTTCTTTGTGTTTGGGTCTGGCTTCCCAAATACATGACGTTTGCCCCCCCAAGTAACATTTCAATCCTGTTCCACTCCAGTTGTCAAAGTAAAAGTAACTACTGTAAATCTTCACTCAAAGTAAAATACCCGGGAGTTCCCGGGAGATAGATTGAACCTCCTCCCCTTTGGCAGTGCCGAGCAGCACGAGAAAGCTGGCAGTCAGTTTATGGGGGGGTGGGGGGGGGGGGGTGGGTAGAAAGGACCTGGCAGAGGAGGGATAAAAAGGGCTTTATGTGCTTTAACTGATCTAAAATAGTAAATAATGAGGAAACGTAGTACAATGTGTATCCTGTACCATTCAGGTTTCACACCTGTAAAAGATTTAAAAGTTTTCACTCTGCTTGAAGTTCAAATTTGAAAGGGGGTAATGTTTTTTTTAAAAAAAAGCTTTCCTTCCCCCCCATCCACACCCCTCTCCCACTCCCCCTCCCCCACCAAACCCACCACCACCATCTCAAAAGAGAAAAGCCCACACTGAACAAAGCTGGAATAGACATCGCCCAGACATGCAGGGGAAAGAAATTTTCACAGTGAGAGAGCGGGGGTGGGGGGAGAGGGGAGGGTTATATTCACCTACTCCCTCCCAACACAAAAAAAACATGAAGACTGCTACAAATATAACAATGATGATCAAAAGAACCATCACTTTGGGAAAAGAGAAGAGTATTAAAACTAATGGTGGTGAGGGTGGGCTGCGGTGGAGAGAGGGGCAGAGAAATGTTCAGTTACAGCGTCCCATCCAAGGCAATGCACATCAATGTAACGTTAGAGGATGACAGGGGTCTCTCCTGTCACTGTCCTGTGTCTGACTGTGTGTGAAACACACTGGGGCTCGGAGCAGGGTGGATCACAGAGTCAGGCGCTTGGGTATAAGCCAAGGCTGTCGGGCAACACAGAATGAATCCCACGTTCTCCTGCCTGATCCTGTAACTTTCTAAACTGAACTCAGAAAAAAACGAGGTCTCGCTCTCTCTCTCTCTTTAAAAAAAGAAATTTGACATATACAATTGCTGAACAAAACCAATTGTTCTACATAATAGCAGACATGGGCTCCAGAGCTCAATTCTATTGAGAATATTTGTCCCGTAAGCGGGCCTTGTGCACAGCTATCCGCGCACACCTCATCCTAGAATTCAGCTCTCGTCTCCACTCGTTTCAAAAGATCTTCCTGATTTTTGTTTTTGATTTTTTTTCTTCTGATCCGGGATCTGTACAAAGGTGAAAATCATTCTCTGTGGAGGAGAGAGAGAGAGAAGGGGGTAGAGAGAGAGAGAGAAAGAGAGGAGGGTGGGGGAGAGAGGAAGGAAGAGAGACAGCGAGGGGGAGAGAGGAAGGAAGATGTTTATGTCATTTGATGTAGTGCCTTTCACTTCTCAAAGTGCTTCACAGGATTTATTGTAAAGTGGAGTGACTGTATGTTTTGTAGCTGGATGCGGCAGACAATTTTCTGCACAGCAATGTCTCCAGAAATAGCCATAAAGTGAGTGACCAATTTTATCCAATGGATCGTTGGCTGGGACACCAGGAGAAACTCCCATCTCTTTTCGAATAGTGACATGGCATCTTTAACGTCCGCCTGAACAGCCAGAAGGGAACCTGGTTCAATGTCTAATCCAAAAAGTGATATGCTTGGTAGTAGACGTCACCCCCTCTGATGGTCTCTAGTCCAGTTCCTGAGTCAGACGGGTCTACAGGAGTCCAGGGCACTGAGTTGACAGGCCTGTCTGGCTCATCGGCAGTACTTGGAAGGGTAAACCAGTCACTGGGGGCAGGGAAACCTCCCGCTCAGCTCCTGTTAACCCTGCAAGCCAAAGCCCTAATGGGTAGGGTGGTCCTAGGTGGACAAGCAGCAGGAAAGCTCGTCAGGCAGTCCTCTCAATGGCAAGCTATGTGGTTTTAGCTGGTTAGACCAGTAATTATCCCAATGCACACTCTGGAGTCCCCAAGCCTTGGCTTCTATCACCTTGTGCCAAATACTCTCCAGGATTAGATATACAGGAAGTGCACATTCTCAGTTTGGCTTGGATACTCTTAATCATGGTGATGGGATTCTGCACATATCACCCGGCCGATCAAATAAAATCTGAAATATGGCACCTCCCACAATGCAAGCTCCCCAGCACTACACTGGCCCCAACTCAGACTGTGAGCTCAAAGTCCCTGATCCGGGGCTTCAACTCATAAGCTTCTGGCCAGGCAGGGAGAGTGCGTGTAAATGAACAACAGACACTGGGCGCAGTGAGATCATAAAATAGAGAAAGGTTTCACAAAAGTTTGCAAAACAATTTAGTTCCATCGGGAGATCAGAGTTTATAATATTCCTTGCATTTGATGTAGCACCTTATCATGTCTTTGAGACGTATGAAAGTGCTTCACAGAATATACCAAAAAGTGAATTGACTGTATATTTTGTGGGCAAAACGCGGCAGCCAATTGCGCACAGCGGCATCCCACAAACAGTCGTGGATTGAGTGACCATATTATTATTATTTTTTGAAGGGATTGTTACCTCCAGAAAAATAATCCACCATTCGACTATTAAGCGGGTTCCTACTTACTGCTAGGTAAACAGAAGTGTGTGCGTGTGTGTGGAGTAACGAAACTTGCCTAACGTTTGGCCGTTTGGGAATTGAACCCAGGTCCTCTCGCGTGCGAGGCGAGTGCTCCAACGCTACAGGACTCTACAGGAATTTCTCAGATATCTCCTGCAAAGCCACTCGCTCACCTTAGCGATGCCGGTATTCCCTCTCCCGATCCCTTTCCCGGTCCCGCTCCCGGTCTCTGTGCCGATCCCGTTCCCGGCTCCTCTCCCGGTAATAGTCTTCGTGCCGGTCCTCGCTGTGTGAGCGCTCCCGGTGCCGCCGGCTCCGGTCGTGGGAGCGGCTGTACTCCCGGTCACGTGACCGCTCTCGCTTCCTGCATGCGGAGAGCAAACTGTCAGCCCGCCTCTCCGAGGGTCCCACCCACTCGCTGAGACCCCGCCTCTCCGAGAGTCCCACCCACTCGCTGAGACCCCGCCTCTCCGAGGGTCCTACCCACTCGCTGAGACCCCGCCTCTCCAGTCCCTCCCGCTCTGAGACCCCACCTCCCCAGAGATCCCACCCACTCAGAAACCCCTCTCCTCCTCCTACAGACCCCACCTCCCCTGAAACCCTGCCTCCTCCCCTTCCTCCTCAGCACACCTGAGTCTACCTGCAAAGTCTAAAGCTCCCTGACACTGCCCGTGCACACTCCCTGGTCAGTGACAGCACAGGTAAGTGTGGTAGCATTGCAGCTGGAGCACAACATCTAAAGATCTGAACACAATCGCATTTGGCCATTCAACCCCCGGCCCCAGAAGACCACCCCCTGCCTGACCGGCCCTTCACGTCACCCACTGCCGGGAGCTGGAAGTCACGTTCACCTGGACCCTGAGCCGTAGGACTTGGACTCGATGCCGTGGAGACAGTCTTGCAGGGAGCTGACCAGCACTTTGCAGCGGTCGTCGGCAGCGACCTTGGACTGTCTGATCAGAGCGATCGCGGTCAGCAGGGTCTCAATAGCATTCCCATAGTCTCCTGGAAAACACAACCAGGAAAAGCATTTCAGTCCTCTAAACCTCACACAGCAGCTTCCCTCCTCCCCAGGCACAGAGCCCCCAACCCCCACCAACCCCTCCATCGCAGAGCACCACAACATTCTCCCTTTCTTCACAGTGATCCACTGTTTGTAACTTAGTGTTAACACTGAGGGAGCTCTTCCGGCGCTCCAAGATGTCTTTCCTTCCTGGCGCTCCGAAACAACCCCATAACTCTCCACAACCCGCCCCTCCCCAGCTCTCGGAGACATCCCCCTCTGCGCTCCGAAACCCCCCCATCTGTGCTCTGAAACGCTCCTCCCCGCTCCGAGACCCTCTCAGCATTCCAAGGCGCTGCCGTGCATGGCGGGCGCTATAAATAGCCAGTTGTGGCGGTTGTTGACCTGTGCTGGCTCCGGCCACGGCTTTGGAGATGGCGCTGCTGGAGATGGCTCGATTCTTGTTCATCATTTCCTCAAACTCGGCCTCAGTCAGAGGCGGGCCCACGGGGTCCAATTCTCTGTGAAAACAACAGCGCGAGAGAGGAAATATTAGAGAGCACTCACCCCAGCCTCCAGTCCAGGGTATAGGGATTGGAATACTGCACGGATTCTCAGAATGATAATAATAATCCTTGCATTTGATAAAGCACCTTATCATGTTTTCGAGACGTCTAAAAGCGCTTCACAGGATATACTGTAAAGTGAATTGATTTGTGGGCGAAACGCGGCAGCCAATTGCGCAAAGCAGTGTCCCACAAACAGTCGTGAATTCAGTGACCATTTTTTATTTTTTATTTTGAAGGGTTGTGAGGTAGACAACAGCTCCAGCATTCAAATCACAACTTAGGAAATCATTGAGCGAATGATAACAAAGCGTGATGGACTCCGGTCTATTGGCCTCGGTTTACCTAGCAGTGAGTAGGAATCCGCTTGTTAGTCAATTGGCAGAACTCTTTCCAGAAATAATAATCCTCCAAAATAATAATAGTCTCAATGACCTGATAAGGCGCTATATCAAATACAAGGGTTATTATTAATAAAGGTGGAGAGGTAGTGTCGAGTCAGAGGGATGGAGCTCTATAGTGAGAACAGAATGGCTGAAAGGCAACTGCCGATGGTGGGTAGGGGACATGAAGCAGGAAGGTGCCCACTGAGTGGAGGGAGAAGCCAGGTTTGAGGTCACGGAGGTAAGATGGGGAGAGACCGTGGGGGGGGGATTAGAATGTTAAGATAAAACTTTGGTCAACATATTTAATCTTCCTTCATCTCTGTGTTCCCTACCCTACCTGTTAGGTGTAGGGAAAGGGATTGCGCTTGTGTGCTCCATACTTAAATTGCAAGCCATATGTTGAACTCTCAGAGGTTCACTTTGCAGTCTTAACCACGGTGATGAACTTCTGTGTGTGTCAGACACCCGGCTCAGTGACCAGTCCTATTGCTAAGAGCTTTGTGCATGTGTTAGTGCCAGCAGCAGTGTGCACCCACCTGACACGTTTGAACTCCTCTCGGTTATACTGAGGTGGTGGTGGCCGGCCAAAGGGATCCTGAGGCAGTGGGAGGCCTCTGTTCTCCGGGGGAGGCAAGTTGTTGTTCGGGGGCACAAAGAAGGCCGGGTTGATGTGAGGAGCCGGTGGCACGGCCCCCGGAGGAGGGACCGCTAAGTGAGGAGGAAGGCCAGGAGGCAGAGGGGGAACCATAGGCCCGGGAGGGCCAGGCCGCGGCAGGAAGGGGCCGGGCGGGGGCAGAGGACCGTGCTGCATCTGATGAGGGAGCGGGCCATATCCGTGAGCCGGGGGCAGTGACATTGGTGGGGGCGGCAGGCCGGGTGGGGGGAGTCCGTGCGGGATCTCTCCGTACGGAGGCCGACCTGGGAACTGGAATGCCATGGGCATCTTATCTCTCCTGGGAGGGGCCACTGCGTTCTCCGCTGGGGAGGGGCCTCTCCGGGGCAGCGGCGAGTCCCGGTGATCTGGGGAGCTTGCAGAGTCGTGCGACTGGCTTCTCTGTGGGTTCTGCCCTGTGGAGACACAAAGACAGAGCGTCAGCCCCCAAACAGTCAGCATTCTGGTTAGGCAGCAACACAAGGCAGCGAACGTGAAGACCGAGCTTGCATTTTATTGTGTCCATAATAACCAAAACATCTCAAAGTGCTTCACAGTAACCGCACCAAGTGCGGCGACTGTTTTGAATTGTAGAAAATGGACTCTCGTGGAGTCCTGCAGTGTAGTGGTTAGAGCACTCGCTTTGCTAGAGAGTGGACCCAGGTTTGATTCGTGGATGGGGCGAAAGCTTAGGCAAGTTTCCTTACTCTACACACCTCTGTTACCTAGCAGTAAGTAGGAACCCGGTTGTTAGTCAATTGGTGGATCACTTTCCAGGGTTAAAAATCCCTTCAAAAGAACGTTGGTCACTCAATCCACGACTGTTTGTAGGACACTGCTGGTAGCAATTGGCTGTCACGTTTACAGTTTATTCTATGAAGCGCTTCGAGATGTCTTAACGATGTGATAAGGCACTATGTTAAATGCAAGGATTATTATTATAATTATTATAAAATGCAAAGCAAAGCTCCACAAAGAACCAAGAAGCAAGGGACCAGTTTGTCTGGTGGATTGTCGGCCATGACACCAGAGGATACTTCCTTCTCTTTTCCAATAGAATCAAGGGATCTTTGCAAGCACACAGAGCTTGGTTTTAATGACTTAACTGAAGGACAGCACCTCTGACAATGCAGCACTCCCCCCAGTACTGAGCTGGAGGGTCAGTTTAGATTGTGAGTCTCAAAGTGGGCTTGACCTCGCAACTTTCTGACCCAGAGGTGAGAGCAGTATCGTATCCAATACCCCTCCTCAATGAGCAGTGCACTGACAAATCAAAGGTTGCTCACCCAACACACTCCAGCCTCCTATGAGCTAGCGTGCCAATGCTGGGCTCCCTGCCAAACACAACAGACAATTGTATCCAAGACACAATCAACTTGTAGCTGAGCCTCTGGAAGAGCAGCAGCTTCAATCCAATAGATTGTGTTTCTCTCTCTCTCTCTCCCACAGACCTCGACTTGCAGTAAAGGCACTCCCTGATTCTGCACTACTGACGCCAAGGTCTCAGTATAGAATCATCTCTCCATACTGTTCTCTTCTTACCCAAAGCAACCAGTCTCAGTGTGTCCTGGGGTAGAGAGTGCGAAAATGCCACAGGGTTTTCACTATCCATTATCACTAAACAAGGAGGAAGGTACAAGCAAGAGTGAGTGTATGATAATAATAATAATGTATGGTGAGGGTGCCTACCCTCACCCCACGGACACTCACTGTCAATGATCAGAAGGGCAAGATACCAGCTCCTGAGGTCTGAGGGATTGAGAAACTGAAGAAGAAAGCAGTCAAACACCTTCAAGAGATGACTAAAGCAAAAAAAAAACTTGCACTTAAACAGTACTTTTCCTGTGGATGCGCTTTGCAGCGACAGATTGGGAAGCTGAGGAACGTGATAGAACCGAAGTAGATTGATGGTAAGTGAAAGGAGGTAGATTTTTTGAAAGGGTTTGGATATCAAGAGGGTGAGGAAAAGTCTGAGATGGAAGGGGCTGAGAGAGAGGCGATATGGTGGTTAATAGCTCGGCTACTGGTGAGGCTGAGGGAATGTGCACAGAAAATCCATTTCTTTAGTCATGCCGCAATCCAACCCAGCCCCCGTGGTTTCAAATCGTTCTCAAAGCAGATCATGTAGATAGCACCCCCCACCCCACACTGCCTGTCTACTACAAATCCATTCACAACTTACCCCCAGCACCACTGTACATACGAATGTAACAGTTCATAAACTCCAAGGGGGAAGGCTTTGTGACGGTAAGATATCAACTGGCACAAGAGTGACTGGTTTTATTCAGGATACATCAATTCACAGACAATACATACGGTCTAAGTGTATATAGAATGTCAGTGTCACGAGGACTGCCACAGCTAACGAAAGAAGTTTCTCAGCAATTTAACACTGAGAGAGCAGCAGGTCAGAGTTAAACCTGGGCCAGTTCATCGACCGTGACAGACAATAGCTGAAGTGGGTTCAGCCTGGCCAGAAGATGTAGTTACAGAGTCCAACACGGAGCATTAGTCCGCGGCCCCTGAGGGCTGTGGAGTTAGTGTGAGCTTTAACACTGCACATTTCCATCCGGTTGCTCTCTCCTAAATGCAGGCATCTCTCTCTCTCTCGCTTCCTCTGTGTGACACAGCCTCATTCAATGCAAATATTTTGGGATTTGAATGTTAGAGGCATGTAACAATACAGGGATTTACTTTTTCTGACAATGGTTCAGTTTTTTTCGACGGTTAGATATCAAATAATAATAATCCTTACATTTGATATAGCGCCTTATCACGTTGTTGTGGTGTCTCAGAGTAGACTGTAAAGTGGATCGACTGTGTCATTCACAATAAAGGGGTCACAGAGAATGGCACAAAATCTACTGAAAGCCTCAGGCAGCCCCGACTCCGCAAGACTGCACCAGGAAAAGGCTTCAAGTTGATCGATTCCTCTTCACAAACTTGACAAGTCTGTCACAAGCTGCACTCGGCAAGAATCACAGAGTTTTACACTGCAGCACGGAGGCCACCACATGAGTCAAAAAGGAAATTAGAAGATGGAAACGACAGAGTAAAGTGCGAGTAAGACAGACACAGGTCAAATCCCACAAACGTGGCCAATGTGGGATTTGTTCAGCACTGCAAAGTCAAAGGCAGTAACCACCCTCCATTGCAGGACCCTCTGCCCCTCCTGTACCTCTTTGAATGTTGTGGGCGTTTCTGGGACAGTAGAGAAGAGACTTGTGTTGAATACAGAATAAATCTTATTTTATTCTAAATCGCTTCAGATTCATATTGGTTTTACTTAAGATCTCATTCCTCACTCACATCACAGCCCTCTCACCAACCTATTATCTGTCATGGTTTACAGAGCCACACCGATAATTCTCATCCGTCCGTTTATCGCTCTGCTAACTTGGTAAAGTGACTTCTTGTTGCATCTGCCCTGTGAGGTCCAAATGACAGACTAGGCCTTTACTCACAAGTTTGCCTTAACCCTTCCTCACCATTCTCCCCAACCTCTCTCTGAAAGTGCTGATTCTCTGACACTAGTTGCCCTTAGCACAGTTAAAAACAGTAGCAACACCTGGTTATTTTTACCAACTGCTTATCTCCTAGCCTGGCTCATTTGGTAGGACAAGACCCCCATGTGGGGACTTTCAGCTCATAGTCTAGACTGACACCCCAGTGCAGTGCTGGGGAAAGTGTTGCATTGTCGGAGATGCCCTGCTCAAATGAGATGTTAAACCAAGGCCCCGTCTGCCTATTCAGGTAGATGTTAAAGATCCCACGGCACTATTTGAAAAGAAAAGGGAGTTTCTCTTGGTGTCCTGGCCAACAATCCCTCTGATAAAAATGGTCATTCACTTCACAGCTGTTTGTGGGATATGCTAAGCACCAAATTGACTGCCACTTTCACCTACAAAGTACATGGTCACTCCACTTCACAGTAAACCCTGCGAAGCGCTTTGAAATGTTTTGCTGACATGCAATTCATAATATCAAATGTAAGGGATTATTATTCTAACTGGATTGATCTCAGAGCAGAGAACGCCACACCTTCCCCTTCCTTCAGAGGGCGTCACTGTACATTAAAGCTACCAATGTTTTTAGCAGCGTGGATTTGCAAAGGTGCTTTTACTGAATTGGACATTCTCAGCGATTGACAGAGTATGAAGACAACAACAAAATTACATTTGTATAACAATGGGACATGTTAGATTTCCACAAGGCATTTGATAAGTCTGGTTGAGAAATTAAGGCACCTGGCATTAAAAAGCAAGTTGGGTGACATGGATAGAGTGGTAATTAGATGTTTAGGTTAGATGTTGTAAGTGTGGTGTCCCAAGGATCTATCCTGGAACACCTTACTATTTTCCATCTATAATAATATTTGCAAATGGGCATGGCGGGGGGGGGGGGGGGGGGAGGGAGAATTAATATCTCAGTGTGCTCCAGAAACCAACTGAGAGGAAGACTGCAGGATGAGACCATCGCAGAATGGACAGAGAGGTGTCAGTTGCAGGTTAATGTAGTAAAGTGTGAAGTCGTACATTTTGAGAGAAAGAACAAAGGAAGTTTACCTTAAAAAGTAAAGTTCTTACTGAGATACAGAAGGACAGAGTGGAGCTTTTTCCCAGTGGAATTGAGAAGGCTAAAATGGGATGTAATAACAATCTTCAATATTCTGAAAGGTTTTGAGAGTAAATTGTGGCCAAGTTTACGTTGGGAAAACGGTAAAATAGGGGGCAGGATTGGTCTGTGAAGAGCAAAAGGTGAAACATTTCATACAGAGGCTTGTTAGAACATAGATATTTTGCCAAAAGTAACTATTGAGGCAGAGTCCATAGTACTGTATTGCAAACAGAATTGGGGAAACATTTGTAGTGGAACAATGTAAAAGATTACAGTGACGTAGCTCCACTGAGGAAGTGGCAACAGCCATCAAATGTTCTAACAATGTTCTCACATTTTCAAGATGAAGGCAGATAGATATTTATTAAATCAGGGTATTAAGGGATATGGGGCAAGGGCGGGTAGCTGGACTTGAGGTACAGATCAGCCCTGATCTTATAAAATGGTGGAACAGGCTTGAGGGGCTGAATAGCCTGCTCCTTTTTTTTATTTCTAACAAATCTCTATGTAAAAATCATTCCCCCTTCACTCCTCCAATGGCCCTATTCTGTAATTAACAAGGATTCCACCACACGAATGAAATACACGGAGATCAGGAAAAGATACGTCTCCCTCCAACCCACTCAGGAAAACCATGGGATGGTCTAACTAGACTTACCAAGCTGTAATCTATCTAGCATTAATCATCTGCAGAGCCCTGTGCCCCACTCCCCTACATCCCCCCAGACCCTGTATCCCCTACTAGCCTGTCTCTTCCCCCAACCCCCACCATTACTGCCAACATATGGCTGAAGCTTAGCCAGCAGCAATGCCCTATGTGCATTAATTCAGTTGCCTGTTGTCTCTGGGGGTGGGAATTGGGTGGGGGGAGGGGGTGCGGCAGAGGAAAGACGAGCAGCAACTCTTAGGTCAGAATTACAACACTGTGAGCACTGAGCAAGGTGCTGAATACATGAGCAAAAGGGCATTCAATGTAAAATTGAGATTCTTTGTGACCCTCTCAGCTGTAAGAGGAATTGGGAGCCGTTGCCCTTCCCTGTGTCAGGTCACTGTCTCCATGTTGCTTGCTTCACCCTCAGGCGCCTTTACTTTATGAAGTGTCTCGTCACCTCTGTATTACAGGCGGCCCCGACACTGCAGAAATTGCTGCAAAGTTGGGTTTAATGCAGGGCAGGATTACCGTGTAAGTGTCTATACACAAGAGTCTTCCCTTCACGGTCAGGTGGAACAAACAAGAGTTCGAGAGAAGCTGGATCTATTTGGAGTGTGGTGTAAACTGAACGCTCACTCAGGGGTGTAGTAAAAAGATATTTACCAACAAAACAGTTTCACAAAATCATAGAATATTTACAGCATGGGAGGCCGGCTAGTGTTACTGCAAGTCAGACACACACGTCTTCTCAACTCAACCCGCTCAGTAGCTTGACAATCCTCCAGTTACCCACAGAGCAGAGTAACCAACCCTCAAAATAGAAACTGCTGCATAGAACAGGGAACTCTGTCCAATTGTTTGCAGGTTTTAAACAGTAGTCACTAATAATACAAGCAAGTGATGTGGAGTTACACAAGGCACCACTGTGAGGAGTGGCATCAGCAGCATCATTAATGTGGCAACGTCTCTCAGACAGGTCACAAGATGGCTTGTGTGGAAAACGGAAAGGTCACACATGAAGTGAGTCAGATTGTCTGAGGCCAGTGCTGGAAGCACAGTTACAATGTTCCATGCCTGAGCTGGGAACTCTGGGTGGCTGATATGGGAGAGTTCTGATCCAAATGAATATTAAAAGGTTCAAAACAATAATCAAACATAGGACATTGGCTGAGAGGAGTTACTGTGTGTGAGAACTGGATTATATCGTATCTACAGTACAGAAACAGGTCTATCGGCCCAGCTAGTCCACGCCAGAGTTTATAGTCCCCACAAGTCCCCTACCCTACTCGCTGGCCTCTCCAAAATCACTCTATTCCCCTTGTGTATGATGGATTAAAAGCAGGAGTTAGTTTGACACGAGGCGTTAACAGTTGCCATCAAAAGAGCAGGAGTAGGGGCGGGCAGGGGAGGGGACGAGAATTCTACTGCACATTACTCTAATCTCACAACATCGGCCATAAATCCCACCTAGCCAATGTCAACTGCACTGAGCAGTTAGAACAAATAACGGAACTCTGGATATGTCGGCATATCGTAAGATTCACAGATTTAAAAGAATTCATTGGTTGTGGATTCCTGTCCCCATCACAGGACAGCAAACAAAATAACACAACAGCAGCAAGCTCAAAAAATAAACAAACACTTGGAGAGAAATCCAGGGGGAGGGGCAGGGAGGGAGCAGAACATGTGGAATAGTCTGTAACGAGGGACATTCTTCCTCTGTAAGCGAGTGCCACAGGGCAAGCTTCGTCCTCAAAGTACAATGTTCCACTGAGGGAACTGATCAGATAAGAGTGCGTTTCCATTCAGAGCAGAGTTTGAGTATTGCCCAGTGTATTTATGAGACAGGAGGGGGTGCGACAGAGCCAGCCCCTCTCCAAATGGCAGAACAGGTTAAAGAGAAGCATCACCACGTACGCACCCACAGACACAAGGCAAAAACAAAGCCAAATCAGATTGCAGGTCTGTGGACTGCGGACATCTCGCTCCCTCCCTGCACACAGCACAGAGAGGTCTCAACACAACACATCTCTGTGCCACAAACTGCACAAAGACAGATTTTATTGCAGTAACCATAGATCAGTGCGTTCGGGGAACAAACCGCGTCGGTGCCGAGCGGGTTATCACAGCGAGAACAAGTTACGCTCAATTGGAATCACATTTCCAGCATTGCATTCAGTTAAAAAACAAGAGTTCACAAATGTCCACGGAATCGCAGCAAGTCAGTTCACATTGTCACAGGGGAGAAATGTCAAGTGTCAAAACCACCATCACCGCAGCGCTGGACTCCACTAGCCAGGTCACCACACCCCCCGGGCAAGTGGAGCCCAGAGCTGACACGGACCTCTCCCAGAACCAAGCACCCCCCGCCCCGCATCAAATTGGCCAGCAAATAAGACAAGGGGCGAAAAGACTTCCCTGGCATCCAATCCAAAACCAGGGGGTAATTTTCACACTATGAGTTGCAAGTGTGAAACACAGAATCAATTGCGATTTAAGGGGAGTGGAGGAAAGGCAGGGAATAGGCCTCGACCTCACAGGGCAGAACAGGCTTGGCGGAGCTGAATGGCCTCCTCCTGCTCATATATCCTGAAATGGGGTTTGGACAGTTGCTTTTTGGGGAGCAGCCGGGGGGGAAGAAACATCAGTGGTTTTGATTCCCTCGATCTCTGTGTGCCAGTGAAATGACAAACAATTTAATATTCATCAAAGGTATTTGGTTGATCAGCCAAACCCAAGCAGTAGAACAATGCTTCTATTTCCTGCCATTCAACCAAATAACCAGATACTTTGTCACATGAGGCCAGTTCTGGCCACCAGTGACCAGCATCACACGGGAAGGAGTTACCGGTCACTACAAGCCCACAGCTTTGCAGAGAGGTTAATGGAGATCGAACGTGAAGAATTTCCAAAGATTTACTTTTCTTGGACTGGGCTTCAAACTGGTTGAGGTTCTGTTTATTGCAGGGCATGACCTCCGGATGCTGGCCGTGTAGTTCTCGCTGGGGAAGCAGCTCCATGAGGCGTCGGACAGAAGATTCAGATCCCAGATAGACTTCCGCAAACCTGCCCAGGAGACGGAGGGGGGGGGGCAGGGGGGGTGGAGGGAAGAGAAATAGACTGGTTACTCTTTAGTGGACAGTCAGTATTTTTCATTTCAAGTCATTCTACATGGAAACAGAAAATGTCAGTGTAGGAGGCCATTCAGCCAGCCACTTCTCCACGTGCCTTTAGCCTTTAACCCCAAATCCCAGCTCTTTCTCCCCACCACATACACACACAGACTACTCTCTCCCCCTCCTTGCGTCCCACTGCTCTCTCCCTCTCACCCCCATGTCCCTTGATGTTTTCACTGATCAGCTGTTTATCCAATTCCATTTTGAATGAGCCTATTAATCCAGCCTCAATAGCCACTTGAAGATGAATTCCAAACTGCAACCAGCCCGAATGAAGAAATTAAAGTTTCCCTTGATTTGTGTGCTGATACTCTTCAGCGTCACATGCTTCACACACGTCATATAATGTAGTGAATTGACTGTATATTTGTGGGCGAAAAGAATTAAAAGAATCCTTGTAAAGCAAATAAAAGTCAGATTATCGAAATCGTAAAGAATTTACCACCACTGGTCAGAGACAGCTTGTGCCCCTAAACAACCACAATAGATCCCCCACACCAAGCAGATAGCATCTTCAATCTTGTTCACAGCAGTAAATCTCAAAGAATGAAGAGTTATTCAACAGAATACAAAATCACACCTTTAAAACAATATATCAAGGCAGCAATACAAAGCCAAATGGATTTTAAACAGCTGTCAGTCTTTCAGCCTATCTACCTCCACATCCCAAAGTGCCTCTGAATCGCTCCCTCCCTCACCTCCTTCAAGGTGCACTTCAAGACTTACCTCTTTAACTGCACTTTCAGTTATCCCTTCCCTTGGCTCCGGCCTCAGCTCGGGTGCCAGCACTGTCAAATGCCTTGGGACATCGTTCTGACGTGAAAGATGCTGCATAAATGTAAGTCTGTGTTGTAAACAACACAAACTAACAAACAGAACTCTTTCTTCTGTTTGAGTTTATGAACGCAGTGAATTTGGGATGTTTTTGTCACCTTTCTGCCTCCCTCCCCATGATTTTATGGTGTGCTCTGTGGAGTCCCAGGCGCGCAGACTTGTGCCCACTCACCCCTTGGACTGCCCGTTGGCTCTATTTTCGTAAAACTTGATCTCCAGCAGATCCTGCACCCCCACCGAATGCACAGCATCAGCCACGTCCTGGTCTGTTGTCCACTGCAATAGGAACCAGGGAGTAACGATCATTAGGACATAGAAAGAAATGAAGAACTGGACTTCCCCTTAACAATCCCCCTCAATTTGCTTTCAAGCTGAAGTAGGACTAGCGCCCAGCTCTCAGCGTGTGTGTGAAGGGCCGGACACGGCGACACTCTCCTGGCTGGGATGCTCACTCTGTCCCAACATCAGTGGCTGAGCCTTGTTACTCTGGTTCTCTGGAACTCGCTCCCAAAATCCTTCTCCCCGTACCTCCAAAACCCTTGTACGAACACTTCTCATTCCTGTAGTTTTGGGAAACTTCACAAACCTCAAAATCTCTCTCCTTCTCCCTCTCTGCTCAGTAACTCCCATTGCCTTTGAGCAGTGCGTTGAAATGTTCATCCAAGTAAAAGGTGCCACAATGGACACCAATCAACAACCCCCCACCCCACCCGACCTTTCTGTTGACTTGTGGTTAATTTTGCACGGACCAGTTGGACTCTTGCGTGCTAAACATTGTGAGGTGCAGGTTGTCAGGTCACAGCCATAACTTCCTATACAATCTATGCAGGAAGTGATTGTGGTACGGAAGTCAGCCATTTTATAGCATGACAAGCAAGCAGAAAGTGACACCAGGCCAGCCACTTGGGCTTTGTGGCCAATTATAACCAGAGGGTTGGGTTCATTGACCTGAAATGACTCTTTATAATGTTATGTACAGTATTCATGTTCAGGCTACTGCTCTCAGGGAATAAGGAGAGAAAAAAATTCTAGGCCTCTCGGAAAATGTCTAGGAGTTGGAACACTGACCCAGGTAAGGTTTCCCACGTAGACGGCCTGTCGTTTTCCTCCGTATGTGTAGACAATGGTGGGCCTTGCGTTGTCCGATTTCTGGGGCTCCCCCGCCGCCCGCGGGATTATCTCATCGTAACTCGGCCCATCGTGTGCGTTGCCATCCCCTGGCGTGATCACGTCATCGTACAGGTCAATCTGATCGTTAGCAACATAATCAGTCTCCTGAAAGGGAACGGGATGTTTTACTCTGAACGCTGGGAGGAGGAGAGAGGTACACCAAATCTATGTGACTGACCCCAACCCTAGGAAGTTCCAGCCAGACCCGAATAGTATGCAATTGACCAACTGGAGCCCCATTCCATAAAGGAAATGTGCTATTGAGGCTACGTTCAGAAGTGCTGTGGGGGTTCCCCAACCCCTCTTTGCGTATCGCACATGGAGACTGTAACTAGAAAACTCAGACGTTGAGGAGCTTCAGCTGAAGTTTCAGACAGCTGTGACTCGCATTGCCAACCAAGGATCGCAATTCCTCAACCTTACAACCATCGCTGTAACATTTCAGATTGTTGCGGTTTGGGAAATGTTTACAATCCAGTCCATTTCCTTTTAAAAACTGCAGAAAAACCGCCTTCCGGGTTGAGAGGGAAGTGAAGGAGTTTGCACTTACTTTCTCTGTGAGCGTCCATTTAATTTATTTTTAAAATACAATAATCCTTACATTGATCTGGTGCCTGATCCAAGTCATCAAAACGTCTCACAGTGCTTCACAGGATTTACCCTAAAGTGTAAAGTGTAAAGACTGTGTATTTTGCAACAGCCATGAAGTGAGTGACCAATTTTATTTGGGCTCTGGGAGAATTTCAGCCTAGACTGTGAGCTCAGTCTCTATGACTTGAACACCCAACCTTCTGACTCAGAGGTGTGTGTGCAATTGACTGGGGCAGGCAATTAAGGACCAAGCTTCAACAGTCCTAGTCTGATGCTTAACTGCAAAGCTCTTTCGAGCCTTGGATTCTTTTCCTACCAGGGATACAAAATCTGTCCCTCTCCCCCACAGTTACAACAAAATGACAGAACACAAGACGCACCAGGTAACACACACCCGTTAGTGTTGGCAGCACCTCGAACACTGTACCTCATTCATTAAGCTTCACATCTACTCCGAGTTACTAGGAGCTCCACGACCTAACCTCACTGCACGACTATAAAAATGCCTGGAAGAGATATTCCGAACAGCAACTCAAATACACATCAACCAACTTTTCCCTCTCAAGCTGAGAAGTTTAAGGGATGACCTGAACAAGACTGTGAGGGTTGTAACGATAAATACTGTAGTAATGGAGGATGTCTCATCAATGACCCAGGAATGAGAAAACACAAATTTAATCCGTATTAGCTTTCAAGAGGGAACTAAATACATATCTAGCGGAATCACTAGCATGGGTTTTGAGGGTCTGGAGGAGGCAGGTCAATAGGACTGAATGTATTGCTCTTTCAAAGTGTAACTACGACACAACAGGCCAAATCACCTATCTTCTGCTATAAAGTGGTGCAGTTTGATCACCGAAAACATGGGAGGGGTTAGGTTTTCATTTTACACACAGGACCATTAGGACACAGAATTTTGTACTGAAAATAGAAATTGCAGCACAACTGATAACAGCTTTCAAAGGGGAAGCCTGGCTCTGCGGTAGCGCTCTCACCTCTGGGCCAGAAGGTTGTGGTTCAAGCCCCATGTTGGGACTGTGAATTTATATAGTCGAGGCTGACAATCCAATGCAGTGCTGGGGTTGGGGCGATAGGGGGGGTGCTGCATTATTGAAGGAACCTTCCTAACGATGAGACTTTAAACTGAGGTCCCGTCCTGTTTGCCTGTTTAGGTGTACGCTAAAGATCCCATCTCACTATTGGAAAAAAGAAGGGATCTTCTCTCTCCCGGTGTCCTGGCCAACATTCCCCCTTATAAATTCCTCATTCCCCCTCTGACTGTTTGTGCTTCAGTCGTGCTGTGGGCAAATTGGCTGTTGAATTTGTCTACAAAACACAATCATGAAACTAAAATATCAATTGCTGTGAAAAGCATTGAGAAGTTTTGACCTGATCAGGAGCTGTATCAAATGCAAGGATTATTATTCTAATCAATTCTCATTAAATTGGCTAGCGCATTCTCCTAAAAAATACACATTATATCTTGCGAGGGAGTTCGAGACTTCCTTCTGATGTGAAATGCGCAATATCAAATGCAAGTATTATTGAACATCTCATCCGAACAATGGCGCTGCTCACAGTGCAACTCTCCCCCCAGCCCTTCACTGGAATGTCAGCCCCGACTGTGAGCTCAAGTGCCGAGTTGAACCCACAACCATCTGCCTCAGAGTGTGGCTAACTGAGCCAGGCCAACACTGAATTCAAGCAAAGCACATCGTTACATCACAAAATCTCAGATCCATCCCATGTGATGAGAAAAAAACTCGCTGCTCACTCCATAAAATGCAGTGACTTAAAACAGATAATGACGACACAGACATGATGGGCCAAATTACCTTCTTACATGCTGTTAATTTCTCTAAAACCAGAGGGAGGGAAAATCCCCAAAGTCAACCAGAGGCAACAACTTCCAATATTAAACAACACACTTCCTACACAAACCACAGTCACAGCATCACAGCTGACTACACAGGTGTTCATTTGATATAAATATCTTAATCATTCACTGTAAGGGTAACACATGCGGAAACCCATCAACGTGCCTAATATTATCCAGTCAGTTTCAAGTAAGTATGCCATTTACATTTTGGATACGATATTTTTTTGGTGGGAGGGTCAGCCGGGTGTCCGACACGTGCATAAACCCATCACCAGTCCTGAGAGTATTCAAACCAATCAGAGCTCCTTGCAACCCACCTACACATGGAAATTCCCGAGTGATTTATAGGAATGGAATGCACTCTCTCAGCCTCAAGGGATGCATCCTATCCACCCAATTCCGGAGAATACTTTTGAAAGAGCAAATCCAAATCTGCAGCTGACACCCAGGGCTTCTCAGTTCTGCAAACTACATTGTCTGAACTACACAATCATAATTCTTGTATTTGGTACAGCAGCTTATCATGTCAAAACACTTTAGTGTTTACAGCAACATGCTGTTACTGAGTATTTACAGCGAACACAGCAGCCAATTTGCACAAACAGCACTGAAATGAATGACCTGATTTATATGGGAAACTGTTGGCCAAGACACCTGGAAAAAGTTTTCAAATAGAGCCGTGTCCACCTTAAACTCAATGCAGATGGTTGCGTTTCTCCCCCTCTCTCAGAAACTTTCTCTCTGCCGTTTATGACCTCAGTTTAACGTCTCATCCAAAGGATGGATAATAGCTAATCTAATTCAATGAAAGCATACAGCCTTGGAAATTGACGAGATAGTATGGCATACTGGCCATTTGAAACATTCCAGTTATGTGAATTCTTTATTGATTTGCTGGATCAGAAATATTAAAAGAATGGTGGCAGACGTGGAGAGAAATAGCAATACAAATGGTGCTGCAACATTCCAGGATATCTGAAAGAATTGCATCTCTGTAAATTGTTGATCTCACAAATTTCACTGTCCCCTCTCTCCCCTCCCCCTTCCAGCTGCAGTACTTTGTACTCAGCAAATCCTCTAATGCATTTTGGAGACTGACCAGTAGAGACTTGCAATCCATGACTTTGCATTCTCTGTGCTAACCCGCTGCATTTCATAGTCTCTATAAATAATAATAATATAAAGCAATTCTAGTCACAGCAAGAATAAAAGTCTTGAAGAATTGCACTATAGGATTGCTTCGCCTTAAAGTAGTAACCTCCAAGGCAGAAGGTTTGGAGTTCAAGCTCCACATTGGGTCTTGGGTTCATAATTGGTTGTCGCGTTTCACCCACAAAATATATGGTTAATTCGCTTTACAGTATATTCAACTCATGCTGTGTACAAATGTGTTTGCCTATAATGTACACTTGATGCTAATTGATATGAAGCACCGAGAGACGTTTCGATGGCTTTGATGGCTTTGACAGCTTGATTACAGCAACTCCTTCCTCATCGGCCTTCCCAAGTCTTCCCTTCACAAGCTGCAGATCATCCAAAACTCTGCAGCTCTCACACACCAGGCTCCGTTACCCCATCGCTCCCACCCTCGCCCAACTCCACTGGCTCTCCATCCCTCAGAGGATCGAGTTCAAGATCCTCCTCCTCACCTTTAAGGCCATCCATGGCCTTGCCCCCTCCTACCTCTCTGACCTGCTGACTTGTTACCCACCTGCCTGCTCCCTCCATTCAGCGGGCTCCGTTCTGCTCCATGTCTCCCACCCGACCCGCCCTACCATCGGTGGCCGGGCTTTCAGCCTCTCTGCCCCCACACTCTGGAACTCCATCCCACGGTCCCTTCGCCTCGCTTCCTCCCTTGCCTCCTTCAAGGCCGGTCTCAAGACCTTTCTCTTCAACCGTGCCTTTGGTCTCCCTCCCACCTCTCTGCCTTCCTTCACCCCTCCCCCATGCTTGAGCCCCGACACCCGACTGTTCAGCGCTTTGGGACTCCTCCCGACGCGAAAGGCGCTCTACGAATCGAATTTTGTTGTTGTTGTTCGAAGCTGTAGGCACGATATCAAATTGCAAGATCATCTCAAATCCAAGCTTGGGATACGGATCAGAGTGAGTCCGGACTGTGTCCCAGTCGAGTATGAATTCTTTTCACACAAAAAGAGAACAGGGGATTTTTCACTTGAAGCCTTACATTGAGATAGATAACCTCGAGATCCGCCGAACCTCGTTTGTTTATTATTGTTTTGCTCTCTCCGGGTTTATTTGGTGCATACGGTGGGGGGGGGGGGGGGGGAAAGAATAAAACGAAGCCTCTCCCAAGAGGGTACGATACCCATGTGTGAGATGGTGGCCACTAATTTCTGCACCTCTTCCACACCTCAAAGTCTTGGCTGATTCAGGGAGATATTTTTGGACCAAACCTGTACGTGAGGCGCTGGATGGCTGTGGGTTTAAGTGGATGAAATGGTTCCCTGCTCTCCCCTGGAGCTCGGGGAAAACCGAGAGAAATGTTATTTCACATGAACTGTTTTCCTAATAACACACACACACACACGCACAAAATTCCTGTTCAACAAATATATTTCGAGCCTCGGCCTCGACTGGGGGCAAACTGGGCGTCGCGGCTCCACAAATGATGATCTGCCCCGAGGACTCGTCTTAGGCCCCGAATCCCCGGGCTCGAGTGTGTTCCGAGGCCAGCGCTGGGACACAACCACCCAGGGCTCCAGCTCCGGGCCGCTCCGGCCCCCGGAAAGCCCCCCACCCCCACTCCTTCGGCTCGGGGGGGGGGGAGGGGCGGGCCAGGCCGGGCCACCCCATCACTCGAGTTCGCGGCCTTGAGGCCTGCGCCACAGCCGCGGCCTCGCGCTCCGTCTGGGCCAACCCCGGGCCTGAGACCCCCGTCGCTGCCGCCCCCCGTCCTCCACCCACCGCGGCCGCCGCTCACCCACCTGATTAAACTCCTCATCCGCGTAAATGTCGATGAGATCCGCGCCCTCGGCCATTCCCGCTCTCGCAGCAGCGCCGCCGCCACCCGGACAATTACACACCCGGACCGGCTGCGGGGACGGACCAGAACCGCGTGCGACACCCGGACACAGTCCGGGGACGGACCGCACTTGTGCTTCCGCTTCAGGACCTGACCAATTGGCGCCCCCGTGGGGGGGGGGGCGGTGGTGTCCCACCGTTAATGCTCCGGGTTACGGTGTGACACCACCCGCCTCAGCTCCCAAGATGTCGGTGTGGAGGAGAGTGAGTGACAGTCAGCGCAGCATTAGCTGATCTGGTCTCTAAGGCAGAAGGTTGTGGGTTCAAACCTCACAGGTCGGGGAGCGGGGAGCCGGGCTGGGGGGGGGGAGCCGGGCTGGGGGGGGGGGAGCCGGGCTGGGGGGGGGGGAGCCGGGCTGGGGGCGGGGGAGCCGGGCTGGGGGCGGGGAGCCGGGCCGGGCTGCGGGGGGAGCCGGGCTGCGGGGGAGCCGGGCTGCGGGGGAGCCGGGCTGGGGGGGGAGCCGGGCTGGGGGGGGAGCCGGGCTGGGGGGGGAGCCGGGCTGGGGGGGGAGCCGGGCTGCGGGGGGGAGCCGGGCTGCGGGGGGGAGCCGGGCTGCGGGGGGGAGCCGGGCTGCGGGGGGGAGCCGGGCTGCGGGGGGGAGCCGGGCTGCGGGGGGGAGCCGGGCTGCGGGGGGAGCCGGGCTGCGGGGGGGAGCCGGGCTGCGGGGGGAGCCGGGCTGCGGGGGGGAGCCGGGCTGCGGGCGGGGAGCCGGGCTGCGGGGGGAGTTGCGGGGGGAGCCGGGCGGGGGGGGGGAGCCGGGCGGGGGGGGGGAGCCGGGCGGGGGGGGAGCCGGGCGGGGGGGGGAGCCGGGCGGGGGGGGGAGCCGGGCGGGGGGGGGAGCCGGGCTGGGGGAGCCGGGCTGGGGGGGGGAGCCGGGCGCTAATCTTTGGATGAGACGTTACACCCAGCTCCCGCCTGTGCCCGTTCTCAGGTGAACGTTAAAGATCCTGTGGCAGGACAGAGCGCTCCACTTAATTCCACGCAAATGCACATCTGATAATTGCATAATTCGCATAATTGCATTGAAAGATGGCCAGTTCCATTTCATTCGCACCGGTGTAGTTAGTTGAGCAGTTGACCGCCCGACCACGAACGGTTTGACTTGCAGTTATGGTGCCTTTCGGAGTCCTGTAGCTCAGTGGTTAGAGCACTCGCTTTGCAAGTGAGAGACCTGAGTTCAATTCCAGGCAGAGGGCGAAACCTCGGGCAAGTTTCCTTACTCCACACAGAGCCTAATAATAATCCCTCCAAAACCAAAAACAATAATAAATTGGTCATTTTCAATCTACGACTGTTTGTGGGACATTGCTGTGCGCAATTGGCTGCCGCGTTCGCCCACAAATATACAGTCAATTCACTTTACAGTGTGTTCTGTGAAGCGCTTTGGGACGTCCTCCCGACGTGAAAAGCGCTATATCAAATGCAAGGATTATTATTATATTATTATTATAATGCTTACTTTAACTCAATGGGTTAACGTTTTAAAAAGAGTTCAGAAAGTAAAGAAAGTCAGAAGCCAGTTGTAGCTGAGTTTGATGTTGATCGAAGCAAAATTTCCCGAACTCTAAAGAACAGGGAGAAAATTCTTGACGATTGGCAGAACAGCAAATCCGTGGAGGAAACAATACAGATTTGAAAAAACAGAAAACAAGTTCCCATCAGTGGACCTTTACTGATCGAAAAAGCAAACAGTGGGAGCTTTAGGTGGCTGGACAGGAATTAACACGGAAAGGATTCAAACTGCCCCTTTCTCTCCCACAGGTTGTGACTGTGTGCAGACCGAGGGTGGCCCGGACCCTGCTCGGAGCATGCTCTGTGCGGGCCTATCGCGGTGATACCCCCGATGACAGCATGAAAGATATAACTGATATTTTGCTGCCTCCATGGGAAGAGCGGATCAATGAGCCCCTTCACACGAAGCGAGCACGTCTGCTGTACGAGAGCCGCAAACGGGGAATGCTGGAGAATGGCATCATCCTGAGGTGTGAGTGGAGCACAATCCCCAGCACTTACCCTTCATCCCTCCCCATCCTCATCCTCTGGGACCCATTGTCCCCAAGTCCCCGTCTCTTGTAACCCCCTGACCCGCAGGTCCTATGCCCTGTAACCCTTTGACCCCCGAGTCTCTGACTCCGAGAGTCACATAACTACATGACCTCCCTCCTGAAGTGTCAGTACAAAAAAATAATTTGGGGCATTCACTCCACGACTGTTTGTGGGACACTGTTGTGAGCAATTGGCAGTCGAGTTTCACCCACAAAATACCATAATCACTCCACTTATTCTGTGAAGCGCTTTGAGACATCGCAATGCTGTGATAAGGCGCTATATCAAATGTAAGGATTATTATTATAGTAGTACACTGAAAGCTTCCCAGAACTGAATGTACATTGACATGAGTAATAGGCTATTTGCCAACATGATAAATCATCATTCTGCATTGCTTTTATCTTTGAACACGAAGAAAAATTGAGCTCCTTCCCTTTTTAACCAGAAGAGGTGCTGACATTGTTTGTGATGATGATATTTCAGCCTTTTTGCCAAGGAGTATCTGAATACCATGAGTGAGAAGCAGCTGAGTCTGTACGATAAACTGATCAACCAACCCAGCAATGACTGGGACATCTACTATTGGGCAACAGGTAGGTTCAATTCCAGCTATCAGCTCCTAAACTAAACAAGGTTATTGTTGTTTCAACATATCATCTGGAACTCTATCCCCGAGTTCTTCCACTTCACTGCCCTTCCTTCTCGCCCCATCCCTCCCCACTTTCAAAGCCTGTCTCAAGACTTGCCTCTTTGGCTGCACTTTTGATCATCTTTCAACCCTCCCCCCACCACGTCCCCAAACCACTACCCTCTTCAGCTCCCCCCACAACCAGCCTGGCTCAATTGATAGCATTCGCCGTTGTGATTTCAAGTCTCACGTCAGGCCTTGGAACTCATATACTCCAATAAAGGGCTGGGGATGTGTATTGTTAGAACTGCTGTCCTTCGTTTGAGACATTAAACTGAGGCCTTCTGCCTGTTCAGGTGGACATTAAAGATCTCTCCTGGTAAACAGTCCCCCAAATAAAAAAATGACTCACTCACTCAATGATTGTTCGTGGGATATTGCTGTGGGCAAATTGGCTGCTGTGTTTGCCTATGAACCACAGGCACTGCCCTTTACAGTAAATCCTGTGGAACGCTTTTGGACATCATCCTGACATGAAAGGCACTATACCAAATGTAAAATTATTATGCTGACTCAGGTGCTCAGTCAGCAGTGTAAAGTGTTATGAGATGTCCTTCCGATGTGAAAGGCACTGTATAAATGTAAATTGCAATTATACACTGGTCTGGCCCCAAACCAAATACGGCATGTGTTAGCCCTTTCCTTGAGCCAAGGAAGTACTGTACAAGGTGGAATCAGCCTTGAATAGTCCTCCTGCTGACCAGAACCTATAACTTTGTAACTTTAAGGTCTAAAGTATTAAAATCCTCTGCCGTGAGCAGGCTGGTCTCATTGCACCCAGCAATTTCTCAAGACATGCCTCTTCACAACTTGGCTGCTCTGTGGTATACGGTTTTGTGATCTTTGATTTTTCTACATTTGTTCCTCACTCTTACCCTCCTCCCCGACCAGAAACAAAACAAACTCCTCCTGAATTTGATAGCGAAGTCATGACCCTGCTTAAGGATTTCACCAAAAACCACAACATGGAGCAGAGAGTGGGTCAGCCTGACCTGGAGTATCTCTTCGAGAACAAGCACTGACCTGGCTCAGTTAGTCAACCTATGGTTCCGGACTATTTTATTTAAATGCCTTGCTAAGAGAGCCACAATTGTGTGTATTCTTACCCTATCCTGAGTGCATTGATTGGCACAAGTGTCGCGGTGAGAGCGATAAAGCATGCAAGTCACAGGGAGTTGGATGTGTTAATTGTTAAGATAAAATCATGCGTTTTTCCCTTATTCTAAAAGCCATCCATATGGTCAGGGGTTGACACTCTGCTCTTGTACCACATCACTGAGATCTAACTCCTTTACCACCACAGAGATCTAACAGTTTTAGGCTTAACTGTGACCTGCTTCACTTTTGAATACTTGCTGTCCAGCGTCCCATGGAGAACAGGAACTTGGCTATATTAACAGAGGGTGGCTTCCGTCCGTTGATACCATTGGCTACAAAACATCACCGGGCAAGAAGAGAGAGAATTATTCAAAAGGGTCCTGGATAAGCAGCTGAGAAGTGAAAATCTCTTGGGATTTGTGAAAAGAGCTGGAAAGTGTGATTAACCATCCTTCTGATGAGACAAACTGATGCCCTGTCTGCCTGTTCAGGTGGATGTTAAAGATTCCACGACACTACTTAAAAAGAGAAGGGAGTTTCCTCCCGGTGTCCTGGTCAACAATTCCCCAAATAAAATTGGTCACTCACTTCATGGCTGTTTGTGGAATTTTTGTGCCCAAATTGGCTGCCAAATTCACCTACAAATACAGTCATTAATTTAAGATACTGAAGCACTTTGCAACATTTTTAGGCAGGCACTATATTAAATGAAAGGATTATTATTCTAATTATTATAATATATTTTAATTATATTAATTAGAATATAATTGGAATTATAATCCAGTGATAAAATTATCGGTTTCCATAATGAAAAGAGGCAGAGTAAAAAAGTGAACCCAATATAAACCCAAACAGTAAAGATCACTCACCTGTAAAAAGAGCAGACCCACCCTGAAACCTCGGTGTTTCATCTACCAAATACACAGTCACTGAACTTTGTGAAGCTTTGAGACTTTCTCCGGATGTGAAAGACGCTGTATCACATGAAAGAATTACTTTTGTAAACTGTATTAATATCAAAACAGTCTCAAAGACACTGGAAGTTGCTGCCAGGCTCATGTTTATGAGGTGCTCAGTAATAACCAGTGTAATAGTAATGCTGTAGCAAAGATACAAGAGATAAAAAATATTTTATTGTGACAAGCATTAAAAACCTTGAATAGAAAAAATAGGCTGATTTATTTAATACAAAATAGATGTATAAAAAAGGCTGGTATAAAAGCAGTGCTCCTCCCTGATCGGTTATCTGATCTGGAAATTTATCGAGATAAAGAAACACACAGGTCAGTGAAAGATTTTTCTGTTGTGCAGGTGGAAGCTCGGTGAGAAATCATCTATTTTATCAAGGAAATGTATTGCCTCTGCCACTGAACCAGTGTCTGTACCCAGGTCCCACAGGTGAAAGGTGAATACAGAGTTAGGGTGGGTTCTAAACCTCTGTGGTGGTTTATTTTCTGCTCAGCGGGTGTCTGACACATGGAGAAACCCATCACTATACTAAAGAGCTTCCAAACCAAACTGAGAGTTCCACATATCTATATCATCTACATAGACACTTGCTTGTTTCTGGAATGGAATACACAATCTCTCCCTAGAGGAACATACCCTGCTTACCTAATAAGGGGTATAAGAGAGTAATAGGTGCAGGTTTGTAAGAGCCAAGGCTTGGGGACTCCAACATGTGTGGTTGAGATAGCTGCTGGAGTCTAACCATAGCTTGCCAGTGAGGACCATCTTTCACTTGAGGGCTTTCACTTGCTTTGAGCGGGAAGAATCTAGATGGTGTGACAGCAGCTGTGCACTGGAACACTGTGGACCCAGCCTTGAGGAACAGCAGAGCTGTGTAACAGCTAGATCTGCACCGGCATGAAGCGCTGGGAGCTGGGATGTGGAGGGTTCGAGAAGCCAAAGGGGTTCATAATAAAGTGACAAAGAAGTTTATCTGAAAGAACAGCATGCATGATCCTTATATATAATAAGCAAAGGGTTTACATCACCTATTCTCTCTCGTTTCTCCCACCCCCGCCCCCCTCCCCCCCAACAAATCTTTCAGGAAATGTATAAAATTTGTGTGCTTAATGTTCTCAGCAGCTGTCAGTGGATTTTTTCCCATTCCTAACGCACAAAACTCTGAATAATCCTCCCGGAATGTGTTTGATGAGGTGGCGAACAGTCCCTTGTTCCAATAATCTACAAAATACAAGGTGAAAAGCACACTGTCATTTGTACATTTTACCTTCTGTAAGACACTGAGCCCACAACAACCACAGGCAGGAGCAGACCAGCGCTCGCTCCATCCAGTTCCCAGACTCTACAGTTTCTGGGATAGAACATTCCACATCTTCACAGTGACAAGCTTCCCGACCTCAAGTTAAAGTTGTCTTCAGTCTGGATTTAAATCTAGCCCCTACCCCCCGATTTGGTTACTTTCTCTCTGCCAGAGTCGTCCCCGATCTAACTTGTCAATTCCTTTCATTATTTTACGCACCTCAATCACATCACTGCACAAAGAAGGTCTCAGGTCCGTTCTATCAGCGGACTTCACAGGGAGTCTCAGTGCCCATTGAGAGGGGAACATTAGCTAAGTTTCTGTTCCTGATTCAGAGTCACTCAGATGAGGGCAGAATTACATAAGTATTAAGGGTAACCTGTCAGCTGTGACCCCATCCCCACCCGGCCAATTCTTGTTTGCCGACACTCACCAACCTGCTCACATGTGAAGTACGGATACTTGGGCACTTGGCGGCTGTGCAACTGAAAGTCAGCGTCTTCGGGAAGAAAGGAGAAAATGGGAAAATGAAACAGATTTATATAGTGTCCATATTCTCTATATTTCCTTCGGTATCCTGTACACTTCAGTTTGAAAATCCCAACTCTAGAGCTCTCCTGGTAACCTGCTGGATCCAACTATTAATCTGGTTGTTCTACACTGTACTCCTTTTAATGGCAAGATGTCTACATTGCCATCAAGTTCAATAACAGCATAGTACTTAAGTCAATTTGTGCACTAGATATATACAGAGTAAAGCTTCCTTCATCCACACTATCAGTCCACACTCCCAGGTCAGCGACAGCACAGGTTAGAGACAGAGTAAAACTCTTGGTTGTATCATTGGTGTGACCAGATCAAACTGTTACTCTTACCGAGGCCAATACTGAGTGCCCAGCCAGACTATATGTTAGCATAACAAGCTGAGTGCCATTCAAACCTTGTTGGCAGCACCCAAGGGGTTAAACTAACTAAACTTCCATCTAGCATGAACCAGGACAGAAACCCGCATTTGATCAGTTACCACCTGCTGAGCCGAGCCTTTACATGTAACATGGAGCCTGTGTACATAATAATAATAATCCTTGCATTGGATATAGCGCTTTTCACATCGGGAGGACGTCCCAAAGCACTTCACAGAACACACTGTAAAGTGAATTGACTATATTTGAGGGCGAACGCGGCAGCCAATTGCGCACAGCAATGTCCCACAAACAGTCGTAGATTGAAAATGACCAATTTATTATTGTTTTTGGTTTTGGAGGGATTATTATTAGGCTCTGTGTGGAGTAAGGAAACTTGCCCAAGGTTTCGCCCTCTGACTGGAAGTGAACTCAGGTCTCTCGTTTGCAAAGCGAGTGCTCTAACCACTGAGCTACAGGACTCCACATAAACCACTTACCTGACGAAATCTGCTATCACAACAATGTCCAAAACGCCCTCGAATGCATAGAGCAGCAGGAGGACAGCGCCAATGATGGTGTCTGCCTTCAGCACATATGTCTGCCACAAGAGGAAGTACAGACACAGCAGTACACTGCCCACTGTCAGCCCCAGGCTCGAGCCCATCGAAATCTCATTTTCTGTCAGATTACCTTTAACACCTGCAAAAGGTGTGCAATCAATCCAGAGCAATCTTAATTCACTTTGTAGCTTACCTAAGTAAAGCCTCATCATCTCTATGACCGCCGTAAGCACCAGCAGAGCCAGAACGAACAGCAGTGTTTGAGATCTAACACATTTGCACAAGTACGTAACATTGAAGTGTCATCTTAGACAATGTGATTCCAGTCCCGATGTGGGGCTTGAACCCACAACCTTCTGACTCAGAGGTGAGAGGACTACCAATTGCTTCACTGTTGTTGATTACAGCAAAATACGGCAAATAAAAGCGTTCAGGCTTTGTTCTGAAAGGAACCTCAGAAAGCAACTGAAACAATGGTCTTTTGAGCGTAAGAAGTTAGTTTTCATCCAGTTATAAATTTGTAGCAGAGAAGATCATGTTCCAATTGTCACACCCAGTTTAAATTTCACCCACAAAATATACAGTCAATTCACTTTACAATATATTCTGTGAAGCGCTTTGAGACATCTCAAAGACATGATAAGGCGCTATACCAAATACAAGGATGATTATTAAATATTATAATCCTTGCATTTGATACAGCGCTTTATCACTTTGTTGAGAAAGTGCTTCACAGAATATATTGTAAAGTGGATTGACTGTATATTTTGTGGGAGATACACAGCAGCCAATTTCGCACAGCAGTGTCCCACAAACAGTCGTGGATTGAGTGACCAAATTATTTAAAAGGACCATTAGGCAGTCTCTACCTCAGTCCATCTGATCACCTTCAGATCCACCAACCGTGTAACTTTCCTGCATGCGTTCCTTCTGACCACAGAGGACAATCTTTATTCGCTTAGCAGCTTACCTAAGTAAAGTCTCATCATCTCCACGACAGCCATAAGCATCAGCAGAACCAGATCGAGGGCCAAGTTACCATCCGGGAAACTGTACACCTGACCTGAAACATCAAAGTGGGTCACTAACCTTGTCTTGTAACCTCACAGGAATCAAAGCTCTCCCCCAGATACTTACTTTTGTAGATGATCATTAGAAATGTGGCAAGGAAGTAGAAAGTATAATAAAATGCATTGAAAGAAAAAAGTATCTGTAGTGGAACTGAGGAAAGCTACAGCGAGGCTGGTTAAGGAGAATGCCTGGGAGGTAAATCCTACAATGTTACAGCTCAGGAGCTGGTCAGATCTGCACTGGTGTTCCTATCCTCGAGTAGAACAACATCCTTCTTATTGGTTTTAGTCGTCCGGGTCTGACACACGCAGAAACCCATCACCATGCTTCAGAATGTCCAAACCAAACTGATGAGAGTCCCAGTTTTTGGTGGATTATTACCCCTGCAAGTGCTAATGAGGTTTTCGAACTGAAGCCGGTATATTTTCCATTAGCTTCATTCAGACAATAGCACAAATCAGGTCAGTGTTGGCAGGCAATGTCTGCCATGGAGTATGGACTCTCTCTTCAGAAAGATGCACTTACCCAAGATAATTTAGGTTGGCAAGAGGAAAGGCTCACAGTGTGTATTGGGTACTGCTGGAGTTAAACCAGCCAAAATTGTGCAGCTTGCGATTGTGATCACTGGTAAGATTCCCACTAAGGCCATTTTACCCATTGGGGTTTTGGCTTGCAGTTAACAGGAGCAGCCTGGGTAGGAATCCCTAATCCCGGTGACTGGTCTGCCCCTCAAAGTCCTGCTGATGAGCCAGGTTAGCTGATCTGTCATCATCGGTGCCCTGGAGTACAGCTGGCTCAGGAAGCAAAGTACCGAGACACCTACAGGGGGCCTAATTCTTTCTCTATATAAGCCACCTCGTCCATTCCCTCACCTCAGCTCCCGCCCCATTATAGCCTTCAAGACTCTATTCAATTATTTTAAGATTTTAAGGGTAGCTCTGCATTGGCTGAAAACTCCTGAAAATGTATGCAATGGGAGCTGGTATGTAAAAGGATACGACAGCAGCAGATTTCAACGTCACTGTGAACAGAAACAAAGACTGTTAGTTATTATACCTGCCACGATTACTGATATATCATATGCAGTGACTGAATATTGATTCAGCGCTCCCTATTCTAAAGGCTATTGAGTGTGTTGTGAATAGGAAGCAATGACTATATGACTGATAGCAAAATATTTCACTCTGTATCTCTTAACATTTTTTCCCCAAATTTTCACCCATCATTTCTTCTACCCATGAGGAGAGGCTGTTCCTAAGTATATGGTTCTGGTGCTACAAGGCTGGTCATGCACTATGTGATCTCACGAGAACATGCCAGAGTTCCCTCATTCTCTCATTCCTCACCTACCCCCTCTTTGTTGTAAAAGCCTAATAATAATCCCTCCAAAAAAAATAATAAATTGGTCATTTTCAATCCACGACTGTTTGTGGGACATTGCTGTGCGCAATTGGCTGCTGCGTTTCGCCCACAAATATACAGTCAATTCACTTTACAGTATATTCTGTGAAGCGCCTTGAGACGTCTAGAAAATGTGAAAGCGCTGTATCAAGTGCAAGGATTATTATTATTATTATAAAGGTTCCATATTACAACAGTATGGTGTGGAGAAATTCCACCGTGGTCAGAATTTGCTCCAAGTAGCAATTTGTTGAATACGGTCTCGACTTTGAAGTTGTTTTTCTGTATTATTTCTTGAAAGGAAATTTGCCAAACGTTTAGACAATCTAAAATGCTACATAAACATAGTCCGGCCCCGCCCGGTGGAATTTCTCCCAAAACAGAGCTACAGTCTCTTGCCATTTCAGCGATCCATCCCACTCAGCACCTGCTAACCCCGCAAGACAAGCAGCGGGAACGCTTGGCCGGACAGCGATATCAGTGGCCAAGCTATTGCGGTTTTATCCGGTGGGACTTGCGCCGCAACGCACACTCTGGGGGGGGGGGGGGGGTCCCCAAGCCTTGGCTTCTGGCCAACCTGTGCCTAATACATTCGGGAGTTAGGTGAGCAGGAGTGCCTCCCTCCAGGAAGAGAGTGCACATTCCATTCCAACAATCCTATCTCCGGGATTCCCACGTGGAGACGCACTGAATCCTCAGCTCTTGGGTTTGATTACTCTTCAGCACGGGGATGGGCTTTCCCGCGTGAAAAGGGTTTTCACCCGACTTGAGGGGTTTCTAAACCCAAATGTAAAGACGGACAGTAACTTGTCGTGCTGTGATCCCGGAGTAACCTTTCCCCGGGGGTGCGGAGGGATCCCTGAGCCCAGAAAACCAGCCACAGCGAGGAGTGGGAACCATAGCAACGCGTCCTCCTCACCTCGCCTCGCCGCCATCTTGTCCTGCAGCAGCAAACCTCCCCGCGCGCGACCATCCGCCAAGGAGGTCACCACATGAGACAAGCGGAGCCCCACGTGGCTGCGTTGAGCTGGAACAGCACCGGTCCTCCAGTAAGAGGTTCCCCCTATCGCATCTGATGAGTACAAGCAGCAAGTACCCCAACACACACACACACACACACCCCTCCCCAGCCTCACTGATGTGATTTTCTCAGATTATTCATTAAAACATCGCTTTGACCTTCACTGCAATTAAAACTTTGCACTTGTTTTATTTTTCGAATCGATCGTAATTCTGCTGGGCAGAAACATCCCGAGCTGATCAACAGTAAAAGTACAAAAAAATAATGGGATACAAACATGATAAATACTCTTACAAAATATAGAATTTTCTGTTATTGCAGGTAGTTTAAAAAGTGACTTCAGGACCTGCTGTGATCGACATCTCGTTCGTTCAGCGATGATGTCCTGTAGGGATGAGATGTTAAATTGAGGTCCTGTCTGCTGGTTCTGGAGGATGTTAAAGGTCCTATGGCACGAACTGGAAGCGTTTCACCCAGTATTCCTTCCTTATCCACCGCCCCACCCACTAAAAAGCTTCATCTCATCGCCGGCCTCAGGTAGTAGCCACGATTTGCCAAGATAAGTCACTACATTTAAGAGTAACTCTTAGTGTTTTGCCAGTTTAAGAGGTTTCGGTGTGATAAAGTGCTGTATCAAACACAGGGATTGTTACTGTGTTGAGGAGTTCACAGATGATCCAGCTGCCAGCAGGTGGGCTACCGCCTGAAATTCCAGACCATCAGTCATAGACTACGACACTGAGGAAACAAAAATAACATCAAATGAGAATGTGAATCAAATCAAAATCAAATCTCATTCTCACAGGTGGCTGGTGACTGTTACTGCTCTATTATTCACTAAGGCTGCGCACACTTTGCCAAAGGCACAGTACGTATAGTCTTCTCTTCATCCATCCAATGCTTGAAGCTGGACAAAAGTGGAAAACCATTCACTATCTCCCCCGCACAACAGCTCAATGGTAAAACAGTGCTTAGTGTGGCACTGAGCCAGGAATGGGACGGTTCATGTCCCAAAACTTCCTGATACTTTCCTTCGATCATTCCGCCTTGCTCTGTCCCTCCCCACCTTCAAATCGACAGCAACAACTTGCACTTATATAGCGTCCTCCATGCAGGGTAGTGTCTCAGAGTGCTTAACAGTGGCTGAACCTGGCTCTGAGTATGGTGGGGGTGAGGTGACCATAAGCACGGTCGAAAAGGAAGGTTTTAAGTTGGGACTTGAAAAAGGGGAGAGAGGGAGCAAAGTGGAGAGATTGAGGGAGTATTCCAGGAGTTTCGAGGTGTAGTGGCTGAAAGTGGAGCAGAGGGGGCAAGGGACAAGCAGGAGACCGGTGCCAGTGGAGCGGAGGTGCTGGGTGGTGGATTGGGGAATGAGGAGGTCGGAGAAGTCAGGAGATGCCAGGGAGTGAAGGGATTTGAACACCAGTGTGAGGATCTTGATGTTGATTCGTTTGGTGATGGGGAGTCAGTGGAGCCTGGCCAGAACTGGTGAGATGGGGGTACGGAGTTTGGTCTGGGTAAGTATGCAGGCAGCAGAGTTCCGAATGAGCTGGATTTTTTTGAATAGTGGAGTTGGGTAGACCGGCGAGGAGAAGTGCATTTGAGTAAACCCGCCTAAAGACCTTCCTTTGATTGTGCCTATGATCACCTCCCCTCTCCCTCTCAGCTCGTTGTCAGACTCCGCCACTGTGAAGCCTGACAGGAGTGTAGCCATGTGTGCAATGGGACTCCCAAACCTCCACCACTGACAACTGGACTGACTGAGCCAGACCAACAAGAGATGCCGACGATGAGAGCCGGTCCCCACCCTGCACAGAGCACAGTCAGGCCTGTCATCGCGGTCAGATCACTCGTATTTACACTTGGGAGATGTCTTGCTCTGGGAAAGGCAAGCTAGCCGTGAGCATCAATACTGTTCTCACCTTGAGAAGCTTATCAAAGCCACCAGCACCAGAATCAGTTCTAAGACATAAAAGACCAGCAGGATAGCATTAATGATCAGCTCTACCCTCAGAACGTAGGTCTGCAGCAGCATGTAATACACGGCCATCAATGCAGATGGAGCGAGCAGCCCCAGGCTGATCGACAGAGGCAACTTCCGCTGGCACAGATTCCCCTTGGACCCTGTGGTAGAGAAAACAGAGTCATTAGATGCCTTAAGAACAAACTGCACTGGTCCCTATCATTGGTTCATAGAGTTCAATGGAATGGGAGCTCATGTGCAGCAGTGCTGTTGTCGAGAGACACAAGGCAGGTGTTAAAAATGATAAAGGGATTTGATAGGGTAGCTACAGAAAAACTATTTCCTTTGGTGGGGAATCCAGAACAAAGTAGCATCATCTTAAAATCAGAGCTAGACCATTTAGGAGTGAAATCAAGAAGCACTTTTTCACTAAAAAGGGGAATGGAAATCTGGAACTCTACCCCAAAAGGCTGTGGTTGATGGATCCATTCAAATTTTCAAGAACGAGGTTGATAGATTTTTGCTAGGTAAGCATATCAATAACAACACTTGTATTTTATAGTGCCCTTCACTCAGAGTAGCGTCCTGGAGCGCTTCAAATATCACAGGCGAGTAAATGGAGTTGAGGTACAGATCAGCCATGATCCAATAAAACTTATTCTGAACTCAGGATTTATTTCTATTCCCCAAATCCCATCTTGCTATCCTGGGAGAAGCTGCTGACTGGGATACGGGAGCCGGTGCCTTGCCCAAGTGACAGTGTTCATGTGAGGCCAGACAGTGACCATGTCAGTGACAACAGTGGCCTACGTCAGGCAGCAACAGCCAGCTCTCTGTGACTCATAAACATTTACAACTTAACATCAATGTTTTTATACACGCTGCTCTGTACGGTCTTGCTCTTCCCTACCTCTGGGACTTGCTAAAACCGTACCATCCCGCTCGCTCCATCCACTCAGTGGGCATGTCCCCCATCCTACCCACTTCACCATTGGTGATCGGATCTTCAACCTTTCTGCCCCCGCCCTCTGGAACTCCATTGAGGAGTCCCTTCACCTCTCCCCGTCTCTTGCCTCCTTCAAGGCCCACCTCAAGACTCTCCTCTTCAACTGCGACTTTGGTCATCTTCCTACCACTAACCACCTTGCTCCCATCCCTCTTGAATTCAACCCTCAGCTCAGGTGCAAACCCTCAACTGTTCAGCGCCTTGGGAGGTCCTCCCAATGTGAAAGACAATTTGTTTGTTGTTGTCGCTGACAATCAAGACTCGTAAACTATGGATAATTACAGCCCACGTGGGAAAATATTTGCTTCTCCGGGGATTAATATAGAAGAATGAAACCACTTACCAAAGAATATTCTTATTACTTCAATTCCAAGAAACAGGAAGAGCATCACCAGGTCCAGAGTCAGGTTTGGAGATACATAGGGTAAGAGCAGACCTACAATGCACACAGGAACATTACTGGTGTAGGCAATATCAGCCCTACTGGATTACACACAGGAACATTGCTGATGTAGGATAAGAGCAGACCTCTAAGATATAGGCTGTGTTTCTTAATCTGAAGGCAGTGATAGGAAGTGGGCAAAGTATCCTGAGGAGGGAATAAATGATTCCATCCGGGTTCATTCCAGGAGTCACGTACACCCATTCAAACATAGGGTGATGGTGGGATACCATACAATACAAAATTACATTTGTAAAGCTCCTTCCACGTCAGGAGGACGTCCCAAGGCGCTGGATGGGATGCATTAGGCTACGGACTTGCATTGTCCAGGGACAAACATGTGCCATATCAAGGCGTTTTAGCTCACAGTCAGGCTGATGCTCCAGTACAGTGCTGTTGGGGGTGGGGGTGCTTTGTTGGAAGAACTGTTTTTTGAATATGAGACATTAAACCGAGGTGCCTGTTCAGGTGGATAGGTGGATATTAAAGATCCCGTGGAAAAGAGAGGAGCATTTCTCCCGGTGTCCTGGCCAACAATCCCTCAGATGTCAGTCTGCAGGATACTGCACGGTGCTTACAAATCCACAGTTACTATACCTGACAATAATTCCCTGTGAAGCGCTTTGAGGGGGTAACAATCCCTTAAAAAAAATAATAAATTGGTCACTTCAATGCACGACTGTTTGTGGGATGCTGCCGTGTGCAATTGGCTGCCCCATTTCACCCACAAAATACACAGTCAATTCACTTTATAGTATGTTCTGTGAAGCACTTTGAGACGTCTCACAGATGTGATAAGGCGCTATATCAAATGCAAGGGTTATTATTATTACTATTTTTCCATTACAGGACCAAAAGCAACAATGATTATTATAACTAGCGACAATCGTCCCTGCTCTCTGCCTCGGGATTTTGTTTTAAATGCATCTTGTTTCTGCATCACCTGTTATTAAACACTGTAAACATTCAAAGTAAGGAGTTAAATACTAAACCACAGAAAACCAAGTGGAATCTGACTTTTGTATATGAAGAGGAGGATCTCTGCCACAAAGTACACAGCATAGTACCAGCTGTTCAGAAACAACAGGACTTCCAGGGGCATCAAGGAAAGCTGAGGGCAAAGCGTGAAGGAAATGCCACATATACAAAATCTGATTCACTTCTCTGCTGACCTGGCAAGTTTACCCAGGGAGTAGTTAGGATAACACAGCCAGGAAAGGTCCCAGATTTCATCCCTGGTCTGTCCTGATTTAGCAGATTAAGGAGCTGGGAGATGGCAATATGTAATCCTCTCCTCTCTCTCCCCCACCCCCACTACCCCCGCACTCAAGTAAATTTGTTTCGCCTCCCAAAATACACAGTCAATCTACTTTACAGTATATTCTGAGAAGCACTTTGACACGCCTTGACTAGTGGATAAGGCGCTATATCAAATGTAAGGATTATTATAATCGTGGACCATCTTCAGTTTACAAAAGGATACAACTGGAATAGAGTTTCCTGCAACACAAGGAAATCTATGTTAGTGGCTGCTGTAATGTACCGAGCTGATAAGGTGCTGAAACCCTGTGTCAGAGTTTTTGGAGGTTCTGAAACCCCCTGTGTGGGGCTGGGGTGGGCTGAGCCCCCATGTGGGGCTGAGCCCCCCTGTGTGAGGCTGGGGTTGGGCTGACTCCCTCTGTGTGTGGGGGAGGGGGTGAGCCCCTCTGTGTGGGGCTGGGGCAGGGCTGAGCCCCTCTGTGTGGGGCTGGGGTGGGGGGTTGGGATGTGGGGTGGGGTGTGGGGGGGGGGGGGGTGTGGGGCTGGGTGGGGGGGGGGGGGGGGGGGTGGGGCTGGGGTGTGGGGGTTGGGGTGGGCCCCTGTGTGGGGTGGGGGGTTGGGGTGGGGGGGGTGGGGTGTGGGGGGGTATGGGGTTGAGCCCTCTGTGTGGGGTGGGGGGGTTGGGGTGGGGGGGTGTGGGGGGGTATGGGGTTGAGCCCCTCTGTGTGGGGTGGGGGGGTTGGGGTGGGGGGGGTATGGGGTTGAGCCCCTCTGTGTGGGGTGGGGGGTTGGGGTGGGGGGTGTGGGGTGTGGGGGGTGTGGGGTTGAGCCCCTCTGTGTGGGGTGGGGGGTTGGGGTGGGGGGGTGTGGGTGTGGGGGGGGTATGGGGTTGAGCCCCTCTGTGTGGGGTGGGGGGGGTGGGGGGGGGGTGGGGTGTGGGGGGGTATGGGGTTGAGCCCCTCTGTGTGGGGTGGGGGGTTGGGGGGGGGGGTGTGGGGTGTGGGGGGTTGGGGTTGAGCCCCTCTGTGTGGGGTGGGGGGGGGTGGGGGGGGTATGGGGTTGAGCCCCTCTGTGTGGGGTGGGGGGTGTGGGGTGGGGGGTTGAGCCCCTCTGTGTGGGGTGGGGGGGTGGGGGTGGGGGGTGTGGGGTTGAGCCCTCTGTGTGGGGTGGGGGGGTTGGGGTGGGGGGGTGTGGGGTGTGGGGGGGGTATGGGGTTGAGCCCCTCTGTGTGGGGTGGGGGGGGTTGGGGTGGGGGGGTGTGGGGTTGAGCCCTCTGTGTGGGGTGGGGGGGTTGGGGTGGGGGGTGTGGGGTGGGGGGGGTGGGGTTGAGCCCTCTGTGTGGGGTGGGGGGGGTGGGGTGTGGTGGTGGCGGGTGGGGGGTTGGGGTGTGGTGGGGGGGGTGGGGTGGTGGGGGGGTTGGGGTGTGGGGGGGGTGGGGGGGGTTGGGGTGTGGGTCTCCCGTGTAATAAAATCACCGTTCAGACATTCCCTCACTCACCTTTCCTCACCATTTTGTCACCATAACTACGGTTGACCTCACTTCCTGGTAACGGGGGCGGGGCGCTCCGCGTCGTGACGTCACTTCCTGGTTACGAGCCTCAGCACCAGCCTCCTCTCCGGAGACGCGCCGATGGACGTGGGTTCGTGTCGCGTTGCTGTGGCTCAGGGGTCACAATGCAAAATTACATTTGCACAACGCCTTTCACGTCGGGAGGACGTCCCAAGGCGCTGGACAGACAGGGATGGGGACCCGAGCTGGGGAAGGGTGGACAGGATCAGGGAGGGCAGAGGTACCAGAGTGGCCTCAGGCGCAGTCCAATAGGAGGGTCTTGAGACAGACCCTGAAGGAGGCAAAGGGAGGGAGCGAGACCTGCAGGGCCTGTGGAATAGAGATCCTGCAGCTCAGTGGTTAGAGCACTCGCTTCGCAAGTGAGAGACCTGAGTTCAATTCCAGGCAGAGGGAGAAACCTTGAGCAAGTTTCCTTACTCCACACAGAGCCTAATAATAATCCCTCCAAAACCAAAAACAATAATAAATTGGTCATTTTCAATCCACGGCTGTTTGTGGGACATTGCTGTGCGCAATTGGCTGCCGCGTTCGCCCACAAATATACAGTCAATTCACTTTACAGTGTATTGTGTGAAGCGCTTTGGGACGTCCTCCTGACATGAAAAGCGCTATATCAAATGCAAGGATTATTATTATTATTATTATCCAAAGGGCGGGGGCAGAGAGGCTGGAGGCCTGACTGCCGATGGTGGGGCGTGCTGGGCGGGGGACATGGAACAAGCCGGAGCCTGCTGAGTGGACAGGTTAATATGGGATTAGCAGGTCAGATGTAAGCAGGAGCAAGGTCACAGAGGGCCATGAAGGATTTTGAACTCCTCTGGGGGATGGGGAGCCGGGCGAGGGTAGGGGCGCTAGGGTCACGGAGCCTTGTGCAGATACACCCAATTTGTACATCTCGTAAGCAGTCACACAGCGAGCGATTCACAGAGAAGCATTTGTTTGCTGATTTCTTCAAACGTTTAATACAAAAGTACAATTTTATAACGTTACTAGAAAAGGACAATTACAAAAGTGTTCATAATACATCTCCTACACTTAAAACAAACTTACAATCAAAATTACACGCGATCATTTTGGTTTAAATGGCAATAAGTGTTCATTACAAAGTAATGACAAGGTTAGTGTTTACAATATGGTACAAACTTCTGCCCCAAATTTAAATAAAAACGTTGAATTGGAAATCTGAGCAGGCCTATCTTACCAATGGCTTTCATTTTAATTCAGATATAAAATGTAAAAAAAAATCTGAGGACTATACATGCAACCCTCGCTGAAATACACAGCAAAATTCAAACCAGTACAATTCATCAAGCGCAGACACGAGATCAGCAGCTGGAGAAATATCCGACCCACCATATCTTGGTGTCATTTCAGAGGGTGCTATCAGCCAAGCACTCACCCCCTCCATCCCATACCCCGTTTCCCATTAGCTCTCAATATGAGCAACACTCATGTGAACACTCATTGACGCCTCTTTGCCTCCTTTAGACACACAAAGTCCTTCATATTAACCAATCATTAATCTCACAGGGCTAGTGCAAGATAGAAACCACTTTACAAAAAATGTCACAACCGTTACAAGCGTTGAGACTTTTGGTGTATAAGGCTCTATGAAAGTGCAAGTCCTTACTACAGTGGCAGCGATCAGAAACTCGTGAGGTGGCAGACATGTTACAGCCCTGTTCTGGGGGCCATTGCTGTCTGTTTCAATAGAATTTTGTTGGCTGGAGTGATTCCGTGGTCTGCAATTACATCAGGCAATGTTTCCTGAACGTCAGAAAATGGCCTCTTTGAGTTGGAAGTTACTTCATTTGGGATATAATATTTGGCTAAAGCTGATACGAGAAAATAAAAGCAAAGCCCTCACACCATCGGATTCAATTAAAAAAATATTAAAAATTGCTAAATGGAATTCCACAAAGTTAACGCCCATTTAGCCATAGAAACAATCAGGGTGACCGCTCTGCTTTCACAGTGAAATGTGCATCAAAGATGTCCTTTTACTGCTTGAAATTCAGAAAATAAAAATTTTCGACATGTGTGCACAGATCAGAAGAGTCTCCAAAAATATTCCTCCTTCACACCGTCCTGAACGATAGCTAAAATAAACTTTTATATCTCATCAAGTTACAAATTGGGCTTTAACCATAAAAGACACTTTCTTTTGTGTAAAAACATGTCTGTGTGTAGCCTGCTCCCGTTAAGGTATCACACCCTGTGAACCACAGTCAATGCTGACAAGATCTCATTTTTGGACACGAATGAACTCTTTTCTGAGCCATTCTGAATCTTCATAAAGTCGAGGGTCCCCGAGGGAGATGATGGTTCTCTTGTAGAAATAATAATATAAAACACCAGCTGCAGAGGAACAAAAGGGAGCGTCAGGTAAGGTTAGTTAGTGCTTATCCCTGCCACTCAAGCTTTCCCCCTGGATACCAAAGGCCCCGTGACTCGGTTTGGAAAAGATAAGGGAGTTTCTCCCCGTGTCCTGGCCAACAACCCTCCAGTTAAGTTGATAATTTGTCTAGCCCATAAAATATTCAGTTAATTCACTTTATAGTATATACAGTATATTTGAGACGTCTCGAAGACATGATAAGGTGCTGTATCAAATGCAGGGATTATTATTATTATAAAACCATGGCTGTTTATGGAATCCTGCTATGTGCAAACTAGATGCTGTGTCTGCTTACAAAAACAGTCAATACAACAAATTACATTTGCGAGGGTCTCAGCTTCACTATGTGTGAGTTAATCCCTCTCCCAAGACCTTTACACTTTAGCTCTTTCCAAACCATTCCCCAGTGACAGCATCTGTAGTCACTGCTAACAGAGCATCACTGTGGAAAAAGCAATGTTCACTCACTGACCCGGTTACTTTTGAAAGTTTGTTAGTGGTTAGAAAGAGCTTAATGATAATAATAATACTTGCATTTGATATAGTGTCTTTTCGCATTGAGATGTCTCAAAGCGCTTCACAGGATATTAAAGTGGAGTGACTGTGTATTTTGCGGGCACAACATGGCAGCCAGTTGCACACAACAATGTCGCTCAAACAGCCATGGAGTGAGTGATCAATTTTATTTGGGAGGATTGTTGGCCAGGACACCGTGAGATAGTGTGGAAAGTGTGGGAATGTAACATCTTTGGGCAATCGCAAAAGTTACAGAATAAGCAAAGGCAATGAGACAAAACATGTGTAATGGTTAGCACTCTGGACTCTGAATCCAGCGATCCGAGTTCAAATCTCGATGGAACCTCCAACGTGATTGGTTTAGGAATTTTCCTAATACCCTCTATCCTATCGGGGGATAGCTGACGGGTGTCCTGACACAAGTCATGTCCCAGATAACGGACCTGTGGTCTTACAAGTTGCAATTTATCCCTAGCCACTTTGTGTCCCTTCACAACCAATTGTTGTAATAAGTATTTAGTGTCTTTTTCGCAATCTTCCACAGAGGGACTGGCAATCAGTAGATCGTCCACATACTGGATCAGGGTAGACTTCCCTGGGAATTGTAAATCTTGCAAGTCATTCCGCAAAGTTTGGGAAAAGATAGTGGGGCTCTCACAATACCCATTCTCTTTTTGAACAGTGCTTTAACATCCACCTGAACAGGCAGATGGGATCTCGGTTTAATGTCTCATCGGAAGGACGGCACCTCTGACAAGTCAATACATCCCCAGCGCTGCATTGGAGTGTCAGCTCTATGTGATTCCCAGTCGCGACGTGGGGCTTCAACCCACAACCTCTGACTTGAGACTAGTGTTACTAACTGAGCCAAGCTGATACAATGCTATGAGATCTCTCAATGGAGAGGAACGTAGGATTGTGCTATAACCAGAAAAGACTATGAAGTCTGACCGATCCTATTTTGAAAATACAATTATTCTCAGTCTCCAATTCCCCCATCGTATACCCATCTCAACACAGAGCATGATATTGGGGCACATTCAGCTTGCCCAGAGCACACAGTTTAATTAGTGGCAGCTTCCTTACTGATCCGCTGGAAGGCGAAAAATGTCTGAAGTGCATCTGTCCACAAATACCAGCTGGGGAGCAACCATCGCACTTTCTGTAAGAAACAGGAGTGTAGTGAGTATGAGTGGGTAGAGAAGGTCAGGACGCAGACATACAGCAAGCACCACGGGTCAACACTTACACAAGGCTGGCAGTGACAGGGCATTTACCCACCACCTAATGAGATTATCAATATAAGCAAGCCAAATCCCTCTGACCTTCTCATTCAGTTTCTGCAGATTGAGGCAGCAGCAGACCAGATCCAGCAGTATGATCACAGGCCAGTCTTCACAAGTGCAATTATACTAAATTAAATTGTCCACAAATCAGCACTGATCCAGAATCTTAATTGAAGTTGTCAGAAGGATTGCTGGTGCAGAAAATGGAAACATCAAATACCTTACGCAGCAAACGTAGCAGGAGCTTTACTCTGTCTCTAACCCGTGCTGACACTGACCTGTGCGAGTGTATGTGAGAGGCCCGGGAAGAGCCCCGTTTCATGAGCAGAGGAAACGAGCAATGGAGTTGGGTGGGGAGAAGATCAGAGACACAGGAAGGTGCTAGGCCATGAATATAATAATAATAATCCTTGCATTTGATAAAGCGCTTTTCACATCTTCTCGACGTCTCAAAGCGCTTCACAGAATATACTGTGAAGTGAATTGACTGTATATTTGTGGGCAAAACTCGGCAGCCAATTGCGCACAGCATGTCCCACAAACAGTCTTGGATTGAAAATGACCAATTTATTATTGTTTTGGAGGATTATTAGGCCTGTGGAGTAAGTAAACTTGCCCAAGGTTTCGCCTTGCCTTGTGTGGTGCACATCCACAGGTATGAAGAGACATCAAGGGACCATGTTGTAAGGAGGCACATGGTCAAGATGCCTGCCTTGACGTTACTTTCTGCCCAGGAATAACCATGAAGGGCAAGGACGCTGACAATGATCTGCTGGGAGACAGGGATACAGTGGGAGACAGGTTTCCTCACTCTCTCTCTCATCAACAGTGACTGAACCTGTCGTCACTGCACCCCTGCTCTCTCCAAACCCTCCATCTTAGACTTTGCCTTTGGACAATGTGGTCAATCACTTCCTCATCTCTTCCCTGCAGGACGCTCCCCAATGTCCTGGTGACGTTGTTGGAGACGTTGATGACCAGTGAAAAACATTGTGTGAACATCAGCTTGCCTGCTCGTTTCAGCTCACTTACCAGAAGTGAAACGTGAAAACCAATAGTCAGCCCCAAGTAGGTAATCGAGATGAAAATAGTCCCTTTAAACTTGTGAATCAGCAGTTTGACCAACCCAGCTTGGAAGATGAAGGTGTTGAAGAACATGAGGAAGATTATGATAATATTGAAGAGGATTCCGATGTCCTGAACACTGGGGGAGGGAAGAAAACATTACATTTTAAAAGCAAGGTGATATTTATGGAAAGAACTGCAGCAAATATAATAACTTATAATTTGCATTAATAATTATTGACAAATTTGATCCAGTGCCTTATCGCATTGAAACATCTCAAAGCACTTCACAGAGTTTGTTGTTTGTTGCTGTCCAATCCCCCAGATAAAATTGGTCAGTTACCGCCTGATCATTTGTGCGTCACTGTTGTAAGCAAATTGGCTTCTGCGTTTGCCTACAAAATACACACATCATTCTGTGAAACGCTAGAGGTGTTTTGATGCTGTAACCATCGTATCAAATGCAAGGTTTAATTATTATTTATATTGTACAAACATTATATCATTTTCCAATTATTGCCCATCAGGTGTGTTTCCTTTCAAGTGTGCATTCTATTCGAACAGTCTATCCCTGGAATTTCCATGTGTAGGTGGGATGAATGGAATTCCGCATTGGGTTTGGATACTCTTAAGTATGGTGATGGGTGTCCGCATGTGTCAGACACCTGGATGACCAAAAAAAATAATCTTTTCAATCCTTTCAATGTCAGGCTCCCTTGCATCACCCCTCTCTATGTCCTGAAAAGGGTATGTATTAGGCCAAGCCATTGGCTAGTCTCAGTCAATGTCAGCGCAGAACCATACTCACATGAAGAGCACCAGGGCATTGACCAGATCGTCTCGTAGAAGCTCGGAGAAAGAGTTAACAAACAGGTCGTAGGCCAGCAAGAGGAACTGCAGTGACAGCACAAGGCTGTAATTTGCCGTCTGGAGCATTCCCCTGTTGCGTCAGGGTCGGCCACACTGAGAATCAACGGCACATGAGCTGACAAGCATGGTCTGTTCAACAACCTGAAACACAGAGATGCCGGTTAACCCGAGTAACAGCTATCCTCGCTCCTGATCCAGTGCCTAGGATGTCAAGAACATCTCAAAGCATTTCACTCTATAAAGTACTGACTGTATCTGTGGGCAAAAGCTGCGACCTATTTGTACACAGCAATGTGCCACAAACAATCATGAAGTGAGCGTTTATTTGGGGGATTGTTAGCCAGAACACCTCTTTTCAAATAATGTCATGGGATCTTTAAAGTCCACCTGAACAGGCAGACGGAACTTCGGTTTATCTGATGGATAGCACCTCGACAATGCAATGCTCCCCTAGCACTGCCTTAGGAGTGTCAGCCTTGACTGTGAGCTTGAAGTCCCAAAGTGGAGCGTGAACCTTCTCACCCAGAGGCAAGAACACATCCGACTAAAACCCTAACACTGTATCACATGGAATGCAATATTGCAGGACATAACCCAGCCTCAGAGAGTTAATGTAGAGCAGAACACAATACTAATTCAGTTGTCTTTCTAAATTGAGAAACTAGGTAAGCTTGAGCTCTTCAGGCTTAAGAGACGTCATACAGGGACCTTGTGAAAGTACAGAGTATATTAACAGGATAGACAATGTAAACCCAGGACAATACTTTCTGATTCACCAAGCAATCAGGACAAGAGGGTAATTTTATCTGGCGGGTTCACGGATGTGAAGGATAAGTTTAGAGCAGATACTAAGAATATTGTGGGTTTAAGCCCATGTTCAGACTTTGAACCTATATTCCAATACAATGTTGTGGAACACTGCATTGTCAGAGGTGCCATCTTTTGGATGAGATATTAAACTAAAGTCCTGTCTGCTTGTTCAGGAGGATGTTAAAAATCCCATGTGTAGGGTTCGAATAATTCATGACCCTACAGTGAAGTGTGAACTGACACAAATTTCCTTTTAAGTAGTAAAATTTAATAAAAGATCATCAATGTTATGCATATCAAATTTATACGTTTCATCAAATCAAATTAATGTTTACAATGGATTAGTAATCAAATTAATGCTTATGACAAACTAGTAAATTTCACTGCAATGAGTTGATCAGATCGATATAGTGGCTTTGATGGAGGAAACGACTTGTTAATGTTGGTCAATTCACATTGATTGTAGTATATCCCTCTTTCCTCGAGATTGGTGGCGGTTAGCTGCTCCGTTCCCAAAACTCAGCTCTTCTCCTATTGTTGAGAATTAATCTTACATTTATACCTTGTAAAGAGATTCACATCGACCTTGTCAAGACATCTGGAAACTAAAAACTTCCACTAAAAACATTTTTTGAGTCAGACAGTCTCCTCCTGCCACCAATATCCATAGTGGTCAACATTCCCTCGCCTTTAGCAAAATTCCAACAGTTTGTTTCAAACGAGCCTGAGTACCACAGATTTAACATCCATTGTGTACCTAACAACAAGAATTCTGCCCACGGAGAGAAACATATGAGCGATGATGCTGAAACTTTGTCTGTAAACGTGTTTCCACTTGTTTTCCATTGTCCTTGGCCTTCATGCAATTGAATCATATAGTCGGCTTTTAGGAAGTAAACATGAGTCCATGAGTCTTTGCGATTTTCCTTGGTCAATTTAAGACAACTCAGAATTCTGGGATTGCTTACACATGGCACGATTTAAAAAGAGAATGGAGTTTCTCCCTCTCTCTGTGTCCTGGCCAACAATAACATTTGTCATTCACTTCATGAATGTTTGAGGAACATTGCTCTGTGCAAATTGGCTGCTATGTTTGCCTACAAAATACACAGACACTGCACTTTATAATAAATCCTGTGAAGTGCTTTGAGACATTGACATAAACTGTTTTATCAAATGCTAGAGTTCTTATTTTACCCAGAGCCTGAACAGAGCCTGATCCTAAATTACCCCAAAATAAGGGGCAACACGCCACAAAATTAGCATAGTTTCCCAGGTACATAATACTCAGGCACAGCTCTCATCGTGTCCAAATCCACGAGGAACAGTAATCTAACAATCTATTTCTGGGATTTCCACGTGTAGATGGGATGCAGGGAATTATCAGTTTGGTTCGGATACTCTTAAGCAACTTGTAGGCAAACACGGTAATCAATTTGCACACAGCAATATCTCACAAACAGCCATGATATGAATGACAGGTTTATCTGGCAGATTTTGGCCATGACACTGGGAAAACTCCCTTCTCTTTTCCAATATCAGCTTGGGATCTTTAACATCCACAAGAAGCGAACGGAATCTCGGTTCAACATCTCATCTGAAAGAGGCACCTCTGACAGTACAGCAGTCTCCCCCAGCGCCGCATTGGAATCTCAGCCTGAAATGTGAGCTCAGAGATCCTGATGTACTGCTTGTCCTTCTGAGACGAGAATGATTCTAAGTGAGCCAGGCTAAGAATCATTCTCATCTGTGGTTCGGAAGGCTTCAGAATAGATGGAGGCTTTAGCCACATCAAAGGATTATAGTTACATTGAAGGCCCCCAATCATTTCAACAACAACTCGCATTTATACAGCGCCCCCTCATGCAGGGTAGCTTCCCAGAGCGCTTGACAGTTGAGTACGACACCGAGCCGGGGGGAGGTGACTGTAGGAACGGTCGAGGAAGTTCTTCAGGCGCAACCTGAAGATGGGGAAGGAAAGGGCAAGGCAGAGGGATAGAAGAAGTGTTTCAGGGTTTCAGGGCTTAGTGGCTGAAAGAACAGCCATCAATGGTGGAATGGAGGAACGAGGGACATGCCAGTCGAGCAGAGGCAGTCGGTTGGGTTTCAAAGTAAGCCTAGCCTCGCTCGGAAAAATAATCTGTCACCTCTCCAGGTAGAATCTCGTCGCTGCTCCCTCCCAAGCTCCTGGGTCTGCTCACTAGCTGGGGAAAGCCACTGTTGTCCACACTTCTTTCTTTCAACTCCTACAAGCTCCTGCATGGACCAGACAGCAGGGTCCTGGCCAGCATCTTTCATTTTGCATAGAGCAAAGGAGCAGCGCTCAGAATTCCAACGCAGTGAGGCCGCAGAGAGCAGCAAGCAGCTCAGGATCATCCCAACCTAATCCAATTACATTTTCCTCCAATCCACTGCCCTCAGGCTCCGATTCATGCATTCCACAGGGTCTTACAGCAACAGAGCCTCTCCCCCAACAGGAGGCCAGTCCAGCCACTGTATTAGTGTCAGTGTTTGCTCCTCCACTCAAGCCATCTACCCAATTCCCTGCTTGTTCATCATCCCTTCTATTTCCCTTGTTAATTTCTCTTTGCACCTCATTATCAAGAGGCTTGTGGTCCCCCAAGTGTGCATTGGGTATCTGTTGGGAGTCTAACCAACTTAAAACCATATGTTTGCCATTACGAGCACTATCTGGCAAACTTTCCTGCTGCTTGTCCAGCTAGGACCACCCACTTGTTAGGACTTTGACTTGCAAGGTTAAGGGGAACTGAGTGGGAAGAGTCCCTGCCTCCAGTGACTGGTCCTGCCGATGAGCCAGACTGGGCTGTGCTGTCATCAACAGTGCCTTGGGAGTACTGCGGACTGCCTTGCTCAGGAACTGGACAACTGAGACCACCATAGAGGGTGGGCTCGATTCTGACATTCTGTTGGATCATCCACCAGTGGAAATAGCTCCTTACTATCCATCCACTACCTAAACTGCAGTGCCATTTACTGAGGAAATGTTACTGAGCTTGGCTCTGCTTCTTGCTGATGCGCATCTTTCTGAGCTCAGGCTCCATGTGACAACCTGTCTCATGTTGATTACAGCTGTTAAGTTCACCAACTTTTAGCCTGAAAAGTCTGTTTCACAACATGATCACACAGACTTACATCACAGACTATATTTGGCTTGTTGCATAAAGGACTTGTCCTGCATTAGGAGTCAAACAGGTCTTATCAGCTGCATTTTATAACTGTGAGGAAATAAATCAAAGCCACATATTCTTGCCATCCCATTTGATGCTCAGTGTTAGTTGATCACATGCAAAGCCCATAGATCATTATCCATCGTCATCATAAGGCTCCCAGTTACACAATGGAGTGCTCGTGGGTGGAGTACATTGGAGGACAGCAACACTCAGAAAGATAAATTTTCTGAATGGGGATATTGGTTCAGTGCTGCGTAGGCAGTGGGTGCCTTTACCTAGGAGGCCATCAGAAGAATTAATATCACACTTCAAACTGGAGAATTAAACCAAAGGTCACAAGAGGTCATGAAGAGATCAGGAGGCCCTTCGGTCCATCTAATCTCCTCCTCTCAGAATCCCTACAGTACCGTCCTCCCATTACAGCATCAATTATGGTCAACAATTCCCCAAATAAAATTGATCACTCACTTCATGGTTGTTTGTGGGGCAATGCTGTGCACAAACTCACTGCTATGATTGTGCACAAAACACACGGTAAATAAGACTGAATTTAAGAATATTCCAGTTTTGCATGATTACACTTTACAGTATATATCCTGTGAGGCGATTTGGGAAGTTATCCTGATTTAATAAGGCCCTATATCAAATGCAAGGATGATTAATATAATATATTACAGCTTGTACAGCAAGCTATGGAAAGGATCCGTGCTAAGCAGATTAACCTAGAGGCAGAATTACATAGATGGTATTTTACTTTACAGGATTGGAAAGAACACTGTAAGAGGGCAGCTCAGCCTCTATACTGCTTGGATTGAAGTCACAAAAATTAGGTACAGCAGTTCCCTTCTCATCCAAATGTCACACCGTTCTGTGGAGTCCCCGTCACTAGTATTGTGAGGCTCCGATAACAGACATTATTCTGAAATACTGACCGTGCAAAGGGCGACTTCAAGGACAGTATAATCTGATTTCTTTAATCAGGATTCCCTGTGCACTCACTCAATATTAGTCTCCGACACAGTTTTGAAGAAGTGAGTTGGGGAAGTCCACACATACCGGAGATTGCTGGTTACTGTTGCTGGTTTGTGATACGCACCACAAACATACAATAGGCAATAACTGAGCAATGGCCCAGGGGCACTGAGGCCAATTATTGCCTCCAACTGCTCTCAAGGAGCCTGAGGCCAGCTAACACAGTGACTGCACTTTACAGTATACTCTGTGAAGCGCTTTGAGATGCCTTGAAGACCTGATAAGGCGCTGTATCAAATGCAAGGATTATTATTATTATTATAACCCAGGCTACGAACTCAAGTCTCAAATATCTGCCTGGACCAGCGGTGGCCGACCACTGCGGTCAGCCAACAAAATACATTTTCTTAATTGAATAATCCTGATTCGCGCCGTAAAATCAAGAAAATCCGATCGACCGAAAAACCTGGAATTGCATCGACGAACTGAATCCGGACAACAACAACAACAACAACAAGATTCCATTTATAAAGCGCCTTTCACGTCAGGAGGACGTCCCAAGGCGCTGCACAGTTGGGTCAGGACGCACCTCGACGGGCGCGAATGTTCGGGGCCGTTTCTCGAGGGGACCCCGGGGTTGGCCACCGCTGTCCTGGTCACCGTCGCCCCGTCGGACCGCGTCATCTTGACACGTGTAAGGTCACGCAAAACTGCGGCGTATTCTTACGGCTCAGCCTTTAAAATTTTCTTGCCAGTGGGAAGGACCGCGGAAAACTGGTGGCCCCGAATTCAAACCGAATTGAGGAATTTTTAATGAGCTTCACCAGTAAACCCCGTGAAGCGCTTTGAGACGCCTCGGTGACGTGACACATGCACTGCATCAAATGCCAGGATTAATAATAATAATAATCCTTGCATTTGATAGAGCGCTGTTCACGTCGGGAGGACGTCCCAAAGCGCTTCACAGAACACACTGTAAAGTGAATTGACTGTATATTTGTGGGCGAACGCGGCAGCCAATTGCGCACAGCAATGTCCCACATACAGTCGTAGATTGAAAATGACCAATTTGTTTTTGGTTTTGGAGGGATTATTATTAGGCTCTGTGTGGAGTAAGGAAACTTGCCCAAGGTTTCACCCTCTGCCTGGAATTGAACTCAGGTCTCTCACTTGCAAAGCGAGTGCTCTAACCACTGAGCTACAGGACTCCACAGGACTCGATTACTAGTAAACCTCCGCCGACTCGGCCCTCCCAGGCCCGGCACTGAGTGTGAGCTGTGCCGGGGGGGGGGGGAGCCCTGTGCCGGCCGATGGCTCACTCACCTGCTGGGCGATGGCGGAGGCCCGACACCGGGACCGACACCGGGGCCTCAATCACTCACGGGCCGCCGCTCGCATGGAAACCAGGGACGCGACGCGGCGGGAAGGTGAGCATGCGCACAGCCCGGGACTCCACACACAGCGCCATCTGCCGCTCAGTGGCGAACGCAGCACCCGGGACGGACACCAACGCACGCACGCGCACGCACGCACACGCCACAGCGCCACCTGCCGGAGGGGGTGGGGGGGTGCAACCTTACCCGCTCTGGGTCACTCTCCCGAAAGAGCCTGAGAAGCGATGACCAATTTTATCTGTGATACAACAAACAGATGATGGCTGTTTGCCACCGAACAGTTCTTTTATTGTTTGATTTTTTTTTCTAAATAAAAGGAGCCACATGTGTAACCGATGCACATTCTTCCAACTTACGTGAATACAGTCTGGATCTGCTGGTATGTCATCTCTATGGGCTCTCAGTGTTTCACTGGGTAAATAACAACAATAAACCTTGCATTCGATATAGTGCTTTATCACATTATTGAGACGTCTCAAAACTCTTCACAGAATATACTGTAAAATGAATTAACTATATATTTGTGGGTGAAGTACGGCAGCCAATTGCGCACAGCAGTGCTCCATGAACAGTTGTGGGTTTAAGTGACCAATTTTGGAGGGATTATTATCCCCAGAAAGTGACCTGCCAATCAACTAACTACTTACTGCTCGGTAAACAGAGGCGTGTGGAGTAAAGAAACTTGCCTGAGGTCCCGGGCCCTCTCATTTTCGAGGCGAGTGCTTTAACCAATACATGTGGTGTGGTAGAGACCAGGAAGGTCCCAGGCAAGATCTACATTGAGGCTCAGATAACAGACATTATTCTGAAATCTGGCTGGTGGCACAGTAATGGAATAAAGCTGCCAGGGTGCCTCTGAATTAGGCCCAGGATTCAGTTAATTAATCTTGTCTGGACTGTATAATTTGACCCAAATGTATACAGTGGACTCACAAATTCAGGTGCTTCCCTTGAACCATTGAGAGTGCCTGATTTCAGTTTATATCCTACAATTTGCATTTATATAGTGCCTTTCATGTGGGGTAGCGTCGGGGACCTCGGTTTAATGTATCATCAAAGCCGCCACCTCTTACCATTGCAGTACATCTGCAGCACTGTACCATCAGGCTAAACTGTGAACCCCAAACCTAACTCAAGAGTCAAGAGTGCTATAGTGACTGACAAACTGTTTCACTAGGAGAGTGAAGCTGTCCACAGTGGCAGTGTGATTTACTAGTTGGGGCTGTCACGGCTTCCAGTGTAAGCTATCCAATGCGTGATCGCCACATGTCATCAGGACTCTGAGTGGTGCGATGAATCTAGTATCTCGTCGGCTTTTCCTTTGGGAAGGGGGATGCCCAATGCGGTGTGATTCTGTAAGTCCCTGGCTCTGGCCACTTGCTCTGCTGAGCAGTAGTCCTCTAGGAACAAGGTGGCCAGGTTACTGAGCCGCCGGTGATTGGAGATGGAGAAGCGCAGCATGCACTCCACTACTGGCAGCCCTGTGATTGCCTCTCGGGACGCTGGGCTCATCAGATACATTAAGGTGGTGATGGCAGACAAGACTGTGTCCTCGTGCGAGCTGGATAAGCAGTTCATTACTGCCTGAACCCCATTGTTCTGTAGTATATATTCCTTATTCTCCTTGTCCAAGCACAGGTTACAGAGACCTCCTGTAAGAGACAAAGGCACACCAGGTTAAACCACCATTACAAGGCTGGGACCTGATTATGAACCCAACCCTGAGTAATTACAGGGAAACTGTCTGCAAGTGCCTCTCTGTACCTATGCCAAATTCTATAAATGTCTCGTTCTCTTCTGTGAGCATGTCCAGGAACAGGTCGATGACTTGGAGTTGGCGAAGGTACTGGTAGTTGGCAGGGTCGTAGGCAAAGTTAGCCAGGTTTGCGAGGATTTGCTCCTTCGAGTCTGAAAAGTGAAAATAAAAGACGTTAGCTTTCGTGCACTGCAGAAAACCCTGCAACTGGCACCCCCATCCCACCCTCCTAATCACTCTCGGCAGAGTGAGCATTATGTGGTACTCAGTTACAGCTTTGTCCACTAATGTAAAGGTCTATTCACCAGCCAAAGAAATGTATTCAGTTTCCTCGCCATCTCCCCTGAAGCCAAATATAAGCCAACCACTGCCCTGGCTGAGATCAGCTATCAGCACTGAGGGCAGCAGATAGGATTATAGTTGGCTTTAGTGACCCATGGACCAGGGAGGATAAAATCAGCCAGGGTTCCTGCTCCTGTTTGTTATCTAGACAACTTCGTCTCCACCCCATCGCTGGAACATGCATTGTGTGTAGATAGGATCGAGCCCAGCTGCGGTCTCTGTGGTTTCTCCTGGTGTCCTGGCCTACAATTCCCCAGGTAAAATCAGCCATTCGCTACATGGCAGCTTGTGAGACATTGCTGTGCACAAATTGGCTGGTACCAGGAATGAGGGACTTCAGTTATGAGGAAAGGCTAGAGAAGCTAGGGTTATTCTCCTTGGGAGCAGAAAAGGTTAAGAGGAGACTTAATAGAAGTTTTCAAAATTATGAGGGTATTCAACAAGGAGAAACCATTTCCACTGGCAGATGGGTCGGTAACCCGAGGACACAGATTTAAAATAGTTGTTAAAATAACTTTTTTCACACAGCAAGTTATTTGGATCTGGAATGCATTGCTTGAAAGGGTGGTGGAAGCCGATTCGATAACAACTTTTAAGAGACTAGATAATTATGTTCGGAGGAAATGTTTGTGACGATTTTGGGAGAAAGTGGTGGAGTGGGATTGATTTGGATAGCTCTTTTCAAAGAGCAGGCACAGATACAATTGGCCGAATGGCCCCCTTCTGTGCTGTATAATTCTATAATTCTATGAATTGACTGCTGCTTTCACCCACAAAACACACACTCACTGCACTTGACAGTAAATTCTGTGAAGTGCTTTGGGATGTTTTGATGTTAGATCAAGCATTATTTATATTATATTATTACCCAGCCCTTCCCTGCAAATGTGAGCTTCACTTTCCTTGGGAAGTCCTCCTGACATGAAAGGCACTATATAAATTTAATTTGTTGTTGTTTCCTACCCTGGGAATCAGTGTCCTGGAACTCAGTAACCAAAGTCTGGAGGTATTCAAAACGGTCTTGTCCTTGTGACTTGCTAGCGAGGAAACGAGAGATGGACATCTCGCATCAGCTGAGCTCAACTGGAAAAGAGCAGGGAAATGGCACAGGGTTACTAACATAGGAACATTCCATAAATTGGCCACAAAACTCACAGTAACAAGGAGCAGTGTGCAATAATTCTTTTGAAGAGAAATTAGAAAGGGAAAACATTTATATATTTGTGGCATCCATCATGTTATAAGGTCTCAAAGCATTTTACAGTAATTAGTCATCCTGGCATTTGATATCGCACCTTTACAGATTTTACAGTAAAGTCTAATGACTGTATAAGGTGGACTCCTTAGCTCAGTGGTTAGGGCACTCGCCTTCAAGCAAGAGACCTGGGTTCGATTCCCGGCAGGGCGAAATGTTGGGCAAGTTTTCTTACTCCATACGTCTGTTTACTTAGCAGTAAGTAGAAACCCGGTGGTCAGTCGAATGGCAAATCTCATTTTGGGGGGTAATAATTTCTTCAAAAAAACGAATAAATTGGTCACTTCAATCCACGGCTGTTTGCGGGACGCTGCTGTGCGCAATTGGCTGCCGAGCTTCGCCCACAAAATATACAGTCAATTCACTTGACAGTATATTCTGTGAAGCGCTTCGAGACGTCCGGAAGAACCCGATCAGGAGCGACATCAAATGCGGGGGTTAGTACTATTGTTGTCTGTAGATGAACGCAGCAGCCGATTTGCACGCAGCGGTGTTCCACACACAGCCGTGAAGTGAATGACCAATTGTGTTTGAGGAGCCGCTGCCTTTTTCCAATCGTGGCCCGGGAAGCAGGCAGACGGGAACCCCACTTAACGTCTCACCCCCAAACCGAGCAGCAAACCCTCCCTCCCACCGGCCGCTCTGCACCCGGACCCTGGTTCACACACGAAGAGGAGGGTCACACAGCCCATCCCATCACTGGAGCCTCAGCCCTGACAAAGTGGCAATTTGGAGCTGGAATCCAATAACCTTCGAGCCCAGAGGTGAGAGCACCACTGACCCCGAACGACTTACATACGTTGGAGTCAGAGAGACAGTCACTGAGGCCGCGAGTCAGGTAACGTGGGGCTGGAGAGTGGGGGGTGGGTGGGTGAGGCCATGTCACGTGTGTGGGCAGGAGGGTGCGCGGTGCAGTGTGGGTATCGAGCACCGCTGGCGCGCGGGCGGGCGGGGGAGGGGGGGACTACAACTCCCAGAGTGCCTCGCGCCGCTTCCGGGCTCGCAATGCGCGGCGCAGCAGTTTAACCGGGGACCGGCTCCTCCGCGCCAAGGCGGGAATGTGCGCTTAAACACCGAGTGGCAAGGGCCGAAAAGCCTTTCGCGCCGAGGTAAGCGGTGTGCAATCAGTCCAGGGGCCGACTGTCAAGCGGGCGTCAACCGGCCCCGCCCTCAGGGCGTGCGGGGAGCCCACCCCCTCCTGTGCGGAGTGGGACTTAAAGGGGCCGTCACCGTCACCGTCTTGTGAGTAAATGTTCGGCTGCGGGTGCGACGGCCCCTTTAATTGGACGTTAAACATAACAACAACACTACGTTTGCACAATAACAACAATAACAATAATAATAATAATAATAATCGCACGAGCGGTTGCTGATGTCTTGGTCACTTTGTCCGAGTCCCTCAAAGCAATGCCCCTACACTGCATCTCTGCTGTGCCCGTCTTGTGCCGAGAGCGCGGTCACGGGAGTCTGTGGGGCAGCTGTCGGGGGAATTGTCTTTGCTGAGGTGCGGTCGGGAAGTGTTTGGGCAGCAGTGTGGACTTCCAAGAAACGTGTCCTACTCTTTGCTTCAGATAATAATAATAATAATAATAATAATCCTTGCATTTGATATGGCGCTTTTCACGTCGGGAGGACGTCCCAAAGCGCTTCACAGAACACACTGTAAAGTGAATTGACTGTATATTTGTGGGCGAACGCGGCAGCCAATTGCGCACAGCGATGTCCCACAAACAGTCGTAGATTGAAAATGACCAATTTATTATTGTTTTTGGTTTTGGAGGGATTATTATTAGGCTCTGTGTGGAGTAAGGAAACTTGCCCAAGGTTTCGCCCTGACCTGCCTGGAACTGAACTCAGGTCTCTCGCTTGCAAAGCGAGTGCTCTAACCACTGAGCTCCAGGATTCCTCTAAGATAAGCCTTTGCACCTCGCTTTCAAAGCTCTCTTAAAAACTATCTTTTATGGCTTCTTTGGTTAACACACAGCTAAGCTGGTGCTGTGAAATTGTGGGTAAAGTCAAGTCACTTCAACAACAACAAATCACATTTATTAAAGCGCCTTTCATGTCAGGAGGACCTCCAAAGGCGCTGGACAGTCCGGGTTTTGGATCCAAGCTTGTGGTTGAAATCAGGGGGGGTTGGAGGGTAGGGGTCTGAGGATGGCCCAAGGTGCGGTCGAAGAGAAGGTTCTTGAAACGTGTTTTGAAGGAGGCAAAGGAGGGGGCAAGGCGAAGGGACTGGGATAGAGTTCTAAAGGGTGGGGGCAGAGAAGCTGAAGGTGTGGAGCAGGCCGGAGCCCGCTGAGCAGAGGGAGCAGACAGGTTGATATGGGGTTAGCAGGTCACAGAGTTAGGAAGGAGCAAGACCGTGGAGGGCCTTGAAGACAAGGATCAATGAAAGGTTCTAAGAATGAACAGCTCTCAATTCTGGGCGATCCCAGACAATGTTAAACGAGTGCATGATTCTGCATTAATGGTATTTGAGTAAATAATTGTATGCATAATATCTATTACATAAACTATTACATACAATGTTTTTTTTCATGCACAAGACAGTGGGAATGTATTAACTAATTAGTTTGAAGCATTTCTATCCGGTGTAATCAGGTGCTTATCCAGTTCTATTTTGAATGATTTTGATCAGCAGACGAGAGTCTGTAGTGAGGAGACTTGCTGGCTCGAATATGGTTTCCTAAGGATCAGGGAATTGCTACCACCTGATGAATGCCTTTCAGACAGAGGGTAGGGATAATAATGATTGCATTTGATAAAGTGCCTAAAACGTCAAACATCTTAAAGCTCTTCACAAAGTTTCTGTAAAGTTTGTATTTGTAGACGAAAGCGACGAATAGATTCAGTCTCTTTAAACAGATCTCTGGAGTCAATATCATCCTCTGACTCAACCGCCCTCCACCACTTTAGACCATGGTCACAATCTGGAATGCATTCAATCAAGCTTCACAGCAGCTTCAGATAAACAGGGTTAAATGAATTTGTTTTGGTTAGATAATATGTTCATGTGATTCCAGCCTGCGTCATGCTGGCAATGGGGTGGTAGGGGGAAACCAGGGATGAGTGCAGTGTGTATAAGTCACTAAATAACTCCAAAGATTTGTGCTGAGTATAAATCCTGTGATCAGAGGATTGTCCACATCCATCATCAGAGACTGCCAATCACTGGTTTTGTTCTATAAACCAAGACCTTAGAGAATCTGGACTGCTGAAGGTATTAACCAAGGCATCAAACCATGGTTTGAGATCAGCCTGTGTTTGCAGATAAGTTGCATGTTTAAATCCCCTTTGAAGCTAACTTTTTAAAATATACACATTTTCTAACCTCTAAGTCTGGCAGTTGTGGGTTCAGGTCTCACATTGAGACTAGGCTGACATTCCATTGTAGAGCTGGGGGAGCGCTGCATTGTCGGAGGTGCTGTACTTTGGATGAGATGTTAAATCGATATTATATTATAATCTGGCATTTGATATAGCTCTTTATCATGGACGAGTTCTGTAGCTCAATGGTTGGAGCACTCGCCTCGCAAGCAAGACGGCTTGGGTTCAATTCCTGGGCAGGACAAAATGTTCGGCAAGTTTCCTTATTTCATACGCCTCTGTTTACCTAGCAGTAACTAGGAACCCGTTTGTTAGTCGATTGGCAGATCGCTTTTCCAGGGGTAATAATTCCTTTTTTTTAAAAAACAATTTGGCCACTCAATCCATGACTGTTTGTGGGACACTGCTGTGCGCAATTGGCTGCCGCGTTCTCCCACAAATATCCAGTCAATTCACTTCACAGTACATTCTGTGAAGTGCTTTGGGACGTCTAGAAGACGTGAAAAGCGCTATATCAAATGCAAGGATTATTATTATTATTAAAATATACAGTTAATTCACTTTACAATATATTCTGTGAAGTGCTTTGAGACGTCTTGAAGACGTGATAAGGCGCTATATCAAATGCAAAGATTATTATTATTAATACATTCTAGAATTAGGTGATTGGAGTGCATCCCTCCAGGGAGAGAGAGTGCATTCAATTGCAGACACAACTACATTTCCTTGTGTAGATGGCATACATATTTGGAAGGGACTCAGTCAAGTTTGAAAGCACAGTAGTTTCTGCAAGTGTCAGACACCCGGACAGCCAAAAATAAAGCTCCCAGGAGAATTACAGATGTTTGTTCTTTTCTGTTGTGTGTTAAACAGGGTCAAGATGAAGAGCAGCTCGCAGTTCTACCTTACCTACACTTGTTCTCTCCTCCTTGGGCTGCTGTGTGTGACATTCGTGATCTACTGGAATAAGCAATACAGGGGAGGCTTTGCCTGGGATGGATCGGGGAAGATGTTTAACTGGCACCCTGTATGCATGGTGACCGGACTTGTTGTTCTCTATGGCAATGGTGAGTTCACAATGCTAGTTACAAACATTGGTTATCAGGGGCCTTAGTGATAGAAACCTGTACATTGGTCTGCAGGATTTGTGTGAGAAAGCTCTCCATATGGTATAGCTGACACTGTTTTGTCCCCATCTTTGCCCACTGTCAGATCACATCTGAAGACCTTCCTCTTCGACCAAGGCTATAGGCACCACCCCTCTCTCCCTGCTCGGTGCTAATCTCTGCCACTATTAAGCTTCAGATACAACCCCACACCCCCCACCTTTAGGTGTATATGTGGTGCCTTTACCGTCCGTTCTGTCTCTCTTCTCACCGCTCTCTGTTCTGCCTCCTGCCTTGTACTACCACGTTAGAGGCAGTGCGGAGAATGAGGGATAGGTGGTGCCACTAATGGCCACCCCCATCCAGTAAACTTGGCTTTGATCAGGTCACCACTCTCAGCCCCGCTCCTCCCTGCTCTGTGATCCCATTAGTCTTGTAAAGTGCTTAGAAGCATTCATCCTATGTGAAAGGTGCTGTATAAATGCAATTTATTGTCAGTCAGTGATAAGTGAATAACTGCAAAAAGTGGTAGAAGTTTATTCAATGCTATAAAGGGTTATTCTGTACAAGACAACACATAGGTTAGGGTGCTGTCTGTCAAGGTCTATGGGGAGGAAATGTGTGGGGCTAACTGTGTATGTCTCTGGCAGCTGTCCTGGTGTATCGGCTTCCCTTCACCCAGTCCAGCCACAAGCTGCTAGTGAAGCTGGCCCATGCCACCCTGAATCTCCTCGTCTTGTCGCTGGCTGTCACCGGGTTAGTTGCAGTGTTTGAATTCCACAATAAGAACCAGATCCCGAACTTGTACTCGATACACAGCTGGGTGGGACTCTCAGTGGTCATCCTCTTCTGCTTCCAGGTAAGAGCCCAAATCAGGCCTCTCCTGGTGAGAACCTAGTCAATACGACCTCTGTGTAACTCTCTGCAGAAATTCATCTCTTTGACTATGCGTTTGGTCAGAGAGAGAGATGTTTTTGTATCTTTCACCTCAAACCTTTTCTTCTCACCTTGTATCTATTATACTAAGACGTTGTCCTTTTTTGGCGATTACCTTAAATCTCTGCTCATATACTCCACACTCAGCCTAGACTGTGATCTTAATTCCAGACGTGGGATTTGAACCTGTAACAGAGGAGAGAGTGTTATCAACTGAGCATGGCTGACACCTGTCGTATCTGAAACGGGTTAATATTTCAGGCAGGTGATGGATTGAACCTGGCAATCAGATCTGTTGTTTGGTCAGCCGAGTGTCTGACATATGGAGAAACTCATCACCATGTTTAAGACTATCTAAACCAGCCTGAGAGTTCCACGTATATATGCCAATTATACATGAAAATTTCTCCATGTCTGGAATGAATGTGCACTCTCCCTGGAGGGATGTACCCTGTTTACCTAATTCTGGAGAATATTTGGCGCAGGAGGCAAGAGCCAAGCCAGAGTGTGTGATTGGGTACTGCTGGAGTTTACCCAGATAAAACCACAAAGCTCATGATTAAGAGTAGGGTGTTTAGGGTTGACGAGAGCTGAGTGGGAAGAATCCCTGCTCCCAGTGACTGGTTTGCCCCTCCAAGTCCTGCCAGTGAGCCAGGCTGTTTGTGCTGTCATCAGCAGTGCACTGGAATACTGCGGATCTGTTTAACTCAGAAACTGGACTGAAGATTGTCACAGAAGAGTAACTCGATTCTGACATTCCATTGCCCAGCACATCGCCTTGGAGACAGCTTGGTTCCAAGGAGACTCTGCTTACCTCCCACCGGATAATCTTGTTCAGATTCTGACACTTGTTGTCCTGCTCCAACATTTTGGATCATGTGAGGACTGAGCAATCTGTGCCTAAATGCAGTGATGATAGTAATTGATACTGAGAGAGTTCATTCATTATTCATTGTAATTATAGAACGGTTTATAAAAACGGTTCCATTCAGCAATGGTTCAAAACGCCTGCCCCTTTACTGAGGGAGCATTGGCCATGGTTTGCAGCAAACCTCCTTCCAATTGTACAGCAGTCCTGAAAGATGCAGATGTGGATCTGGTTCCTGTCGTGGCTGATCATTGGGCTTCGCACTGTTCTAATTGTTTTCTCCCTCCTCCCCATTGATCCACAGTGGCTGCTGGGGTTCCTGTCATTCCTGCTGCCTTGTACTCCACTCTGGTTCCGAGCCGCCTACTTAGACATTCACGTCTTCTTCGGAATCTGCATTATGGGACTGTCGCTTGTTGCGTGTCACTCAGGAATCAATGAGAAGTTAATTTTTGTACTGTAAGTGAATGGAATAAAATACTACTATAATAACCTTGCATTTAACATAGAGCTTTTCCCGACAGAAAGACTATGAAGTGTAGTGACTGTGTATTTTGGGGACAAACACGCACGTTATTTTGTAGCCGGATACGGCAGCCAATTTGCAATGTCCCACAAAGAGCCATGAAGTAAGTGACCAATTTTATCTGAGGGCATTGTTAACCAGGACACTGGATGAAACTTCCAAATGAGAAAAGACTAAAAGCTGTTAACTGACTGCCTGGCCAAAAATTCTCAGGCAATGGGGGAACCCTTGGAGATACAATGGTCGCTGTGTGTGGAAGAAATTCTATGTACGTTGTTTGGTTCCTGCAGGGAGTCATCCCACTGTGGACTAAAGTTAACCTTGCTCTTTTCTCTAGAAACACCCCTAACTCAACTGCTCCATATGCCCAGCTTCCCTCCGAGGCTGTGTTTGTCAATGTTCTGGGTGTGCTTCTGCTGGGCTTTTCAGGGACTGTTACCTGGATGCTCTACAAGCGTGAATGGCGACGGAAAACCCCACAAGAAACTGAGACTTTGCAGGTACTGTACACAGATAGTGATGGGCAGTGGTGATGGGGTGATAGTTCCCTTTGGGTCCAAAGGAAACCTCTGTACACATCCTCTTGTATATATTTTAGGGGAGTTAGAGTGGGGGAGAAGGGTTGCTGGCAGTTCTTTGAAGTATAATAAACTGGCTGCTCAGACCTGCGGTCTCTGAACGACTGTGAGAGGTTGAATACGCTTCTAATGTTTTTATTCCCTCTTCTCTCTCTCTCCCCCCCACCCCGCCCTACCCAACCCCCCACGATATAAAGGCTTTCTGTAACTCAGCCAGACCAAAATGGAAATAATCCTATGGGCAGTGGTGTGTTTATGTCATGCTGTAAGTAGTATTTCACATCACTCTCTGTTAAGTGCACTGGAGCTGTAGTCAAGTCAGAGTGATAGAGAGAGAGAATTAGAGGGTGGGAAGAAAAGCAACTTTCTGTTCTCTTCAAAACATAGAATCCTAGAAATTGCAGCACAGGAGGTCATTTGACCTATTGTGTCTATTCTGGTGCTCGCTACCCACTGGAACTCTACTCTAAACGACTCATATTCTTTCAATAAAGCAAAATTTCTGATCATTTTTGACTGGATGACATATGAAGGGTCAAAACTGATTGTCCAAGTTAATGTTTTCTTTCTTTTTAGCCACTTCTGGCAGATGAAAATTAATCAAAGCTGATTCAGGAATATCTGATACCGTCCAGCTCCTGTCCATGAATCACGCACTGGCTTCTTGTACCCAGTGAACACAACTGCCCTTATCAATGGAAAGGAGTCAGCTTCTGGGTTGCTACAACAACAACTTGCACTTACATAGCGCCCTCCACGCACTCTATTTACCAATGTTGACGGCCAGCTCTAATCAGGATTTGTGTGACTAACGTAAGGAGCTAATTGTTTTGCTGTGATAGTCCAAGAGGATTGAATATAATAATTGTATAATATCTTTCACATCATGCCCCAATGCACTTCACAGGATTTACTATAAAGTGCAATGACTGTGTGTTGCGGGTGAATGGATTCTTTGATTTTATGATCGGCTACCAAATATGATTATGTACGCAGCCAGGCCAGTGACATTGATTTATACCCTTTAGGTTTATTCCAATAATAAGTAGTTGAACTGCTAAATCCTCCTTCCTCTGTTTTATAATGAAGTTCTCTTAAAGAGATTGTCTGCGGGTGGATGGTGCCAGAATTAGTCCAATCTTTTCACCTCTCAGACCCCACTATGAATCTAGCCCACGTTGATGTAATGCACATCTCCTGTCAAGGTCTTGAGGGGGATATTGATTTTGATGATCAATGTCAACCTTGTGTGTAAATGATGGACAATGTCTTTCTCCAGCACTGGTCTTCCTCACACTCAAGCACTAAATCCGTCCAGTAGTACATCTTTCCCCCCTGATCTACTACTGCTACTGCAACAACAAATGGATAGAAATTATGATCTAGATGTATTTAAGATGTAATTGAATCTAATTGTTTTTCAAATATATTTACTATGTGAACTAGGAAATATTGTAATTCTGAATTTATTCAATGGATGAACTGCACTTTGTCCTTTTATAGTGGTTGGTTGCAATAAATCTGTACAATCAATGTCTGCTGCTGAGGGGAGGGGGTGTTAAAACCCTACATTAAGCTGGTGTGTAAGTTTCTGGGGATTTATAGGGGTTTGCTTTTAGAAGCACAGAAATCTATGACACAGCAGAAGGCCATTCTATCCATTGCGTAGTGTCTTTGTTTGCTCCTCCAATGCTGGAGGACTCACCTTAATTTCCTCTTTGCTCACCTGTCCACTTTTCCTCCATATGAGCTTATCTAATTTCCTTCTAAATTCTTCCAATTAACTCTGCTTCAGCCCCTGACTTTTTGTTCTGCATCCTAGTACCCACTGGAAGAAAAGTTTTGCTAACTTTCATGCTCAGTTATAACCTTAACTCGTACTTACTGATGGATATATAGCAACTTGGCTTTTTGTGAGATTGTAGCTCCTGGAGAGTGTTTGGCAAGAATCGAGCTTGGAGACACCAGAGTATGTGTTGGGATTATTGCTTATTTTAACCAGCTAATAAAAACGGATGGCTTACAATTGAGAGCACTGTCTGGCAAGTTTTCTGCTGCTTTTCTGGCTAGGACCACCCTACTTGTTAGGACTTTAGAATTTTTAATAATAATCAGTACAGTTGATATAGCATCTATCACATCAAAATATCTTCGATTGCCAGGCAGGGTGAAACTCCACACGCAGTAAGTATTTACCTAGCAATAAGTGGGCACCAGGTTGTTAGTCGATTGTTTTTCTGAGGGTAATAATTCCTTCAAAAATAACTTGGTGACTCAATCTACGACTGTTTGTGGGACACTGCTGTGCACAATTGCCTGCTATGTTTCGTCCACAGAATATACAATTCACTTTACAGTATGTTCTGTGAAACACTTTGAGACGTCTTAAAAATGTGATAAGGCGCAATATCAAATGCCAGGATTATTTTTTATTAAAATCCACCTGAATAGGCAGAGGTACCTAAGGTTAATGTCTTATTGGAAGGATGGCACCTCCACCAATGTAGTGTTTCCCACTGCACTCCACTGGAATGCCAACTTATAGACTGTGAGCTCAAAGTCGCCAACACAGGACTTAAGCCCGCAATTTTTTTGTCTCCCTGGTTTATGCTATATTTAACAATTGATCGTAGAAGGTGGCATGACTTGCCATAATCAAAGATGGCGCCACAGTCTGCCTTTATCAAAGATGGCGGTGCCCCGAAGCCCCCGTGTCGCTGGCTCTGGTCACATGACCAGTGCGGCGGGAGCGCGATTCCGAGTGAACGGGAGAGGAGTGGAGCTGAGTTGTTGGCATCGCCTCACAGACAGGGCCGCCATGTCCTACAACTACGTCGTGACGGCTCAGAAGCCCACCGCGGTGAACGCCTGCATAACCGGTAATAGAAACAAACGAGGTTCGCAGGCCAGAGCGAGCAATCGGCCCGAGCTTCCGCGGGCGACGGGGGCCGGGCATGAGGGAACGAACGGCGGCTCGGGGGGGGGGGGGCGTCAGGCCTCGAGTGAGGCCTAGTCACAACATGACCCGAGCCCCTCAGCAGCCGAAGCCTTTGTGGCTACGGGTCACTCCATGTCTGTCACATCTGAACGCGGATGCGTTAGGGATTGAGAAGAAGGTTAACGTGATGAAGAGGGCAGCGCTTCCAAAATAGACCCATGTGACAAATCTGATTTTCGTTTGGTAACTCCTTCTCCTGGAACTCCCATCTCAGAGACCCCTTTTCCCCCCCATCTTCAAAACCGGCCCTTCCAAGACCCAACACAAGACACACACTCAAACCACTTTGCAGCATATCCTGTGAAGTGCTTTGAGATGTCTTCACGTCCTGATGGGGGGCTGCAAGGATTATTATTATTATCATTTATTTATTCTACCCTGCTTTCTTTCAGACACCCATCCCCCCTCCCTTCTCCCTGCTTGGCCTCCTAGTCAGTCCCCTTGAGATGTCTTTTTGAAAACTGTACAGAAATGTAAATTGCTGCATTCAAACACACAACTCGGTGAAATAAATGGTGTTGGGGTAAAAATTGTGCCGTTTCCTCGCCAATAAACTAAAAGGTGCTGAGCCGTTGTCTTTAACCCACCCCCTGTAGAGCCCTGTGTTCTGAGCCCTGAGCGATGGTAAGTAGGGGTGGACTGTTTGTTGAAATAATTCAATAAACTACAATCCTCTTAAATCTGTATAATGTCCCCAATATTATGTTCAGTGTGGAGTGAGTGGCCCTACTTATTCAATGAATGTCACTAGTTTTACAGTCCTGTGAAGCACTTTGAGACAATCCACCTGGTGTGAAAGGTGCCAAAGTGCCAAATGCATCCTGAGGGTGGTGTTTAACCTTATGTAGCAATGTCTAACAAAACCACTTTTCCCAAAGGTGCTGCCACGTGCTTGGGTGCTGTTCATAGAAATCCCCTCTCAGTTGTCCAGAGAGAAAACCTTTAGTCTGACCTGTCTTCATAACTATGTATACTCATCCTTGGGAACATCCTAGTAAATTTATCCTGGCCTCTCCCCAATTCTACAATATCCTTCTTGAAAATGGGTGATCTGAACAGTACTCCCAAAAAAGGTAAACTAAAGTTTTATATAAATTTAACATCACTGCCTACTTTTGTACTCTAGTTTCCATTGTCACGTGTAACATCTGCCTCATTCCTGTGGCCATTCTTTATGTGTGAGCCTTGTTAGTGAATGTCAGTAGGATCTTCCATGTAGGGATGAGCTCCATGCTAAGGCTTCTGCTCCCCTTATCTGCTGTACATTCTATCCAGCAAAGGTCACTGGATAATGTTCAGCACCTCGTTTCTGACTGCCTGTATGTTGAGATAACCTAACTTTAAAATAATCTTAGTGAATCACCCAAGGTCATACTGTCATCAACCTAACATCAATACTTTTTGGTGCTTTCTGCTTTAATCCCAGTTTCCAGTAGTGAGTTCCACATCACATCTTCAAGACATCTCAAAGCGCTTCACAGAATACACTGTAAAGTGAATTGACTGTATATTTTGCGGGCGAAATGCAGCAGCCAATTGTGTACAGCAGTGTCCCACAAACAGTTGTGGATTGAGTGACCAATTTATTTTTTATTTTTTTGAAGGAATTATTACCCCCGGAAAAGCCATCTACCAATTGACTGACACCCGTGTTCCTACTTACTGCTAGGTAAACAGAGGCGTGTGGAGTAAGGAAACTTGCCTAACGTTTCTCCCTGCCGGGAATCAAACCCAGGTCTCTCGCTTGCGAGGCGAGTGCTTTAACCACTGAGCTACAGTACTCCACGGTGTCCATCTTAGCAAATCTTTTCATAATTTTAACAAAACTCATTATTAACATTATTGGAGAGTCTATGGATTGGAATCATCTGTGGAAAACAAACCTGATCAGTGAAAGCCAGGACAGGTTTATGAAAGAATTTCTGGGAATATTGCAGTCCAAGTTACTGAATGCTAGTGAGTTGAATAACCCAGACTTCTGTTTTTATGCCTTGTGGCCAGTTATTTTAATGCATCAGTGTTATTTAATATGTCAGACACAGGTGTTTTACAATGTTTTAAACGTAATACTTCTAGGTACTCTTGTTTTTTTTGTTCTTATAGAAATATAATCAATCAAATCTCATTGAACAAGAATGTAGGGACCAATTTGTGTCTCCTGCCACACCAGGCTCCACAGGCCTATCACCCCCATTCTAACTGGGCTCCACTGGCCAAATTCATGATCAGCTAGGGGATTCTCACATGTAATTCTCTCCATGGCCTCAATCCACTTTATCTCTTTGACCTCCTACAACACTAGCGACCGGCTGCTCTCTTCGTCCAGAAAACATTGGGCTGCTTTGTGTCCTCAGCCCCGCTATAGGCAAGCAAGCTTTCAGCCATTCAACTACTGTTCTCTAGAAATCCAGCCCAGGAATTTGCCCCCTTCTCAATTTTGAAGCCTTGTCTTCAGGCCTATCTCTTGAACTTCCAATTGTCTTTCTGTAGCCACTCATCCATCTAAAACAGTTGGGGAACGCTAAAAAAAGACTTCAAAAGAAAGAAATCCTGAGAGACATACAACAACAACAACAAGATTCCATTTATAAAGCGCCTTTCACGTCAGGAGGACGTCCCAAGGCGCTGCACAGTTGGGTCATGACCTGAGCAGGGGGGAAATGGTCAGGGGAGGGAGCGAGGAGGGGGGAAATGGTCAGGGTGAGGGGAGGGATGGGAGGGAGCGAGAAGGGGGAAGAGAGTCGAGAGGGGCGCTGAAGGCTTGGTCAAAGAGACTCACTGATATAGGTTATTTACTAATACGTTGCCTATGATAGACGATAATAGATGCCTGGGTCTGCGTTACAAGACACCAGGCATCAAATAACAGCAACAACCACCACCACCTTAGAAAACTAGAGTAAACTTCAGCTCCTTGAAGAGAGTGATCCATCCTTCTTAAAAAAATATAGCACAACGTAGAACACCTCTGAGCCATCTTTCAAATGCTTGATGTTGACATTCTTTTGTATTAATCAGCTTTTATGTCGGAGGTTTGCCTCTTAAGTTTGTATCTTCTCTTCCTCTTGGCAAACTTATCTATGTAGCAGGAGGCAGACTTTTACTGGGCTTCGGTTCAGCTTTGTGTGTTGTAAGGCTGTATCAAGTTCCTGCCTTGACTTATGATTTAGGAGGAACGCTTTCATGGTCTACAGAATGCTGAGGTGTAAATGCACAAGTGTCTGTCTAAAGAAACCCAATCCTTGTCCCTTATTTGTGGCTTTCTGTTAGATTATAGGTTGTATGAGTCTTGGAGATATTCACATTTGATTAGGGATTAAAGGTAAAAGGTTTCAAGCACTGGTTGACTCTGTACAGGTTCCATTGATCCTCAATCTTGCCATCTCTCATCATAGTTCCCTGCTTCTATCCTCTGCAGCTGCAGTTTTTTCACTGGCTTGCTATTGACATTTCTTTCTCTGTATATCACCTCAATCATTTCTCTCTTCCCTCCCCTGACCACCCACCTCCATCCCTGAAACTGGTTTAATCTTTCCCTTTCCCTGTGATTAGTCAGCTGTTTTGGATTCCGTTCACATAGTGGATAAACTCCATCTTCAGTTCATCACGGTCGTGATGCAAAGGAAATGTAGTATTTTTATGAGGTTTCCTATGTGAATTGTATTTTAATCTGGAGTATTGTGAATGTGGAGTTTATTTTCTGAATATACCAGTTGAACTTCTATCCTGGTTTTCAATTCCTCAAGGGTATTTTACGCTGCTGTTTCTGAAATCATCCCTAAATACTTGTGCTGTTTCTTCTCAGGGCATTTCACCTTGGCAGATGATCTGAACCTGCTGATTGCCAAGAACACCAGGCTAGAGATCTATGTGGTGACTCCAGAGGGTTTGCGCCCTGTCAAGGAAGTGGGCATGTATGGCAAGATAGCCGTGATGGAACTCTTTCGACCTAAAGTAAGCTGCACTGCATTGCTCATCTGACTATATTGTACATGAGAGTTCAGCAGCAGGTTATTCCAGTTGTTCAATGCATGCTGTCATTTGAAGTAGACCATGGGTAATCAATGGAGTAGATAGGCACAAAGTCTGACACACTTTGCGTGTCAGACAGAATGGCAGACTTCACTTTTGATTGAATTAATTACATTCAGTCGGATTTTATTTAGATTTTTTTTCTAGCGTCTTATGTTTGGATCAGAGGGTTGTGGGTTCAAACCTCACACTGGGTTTCAAACTCAGTCTGTTTTAGCTTTAGTACTGAAGTTATATCTGCCTGTTCAGGTGGACATTAAAGATCCTGTAACCCCATTGGAAAAGAGAAGATAATTTCTCCTACTGTTAACTAGCAATCTCCAGATAAATTGTTTTTTCAATTTGTTACTTTATGGGATCTTACTGTGTGTAAAATGGCTGCTGGTGTGCCTACAAGGTAGTCACTTAAGCGTTAATTTAGAAGCAGGTTTTCTACAGTTTTTTTAAAAGACCCAGTTTCCAAATTAAGAGTAGGTTGAAGAGTTTCCACTATCCAGTGCAGTCTTACTTCTTTATGACAAATAATCTTACAGGCTAAGATTTAGACTTGGAGGTACAGATTACTCCCTCTTCTCCCTCACAGCCAAACATGAACTTCATTGTTTGTTTTGTGTCACTACTAACCACTTCACATATTTAATTTCTCTGATACTCAGAAGTGTACAAGTCATTCAGAGTCCTTGAATGAATTGCCAGGGTGGAAGTGCACTGGAGAAACATATTACCCTGGGGTCTGTGACTGTGCACTTTCCTTTGAGGGTATGCAAGCTCAGTTATATATTTTCTCCCTCCTGTGTTTTTTGTTGGTCCCTCATTGGTCAGATAGCTGCTGGGTTGAAGCTAGTGAAGTGAATGACCTGCTCCCAGACTCCGGCATTGGTGCTGTCCACTGGCTGTGAAGAGACACCAGAACAACCAGTCAGATGTATTGTCCAACCTTGAGGCCAGGAGAATTGAACAGAAGAAGCTCTTTTGTTCTGCGAGAACAGTGTCTTATATTTCTGCATGTTTGATCCAACAGGGGGAATGCAAAGACCTGCTATTCATTCTGACAGCAAAGTATAATGCCTGCATCTTGGAGTACAAACAGAACGGAGACAGCATTGATATCATCACACGGGCCCATGGAAACGTGCAGGTCAGTCAAAGCCTTCTTATATCTTTACATAAATAGACTGTCTGGGTTGGAGTGAACTGTCTGGGTTGGAGGAAACAATTAAAGCAAGGCTTTTAAATGCTCTCGGGGAGGGCTGAGGGACAGCACACTGCTGTAATCTGTTGTCACAGAATGGTAAGACCAGGGCTGGTGAACCACGGCTCCTGTTTCTCATTGCTGCCCAGTCAATGCTGCTGGAATCTTCATAGGACAGGTGCCAGCTTCTGGTTTCTTGTTGTAACTACACACTCCTATACCCATAGTACTCCCGGAATAAAATAGTGAATTTATTTAGGTGAGGAAACAAATGGTCAGTTTTTTTTAACAACAGCTACTTGCATTTATATAGCGCCCTTCACAGGTAGAGTCTCAAGGCGCTGAGCGGTGTGGTTTGAAATATTTCAAATGGTGGAATGGGTTCTTCTCCTGCCTACACTAAGTGGCTTCTGAAATGCAGGGTTGGTCCTCATGCATTTCAGATCACTTTGAAACTGCTGTAGCTGGAAAACTTTGCAGGTTTGCTGGGAGAGAGCCCACCCTGGCACTATCAACTATCAGGCCTCAGACACCGTTCGTCTAACTGCAGCTCACAAGAGGAGCCAAGGTGATGCTGGTTCCCTCCCTCCCTGTGGGACCTCTCTTAGCCTCTGTTTGATGCCATTAAGCACTTTAAGTTGTCCTTCCGAAATGATAAGGCCTATATATATCAGGACTATACAAATGCAAGGATTCTTTGTTTTCCCACCATTATTCCCATTTTGTTTTAGCTGACGTTTTTTGTAGGTTATGTGGTTGTACATGAGCTATGAATAACTGAGATGCTCCTTTCAGGACCGCATTGGCCGTCCCTCTGAGACGGGAATCATAGGTATCGTGGATCCTGAATGTCGGATGATAGGCCTGCGGCTGTACGATGGGCTATTTAAAGTGATCCCACTGGACAGAGACAATAAAGAGCTGAAGGCCTTCAACATCCGTCTCGAAGAGTTGCATGTGATCGATGTGAAGTTCCTCTATGGCTGCCAGGTCCCAACCATCTGCTTTGTCTATCAGGTAAGACACTGAGGTGAACAGTAGCAATAATGTAGTGGATTTTTCCTCTAGTTCTTCAGGTCAGCATGTATCTGACCCAATCATTCCTTTCATGGCTGTTTGTGGGATATTGCTGTGTGCAATCAGGCTACTGCCTTTTCCTACAAACACACCATCACTCAATTTCACAGTAAACCTTGTGAAGTAATTTGAGAAGTCCTTCGGACGCGATAAGGCACAATATCAAATGCAAAGATTATTTATTAGTTTAGTTGGCTTTCCCTGGTCTATAATTGTGAACTATCCGCATGTGGGAAGCTTCACGATATTGAGCAATTCTTAATATTTTGTGTTCAACTTTTTACTCTTGTCTGTTGTAGGACCCCCAGGGACGTCACGTAAAGACCTATGAAGTATCTTTGAGGGAGAAGGAATTCAACAAGGGTCCGTGGAAACAGGAAAATGTAGAGGCCGAGGCATCTATGGTCATTGCAGGTTGGTATCGCTTTATAATTGTGTATGAAGAGATATGTGCTTTGATATCTATATTATAATAAAAGTGTTGTGGATAAGATTGATTGCAAGCATAAGGGCTCAATGAATTGGGCATATGTATAAATACATATATAAATGTGTCCAGGATATTGACAGCATGATGACTTAAGTGGTAGTGACGAGGGTCAAGTTATCAGGAGTTTACTGTACCTTGCTGTCATTCACCATCAAGGCTCAATCATTGGGCCGAGGTGCCAGACAGCAACAAATGTCAGCGATTCTAAAGCCTCGTAACATACTTGGGCGCTAAATACACTTACTGAATCACATTACACACATACGTGTGCACTGTCACATGGTTCAGAAGTTACCTATGAGCACCAGATATCTCTTGTCAATCAGACGGACTGTGAAGTGACCAAAAAACCCGAAAAACAATTGAAGAATTTGTTTTTAACTGATTGATTGTTGCAAACAAAATCCAGATATTTGTGGTGAAAATCAGCGAAACTGACTTTGGAGATGCCTGCTCCCGGAGCTGACTCATACATCAGTTTGTTCCTGCATTTGCTCAACCCTTGAGTGGTTAGATAGCCCATTTAAACCAGATTTGAATATACTTCAAGCTGTACATGGAACTGCTATTCAGTTGTATTTGATGTAGATGTGCTTCAGTTCCAGAGCCATTTGGAGGGGCCTTGATCATAGGCCAGGAGTCCATTACATACCATAATGGAGACAAATACCTGGCCATAGCACCACCAGCTATCAAGGTAAGAAACTCTGGACAGGATGGAAGTCACATAACTCTGGTAATCCTGTGTAAGGTGGTCATGTTCAGATTTGTGATATCCTGTGAAGAGATTTTGGATGTCTTGACGACATGATAAGGCGCTATTTGAAATGCGAGGATTATTATTAATAATATCTGGGAGGAAGCTGTTCAGCTATGAAGAGGATGGGTAAGTCCAGAGTTGAGATTCATACAGCACAGAAGGAAGCCGTTCGGCCCATTGTGTTTGTGCCGGCTCTGTGAAAAGAGCTGTCCAAATCAATCCCACTCCCCCTCTCTCCCCATAGCCCTGCAAACTTGTCCTCCCCAAATAATTATCTACTTCTGTCTTAAAAGTTGTTATCGAATCGGCTTCCACCACTCTTTCAGGCAATGCATTCCAAATCCGAACAACTCGTTGCGTGAAAAAATTTCTCCTCATCTCTCTTGTTTCTTTTAACAACTATTTTAAATTGGTGTCCTCAGGTTACTGACCCACCCGCCAGTGGAAATAGTTTCCCCTTGCTCACTCTATCGAATCCCCTCATAATTTTGAAAACTTCTATTAAGGCTCCTCTTAACCTCTTCTGCTCAAATGAGTATAATCCTAGCTTCTCTAGCCTCTCCTGATACCTGAAGTCCCTCATTCCTGGTACCATCCTGGTAAATCTCTTTTGCACCCTCTCCAACATCCTTCCTAAAGTGTGGTGCCCAGAACTGAACACAGTCTCTCGCTGAGGCCTAACCAGTGTTTTATAAAGGTTCATCATAACTTCCTGACTTTTGTCTTCTATGCCCCTATTTATAAAGCCTAGTATCCTAAATGCTTTTTTTAACAGCTTTATCTACTTGTCCTGAGACCTTCAAAGATTTACTTATATGAACCCGCAGGTCTCTCTGTTCCTTCACCCCCTTTAAGATTTTATCATCAGCTTATATCGTCTCTCCTCATTCTTCCTCCCAAAATGCATCACTTTGCATTTATCCACATTAAACTTCATCTGCCACATGTCTGCCCATTCTATCAGTCTGTCTATGTCCACTTGCAGTCTGCTACTATCTTCCTCACTGTTTATTACTTTTACCAGCTTAGTATCATCTGCAAACTTGGAAATTGTACTCCCTATATCCAAGTCCAGGTCATTTATATAGATCAAAAACAACAGTGGTCCCAATACCGACCCCTGGGGGACACCACTCCACACTTCACTCCAGTCAGAGAAACAGCTGTTCATTGACACACTCTGTTTTCTGTCTCCCAGCCATTTCTGTATCCATGCTGCCACTGTCCCTTTAATACCATTGGTTTCTATTTTTCTTACAAATCTCTTATGTGGCACTTTATCAAACAGCCTTTTGGAAATCCATATAAACTAATCAACTGAGCTACCTTCATCCACCCTCTTCGTTACTTCATCAAAAAACTTTATCAGGTTTGCTAGACACGATTTGTCTTTAACAAATCCATGTTGGCTGTCCTTTATTAACCCATATTTTTCTAAGTGAAAAAAAGATATTTTTCTAAGTGAAAAAACCCATATTTTGCTAAGAGATTGTGGGGTGATATATTTGCCTGCCATGTTCACCTACAAAACACACAATCACTACACTTTATAATGAAGTGCTTTAAGACATTCCCTCCCCCAAATGAAAGTAGATATATCATATGAAGATTGATTATTATTATAAATCATTTTGTGAAGTGAGATGTTTTGCTGTACTGTAAATATTATCTTTAACGCTATCCTTGTGTTTGTTTTCAGCAAAGCACCATTGTATGTCACAACCGCGTAGATCCCAACGGCTCTCGGTACCTGCTAGGAGACATGGAAGGGCGACTGTTTATGCTGTTGCTGGAGCGGGAGGAACAGATGGATGGAAATATCACTGTCAAAGACCTGCGGGTGGAGCTTCTGGGAGAGGTCAGCACTGGCACACACACACACCTGTCCTGTATTCCACTTCTACAACAGTGGATGATCATATTGTGTTTGAGATTAAACCTTTCCTGTGATTTTGAGACTGAATACAGCATGGTTTCCTGTTGATGTATATCCTGAGATTTCTCACTCAAATGGCTGTTTTTCATGCGTTTTCTTCAGCGCTCCAAAACACTATCCTGCATGAAGGGTGCTACACAAACGCAAGTTGTTGTGCGAGCCCAGAAACTGAGTGTTGGTGGTATTCACTGTTGCCAGCTGACACTAGTGCAGTACTGGGGAGGGATGCTGCACTGACAGAGGTGCCGACCTTTAGTTCAGACATTAAACTGAAGACCCTTTTGTTTGGGTTAAAGGTCCTCCATCACCGATTTGAAAGAAGGATTGTTCTGGATAACAATCTCCAGATAAATTATCCATCACCTCATGGCAGCTTATGGAACCTTGCTGTGTACAAAATGGCTGCTACTTTTTCATCTACAAAATGAGTCATTGTGCTTGTCAATAATTGCTGTGAAGCTGTTTGATATATCTTGAGAAGGTGCTCTATTATGCATGTTTCCTACTTGCTTTTATAATACGTTCTGATATAATTTATATTGGAGTTTTAGGGTAAGGTGGGGTGAGGGTGTCAAACTGCATCAGATAATGATCATTACACCTAGTGGCTATAAAATGCAAACTCCACATTGCAAAGTGAATATCATTCTCGATGATCTATTGACATTAACTTATGTTCTAATATTATCTTAAATCCCTCTGTCTCCCACAGACCTCTATTGCAGAATGCCTGACATATCTTGACAATGGAGTTGTGTTTGTTGGATCTCGCCTTGGAGACTCCCAGCTGGTCAAAGTAAGTAATTGAATTCTGAGAGCATGCTTGGGCTCCGTCATAAGCACTTGCCAAGCAAAACGTTTATTGTCTTGCTCTGTGCCACTTGAATTCAAGATCCTCATCCTCACCTACAAGGCCATTCACGGCCTCGCTCCCTCCTACCTCTCTGACCTACTATCCCACTACCTACCTGCCCGTACCCTCCGTTCCTCTGGCTCCGGTCTGCTCCACATCCCCCGCCCCACCCGCCCTACCATCGGTGGCCGGGCCTTCAGCCTCTCAGCCCCTAGGCTCTGGAACTCTATCCCCCAGTGCCTTCGCCGCCTCCTCCCTTTCCTCCTTCAAGGCCGGTCTCAAGACCTTTCTCTTTGACCGTGCCTTCAGCTCCCCTCTCGACTCTCTACCCCTCCTCGCTCCCTCCCTTCCCTCCCCCTGACCATTTCCCCCCTGCTCGGGTCCTGACCCAACTGTACAGCGCCTTGGGACGTCCTCCCGACGTGAAAGGTGCTCTATAAATGGAATTTTGTTGTTGTTGTTGTTGAAGTGGAGAGTGGCAGGTGATAAGACAGCTCAAACTTCCCACCTGAATTTAATTGTGTAATATCCTCTTGTTCCAGTTAAACGTAGACAGCAATGAGCAAGGCTCTTACGTTGCTGGCATGGAAACCTTCACCAACTTGGGCCCCATTGTGGACATGTGCGTCGTAGATCTGGAAAGGCAAGGCCAGGGCCAGGTAAGACCGAGCTTCAAGTGAATCACTCTATATACCACATCATGTGTGTGCGAGCTAGATGATGCACATCCCCACATGCTTGCTTGTGTGTGTGCACGCTCGCATGTGGTTGTGCACGTGCTGGTGTGAGTGTGTGTGCGCGTGTGGCCAAAATATTCCTCAATGCCAGATTTTTGTTGGATATTCATGTGCATGTGTCTGACTCTGATCTTTGTGTGCCATGCAGCTCGTCACCTGTTCAGGAGCGTTTAAGGAAGGCTCACTGAGAATCATCCGCAATGGGATTGGTATCCATGAACATGCCAGCATTGATCTTCCTGGTATTAAGGGTAGGTACCGCCTAAACTCATTGCATGTGAACCCAAGGGAAGGCTTATTTTAGACTGATCATGCGGTTGGGAAAAAAGGCTTAGTGAGGTCCTTGCCTCGTGGGTAAGAGAAACAGAGAAAAATGCTTGTAACGATGGACACTGTGGCATTTTATTGCTGTGACCAGGAAGCTCTGAAATGTTTCTGCAAAAGAGAAACTGGTAGATTATATCTACAGTCCAGGCATGCCAGCTGCTCTGACTTGAACCAAGAGGACTGGTTTGTAGATATCAGCACCAAGCTTTGAAACATCAGATGGTATTTTCTTTTCATTTGTATTTTATTTCTCTGATATTTTAAACTTGGTGCTTTTCGAATGTTCTCCTTGCCAGCCTGCCCAGCTGCACTCTCCAAAAGCTTCAGCTGATCTGGAACGTTGTAGTTTGAGTCCTCCCGTACAAAGTTCTGCACAGACATGCTTGCTGAACATTGATCCCGAGTACTCCAGAGGATCCGTGTCCTGACCTCCAAATCCCTCTATATTCTTGGTCATCCTACTAATGTAATTCTGGAATCATAGACATTTACAGTGCAGAAGGAGACAATTCAGTCCATCAAGTTTTCACTGACTCTCTGTGCAAGGTGGTCATTCAGTCCCACTACCCGTCCTATCCCATTTGAGCCTCTATCCTTCGAATACCCTCTACTTCCCTCTTGAAACCCACAATGCACTTTGCCGCTACCATCTTGGAAAGAAGAGCGGTTGAAGCCAGGTGACTGGAATGAAGTGAGAAAAAGCCCTGATAGTGGGACAAAACAACAACAACAAAATTACATTTGTATAGCGCCTTTCATGTCGGGAGGACGTCCCAAGGCACTGGACAGACAGAGTTACGGACCCGAGCTGAGGGTCGGGGAGGGGGAAGTAGGGAGATCGAAAGCACGGTCGAAGAAGAGGGTCTTGAGGTGGGTCTTGAAGGTGGCGAGGGAGGGGGCGAGGTGGAGGGACTGCGGGATGGAGTTCCATAGGATGGGTGCAGAGTGGCGGAACTCCCGATCGCTGATAGTGGGGCAAGCAAGGCGGGGGACGTGAAGCAGGCCGGAGCCTGCTGAGCGAACACGGTGGTAGGGGGTTAGGAGGTCGGAGAGGTAGGGGGGAGCAAGACCGTGGAGGGGTTTGAAGGTGAGGATCAGGATGGAGGTGATAGGGTCACAGAACCTGGTGCAGGAGAGGACACGGGCTGCAGAGTTCTGGATGATCCTGAGTTGAGCCTCAATGTAATGGGACAGATGATCTGGAAGGATGAGTCCTGTAAATTGCTGTAAATTTCTATGGTCCTGTGTTGGGTCCGAACCTCTGTTGTGATATTGACTTGGCTCCTTCATTCTATCCTCTCTCAGGTCTGTGGCCTCTGCGTTCTGACTCCACACGGGACACTGATGACATGCTGGTGCTCTCTTTTGTTGGACAGACTCGGTAAGAGGCAAAACTCTTAATATGTGTGGACTTTGCAGTTTTGTTACAAGTTGAATATAGTATTGTCCAGCCTCTGCCAAAGAGTGAGTACAATCAACGTTGCAGCAATTGTTGCTGGAAAAGGAGAATGTTTTGGTTTATATTAAAGGGTTTGATCTTGAATATTTCTATGATGGGGAAAGATTTCATCATGTTAAAATGGAACTTTTGTTGTAACTGGCAAAGAGAAGCATTGATTGGGTATTTTCTGAGGCACACTTGTACCACCATGTGACAGAACAGTGGTACTGCAGGAACATTAACTCGCCCATTTTGTAAACCAAATTACCCCCCGTATATCACCTTAAGTCATTTGTGCAGACCTGGCAATACAAGCCTTGCTTTTATTCCTGGTTTAAATGGTTTACCACAGTGTTCTTGAGTGGTGTGGTGGTTTGGTATTAAGGGTGTAGATTTAATCTCCAGAGGTTATAGCCCTTGCTTCTGGTGTGTGTAATTACAGTGCATTGCGGTGTGTGTTTTTGCAGTACATTGATTGAGGTTTGTTATTATAATAATAATAATAATCCTTGCATTTGATATAGCGCTTTTCACGTCTTCTAGACGTCTCAAAGCGCTTCACAGAATGGAATGTAAAGTGAATTGACTGTATATTTATTGCAGTGTATTGATGCTGAATGGGGAGGAGGTGGAGGAGACTGAGATGCCAGGATTCGTGGATGATCAGCAGACCTTCTACTGTGGTAATGTGGCCCACCAGCAGCTCATTCAGGTGAGAGAACCCCAGATATGGAATACATCAAATACGCTTGTGTCAATGTAGGTCCAGAGGTTTAGCAAGTTTATTTTACACTGACTGTAGAGATGTGGGTATATTTACACTGACTACAGTGATGTAGGTTTATTCACACTGATTATAGTGATGTGAGTTTATTTACACTGACTGTAGTGATGTGAGTATATTTTACATTGAGGATGTGGGTGAGACTGTCTATAGTGACTCTTTATGAGACTTGGGCATGTATAAAACAGCTGTTGGATTTTCTTACAAAATGTTCGCTACACTTAGCAATGATTCCTGTAACCTTTCAACCTTAAATCGTGTAGAAGTCCCAAGTTTTTTTTTTAATAACGTGTGTGTGCGTTATACAGATAACGTCTGGGTCAGTGCGACTGGTCAGCCAAGAGCCCAAATCACTGGTCAGTGAATGGAAGGAACCCAATGGAAAGAACGTGAGTGTGGCATCCTGCAACAGCAGCCAGGTGGTGGTGGCTGTGGGCCGTGTGCTGTATTACCTGGAGATCCATCCTGTAGAGCTCAGACAGATCAGGTGAGCAGCCATTCTGTTCTCTCATCTGATGCTAAAGAGCTTTAGAGCTGCAGTATTTTCTGTCTGTTCTACATTACCCAGATTTGATTCCTGGACTCGGGGTCGGCTAGTCACTCGTCTCTGTTTAATTCTGCAGCTCCATTGAGATGGAGCACGAGGTGGCATGTCTGGATATCACTCCCCTGGAGGGCAGCACAATGTCACCCTTATGTTCTGTGGGTCTTTGGACAGACATTTCAGCTCGGATCCTCAAGCTGCCATCGTTTGAGACCATGCACAAAGAGATGCTCGGAGGAGGTAAGCTTTAACGGAATCCCCAGTCATTGAGCATCCTGTTACACTGAGGCTTCTCATGAGACCCTTACAAGATGCTGCTGCTAAAATCTCTCTCTCTGAGTTGATAACAACAAACGTATTTACTTCATTATGGTTATAGCTTTACGGTTGTTGCATTAACAGAATAAAGATTTGGATCTTGGGAGATCAGCCTTCACTAACACTATTTAAAAAATGTTGATCTTGTGTGTGGTTTGCTTTTGCCTAAACTGCCTCAGGGTGAGGGAGAAATGATGCCTGGATATGCCAGACATCGACTTCTTGGGAATCAACTCAAATCCACGTCTGAGCAGAGTAGCAGGGGTTGCCTCCAACTCATTGTTGGGTACAGTCTTTTGCACATCTTCCCAGGTTGGACTCTGAGGTGGTGCCTTGCTCCATGTTGCAGCTGGTACATTGAGATATTTTGATTACCTGATAAGGTTCTGTCTTAAATGCAAGATTAATTATTTTATTATTCTAACTAGTCCTAGTTGACTTTTTTATGTTTGAAGTGAAACCACCTCCATTTCCTACTCCCTGCTGTGCCCTTTTCCAGAAATCATCCCACGCTCCATCTTGATGACGACATTCGAGGGCAGCCACTACCTGCTGTGTGCTCTGGGCGACGGCGCTCTCTTTTACTTTGGGCTTGATATAGAAACAGGTACTGTATTAATAGCCATGCCTAGTGTGTGCCTGTGACTACGTGGGCTTTTGATTACGTCCAGCAGCAGCACAAAGTCTGTTAATGCCATCGATTTCAACTGATTTATCACTGAATCTGAACAGTTGGACACCTTTCAATCTGGACTATAATAGGTTATTCCCCTTATAGGTCCTCTCCCTCTTTCTGCATGAAATGATTGATTGATGACTTTTTTTTCCATTTCATTCAAGAAAAGACGTGGATAAAAACAAAACTATTTTAGGATGTGGGTACACACCTGCGATTTCCTCATGTGGTGGGTGGGCTTCTGATCACAGTCAGGGGAGGGAGAGCAGGCATCGGGCAGAGCAAGTTGCTCAAAGAGCAACAATGATCTGTAATGCGTCCAGCAGCAGCTCAGCGGTCTTAATGCCATTAGTTTCAGCTGATTTATCACTGACTCTGAACAGTTGGAATAACCTGTAGGTTATTTCCCTTATAGGCGTCCTGTAGCTCAGTGGTTAGAGCACTTGCCTTGCAAGCGAGGGAACCTGGGTTTGATTCCCTGGCAGGGTGAAATGTTGGACAAGTTTTCTTACTCTACATGCCTGTTTATCCAGCAGTAAGTAAGAACCCGATTGTTAGTTGCTTGGTGGATCACTTTTCTAGGGGTAATAATCCCTTCAAAATGTTTTTAAAAATTAAGTCAATCCACTCCTGTTGCGTTTCACCCACAAAATATACAGTCAATTTACTTTAGCACACAGTATATTTTGTGAAGCGCTTTGAGTCTTCTCGAAGACATCATAACGCACTATATCTAATGCAAGGATTATTATTAAGGGGAATAATAGGAAAGCCTGCGCCAAATTAATACCTTGTTTCGAGTAGCTACCGAACTGCAATACCCATGGCACAGCCATAAACAAAGATGTAATTCAATAAAGAAAAATGTATTTGGTTGACCAACCAAAAAGGTTGGTCACCACTGGTGAAGAGGGAGGTTTAATCTGTATCTTGCCTGTGCTGTAACTGACCTGGGAGTACTGAATGGCACGGTGTACATGGAGCTTTGCTCTGTCTCTAACCTGTGCTGTCACTGACTTGGAAGCGTGGATGGGCAGTGTAGAGGGAGGTTTAATCTGTATCTAACGTGCTGAAATTGGCCTGGGAGTACTGCATGGACAAAAAAACAATTGACAGTATTTCATTGATGGGGAACTGATGGCTTTTACTGTATATTTTTGATCAGGTTTATTGAGTGACCGAAAGAAAGTCACTCTGGGAACACAGCCCACAATGCTGCGAACCTTCCGCTCTCTGTCCACCACAAATGTCTTTGCCTGCTCCGACCGGCCCACTGTCATCTACAGCAGCAATCACAAGCTGGTCTTCTCCAATGTTAACCTCAAAGAAGTAAATTACATGTGTCCCCTGAACTCTGAGGGTTACCCTGACAGGTGAGTGAGCCTGGAATGCTTTTGGGGTGGAGGTCAAGTGATTTGAATCTGTCCTTGAGATGGAGGGGAGGAGAGTATATGGTTTGTTCAGAAACCCTTGCCACCAGCAAGGAACTTAATGCGTTTGTGCTCATTTTAGCAACAGGAGACGACAATCTAGTACGTGGGAACTGATCATTTCACTTCTGAGAGCTGGGTTGGCTGTCCTCTAGTGGGATATCCTTGAGACTAAGCTGTCTCCAAAGTAATGTGCTTGGCAACAGAATATTGGAATTGAGTCCACCCTCTCAGTAGTCTAAGGCCTCTGGATTCTGAGCCAAGCAGGGCACAGCTGAGGTCTGACTAGCTAGTCAGCCGGTCTCATCGGCAGGACTTGGAGAGTGTAGGAGGGTGGGGTTGCGCCCGGAAAACAAACTTGCACCAAGGGTTTTTAATTAAAATAAAGTTGGTTGTATTTTGAAAAGGAAGCCATTGCTTTGTACAGCCATCTTCAACAGAACTTTCCCACCTCTCATGAGCACTCAGCTATATACTGGTGCTATTCATTAGCAGCTTTCTGGTGCCCAATTAGCAATTAACGTCAAACAACCCTGATTGGAATCCAGCCGTGTTGAGGCACTTTGTTTAAACAATTAAAAAAAAACACCCTTCTTTACACATAAGGGGAGTGCCTATATCCATAGAAAGCAGGGATGGGGTTATTCCCCTGTCACAGAGAGGCAGATCTGTCACTGGACAGAGTTTTGTCCTGCTCAGCTTTCCCGTTCCCTGGACAGGCAGTGAGAAGCTAGTCGGACAGAGCTCTCAGTGGCAAGCTATGTGGTTGAAATGGAAGCAGGTGGGGGGGAGACTGTTTGGGGGAAGCCATTGTATGCCTGTTAAGTGGCATTGGTGGTGGTGTGATCCACAGTCCCTCTCTTAGGCAAGATGGGACCGCTGAGTAAAACCAAGAATCATGTAAATAAATCAGCCTCTATTGTTGGGTGCGTGGTTCTGACTATCACCATTGCATGAGCTCTCACGACTATACTACTGGGCTCCACTCAGGGGGGCTACTAACCCACCTGTCTTCCTTCTGCCTCATAGCTTGGCCTTAGCCAACAACAGCACTTTAACCATCGGAACCATTGACGAAATACAGAAATTACACATCCGCACGGTGCCGCTTAATGAGTCTCCGAAGTAAGTGATGTCATTCTTTACTCGGTATTAGGAAGGGGTGCAGTATTCAAGCTGTCTAGTCTGAGCCCGGCAACAGCTATTGTGGTTAGCAGACTATCTTGTTAGTGTGCAGCTTGAGTGGGGAAGGCTCTGTGTTTGTGTGTGGAATGTGTTGTGAGTGTGGGTGCACTCATTCTGAAGGTGAATGCTCAGTGTATCTGGAGATTGTTGTTAGCCAGGATACCAAGAGAAACTCCTTTTCCAATAGTGTCGCACGACCCTTAAAATCCACCTGTGAAGTCTTACCTGCTCTTGGGAGGACAGCGCCTCCGATAATGGGGCGCTATCTAGCACTGCACTAGACTGGGAGCTGAAATTCCCAACACAGGCTTGAACCACAACCTGACCCAGAGGCGAGAGAGTACCCAACTCAGTCAGGCTGCCATTATTAATGGTGGCGTTACATGCGCTTGTTATAAGTCCAGGTGTTTTATTAATTGTGTTTTCAGGTTAATAAATGAAATTATTTTCTATGATCTTATGAAATTTTGTACTCCATTCAGTTGCACAGACGTAGCTGAGCTCTAACAGACATTGAAGTGTATTTGAAGGTGACCTTTTTCTTGTCTGTACATTGCATGGGAGGATCAAAGCAGTCCTTCACTTTGTAGCAGATGTGTCAAAGTTGAGATGGTTTGAAGTGTTAAAAGTCTATTACTTAGTCGGAGTGTCAGAGTGATTAAATAAGCATGTTATTGTGAAAGTCAGTGAGTAAAATAAGGCAGTTTAACATGTGAAGTCTGAAGCGACTCTGTCCAATACTTGAGTGGTGGTTCGTATTCATTCAGGCAGAGATAGCGACTGATTTTATCGGGAAACATGGTGTTGATCTTGCTCACAGCCCGTCTCAATCATAAGGTGAATGCTTCATTTATCTAGAGGACTGTTTTTGGCCAGGACACTTGGAGAAACTTCTTCTCCTGTAGTGTCTCACGACTCTTAAGATCACCTGTAAACAAGCAGACGGTACCTTCACTTAACATCTCACGGAAAAACACCACCTCTGACAATGCAGTCCATCCACAGCACTGGGTTGCAGTGTCAGCCTATACTGTGTGAGCTGGTGTCCTGACGTGGGGCTTAAAGTGTTTTGAAACTTTCCCAGTAACTGAAGATCACTTGGGTAAGAGCTGAAAGTATGGTTTCCATTGGTTTGCTTGTTTCTGGTCCCCAGCAATGACTCTTATGTATTGGGGGTCATTATGGCCCTGAGGGTAACTTAGCGTCAATGCTGCTAGAAAGTTGTACAGATTACACAGGAGGCTGGGCACCAAGTCTCTCCTCACTTTATGGACCCAGACACTGAAATCAAGTACAGCTTTAGAAGTACAGTAACCCCCAGCTTACCACTGGCAGGTCAGTGAAACCTCTGGGTATCTAGAATTCGAACCAAGCTTGACCCAGCCCAAAATGGAAAATTATATTAAAAAATATCTCCACCAGCCACTCTCCTAGCTCAAGCGCCCCACACCGTGCTTGCTGGCCATCAGTGGCCAGGCAGCAATATCGACTTTGACTCAGTTTAAATCCCATTAGCTTATTCACTAACTTCTAGTGGGATTCAACCTATTACAATACCGATACAGGCATTTTTCAGCACTGAAAAAATCCATCGGCAACAAAAGCCGGTAAATGTGAGTACCAACATTGTAATTACTCTTAGCTGGAAATTTCAGATCGGATCTTCCCTTCGCCCCCTCCCAATTAGTCCAGCAACCTGGCGGTTTAATATATATAATCCTTTAGGCTGATGCTTTCATTTGCATTGCCATTTGTTCCCTGTATGTAAGCAGTATTATCTTGTGTGGGTATAAGGGGACTAGCCTGATTTAAAGGATGGGAGCAATCTCAGGCAGTTTCCGATTTAATTGAAGCAAGACTTTGTAACAGATTGTGAATCTATGAGTGGGGCTGTGGGTCTGAATGCTGTAGACTCATGACCAGTCTGCTGTTCTTTTGCTCTATTGAATCTAGCTTGATTACGAGCTAACAGTGGCAGCCGCCTGGCACTGTTTGCTATCACCTCTGAGATCTGTATTGATTTACAGGTCAGGTTGGTCACAGTCTCCTTCACTGCAAGAGTGCTGTGTGAGGTAACTGTGGGCAGCCTTGGTCCAGCTCTTTAATATGGTACCACTGGTGCTTGGAGAGGAAAAGCAGAAACTGAACTAAACAACAAGAGTAATTTGCATTAATTTAGCAGCCTTCACACAGCGTAGTGTCTTGGAACGCTTAACAGTGGTGGAGCCTGACACTGAGCCAGGGAAAGAGAGATAGTGACCATAGGTACATTCAAAGAGAGTATTCAGGTTTGATCTGAAGATGGACGTAGGGAAAAGGTGGAGGGATTGAAGCAGAGTTCCAGAGTATTGAAGTAGTGGCTGAAAGTACGGCCGCTGATGGTGTATTGGCGGGGACGAGGGACATGCATGATGTTTACTAAATCGTGTCAAGTCACTGGAAATTTAATGATGCCTTTTTAAAGAATGTAAGAAAATGTGTTATAAAATGCTGCTGTTTATTGCTGTACTTTTTAAAAGGCTACATAAAGAAGTTGTCTACATTGCGGTTTTAATGCCCATGTGTGGCCCATTGGCTTTTCCTTGTCTCAAAGCCTGGCTTATGGCTTCTTCCTTCCTTGTGCCTTGCAGGAGGATCTGTTACCAGGAAGCGTCCCAGTGCTTTGGTGTGGTCAGTAGCAGAGTGGAGGTGCTGGATCCCAGTGGAGGCACCACCGTGCTGAGACCGAGTGCCAGCACTCAGGTACGTGAAGAGCACACTTCAACCACTGAGATGCCAGGGACACTCCTTTAAAAAGGGTAAATCTGAGCTGAGAAGGGCAGTGCTGCTCATGTATTATCTGCTTTTCATATTGGTGAAGCCACAGAGAGCTCGCTGTGAGCAATGTGAAATCACATTAACACAAGCTGGTATTGTGATCAACATTGATGGCACGGAACTCTCTGCGGAGCTGAACTCTTCTCTTTTTTTCTCTTAGGCTCTCTCCACCAGTGTCAGTTCCAGTAAGCTCTTCCCTAGCAGCACGTCACAGCACGAGAGCTCGTTTGGGGATGAAGTGGAAGTTCATAATCTGTTAATCATAGACCAGCACACATTCGAAGGTAAGAGCAGTGTCTGACACAGACCACCCACATCACAAGGTAAGAGCAGTGTCTGACACAGACCATGCACATCACAAGGTAAGGGCAGTGTCTGACACAGACCATGCATATGACCTAGTAGGTCAGGGCAAGCTCTTACATATGTCTGCTTCACTGATCTACATGGGATGTCTCGTCTCCAACCTTGCCGATTTAAAAACTAATTATTCATCTATCAGAGTCGACTGGTACAGGGCCCAGTATTGCTCCTTCAATTCACAGATGTTAAATTAGTGAGCTGAGATTGTAGGCATTTCTTATGTTAAATGTTGCTGCCAATACCCTCAACCTCTGCATGTCTCTGCTTCTACTCTGTCTGCTGTTAATTCCGTCTCTTCGACTGCATCTATGGTCGCCTCTTCCTTGCTTGGCATCTGACCCCGTCTCTGTGAAGCTAATGGACACATAGTGAAGGGCACTTAATAAATCCAAGTTGTTGCTGCTATTGTTTGTCCAGGTTAAGTGTGCTCTCTTTGTGCTTGTAACGGTGATTTTGTCTCCCGCTCAGTTCTCCACGCTCACCAGTTCCTGCAGAACGAGTACGCACTAAGTATTGTGTCTTGCAAGCTGGGCAAAGACACAAATACTTATTTCACCGTGGGCACGGCAATGGTTTATCCCGAGGAAGCAGAACCAAAGCAAGGCCGCATCATTGTTTTCCAGTATTCCGACGGTAGGTCAAGCACATTTAGTGGTTTTTAGCTGGTTTCTAACCAGTTAATGGCCCTTAGTTTTGGTTTCTCTGTTCCTCTCTCTCCTGATACAGACTGGTATAAACCCATTGCTCTTTTGGGCTACTACTGGTCTCTGTCATCAAAACCATACTGTTCCCAATTTTCAAACCAGTATTAGATAGGTTTTTGAATTTTCTTCAAATTGAGGAAAATTAATTCCCATCGTTAAACAATTTTTTGCACACTTATTGTTGTGAATCTGTGCAAATGGTGTTCAGGTTGCCCCAGACAAACTTTCTGCACATGTGGTTCATGCAAGCAGGAAGTGACATCCATGGTGACCTTGATTTGTAGATCACAAAAAAATCAAATTACCATTAAAGTAAAATAAACGTAGATATATCTGTCATGTTTATATAAAAAAAAACTAAAATCGGCAACACTAAGTCAAGAGATAATCACATTCTGAGATCTCTGACCCAGACCTGCACCTACGGTTTAACCTATAGTTAAAGAATGAATGCTGCATGACTTTCAAATTGGGAGGATGTCCAAAGTGCATTCTCAGTGTGGGTGGGCACCCAAAGTGGGGCTGGGACCTGAGGAGTGGGGGGAGAGGGAAAAGATGACTGAAAGCGCAAAGAGGTATGTTTTGAGATGTGCCTTGAAAGAGGGCTGGGAAGGAGGGAGCCAGTAAGTCTCTAGGATGGAGTTATGTAGAGTGGGGCAGAATGTCTGAAAGCCTGTCCGCTAACGGTGGGACGGATAGGATAGTTATGAAGTAGGCCACTGAGGCAAGCTCACTAAGCGAAGAAAGCAGTAGAGTTGAAGGAGGTTGCAGATGTGGGGTGAGGGAAGATATTTAAAAGTGAGAACAAGGATCTTCAACTTGACCCCTGGGGTATGAGGAGCAGGTAGAGCTGAGTGAAGGTGACGATGACAGGCTGCAAAATTCTGGATAATAATAATAATACTTGCATTTGATATAGTGCCTTATTACATCTTCGAGATGTCTCAAAGCGCTTCACGGAATATACTGTAAAGTTAATTAACTATTTGTGGGTGAAATAATGTTTGATCAATGTTCTGATCAATGTTTCATCTGCACAGGCAAACTTCAGACTGTAGCAGAGAAAGAAGTGAAAGGTGCCGTCTATTCTATGGTGGAATTTAATGGCAAACTGCTGGCGAGCATCAATAGCACGGTATGGTGGTGTCATGTCACTTCAAAATCATGGCCTGTTAACACATAATCTGTCCCAAAGACTGGCAGGAAGCAGAAGCCTTCCGTTCAGTATGTTCTGTTCTGTGTCCTCTTTTTCACGGGTTTCCCTATGCAGTCATAGTCAATGTGCCGCTTTCTCCAGAGGCACAATACCAATAATCAAAGAGAAATCCACAGATACTGGTCATCTGAAATTCTCCCTCCTGTCAGTCAGCTCCTAAGGTGCCAAGGAGAGAAGAGATTACTTGGTCCCACTTGACTGGAGGATGGAAGCTTCACTGAGTTGGTAGCACTCTTCCCCTCTGGATCAAGCCCCACATTAGGACTTGATGTCATAGTCTTGGCTGACACACCAGTACAGTACTGGGGAGTACTGCATTGTCAGAGGTGCTGTCCATTGGATCAGACCCTAAATATACACCTGGTCGGGTGATGTTTCACTCTGCAATGCAGAGTGAATGCGGAAGCACAGTTATGCTGTTGGGTGGATTAAGCATTTTGAAATGCTCCCCCCTCCCCCCCCGACATGAAAGGTGATATAGATGGATATATGTGCATTATATGCATCCCAGCTACCGCATTATAACAGTGCTCCACTGTGTAGTGTATTTCAACCCTTTAAACTGGCCTGTGTTTAATCGTTTGGAGAAAAGCAGGAATGTTTGGCCAGCTATTCTTGGGAGTTCAGCTATTCTAAGTGGGGTAGCTGGTGAACAGTTTCTGTAACCCAGGCTGCTCAGTGCAGTGGCAGCTCCTGAAAGGGTTACTCTTTTTAAGCTTGGTCTATTTTTGTCTGTTTCTGCCTCTGAAGGAAAGGGCTGGTGTGTGGGTGGGCGGGCTCCTGATCCTAGGCTTCTGTTAGATACCAAACCCCCTCTAACATGCGCTCCTGAAATCACTTTGACTTGTGCCTTTTCTCTCTGCCTTCAAAACTGTGCTGGTATCAATACACTTCAGTTTGCCCCTCATTTCCTCCTTACTCTGTGATTTGACACACTTTTTGCAAAGCTCTTGTGTGAAAGGGAGGTCCCAAAAGGCTTCACAGGATTTTACTGTAAAGTGTGGTAACTGTTAATTTTGTAGGCGGACCCGGCAGCTGATTTTGCGCGTAACAATGTGTCAAAATCACCTGTGCTGTGAATTTTATCGGGGATTGTTGGCCAGGACCCAGGGAGAAACTCTCGTGTTATATAATCAATCAATTCCTTTCGTTAATTTATTTTCTTCACCCTGTGAATTGCTCAGGCTGCTCTAGATACTGGGCTCTGTGTCTGTAAACACCGGCTAACTATAGAACCAGCAGTCAGTCTGAGCCTCCTGCTCAATCCTTCAATTTGTGACTTGTATTTGCAGTAACTTCACAAAGGCTGTCATTTAAGAAATACATTGTATTTATGGCACATTATTATGTTGGTTGTCTCAATAAGTTGCAGTATTTACTGTTAAGTGTTACCTTTTAAATGGGGAACAAAATGGAGAGCCGTTTTGCAAACAGCAAAGCCCCACAAACAACCATGAGGTGAATGAGCAATTTTTTAAATCCGGCAGATTGTTGGCCAGGATATGAGGAGACACTCCCTTCTCTTTTTGAATAGTACAGGATGGACCCGAACGGGTCCTCAGTTTAATGTCTCAGCTGAAGTACAGCATCTCTGATAATGTAGTGCTGCCCCAGTATCTTTTTTGCTCAGCCGAGTGTCTTAAGTAGAAATTGCTACCCGCTGATACTGTAACTTATCGTTGCCCTAACTTTCCAATAGTTAGTGTCTTCATATCAGACATAATTCATATATTCATATCTCAGCAAAACCTTGGCTATGTCAGTATGGGTTGAGCTGGAAATTGTACCATTACTTTGCTCTGACTTTGGTCAGTGAAGAGCTTCATTGGGTGTTGAATTTGGGCTCTAGGCATTGAAGAAACATGCGTTATACAAGTCCCGCATGTTGTGTGGGGAGTAGAAGGCTCTAGTTTCCTTCTAACCAGTGGGAGTGGATTGTAATTAGCTCTGTTACCTTCCTGTGATTCTGATCATATAATTCCAGGTACGGCTGTATGAATGGACAGCGGAGAAGGAGTTGCGTACAGAGTGTAACCACTACAACAACATTATGGCCCTTTATCTGAAGACAAAGGGAGACTTCATCCTGGTGGGGGACCTCATGCGCTCAGTGCTGCTTCTCGCATATAAACCAATGGAGGGGAATTTTGAAGAGGTATAAATGAACCTGGCTCTTTATTCTTAACTGTGCAGTGCAGAGGTGATCCCCTGCTGTTCCATTCCCTCCTTTCTGATAACCACGCTTCCTGCACTTCTTCGGCCCCCACCACTATAGAAGCTCAGGATGGAAGCTGGTCTCTTGATCCCATCTCTCCGCAGTACCCTGTATTGCCCCATATGACCCTGTGTTGGTGTTGTTTCTGTTGCATTTTTGGAGCTTGGCTGGTATTTCCCTGAGCACAAACAGTGAAGTACAAACCCAAGACCTTTTTTCTTCTCTTGGTCAGATTGCACGAGACTTCAACCCCAATTGGATGAGTGCTGTGGAAATATTAGATGATGATAATTTCCTGGGTGCAGAAAACTCCTTCAACTTGTTTGTATGTCAGAAGGACAGGTGAGGCGGTCATTTCCCACCCTCTTTTTTCTGGGTCAGATGTTCCCTTTAAATCACTCATTAGCCAGCATCCCTTTAAATGCAGCATTGTTTAACACATGAGAGGTCAGGCTGTTCTTTAGCCTCAGGTAGTCGGGCCGCTACCCTCCACTCAACACAATGTATTTTTATTATATTTTATTACATAAAACTGATAACTTGACACTGCGTTAACTTGTCATGGCCATTTTAGTCAGCTTGCTATCAGTGTCCGGGACATGTTTATTTATTTGTGTATTTATACATATGCCTAACTTGCCGCTGCTGGTAACTCATCATTTCAGTCCTTTTCCCTCGGAGTGACGAGTCATCAGGAGTTCACTATTTTTAAAATCGTTTCTTCCTATTTTGAGATCACACGTGAATAATACCACTCTCCCTCTCCCCCGCCTCCCACCACTCCCCATGGAAAAATATCTGCCTCTCACTCAGTGTCGCCACCTGATTGGGGGAAGGAGGGCAGGTTGTGATTTGAAAGCTTGGAGTGTTATACTGTCCAGATCAGGAGATTGCTGGCTAAGTGGCAGTAACAGTAGGCGGCTGTAGCTGTGGTACTTGCAGCAATGACTGTGTGTGTTTTTAGTGCGGCCACCACAGATGAGGAACGGCAGCACCTTCAGGAGGTGGGCCTCTTCCACCTGGGAGAGTTTGTCAACGTCTTTTGTCACGGCTCACTGGTGATGCAGAACCTGGGCGAGACGTCCACACCTACCCTGGGTTCGGTGCTCTTCGGCACAGTCAACGGCATGATCGGTGAGTGTCCTACATAGTGAGACCTTCTCTCTCCCCTGGCCCACTCAAAGGCTGCTGACCACAGCTTTGTCAGTGTGCAGCTCCCTAATGGATCGTATCACTCCGTTAATGGAGCCAGGACACAGCATTGGAACAGAAGAGGCTATTCAGCCCCTCATGCCTATTCTGCCATTCTGTTAGCTTCTGGCTGATATGTGCTCCATCTTCAAAAACAGTACTGTTCAATCTTACTCTTTAACAATGTCTGACCACAGATAACTGAATGTTAGATTAAACTGGAGATGGATGTGTGGTGCCATGTGGTACAGTGTCACGAACTAATTGAAAACTAATAGATCCTTCAGATATTCCCTGCAAATGCCTTCTTAGAATGAAATCTGACATAATTTAACACTGGCAGGTCAGGAGGGATCTGCTGCATTGGTTCCAACTCACCACTATTGTGTGGCTGCAGTTACAGGAGGATGTGCTGTAACTAATTGAAATGTTTCTGGTTTTCAGGTCTGGTTACTTCACTGTCCGAGAGTTGGTATAACTTCCTGCTGGATGTCCAGAATCGACTGAACAAAGTTATCAAAAGTGTGGGCAAGATCGAGCATTCATTATATCCTTTCAGCCACCAGCTAGTCTGCTCCTCCTCCCACAGCTCACAGGAGGATTGTAAATTGTCACCAGTCACAAGCACAGCCAAGGTCAGAATTCGCCCCAAAACACACAGTCACTACACTTCTCAGTAAATCTTGTGAAGCACTTTGAAACGTTCTCCCAATGTGAAATGTGCTGTATCAAATGTAACTTATTATTATAAAGTATTAGTGATGTTGAGTGACAAGCAACAGTATAGGCTTAATCCAAATGACCTCCTGCGCTGACTGACTATCAAATCAGGCTCCTTGACCCATATCAACTTGTCCGCTCCCTCTGCTCAGCAGACTCTGGAGCTGTGACTAACGGCTTTCATTCCTCTTGCTGTTTTGTAGCCAGTTTTAACTAATCTCCCAGTCATTCCCCAGCGGTCTGCGACTGAGACGATCCAGCTTTCGCTAACCTTCAGTGAGGGTCTTACTGTCCAGAACTGCCTGACGCGTTCATTTTCTCATAGGAAAACGAATAGATATTCGCTGCAAATCCCTTCTTATAATTAAATCTGACATAATTTAATACTGGTAGGTCAGGAGGGACCTGCTACATTGGGTCTAACTCACCACTATAGAGGCATCTTGTGTGGAGAGGCTGGAGGTTGCCTATGTCTGTGTGCTGGTGAGTGGGAATTCATTCAGAACTCTGCTGCCTGCATTCTCACCCGCACGAAACTCCGCTCCCCGATCACCCCAGTCCTGGCCAGACTGCACCGGCTCCTGTCCCAGAGAGGATCGATTTCAAGATCCTCACCCTTGTATTCAAGTCCCTGCACTCCTCTGCAACCCCCTACCTCTCTGACCTCCTCTCTCCTCAGCACAGTACCCGTTGCCTTTGTTCCTCCAGGTCTGGCCTCCTCCTTGTCCCCCGAGTCCTCTGCTCCACCCTCGGCGGCCGTGCCTTCAGCCACTACGCCCTGAGGTTCTGGAACTGCCTTTCTCACTTCCTTTGTCTCGCTCCCTCCCTTCCCATTTTCAGGTCTCTGCTGAAGACCTTTTCGACCGCGCCTTTGGTCACCTTCCCACCCCTCCCCTTGGCTCGGTCCCGGGAACCGAAACTGTAAAGCGCTCCGAGACGCCGTCTGGCGTGGAGGGCGCTGTATAAATCCAAGTTGTTGTTGAGACCCTCACATGTTCCACTCCCTCATGTGTTGTCGCTGTGTGGAGATAGCTGCTCTGCTGTTCAGGATCTGGTCCTTGACTTCTCTGTACCTGGAGGTCGTTTCACTCCGAGCGGAAGACAGAACCTGCCACAGGCTTCATCGATGGAGACCTCATCGAGAGCTTCCTGGATCTCAACAGAACCAAGATGCAGGAGGTGGCTGTAGGCCTACAGGTACTGTATGAGGGACTGTGTATAATGAGGACTATTACAGTCTCTACTGAAAACACTGATTGTGAGCACACAACTGTAAAACTGGTGGGAGGGGAGAGACTAACGTGGGGGTGGGAGGGAGTGACATGATTGCTTGTGTTGCAGATTGACGATGGGAGTGGAATGAAGAGAGAAGCAACAGTCGATGATCTGATAAAGATAGTGGAAGAGCTGACCAGAATACATTAGCGGAGCAGCCGTTTGTCTGTCCTGTGTGTTTGCCAGTACACCCCAGTCCCGGGGCCTCGGGGAGCTGCAGTCAATCCTGTGCGAACAACAGAAGCAGCTACAGAACATCCATGAAATGAGCCAATAATAACACTGAGTTTGCTGCCTGTCAGCTGGAGCTGGGGTTCATCACTCTGCCCTGTGTTGGGGCGGCTTGCTGCATTAGGACATCTTCACCAGTGGAACGGAAGCTTTCAGAAATTGCATCTGTGAGCATTCTCATATCTACCATTGCCCAAGCCACAATTTAAATTTAAACCCAGGCTGCAGAGGGCTCTGTCTCCCATTGTCGCCACTCACAATGGGAAGAATGTGTCCTTTTACAGAGCTCCTGCGCTCATCTCGCAAGCACTCTGCTGCCTGTGAATGACCAGCAGTGTGTGTGTGTGTGTATGTGTATGTGTGCGCGTGTGTGTAAGTGCTGCAGATCCGTGTGAGGACTCCCCAGCTTCAGCCCTGGGCAAACTGCAAATGTTATTGTAAGTGGGCAACGCTCTTAGTCATTCCCGAGATGCAAACTATACCCGTGCTGCGTGCTATGCTTAGTTGTGGAATTGTGTGGTGCTGTACATCGTTAGCACACGATTCTTTTTTTCTCTGGATCTGGGATGAATCCAGCCCCTCAAGTCTGCAGGCTAAGCTTTTACACAAGATGAATATTGGGCAGTAACCCCACAACACAAAATCCCATGCAGTTCAGCATAAAAGTTCAGCCCCCTGCACCAGGAGGCCACAACAGTACTGATATTGGGACAGAAAGGGTCACTCTGGTCTGTTTGAGGGAATCCATTCAGTTTGGGCTCGATGCAAGTTGCTAGCGATAAAAGCTGAAAAGGCTGCGACTCCACTTCAGAGTCGCATCTGAACGTTAATTCATCCCTTTCCACATGGTTGTCCTGCTGATGCCCTCTCAGTACCAGATATTCCTGTGTATCGTGCTCTGGGCAGACAATTTGTGGTGGACTGCGTGCTATTCTGCTCCGTTTGGCATGTTTTTCAGTAGATTGTTCCTGCGTATGTAGAGGTAACTAATGCAGTTTTGTATGTATAATTTAATTTTACATTTTTAATGCAATCTTATTTCTAAGTTAAAATTGCAGTTGTTATTTCTAAGCACCAAGGGAGAAATTTACAAAACATAATGAACATCAGAAGCAGCTTGGGGTTGGTTCATATCAATTAATTTCCTACTTGTGTATGCATGCAGCAGCATTGTTGGAACAGTGTAGACGGAGCTTTACTCTGTCTCTAACCCATGCTGTCACTGACCTGGGAGTGTGGACGGACAGTGTAGAGGGAACTTTATTCTTTTCTCTAACTTGTGCTGTTGCTGAGTTGGTAGCGCTGGTTGCTGATAATTGATGCCTGAAATGAAAAACATTTAGCTCGCTACCATTGACATCTCTCACTTTGTTGAGCCCAAAGCAGAAATGAATTAAAGAAAGTTTGATTTTCACTCAGCCGAGTGCTGCTGTTGGGGTCGGCTAGATTGACATCCTGTGTCATTGCCATTGTATTTGTGGTGCATAGTGCTCTTAAAATCAGCAGGGGATCCTGTGACGTCGTACCAGCAGAAATTAAACACAAACTGTTTGTGAGCCTCTCCCGAGTTCTGCTTTTAAAGGACTGTTATTCCCCTAACAGAACAGCAGCATGGCTGGGTACCTGGTATCAGCGGATCATTGGTGGTTATGGCTGTCGTTTATCTTCCATAGAAAGACAGCGTCATTACCAGGCTCTCAGTAAGTGAAAGCTCTGTGTAATGGTCCCAGTGCGGTGTCTAATCTTGAATTGGGCACAATGCTGAGCAACCTGGCACTCGTGCCTGAGGCTGACTGGACCACAAACCTATCAGCTACTGATGTGAGTGCTGTGCAGGGGGACCATGACACTGGGTTATAAGCCAGTCACACCCCTTCTTTGGGGGAGGGGAAGGCTGCTTCTCAGCAATTTGAGGTAAGCGATATGCCAAACCACCTACAGTCTACCCCTCCACATTTTGTGTTTGTTTTTTTGAAAAAATTCTATTGACTCTCCTACCACCACCAATGTTTGAGGCCCAAAAAAACAAATGTCTTGAAACTCAACCTCCAGTGAGCCTGGGATTTATGTAATAACCTGCTTTGGGATCGTTTTTCATTCTTTTGGGATAAAAAGATCTTCCACCACCCTTATCCCCAAATCTGGTTGTGGGGGAAAATGCTCCTTAAGATGACAGCAATAACCACAGCACTGTAAATAAACCCCTCGTCATGATGATATTTAGGATCGACTGTAAAATATTGATTTAAAAAAAAGCTGTTGTACATGAAATGGGGGAGAGGAGCAATGGCTGTTCTTGGTTACCATTGTTCTTGGAGCCCATTGTGAATTCAGGCCTTGAAATCCTTGAAAGGGAATCACTATGAGGTGGCCTGTAGGCAGTGCGTAGTACAGTGTTATGTACCTTTTTGCTTTGGTCTGCAGATAGAGTGCCTGCAAACAACTTGGACCATTCTCCCCACAGTGGCCGTTCAAAATAAATAATAAAATGTTCTTTTGTAGGCTGAAATTGAAATGTTCTATAAATAATGAACAAGCACACACTACTCAAACCTGTTAATGAATAGTTGTTATTTTCTTCAATAAATTTTTGGGTTGAAAGAGCCTATGGCATAACTTTAACCTGGATTCACTGGAGTCAAAGTCTGTTGTGATCACATTGTGGAGGATTGCTGTGACCCAGAGTTCTGGTGACACAGTACACTGTCACACTGACTGGTGTAAATGTGCGCCGTCACAATAAAAAAGTGTGGTCACTGCCATTTCTCCCCACTGGACGAGTTCCTGATCTTACCTGGTAGAAGGAAGGGAGTCAGGCTTTCTCGCAGGGAAGGAAAGGAAATAATAGCGTGCAAATTGATATGTCAGTTCAATGACTAGCCACACATTTATGGTGTATAAAGAGGTTGAAGGTGGGGATAGTGTGTTTAATGCTTGCCTTTTTCCTGTGCCATTCAGTTTGATCCAGCCCTCTACATTATTTGGTCAGACATTTGGGGATGATGTTTATCCCTAGGCCCTTTGTAGTGGTAAATCAAGTCAGTGGTTTCTTGCACAGGAATGCAATGTTAAATAAGCTCCCTCTCAGAAATTGTATTTACAGTTATTGAGATTTTCTTCCAAGAGTCCAGTTACTGAAGGAAATAAACTGGTTGCCATATATATATTACCTTACCATGGACCTCAGATAAGGAGCACACACTGGAAATCTGGAGCAAGTGTTCCTTTAAGAAACCTTTTTACAGGGACATCTCTTATCCACACACACACATCACACTTATTTGTGTCTACCTGTCTAGTAAATTATGGGGAAAGGGCAAGTAAAATGGGACTGAAAGGAGTGCTCTTTAAGAGTCAGCATGGACACAACGTGTCGAAGGCCTTCTTCATTGCCGTAAATTTCTATGATTCTACCTAGTGTGTGGCCAGGTTGAAATGCTCACTGCTTGTGAAAGGTAAACTTGACACTTTTTTTAAAAAAAGTTTTCACTTGAGTTGTTTTGTTGCACATAAATTATGTTTCGATGAAATAAGGCTCTATATTAAATGTAAAGATTATTACATAATAACATTTGGTATAGTGCTTTTCATGTTCGGAGCACATCCCAAAGCTTATGTAATTTATATATTTACAGGATAATAATAATCCTTGCATTTGATATAGCGCTTTTTGCGTCTTCTAGATGTCTCAAAGCGCTTCACAGAATATACTGTAAAGTGGATTGACTATTTGTGGGCAAAAACGCAGCAGCCAATTGCGCACAGCAGTGTCACATAAACAGTCGTGGATTGAAGTGAACAATTTTTTATTTTTTTTCTTGAGGGATTATTATAAGACGTGTGGAGTAAGGAAACTTGCCTGCCGGGTATCAAACCCAGGTCTCTCGTTGCAAGGCGAGTGATCTAATCACTGAGCTATAGACTCCACTGTAAAGGATATACAGTGACTTTTGTGGGCAAACGTGGAAGCATCATGAATGTAACCCAATGACCTTACACATCTTGCTGTGGACGCTGTTTAGCTGCCAGCAGTGACAGCAGTGCTTGTTGCCCTATATATTAACAAGGCTGGTGGTATTTTGCTTTGGGGTTGTGCAGCCTACAATGGGATTAACCAGCACAGGTTAACCGCATGCTGAACTCAGTATACAGAGAAGCAGACAACAAACATACTTCAACCTGATCCAAACCAGAATGTTTTAACTGGGCGTGAAGCCCAGATTTATTGTGAGATTAATGTGTGCAGAAAAAGTTTTATTGATTTGTACTGGGGTTACTTGCCCAGAGTTGGCAGACAGAATTAAACAGCAAACAGGTATTTCTTTTAAAAACAATTTTATAAACAAACTGATTTTCTCTGAAGCTATCAATTTAGAAACAGCATTACAGGCTGCTGGAGACATTCAGTGGCCAATGTTTAACATGGGAGTAAACAAAAATTCTTGACATAACCAGATGAGGGCTATGAATATAACTCAATGTAGTGACCTCTAAGGCAGTGAGCCCCATGGAAGGGAATTCTATTTTGAGAGAAGAGCTCACTTTACATCTGAGATTTGACTGAAATAGGTACCTTAGCACCAGTGACTCTCACACTTAAAATATACATGAATCACGATTGTTTTAATTTCGGCAGCTGCATCTAATCATTTGCATTTCAAACTTTCTGTGCACAAAGTACCTTTCACAAAGGGTGAGGTTTCATGAATTGTTGCTGTAAATAGATCTTTGCCTTTTACTATGGGAACAGCTTAACTGGTAGAGTGCACACAATCTCAGTCAGTAAATGATCAGAACCTGTACTCGAGGCCTTGTGGCCAATGACTCCTAGCATTGCCTGGACTTCAGTCCGAACCAGGAATCATCCCCTGTAATGTTCACCAGAAAGCAGTTAAATATTTGTTATTGCACTTTTTAAAAAAAAAATCCCAGTCTAATTAATATTTAAAAGTCTCTTAGTTAACTTTATGAATGCAGTATCTGCATAGCTAAAACATTATTTTTAACGGTTATTGAATCACATCCTACCAGGAAGAGGATGAGGCCATTCAGTACATCAAGCTGCTCCACTGATTTATCAGAGAACAGTTTTAAAATCTACATTTCTTGTTTTCTCTACCCTGCATTAGTCTCGAGTCTAAGCTTCCTTGCTCGGCTCCACTGCCTTCCCATCCCCAGTGAACTGAGTTCAAGATCTCCATAGCCTCGCACCGCACTACCTCTGTGACCCAACTGTAGTCCCATCGTTGCAGCAGCTTGCTCTGCTCAGTGATCACAGGTCTGCTTCACATCTCTCACCCAATGCGTCCCACTATTGGGTGAGCTTTCAGCCATTCTGCCCCCACTCTCGGGAACTCCATCTTGGAGACCCTCTGCCTCACGTCTTCTCTCCCCACTTTTAAGGCTCGCCTTAGGAACCATCTTTCTGACTGCTTTGGGTCACCTTCCCTGCACCAGCTTAGATGCCTGATCAGCTGTGAAGCACTTTCAGACATCCTCCCAATGTGAATGTGTATACGTTATTGAGTAAATCGCACCAAATCTAGAGCAGGTTTACAAAGTATACCTTTTCATTATTAAATCAGGTTTTATGTATTTCTGTACAATGAGATTTCAAACATTCTTAACCCAATGAATAATAAAGCAATACTCCATTTGTCACAAGGGCCATTTAAAACATTGACATTTAGGCAAAAGACAAACTGTCTAAAATGTACAGTTCAATTGCTCTTAAGTCCTGACATTCCTGCACAAATCATTTAATTTTACCAAATTTTCTTCTGTATTTTGCTTCAAAGTTCCCTGTCCCAAATCTGCACCATCCATCACTTAGCAGGGTGGTTAATTCAGACTTTGAATCCCTTGGATGCTTATTGCACTTCATGGCTGTCAGTTGGTAGGTTTGAGCAAGATGAGAAAGGAATATCCTTCCTTGATGGTTTGGTTGAGAGCCTTGGTGGTAGTTTGGGGAGTTCATATTCTATTTGGAATTATACCTTTGGACTAAGTCTTGAAACAGCTTTGTGTGTTGGCCACATAAGCAGACATATACATCATATTGCTAACTCTTCTTAACATGTCTCAGCATTCAGATATTCTCTCTGAATTGTCCACCTTGGAGAAGTATCTATCTGTGAACTTCATTTGCTGTTTTGCTTCCTCAACTGTATTGAAGGGACCGTTATTGTCAGACTTTCAGGCACATCAAATGAGTTATTTTTAAGAGGCGATGGAGGAGGTGTATTTTCGGGTAAGATTCTTGGCACAGTCAGACTGGACCACTTGTGTTGAATGGCTGGTAGGAAATGGGGACGTGGGGGCTGCTCCATGAGGAAGGCAGGATTCTGGGGCCGATGCATTGCTGGACTGCTTGACACAAGAGATTTGAAGTTCCTTTCTGAAGCATCATCCATTGTACTTTTAAAGAAAACCCTGTGTGATGAAGCCAGCCCTGTTTCATCTGAGCAGTGTATCTTCTTTCGGAGATGTATGAAGTGGGAATTATTTTCCAAAAGTGACTCCCTGTCTTTTTCACTAAGGGGCAAAGGTAAGTGGACTCTGTCTAGTTTTGTTCTAACTTCATTGGTTCTGGAGCGTTTTAGCTGTGAGATGTTTACATTAATAGGCTCCTGTGTGACTTTAAAGTTCAGATCATGCAAAACACCTTTCCTATTACTGTCGTCTTGTAAGGACAAGACTTCCATTTTTCTGTAAAGTTTCTCAACTCCTGGAACTTTGACATGGCTTGCAGGAGCAATGATTTCAGATATCCTTCAGCTAACCTGTTACTCTTGTGCTGAACTTTACTTACTTTGCGTCCAAATCCTTTCTTATGTGACCAGAACTCTAGCTTCGAAGCCTGAGCATGGGCCACTGCTCTTCTAGGAAGGTCTACACCCAAATGTCTGATACCTCCCTCACACTCAAGACGTTCATTCAAGCAGGCATCGAGGGTCCTTCTCTCTGAAATGCCACCCATCTCCAAGGGCTTCACTGCCTCCAGTGGTCTGACTTTAAGTGCACATCGTTTCAGGTGCAACACTGGGCTCTTCTCACTCTTCTGTAACTCCGCCAAAAAAAACTGGTCTTCATTGGTTTCAGGTAGTTTCACAATAGATCGACTGAAAATTGAGCCCAGAGGATTCCTACCACAGTTCCAGTCATTCATTATCTTTATGTTCACTTGCTTTAGACTGGAACCATTCAACTTGGTGAAAGTCGAGCCTTCCCTCCACTGGCTGTTGTGGAGAAAGCTCTCTGCTCTCCAGTCCTTATCAGAACCAGTGTGATACATCTGGGATCTCAAGTTGTTTCAATACGAAATAAGCAAATCTTCCTGTAATGTTATTTTCAAAAAGCAGCTTTCTATTATTCAGATTTTGAAATTTGTATCTGTTAAGAGAATGAAATGTTTACGTTTTTCAAACCGTTGAAGGGATACTAATAATTTTTACATTTGATATAATGCCTTATCACGTCTTCGAGACATCTCAAAGCGCTTCACAGAATATACTGTAAAGTGAATTGACTGTATTTTGTGGGTGAAACCTGGCAGCAAATTGCGTCCCACAAACAGTTGTGGATTGATTGACCAATTTATACAAGACGTCTCTAATTGTTAACCTTGGAGCACCTCGCGCATCTCTTGCCTTTTGCCCCCAAGGCAACAAAGAAAGTATCCACTCTCTGCCACTTCCTCCTCCCAAATTATCTATGCTTTCCATCAATCCACCAGATCTGATGGAAGTGTTTAAATACGAGTCAGGAGGTCTGAAATTCTACCTAGTCTTAAATCATAAACGCATTCAGTGGAGCTGAGTTTCTCACTGATCAGGACGCTGGGGGACACAGATTACAGTATTACTTTGCTAACATCAATACCCTGTCTTCTCATACGATGCTGAGCTGAAGATTGCGATAGTCAAGTTACCGAGTCAGAGTCCCGAAATGCCAATTATTTTGCTTAAAATGTAATAATGCCCAATATTGTAAAAAACCTTAAATTCAATCTCAATTTCCCTCAGTTTGCAAACAATCATCTTCAAATTAAAATAAAATTGAAGGATTTTCCACAGTTGTGTCCGATCTTAAAATTTAAAATTAAATGTCTTTACAGAATGAAACTAGGTGGAATTTCAGACCTCAGGACAAGACAGTTCTCTGTTGTGATACCTCCACAATCTGGTCACTTACTGACACAGGATTACACACAGAGATTAACAACTGGCTAGGAACTCAAACATAGCTGGATTGTTCAGTAGACAAACGGACACCAGGAAGACCCCAAGTTTGATCTACTGTCTGTGCTGAATTAGCCAATTTCAGCTGCTATTGAGGTTACTATAATTAGCCTCAGCAACCTTAAGCTGTGGAGGGTTTAAACAAGAATTCTAACTCCTGATCACCTCCCTGTACCTCCTGTTGAAAGAGGGACTGGGACCAAACACCTGGTTGCTCTCCCCTCCCTAATGCCAGGCTGGTTGGGACCAATTTAACTTGCTCATTGCAGCCCCAGCTAAGACCAGGAAGCCTGAATGGATCAGAATTCAGATCGTCTGGGTTCTTCTCATTGACTCAATTTTTTAAATTATTCTTTCATTTCATTCCATTCATTCTGGTCATTTGGCTGTCCCGTTTTCACAACATATTCACCTTTAGCTCTTATTTCTGGACAATGTACAGAAACTCTCTTCACAGTCTTACCTATGTTATGGTCTGTGTCCCCAACAGCAGTGCAGAAAGAAATGCTTCTCTGTATCACTCGAGAGAACCTGAACTATATGTTCTCTGACTACTGTGTGTATGTCTTTTAATTCTAAATGTCAAACACATTGCCTTTATAGTCATGGAGCATCAAAACCCACAAGTGATGCTTTCATCCCTTCCTCCCACATTGCAGTAGCTTTTGAATAATTAAAGGCAGCTGTCCTGTCGCAAACGTTTGAAGATTGTCCAGTTTTTATTTAGCCCACCTAGAATTCATTGAAACACGTGGAAACTTAGCCCACTATTTCCAGGGACCGGTTTTGAATGTAACAGAATCTATCTTAACATAGCAATGCACTTGTTATATCGTTACAAAGCCCTCAATCCATCAGGCCTCCCCTCCTCACAAGTTCTTCAACTCCTTTTCCGGAGTCACTGTGAACTCCTCAACAAGTGCTACCGTACAGGTTGACACAAGATTATAGTTCAGATGAAAAGACCTTTGGCCCAATTGATCTCATCCTTCCTCCATTCCTATTACCACGATATTCAAGATGTGTCCTGGCCTCTACCCCCCTCCCTGATAACCTGTTCCAGTCATTACCTCCGAATATACGTCCTAGTGTCTGTCCTGAAATTGCCTTTTGCAACTCTAAACCTGTGTCCTCTGGCTCAGTACATAATAAATAATAATCTTGCATTTACTATAGCGCCTTATCCCCTCATTGAGACGTCACAATGCGGGTCACACAATTTTTTTCACTGCAGAATTCAGTGATTGTATTTTTCAGACAAATGCGGTAGCCAATTTGACAAAGTAATGTTCCACAAATAGATAGCCATGAAGTGCATGACCCCTTTTATTTGGGGAATTGTTGGCCAGGACATCAGAAAGTATTGTGCAGTTTACTGTCTGTTCCATTTAACATTGTATATACTTCTATAAGGTGCTCTCTTTTCAGACTGAAGCTTGTCCAGTTGTTCAGAGCTCATTACCCTACAGTGAGATATTCCTCGTTGCTCTGCTCTGTACTGAACCATTTCCTGTCTGCCCTTTTCATATGACTGACGAAACATTGCAAACGTACTTCTAGAACAAGTACTATGTTTTAACTCTCAACCAAAAGCAATATAGGTCTATGAAATCTGTCTCGTGTTGGTTCCCAAAAATGACTTGACTGTAGAAAGCCTTGCGAAAACCCTGACCTGTGTGTGGAGAGCTTGCTGGAAAAGCAATGTTTCCCCAAGATTGTAGACAAAGTTCAGAAATGAAGGACTGCAGCTCATGTAAAGCTTTTATTGTATATTTTCAGGGTTACACATGATTATCTTCAGTTGTACATTTGAGTTGATTATCATGATAGTTCACTTTGGCACGCTGTGTGGGGTTGGCAGGAGACGTTGCTGCATGTTAGGCATTTAATGTTTGCCACCCTCATAGCCAGTGGGCAGTGGGTTGGTGTGTGGATTGTGGAAGAGGCTGTGATTCCCATCACCCCAAGGAAATTGCTATGTAAAAGAAATAAAAGGGCATCAGAGTGGGGAGAGAAGAGGGAAAACGTCAAAATAGTCTGGCTTTATAAGAGTATCTTCTTATAATACTGTACAAATCTTTCCTTTGCAAACATAATTACTTAAGTTGTACCCACTCAGCCCTGACGATAAAGAATAAATGGCCTTGTGCATTTCAGTGGTACCTTAGTACGGATACGGAGATGGGTGTAAGGCACAAATTCAGGCTGTTCCTCATGTTGCTGCTTCAGGTAAGCATTCAGCATGCAGACAGCAACTCCGGGGATGGCCAGCGTGAAAGACAGGATCTTCCATTTACGAGCTGAAAATCAAAAGAGTCAGATAGATAGCTGAGAGAATGTGTTATCTTGCACATTGTAATGGTGCCAAACATGGGCCTAAGGGAGAGGAATGTAGATCCGGTGAAGTTCACAAGCTGTTGTTAATGTCACAGATTTGATGTATACCATCTCTTTACTCAGGGTAGGAAACCAAGTCTTAGGAAAGGTGGTTGAGGCCAGGACACTGGACTTATTTATATTAAAAAAATAGCAGCTCGATGCTGTGATGGGGAGCTGGTAGGGTGGTTTTCTGGAGGGATGGGCCAAAGGGCCTTCTTCATCTGGACAACCTTGTGATGTTGTCCACCTCCATGTACTTTAGAGGACAGTTGATCGAGATCTGGCAATTCTAGTTCACCTGTAATTATCTTCAGAGCTCAAGTCAGCAGAATAGTCTACAAAAGCCCCTGAAGTTATTCTGTGGGGAGTTTATTCTGGAGATGAGCTTTGGTGACTGACGGATGTCTAAAATTAAGTAATTTACAGAGTTATGGGGGAAAAGGCAAGTTAAATGGGACTGCATGGCTTGCTCTTCCAAACAGCCAGCACAGCCGATAGGCTGCATCGTTTTTTCCTAAAGCCACTGATGCCTTGTAGAGGGTTTAGAGGAGACTGATGCCCGTAATTCTTGGAATTGGGTCACTAACTTTTGAAGAAAGTATTGCACAGGTGAATCTGGTTTTCTTAGAGAAATAAAGAGAACACAATTCAGGTATTTTGAAATAAAGAGAACACAATTCAAGTATTTTGAAATCCTGAGAGGCACGGTTGACAAAGTCAGGAGCTTCTCAATTTGGTGAGAACACAGGTAGAGGGCACATGTTTAAACATTTTTGGAAAGTCAAGTGGGGCTAGAGAATGGAAACCTTCCTTCCTATCCAGAGAGTAGAATAAAATGTGTGAAAGAAATTCCAAACAAAAGTAGCTCTCAAAAAATACACACGAAACTCCACATTATAGATATGGGACTGAAGGAATGAATGCACTGACCCCACATTATCAAAGATTTACACACAACACAATATTGTGGTCCCACAAACAAGAGTCAAGTATTGGATTTAATTCTATTAACAGTGACCATTGCTTCGCACCAACCAATTTAAACATCACTGGAAGAATTTTGTCATGAAATGAAAAGGAAATTCCATCCTAAAACAGACCCCTATTGTACAGGTGAGAGTGGAATGGGACAAGAATTTTCTTCTGAGATTGATATAAACCCTTTGAAACATTATACTTGAATGGAAATGCTGTTTGGGGTAGATTAGCGTACTGTTGCTTCCAGCATAACTGTATGCACACTCAGCATTGATCTCCTAAGGCTCTGCTACCATCACATGATAAACAATTAGAAGCAAAAGAAAAGAATTGGGAGAGAGGAGAGGCCAAAGACAAAATCTCAGTCAGAAATAGGTCCTGCCTTTTCTAGATGAACATTTGTTGAAGCCCAGGCAGAAGTTTCCAGAGAAAGGGGGCCAAGCTCAGCTGCCTTGAGTGGAACCCAGTGCACTGAAGATGCAATGACCACACTTTTGAAGGAAACTGGTACGATCAGAAGCGCTCCGGGACATTAGCCCGCATGAAGGATAATAATAATAATCCTTGCAATTGATATAGCGCTTTTCACGTCGGGAGGACGTCCCAAAGCGCTTCACAGAATACACTGTAAAGTGAATTGACTGTATATTTGTGGGCAGACGCGGCAGCCAATTGCGCACAGCAATGTCCCACAAACAGTCGTAGATTGAAAATGACCAATTTATGATTGGTTTTTTTTTTTTGGAGGGATTATTATTAGGCTCTGTGTGGAGTAAGGAAACTTGCCCAAGGTTTCGCCCTCTGCCTGGAATTGAACTCAGGTCTCTCACTTGCAAAGCGAGTGCTCTAACCACTGAGCTACAGGTCTCCACGGATGCTATATAAATGCATGTTGCTGTTCAAGATTAGATGCATGCTTAGACACCTTGTGGAAGCATCTCTTTTTTATCCATTTTGCAAAATACTGCGTAATGTTGACTCACTTTCCTTTCTGCATAGAAGCTGCCTGACCTGCTGAGTGTTCCTAGCGACTTCTCTTTTTTTTAATCCATTGGTAGTCTCAATTTTTCCTGATATTCTTTGTAAAATGGTCTTGGGAGGGAAACCCAACCATATGCTGGGTGCTCAGGTGTCAACACTGAAAACATCTCTTAAAGGTCATATAAAAAAAATGTGAGGTCGAGACGTTGCCCATAGTAGTGACAAGAGACTATTTTGGGAGATGGCAGTGCTGGCTGACATCCTGAAATTTTCTTTTATCCACTGGGGTATTAAATAATAATAATAATCCTTGCAGTTGGTATAAGGCGTTTCATTTTGGGAGGACATCCCAAAGAGTTTCACAGAATTTACTGTGAAGTGGAATAACTGTATTTTGTGAGCAAATGGGTAGCCAATTTGCACACAGCAATGTTGCACAAACAGCCATGAATTGAATCACCAATTTTATCTGGGAGATTGTCGGCCAGGACACCGGGACAAACTCCCTTCTCTTTTCGAATAGTAGGATCTTTAACGTCCACCTGAACAGGTAGTTCAACATCTCATCCAAAGGACAGCACTTCAGACAACATAACAGCATTGCACTGGAATGCCAGCTTAAATTATGTGAGTCCAAGTCCTAACATGGGTCTTGAACCCACAACTGTCTGAGGCGAGAGTGCTTCCACTGAGCCAGGCTGTCACTAATGATCGTCAAAGGCACTAAAATAGCAGAATATGTTCTTACGTGTCCTCCCTGTGCTCTGAAACCTCTGGTATCAATTCTGACATCAGTGTTGGGCTTTTACCATTTTGAAATAACGTTAATCATTAGTTAGTCCTACAAAAATCAGAAGCCAATTCTGCCCTCCAGAGGGTGAAGGACAGCCTTTCAGTGAACTGCTTCACTTCAATGAGTGGAAATTGAAACCGAGATATTGTAATAAAATGAAGAGTGCCCCTCGTCGGGAAACTTTCCATTCACATCTTTTTTTTTTCCTTGAGGTTTTTTTTTCTCTCTCTCTCTCCATATTTCACTTTTGTTGCCTTTCCCCCCAAGTCTCCTCGTCTCTCCTGTCGGTGTGAGTTACAGGAGGGAATGCCATAGAAGGTCAGAGCAGAAGCCCCCGGGGTCGGGAGGGTCGACGTTTACCAGAGATTTGCTCCTTTGGTAAACGTCGCAAAGTGAGTGTCCTCCGGTGGTCTCTCTCTGTCTCTCTCTCTCTCTCTCTGAGTGGGAGGTCAGCGTCAAGGACACGGCTCTCGTTCACCTCCGGCCGCAGTGCCGCTAAACTGAACAGAGCCAACAGGTTGCACTCGGCGGAAAGCAGAGGGGAGGAAGTAGTTTTGAGTGGCTTTTTACGCCACTCTTAAACACTCTCACGGGTTTGGATGGGTCCGTTCAGCCGCTCTGCCGAGCCCGGAAATTCTTAAAGGTGCCCAACTTCGCGCAGCACATCTGAAAGTCATTGCGTTCCCCCCCCACAGCCCCACCGCGGGGTCTGGAGCCGGTGACCCTCCGCTAACGGTTTTTTTTTAAACCGACTGGCCGGGGGTTTCCGGTGAGGTGAGGTGAGGGTCGCGCGCGGGGGCCTGTGCGGGGAAGGTCGGTGTGAAGGGCGGCTCCCGCGGCCGGTTACCGTTTGGCTGACCGACCGCCGGCCTCACGGCTCCCCGCTGGGTTACCTGAGCCCTCGTGTCCGTGAGCCTGGCCGCTGGTGGTCATCCGCCTGCAGAGCTTCGCACCAGACGCCCCCCACCGCGCCGCCGTCGCCATCTTCGGTCGCAGCAAACTTTCCGCGCCGTGTGAGCGGTCGGCTGGCGGCTGCCCGGGTCACGTGATCAGAGCCGCCTTGCGCCTGCGCCCTGTGAGCCTGCAGCCGCGCCGCCCTCATCACGTGGTCCGGAGCCCCCGCCTTGCGCATGCGCCTCGCGATCTCCAGCGCCATGTGCGCTCCAGCACTGTGAAGGCGTCAAATGCAACCAACGCCAGGCACAAGGCGGTGGGGAGGGGGGGGGTGAGTGGGGGGGGGGAGTGGGGGGTGAGGCAAAGCACAGGGGAAAGGAGGTGGCTGGGGAGGGATGGAGACTGGACACCAGGGCCGAGCATCTAACCCTCTGCTGAGGTTCACATGAGCTACTCCAGTGTCGCTCCTTCTCTTTCCCCGGACTTCCCTTGGAGGGATGAGAACTAACAGAGACAAACAATAACAACAACCGCTTGAATTTATATTGCATGCCTCACACAGAGTAGTGTCCTCGAGCGCTCCTAACCCCCATCTCCCTTCTTGCTTGGGCACCGACACCCGTGGCGGGAGATTTTTTTTTATTGCAGGACATCTCCTGGATTTAGATAAGGAAAACTTGCTGATTATGGATGTCTATCACGAATTGAGATTTATGCTCGTTTTAAAAATACATGGATAACAACAACAACTTGCACTATATAGTGCGGTCCATGCGGGGGGGAAGGGGGTGGTGGTGGTGGCTGCAAGCACGGTCGAACAGGAAGGTTTTCAAGCAGGACATGAAAAAGGGGAGAGAGGGAGCAAGGCATAGGTACTGTTGGAGAGTGTTACAGAGTTTTGGAATATAGTAGCTGAAAGCGCGACCTCTGATGATGGGGCGGAGGGTGTGAGGGATGAGCAGGAGCCCGGTGCCAGTCGAACAGAGGCGCCGGATGGTGGATTGGGGAGTGAGGAGGTCGGAGAAGTAGGGACGTGCCAGAAAGTGAAGAGATTTGAACATGAGTGTGAGGATCTTGAAGTCAATCCATTCGGTGATGTGGAGCTTGGCCAGAACTGGTGAGATGTGGGTATGGAGTTTGGTCCGGGTAAGTACGTGAGTGGCAGAGTTCTGAATGAGCTGGATCTTTTGAATAGTGGAGCTGGGGAGACCAGCAAGGAGGGCATTTGAGTAATCCAGGCGGGAATTGACAAACTCCTGCACAAGAGTTTTGGCTGCCTTTGGGGTAAGGTACTGTCGGAGGTGGGCAATGTGGCTGAGGTGAAAGAAGACGGTCCTGGTCAGGGACTGGATGTGGGGGAGAAATGCCTAAATTGTGCACTGATTGAGTGTGAGGAGAGGCAGGGAGGTTGAGGAGTTCAGATCCGTAGGAGGGAAGACGTTGATGGAAGTATGGCTTCTGTCTTGTCCACATTCATTTAAAAGTACGGATAAAAATTACACTTGTCAGATTTCATCCAGTCAATTATGGGTTAAATGCAGCCACAGCTGTACTTTTAGATCACAAGGGACCAGTGTCCTATTCCATTTTAATAAACAGGTGTCAGAAGCTTATCTACCCCATGGCACAGCTGAGGAACCTCTATATCTAATACCACTGGCAGAACAGTGTATCATTGTAATGTAATCAACTCAGGAAATATGATTTTGTTTCATGGAGAAGGTTGATCAGTGCACGCAAGCACCTTTTACAAGGGCCATCTGGATCTCATCTCCAATGAGATCAAATAATTACTTATTGAACTTAAAACTAAACGCTGCACACTATCTTTGTTCCAGCAGCTATACTGAGAGAAACAACTTGTACTAATCTGGTCAGTGCTATATAAGAGGGCATCCCTGGCATTAAAGTAGTCCAGAGGAAAGAAGCAAAGTTGACTTGCTCTTTTGGTTATTACCTTATATCTGTGTCATCTGAGACATCTCAGAAGGGAGAATAACTAATTGCATTTATATGGAGCTCTACATGCAAGATAGCATCAGAGTATTACACAATGGTAGAGTTGGACACTGAGCAAGGGGGAGGTGGCCATAGCATGGTCTTTGATAGATTTATAGAGTACAATGTCAAATGGGGTTGAGAAAGGTAAACCCAGACATCATTTTCAGATACATAGAATCTTACAGCACAAAAAGAGGCCATTCAGCCCATCGAGTTTGTGCTGGCTCTTTGAATTGAGCAATTAATGTCAATCGCACTCCCCAGCCCTTTCCCCATAACCCTGCAAACCCGTCCTCCTCAAATACCCGTCCACCTCATTTTTAAAAGTAGTTATCGAATCAGCCTCGACCACCCTTTCAGGCAATGCATTCCAGATTCGAACAACTCGCTGTATGAAAACATTTCTTCTCACCTCCCCTCTGCTTCTTTTAGAGACTATTTTGAATCTGTGACCTCGAGTCACTGACACACCCACTAGTGGAAACAGTTTTTCCCTTTCTAACCTATCAAATCCCCTCATGATTTTGAAGACCTCTATTAGGTCTCCTCGTAACCTTCTCTGCTCCAATGAAAATAATCCTCACCTCTCTAGCCTTTCCTCATAATCAAGGTCCCTCATTCCTGGTACCATCCTCGTAAATCTCCTCTGCACCCTTTCCAATGCCTTAACATCCTTCCTATAGTGTGGTGCCCAGAACTGGGCGCAGTATTCTAACTGAGGCCTAACCAGTGTTTTATGTAGGTTAATCATAACCTCCTGACTCTTGTACTCTATGCCCCTATTTATAAAGCCTAGTATTCCATATGCCCTTTTTACAGCTTTATCTACCTGTCCTGCCACCTTCAAGGATTCATTTACCTGCACCCCAGGTCTCTCTGTTCTTTTACCCCCCTTAAGATTGTATTACTTAGCCTGTGTTGCCTCCCCTCATTCTTTCTACCAAAATGCATTACTTCACATTTCTCCATATTGAAACTCATCTGCCATGTGTCTGCCCATTTTACCATTCTGTCTATGTCTTCCTGCAGTTGGCTCCTATCCTTCTCACTGTTTACCACCCAACCTAACTTTGTGTCGTCCGCAAACTTGGAAATGGTGCTTGCTATACCCAATTCCAGATCATTTATGTATATTAAGAAGAGCAGTGGTCCTAACACCACTGTACACTTCCCTCCAGTCAGAAAAGCAGCCGTTCACCACAACTCTCTGCTTTCTGTCTCCTAGACAGTTCTGGATCCATGCTGCCACTGTCCCTTTTATACCATGGGCTTCTATCTTTCTTACAAGTCTTTCATGTGGCACTTTGTCAATTGCCTTTTGAAAGTCCATATAAACTACATCAACTGCACTACCTTTATCCACCCTCTCCATTACCTCATCGAAAAATTCTATTAGAATTGTTAGACAATTCTATTAGATTTGAAGGTTGCAGGACCAGGAGAGCACAGGTTGAGGGTTGTAAAGAGCAATTTAAGGATAAACACCAGGATGTTTTCTTTATAGAGTGGACAGTCAACAACTGGAAGTGGTTACTAGGAAGGGTGGTAGCAATCAGGATACAAGATGAGAAATTTAAGAAACAGCTTGATACTGTGATAGTAAATTGGTAATGTGGATGGGTGAGATAAGAAGGATGGGATCAAATGGGATGAAGGGACTCCTGAAGAGGTGCAGCATTTGCAGAGATCACTAGACTCACACATGAAAAGAAATTCCCAAGATGTGAAATGCTTTTGTTGCGGCCGTTTAATTTTATTTCAAACACATATTTTCCTTGGTATGGAAACTTGAAGACATTTAACAAGACATATCCTAAATCAGCAAATGTGCAAAAAAAAACATTGAAAATTGGTTGAAATATTCAACCATCTAATTGCAATGATTGGTAAGGAGGTTGCAGTCTGTTTCAGTTTTCTTCATATTCCGGAAAGGCTATGGTTATGGTTGGACATCTGAAGAGAATGGAATTGGCATGTTGTCAAGTGCACCAGTCTCTGAAATAAAGAAATACCGTTTGATAGAGCCAAGTTCATGGAGCAACCAACCTTCAAGGATACAGCAAGAAGGGAACATTCAGTGCCTTCTTTACAGAGTTTTTCCTCACAGATTGATGAATACTCAGAATAAATAAATGATAAATGCTAAGAAACAATGCATTTTCCTGGGAAATTGAATATTTTCTTGTTTTGGACTAAGGATTAGATTCATAAAATAAACTTCCACTACCCCAGACTGATTGAAACACATCAAATAATCCAACAGTCAAATATCCCTGGATCTCAAAATATGTCTGAAATATAATATTTTTACCTTTTAAGCGTAAATATGTTAAAAATTCAATCACTATACGAATAGCATTCTCGTCTGTGAGGGCTTGCAGCACATTGTCTGGAGAAAAAGCAAATCAGAATTTATTATTTCATTTTCACATCTTTTCAAGGTGAGAGATATGTTCAGTTTTGGCTCAGTTAATAGCACACTTGCCCTTGAGTCAGAGGGTAGGTTCAAGATGCAACTTCTACTCAGCTTGGTTGACATTTCAATGTCAGGCTGCGGATGTGCTGCATTAATAGGTGCTATCAATCAATCATCATAAGATATAAGCATATGCAGCATCTAGTATTCGCTAGGGATGTTCCATAAACAATGAAATAAGAAGCTGTTAAATTTGAACGGGTGATGGGGTGGGGGAATATAAACCAGAAGAAAAACACCATAGTTGCTTGAAATAGCACCGGCGGACAGAACCTAAAATTAATAAGTCAAAAATGAGAAAATGATCTGAAAATAAATAAGCTCGCTGCAATACAATAGGCATAACAAGACACGATAATAACATGTATTATAGTATATAGATACGATTATAGGATGATCTCAGGAGGGAGACCCACTCGGAACATTTATTTTCTTACCAGAATTAATTTCATCTTCAAGGTGCAGTTCCCGTTTGCCAGCAAGGCCTCGCTTTTCATTGAAGGATGGATGGTTGTCCACAGCGTCTGTAGAGAGGACAGTTACTAAGTCAATCAAGATCTTTATTCATGTAAATTCCCTATGCATTTGACAGGCAAATACTGGCTTTCAAATCTCAGACCATGGAAGCTTTTTGGTATTCATGAATCATCCAGAATTGGCTATTGAGGTTAGACTCGGTGGAATTTCAGGTCACTGTGATTTCGCTGATCGGTCCACCAGCACTTACTGGCAATACAGGAGGTCTCATACCCCAGCACGAGTCCAGGTCAGTAAAGGAGACAATATTAGAGGGGAAAGAACGAGTGTAAACGATGCAGATTAAATCATATAATCAATAGAGTCGTTATAAAATGGGATTTGAGAGAAAGGAATCAGGAAGGTTTTCTCAGAAGCGATGATTCTTTTCACTTACGTTTTGATGCAGCAGTTCAATCAAATGCATCGAACAGGTTTGAAAGCAAGGACCGTGATAAATGGTTGTCAGCAAAAACACCTATAGTAGCTGGTAGTTCTATCAGGATCCGTCTGAGAATTGTCACAGACGACTTGACAAATTAGAACTCAGGAGAAAACCAAGAACTGGAATTTAAACAAACAATACGAGAACGGTATTTAGTGCGTAAACGCAGAGTACTCACGCGGTCCCAGTAGATATCCTGCACTATTTAGCGTCCATCCTCTCTTCTCTTTTGTCTGTTAAGGGAGAGATTCGAAATGTTAGCCGTTTCACGGGAGATCTCTCCTGGCTCAGTGGGTAGGACTTTAGCTTCGGAGTCAGAAGCTTATAGATTCAAACCCCAAGTCAGGCTTTTGAGTTCACAATCCAGACTAACACTCCAGTACAAATAACACAGCGGCTACACTTTTAGTCAAACCCTGTGAAGTACTTCGAGACATGAAAACTACTGCATAAAAATGCAAGGTTTATTATTTACTCCCCGTGAGTGCTACTACACCCCTGGAACCCCCCCCCCCCCCCTCAGCCTTGCCTTCACATTTGAAGACTTTTTTTTAGAGTAGGTCACTCCCCTCTTTCCCCGGGTTGGCATCAAGGTCCACCAACTGTTGAAGGCTCCGAGATGCCACCCGCATGGAGAGCTCTAATATAAATGCAGATTATGGTTCAGTGCATCAGTAGATTCGATTCTACTCTGGCTCACTTGGTTGCACTGTTACCTCTGGGGCAGTAAGACGTGGTTTCGAGCACTTCAGATGTCTTTATATAAAAAAGGATCACAAATACAGTCACTGCATTTCACAGATAGATTATGAAGCACTGAGCAATTAGCAGTATCCGCACGATATCGATCCGAACATCTGCTAAGTTTTCTCTAAATTTGGAAGCTGCAGTTCTTAAAACAGGTGTTAAGTGATGACTGAATTTTTAAAACATTCTGCATTTCTCCGCCATTTAAAGACAAAAAATGGTCTTAACCTGCTAAATCTGGGCTGTTTCTGATTCACCCAATAACCTGTATTCCCCCTCTTAAGAGTCTTTGCAATCCGTGATGAGAACCCCCTCTCCGTCAAGACATTTTTTGCATCTTCTTTTGAAGCAGAACTCCGAATGCGGTCACTGGTCCAAATACATAACGAGACTTACACATTACATACAATGGGACTACATTGGTACATCAAAACCCACTGTTAATCACACCGTTATACATTGCGGCACTGGTACTTTCCCCGAGAAGTTTCAGAGTGAAATATGACCCAAGCTTCAGGTCAGATCGGCCGCGCCGGTTGCAGGATTGCAGACAGTTTTGTCGTGTTCTCCCGGGGAATGGGACCGGGAACGGGACCGGGACCGCAGAGAGACGCTTACCAACAGGCTGAGCCCGAAGCATTGAGACAGAGCCACGCACAGGACTAGGGACACGCACAGGAGGGCGGCACACCTCGGCATCTGCAGTCGAAGCAAGAATAAACTCAGAAAGAAACACTGTACAAAGCAATCGCGGGGGGTGGGGGGGGGGGGGAAGGGAAAAAATATTTAGAGGGGGGGATTTAAAACAGCAACAAATCCACCGGTTTCCTTCAAAGACAACGTTGTCGGTGATCTTACCTTGTCTTTTCCTGGAATACCTGACTTGGCTCTTGACAGGTCGATGTGAAAGGAGTGCTCGGAGCTCCAACACTTGCTGAGTTGGTTGTTTTGAGGTCTGGCTGTAGAGCGGAGGACGAGGAGAGAGGAAGAGAAGAGCGCCTCTTTATACGAGCTTGAGGTCCCTCTCTCTGCCCTCACGCCACACGCTCCATTTCCTGTGCCATCCCGATTCCAACCAAATTGCACCAATTAAGTTAAATATACTTCTAGGTCATTTGGCTGGAGGAAGACACGAAGCAGATAATTACCGGTAGGTACATTTGATGAATGCACTGCACCCACGTTCTCACAGTCCTGAGCCCTAAAGGCAACCTCCAGTCCACTCGCTTAAACAAATATTACGGATTGATATACTGTATATAGAGGAATCTTCCTTCTGAAACTCTGCTTTAGATTTCCTGTAAACGAGAACTACCTTTTCTAAAGTATAATTCTTACCGTGCTCTTATTAATTTGTTCCTAAAGTAATATTGCACTCCCCCCTTGCTATAATAGCCTTTTGTCCCCCACTGTTTCAGTGATTTCACTGATTGTCACAAGCTGGACACAAGGCTTCTGATTGAAGTATCCCGTCAGCTATTATCCCCAGAGATGGAGCAGGCGATCAGAATTTCTAACATTAGCCTTAAAGCACCTTGTGTAGCACATTAGGGTGTCAGTCTGGTTCAGTGGCAGCATTCTTGCTTCTGAGTTAGAAAGTTGTGAATTCAAGCTCCACTTTGACACTTTGAGCTCCCAGTCTGGGAGGACATTCAACTACAACGCCAGAACTACATCGTTGGAGGTGTTCTTCGGGTGAGACATTAAACTGAGGCCCCTCTGCTTGTTCTGGTGGACTTTAAAGATCCCAATGTCACTGCTGGTATGGAGCCTTTCACGTTGGAAGGACATTTCAAAGAGCTTCACGGAATATACTGTAAAGTGTAAGTGACTGTATTTTGTAGGTGGACACACAGACAATTTGCACACAGCAATTTCCCATAAGCAGCCATGAAGTGAATGACCATTTTTATCTGGGACCGATGTCCTGGCTAACATTTCTCCAGATAAAATTTCACTTCACGGCTGCTTGCGAAGCGCTTTGAGACATCCTTCCAATGTGAAAGGCGCTGTATCAAAAGCAAGGATTATTCATTGCATGGGTTATAACGTTCATACATTTCGCTGCAACTAGTCTGCTAATGTGACTTAGCAGAATGGACTTCCTTTATTGGATCAGTTTATTTTGTTCCCAAACATCCAAGAAAATAATAATTTTGAAACAAAGATCAAAATCTTGGTATGAGGGAATGAGTCTCGGTTTCAGCAACACCTTTTATTCGCTTTGTGTTTCTTTGATGTGGATATACAATGTGGGGCTATTGACTGGAATCATTCAATTCTGGTAAATTAGCCAAGAATATCACCACTTAATAAGAGTGATGCCATGGGATCTGGTGTCCTGCCTGACAATGCCTCAAACAAGAGTGATCATTGACTTCATGACTGTTTGGGGGACATTGCAGAGCCCAAATCGGCTCTCATGTTCACTTATAACATGCAGTCGCTACACAGTCATTACTCCAACAGTAACTCACGTGAAGCGCTTTGAGTCAATGTACCACATCAAATGTAAGGATTATTATTATTAAATTAAACATGGAAGTAGTAAATTGCAAAGCGAGCATGTATAATAGAGGCTGGACTGTACTTAGGTAAAATATTCGACCCAAATACATAGATATTTTCTTTTTGAACAATCATTGGTTCCGCTAACACCAATTCTCCACCAATTGGAGTCCTGTAGCTCAGTGGTTAGAGCACTCGCTTTGCAAGTGAGAGACCTGAGTTCAATTCCAGGCAGAGGGCGAAACCTTGGGCAAGTTTCCTTACTCCACACAGAGCCTAATAATAATCCCTCCAAAACCAAAAACAATAATAAATTGGTCATTTTCAATCTACGACTGTTTGTGGGACATTGCTGTATGCAATTGGCTGCCGTGTTCGCCCACAAATATAGTCAATTCACTTTACAGTGTGTTCTGTGAAGCGCTTTGGGACGTCCTCCCGACGTGAAAAGCGCTATATCAAATGCGAGGATTATTATTATTATTATTATTCGCCAGAGGGGCCAACCAGGCTTGGAGTGTGACGGACCACCGAATCTCCCAGGGGCTGAAGTTTCCAGCAACGTTGCTCCACTGCTGCGATCCAACACAACTCAACCACAAGGCGGCGGAGAGGAAAGTGCAAAGAACAAATTGATTTTAAGGTGTCTCAGCAGCACGGTCGGTGTCACCAAGTGCAGAATGAGAAGAGTCAGGCAACTTGAGTGGGTCCCCGTGAAGGAGATACTTCGCCCTCAGATACTTTGACCGCGAGAGAGAGGGGGAGTCCCCGTTCACAGGAGGGGGTCGGGTCCAGAGTCCCCGTGAAGTCCCACCCGTGGCCCTGGGACACGTTGGGGATTTCTGACAATCAAATAATAAGAGGGTTTATCCGATCCGATCGATTTTTTTTTCTTCTTCTTCTTCTTCTTGTTGCTTCCTCTCGACGGGCTTCTCGGACACCTTTTTCGAAAGCGATGGCCAACTGTTGCCCATAAATAAATAAACAAATAAACAAATAAACAAACAAACAAACAAACAAATAAATAAATAGTATGATGTCGGGCTACTTCGGGGGCGGGTGGGGGTGGTCTTTGGGCTATAAAAAAAAGAGCCCCGCTGTTAATCTCCGGCCCTGGTTGGGGCGGGTTGGGCGGGTTGGGCGGGCGCGCGGCTCCTCGCGCCGATTCCGTTGGCCATTCAAATGCCTGGCGCGTTCGGAGCACGTGGCTGGCGGGGAGGGGGAAACGGCCTCCCGGGAGCCAAGGGAAGGGGGGGGGGGGGGGGGGGAGAGAAAATAAGGCGGCTTTCCAAATGACCCCCTCGGGGCAGACCGTGTTCGGGCCGTTACAAGAAAAGTCGCAACCCAACAGACGGAATTGGACCGGGATGAATCGGTCGTCGAACGTGAACCAACTGACGATCATCGACGAGGACCTGCCCCACATCATCTTCTTCATCTTCGGGACCTTCCTCTTAGGAGGTAAAACCATCAGCGTCGGGCGGGGGAGCAGAGGCCTCACTGCTGTGTTTGTGTAGTGAAACCTCTCCCTCCCCCCTTCACCCCCCCCCCCCTCACTCCCCCCCCCCCCCCCCCACCCCACCACCACCCCACGTTTCTCCTGAGTCACTTCGTTGACTTGACATCCCCTTCATTCACTTGATATTACATAAGAACATAAGAAATGCTCGACGAGAAAAGGCTAAGATCCGTCTGGTTCACCTTCCACCTTCCTGGCGGTCGCACGCACACGTGTCCCAAATATTCCAGAGGCCGCACGTAGTCTTTTTTTTTGGGGGTGGGGGGTGGGTGGGTTGGGGGGAACCACCAATCAATACAAATAAAAGATCCATTTATATAGTGCCTTTCACACCAGGAGGACATCCCAAGGCACTTACCAATTCTGGCCGCGCACCTGAGCCAGGGGTGGGGCGGAGGGGAAAAGGGACTGAAGGCGCAGTTAAAGAGGTAGGTCCCTGAATGGGAGGGAGTTGAGGGAGGGAGGGAGGGAGGGAGGGAGTTTGGGATGGATTGCCAGAGTGGGGCCAAAAAGGTTGAAAGCGGGCCACCGATGTCGGGGCAGGGGACATGGAGCAGCGGTGCAATTGCTATCAAGTGAAATTCTATTATCTTATTAGCACTCTTGGAAACGGCTTTAATTTGGATCAAAATGTTCATTAATTATGTCAATTCTTCTCTCTTTCCACGTACGCTGCGGAAGATTGTTTAAATATAGTTTCTTGATCTAATAAATGTTGCTTTGCATTTATCCACAATTCAATCCATTCCTTGGTTCACTGATGGTTCCTTGATGGCTGTAGATATGTTTGAATCTTTTATGTTTGGCCATGGCCACATACAACAACAACTTGCATTTATAATAGCGCTCTTCACAGAGGTGGAGTCTGACACAGTATCTCGTATCTCCATTAAAGAAGTCTGTTGTTTGGATATTGCATGTAAAAAGACCATTTGAGTTCCTTATTTTTGAGATCGGATACATGTTTTTCCTTTTTATTGGATAATTAGTTCCGTTGACATAACAAGTAATTTGTTTAAAATTAAAATTATGGTCTGCCACATGTACTTTATATATAATAGTCAAAGCTCACTTAAGACACAATATATCTATAATAACAGTGATAAAAAGGAACCTGTCTTAAATTCTGTAAATTATTATGTCCAGCACATTGAATATTTAAAAAGATTTTTTTACAGAAAAATATAACACAAAGAAAAATTATTAAAACTGACATAGTACAAAACAAAATTATATTTTATAAGTTACTAAGCCTCCCCAAATTGTTTTAGAACTGACAGCATCGTTCCCCAGCTCCATCCTCCGCAGGCTCCAGCTCGTCCAAACCTTTGCTGCCTGCATCCTTCCTCATATGAAACTTTAAATGTTCATCACCACTGTCTTGACCAGGCTTGCTTTCAAGATCCTCATTCTAATTAACAAATCCCTCATGCCTTTGCAACTCCCTGTCATTTTCTCCAGTCTCATTCTTGATCACCCTCTCCAGTCACCAAACTCAGGCCTTTTGCATGTTCCTTGCCAACCATCAGCATTCGTGGAGTCCTGTAGCTTAGTGGTTAAAGCACTCGCCTCACAAGCAAGAGGATCTGGGTTCAATTCCCGGGCAGGGTGAAATGTTGTGCTAGTTTCCTTCCTCCACACACGTCTGTTCAACTATCAATAAGCAGGAATCTGGTTGTTAGTCGATTGGCGGATGGCTTTTCCGGGAGTAATAATCCGTTCCAAAAAAATATAAAAAATAATAATAATAATAATAATTTGGTTACTGAATCCTTGACTGTTTGTGCGCAATTGGTGGCCACGATTCGCCCACAGACTATACAATATATTCTGTGAAGCTCTTTGAGAGGTCTTGAAGATGTGATAAGGCATTTTAGCAAATGCAAGGATTATTATTGTTATTTGAGCCTTTCAGCACTATGCCTCACCCACTGGAGCTGTTTTCCTCAATCTTTCTGCCTCATCCTCACGCTATTGTATCTTCAAAAGTCATTTAAATACTACCTTTTTGACTGTGCCTATGGTCACTTCCCTCATTCCCCATCCCCTGCTACGTCTGGCCTCATCTTTGAAACACTCCCCAAGATGTGAAAGACAATATATACAAGATGTTATTTATTATGATTCTTTGAAATTATGTTTCTGCTTTATTTTACAGCTTTTCTAAGATGTCTCTTGAAGAGAATAAAACTGCCCTATACTATAGTTGTTTGTATGGTTGGTGTCATTATAGGAGCGTTAAGTCTCAAGTATAGAAAGGTAGGACTCTTAATCCAAAAATGACCCCTCCCTCGCTGCTTGGTGTTTGGCACCATCTGTGAAAGCATTTTGATATCTTATCCTTCATGAAAAGTTTTTATAAATGCATATTGTTGTTCCTCAAATGATAGGAAACCTGGGTATAGGTGGCAAGAAATCCTTCCTATTACTCATTCCACATAAAAAGACCTACTAAAGGTGGCTTGGTGCAGGAAGAGAAGATCAGATATGAAGTATTTTGTTCATTGATCCACTCTCTGTCTCGCACATTCAACCCTTGCCATGTGGGGAGTATTTTATTTTCCATTATATTGTTGTAGACCTAAAGTATTGATATTTATTAGATTTAACATTAGCACAAGGTCTTTCACAAGCAATTGGATTTCAGACTTACTCAATTATTAACAGCTAAACATTAAATGTTCCTCTATATTGTGGAACCAGTTTCACAACTTGTGTTACATGTTGCAGTCCTCTTGTTTAACATATGTAATATGATCTATTCTTTGTATATTCATTCTTAAAAGGCTTTGTCTTTTTTGTTTAATTTTGCAGGTTCACATTTACACAGAAACCATGGCAAACATCAATCCACTGTTGCTTATTCATGCCTTCATGCCAGTTTTGATTTTCAGCAGTGCCTTTGAAATTGAATCTCATATATTTTTGAAATCACTTTCACAGGTAAGTGTTACTTCTAGCTCTTTTATTTTTTGAACTCCTTTAATTGGCAGTGTAGTATTTTTTCAATGACAATTTTAGTGTTTAAATTAACAGTACATTAAAAATACATACGTTTGAATTTGTATCAATGACCTCAAATCAAATACATTAAAAATGACTTCAATAGATCACTTTATGAGCCTCATCAAACCCACAATACAAATTTATAATCTAGTCTCCTTTGCAACCTTGTAGAACGTCCTTGTTCTTCATGTAGATAATCCTCAATGTACTGAACACCCATCTATCTTATCCCTTGAACTGTTTTCAAACCTTTAAAATTAGGTTGGTTTGAAATTCAATTTCCTTCATATGTGAATCATATTATTTCTTCTTTCATGGGCAAATGTTTAAGGTCAATGCAGTGCAGTAATATTTGCATAGGAAATAAAGTCACCTGGAGATTGTTCTCTTAACAAAACATCCAAAGTGAAATTTATATTTGTTTTGTCCGGTGGCTTAATCTTGAGGTTTATGGAGAATAATCTGTTTAAGGAAGACCCATTTCTTTCTTCTGAAAAAGTTCCACAGGGAGCTGGTCACCCGCTGACTAGTATCTGATTTGACAGTGAGCATTTCAAGCTATTCCGTAATAATAAAGCCAAGCACAAACTAGCTCTAAGTCGAGATCCACACAGCAACATTTCAGCATTCACTGGATATGAATTAGAACTAGGAGCTCTGGCTATTTTTTTTGGCCCCATTGAAGCCAATAGTAATGTTCAAAATTGGATGAATAGAAACAGACCAGAAATTGAACCTGCTCCCTTCTGTTGTGGCCTTGGTGATGGGTTTATCCAGCTAGGAGAGCATACAGTAAGTATTAAATAGGGATGTTACAAAATATAGTTTGATACTAAATGTGGTTAACTTACTTACTAAGAACACTTTTATAATTTTATATTGGCTAAATTCTTGACAGGTGGTGATTTTGGCTGGTCCCGGCTTGATTCTGAGTAGTGCAATGATTGCTCTAATGGCTGTTAAAATTTACACATTCAACTGGAACTGGTACATTGGCATGATGTTTGGGTGTATTCTTGGCTGCACTGATCCTATTACAGCCGTCGCTCTCCTTAGGAATCTAGGTACAGTAGAACTTCTTCACCTTCATTTTAGATTTCTTTGAAACGAGTTCCACTTGTGTCTTTTAACCTTTGATCTCCAGTTAAAATATAACAATAATAACTTACATTTATATTGCGCCCATTATGCAGGTTAGCGTCTCGGAGCGCTTTAAGAATGGAGAGTACTAGCAAAATCTTGACAATCCATTCCACCAACAGTAAACTCGTTCAGGTTTCATTCAAGTCAGAGACATTACCAAAATGACACTGCAAAACACGTTCTTGTAGTTTTATTTTTACTTTGTTGGACAATTTTACAAGAGGAATATATGTTAAAACTTAAAACCAAGAACCTTGGAGCCTGAATGTTTAATTTCATTCTCCGTGTTAGCGTGAATGTACGTCTCTTTCTGTACATCTATTTTTAGAGTTGTAGAGAAGAGCAACAGTATGGTCCCCATGGATGATCAAAGCAGAACAAATAGATATGCTAGGGCTATTCAATCTTGATAAAAGATGCCTCATTTTATATGGGATTGAGAAAGTAAACCTATGAGTCAGTGACCACACTCTCAAGGGATTTTTTTTAGTTTTCACAGGTACAGTATTAGTTTATTTCTGCAGTTGATACAGACTTAATCCACTAAGATATTAAACAGCACTGTAGAGATTTGAAACGTGTGAATATGTGCTTTACTCCAGGTGCCTCCAAGGCTCTTACTCTAATAATTGAAGGGGAGTCGTTGCTAAATGATGGCACTTCTATTGTTGCATTTGAAGTCTTTCGAGATCTTTCTCTGGATCCGTTTCATGTTGATGGTACAACGTTTTACCTTCTTTTATTGTCTTCAATTGTACTTAAATTCCTAGCTTTCAACTTAGCATTTTTACATCATGCAGAATGTAAAACAATCAACATAATGTAAAACACGTCTTTAATCATTGTCAGGTTTGAAGATGAACATCAGCCTATTTCTCCAACTTGGGTATGTTGGTTTGGTCCAAAGCCTTTACTCCAAAATTTTCCCAACTATCTTAGACTCTGCTTAGCATAGTTCTCCAAATCTATTTTTTCTTAACCAGCAGTTTTCAGTGCTGATTCACCAGGATAGCGGACCAGTTATGTCAGCTATTTGTGGTATTCTGTTTGTCATTATAGAGAAACACCCTCTCCATGAACTGAAAACAACAAATAAAATATAGTCTTTGAGAAAGTACTGACAGAGGTTTGAGCGGCTTTGGTCCTTCAGATGAGATATTAAACCGAAGCCCCTTTTATGCGTTTGCAGGGGCACTACTCGAAAAGAGAAGGATTGCATTGTTGGTTACGTGTCCTTCACATGAAACTTTTTACACCGAGATCCCGTCTGCTGTTCATCAGACCTTATAGATTGCAAGACACTATTTGAAAAGAGAAGGGAGTTTCTCCTCCTACAATTCACAAGATAAAACTGTTCATTAATTTCATGGCTGTTTAAGAGACATTGCTGGCCAGCAAATTGGCTGCAAAGTTCACCTACAAAAATACACAGACACAACACTTTACAGTGAATTCTAACAAGTGCTTTGAGACAGCCTCCCAATGTGAAAGATGCTATATCAAATTAAGGATTATTATTACATGAATGATTAAGGAAGAAATGTGATTTGTAGATGAATGCTATCATTTTTGAAAATAAGTTAGAGCATACCTCCAGTAAAATTTGCATTTATATAGCGCCTTGCACATTGTGAGGATGTCTCAAAGCACTTGTTAGATTGTCACACAGTGGAGAAAAATGGAGAGGGTGGGAGGGCGGAGTTGGACGAAAGCATGGTTGAAAAGATAGATCTTAAGATGGGTTTTGAAGGTGGGGCAGCAGGAGGAAAGGCAAAAGACAGCAGGATGGAGCTCCAGAGGGTTGGTGCATTACAACTAGATTATCCAGTATTTTACTTACCTGCTAGCTAGCAAATACTTGAAATTGGCCATTCTTATGCTTGATGTTTTACATCATGCTTGCCAAAAATAAAGGTACATTTAGACAACACATATACACATGTCAGCTTATCTGCATTGGGTTACTATGATGCTAAACAATATTCTTATTTGTGTATAAAACAGGTTAGCAATTTTTCTTAACTATGAACTGGTGTGTTTGGTGGAGAGATCCACCATACAAGCCACACGCACACATACCTACACCCACACCCACCTATCCAAGAACACCCACACTACACACACACATACACACACACACACACACACACACCTACCCATGCACACCCACGCCTACATTCACACCCGCCCATACACACACAGACACAGCTGATATCCACATTGTTTTAACATCTACAACAGGGCTGATCCCAATTAGTAGAGATATCTGATTGAACTGTAACAGAAACTTCTTCAAATCAAACAATTTGGAAGGATAGAGTGATTAAGGGATATGGGGATAGGGCGGGTAAATGGAATTAGGTTAGAAGATCAGCCATGATCTTATTAAATGGCGGGGCAGGCTCGAGGGGCCGAATGGCCTACTCCTGCTCCTGAGTCTTATGGTCTTATAGTCTTATGGAAATGTTTTTGAGAATTCACTGTTTATTATTGCAAAATAGAGCTGCTAAACACTTGTTTTTTTTTACATAGCAACTGAGCTTGGTACAAAACTGATTTTGAAGGTGCTTGTCAGCCCAATATATGGATATCTAATGGCCAAAATCACCATGTTATGTCTGACCTATATATTCAATGATGGTTTAACAGAGATAACTATCAGTTTGGGAATTACTTATGTCACATTCTATGTTGGTAAGTCTGCATCGCTTCGTAAAGTTTAAATATTTGGCATTTTGAGACATCTCAATAAGGATTGCTGTTGTTGTTGTTCAGTCAAAGTTCAAACACTAATTAAATAATTTATTATCAAGCTTGTTTTGATGTTTTATCTTTGTGACCTTGAAGATGTTGATACTTTACATGCATTTGTCAAAGAGGTGGGTTTTTAGAAAGGTTTAAAGACTGCGAGAGAGGGTTTCGGGCAGAGGGGTTTTGGAAGGAAGTTGCAGAGAGTGGGGCTTCATGGCTAAAAGGTCAGCCGCCCATGGTAGGGTGAAGGGGCTGAGGAACTTGCAAGAGGCCCGAGATTAAAGAGAGGAGTCAGTGCACGGCAGAGTAAACTGGAGGAGATTGTAGAGGTAGGATGGAGAAAAGGGAATTAAGGGAATTCCATAGTTAATATATAATATCCGGGGTTCACCCATGACTTTGTGATCATTGGCCAGTCTTTGTTCCTCGGGTTGTTAAGATCCTCGTTCTCACCTTTAGCCTAGCCCCACCCTACCTCTGCAACCTTCCACAACCCTACCGACCCAACCACTTCCTTCACTCAGTGAATACTGGCCGGCTTCACGTCCCCACGCCTGATCCAGCCCAAATTGGTGGGTGAGCTTTAAGCCATTCTGCTTTACTTTCTGGAACTCCATCCTGGAGTCCCGCCGACTCGCTCTCTCCCTCCCCGTGTTAAAAGCCCACGGTAAGACTTGTCTCTTTGACCCCGTTTTCAGTAATCTTTCCCCTCCCACCCTCCTCCTGGCTCAAATGCTCAGCCAGGAGCGTGAAGCACTTTGAGATGTCCTCCTGGGGTGAAAAGTGCTGTATAAATGCAAAGCGTTTTGGATCTTCTTTGTGCTGTTGTATCACAGCCTTTGTGACAGGCCGTTGGTTCTTTTTCTCTTGTTGTGGCAAGCAGGTATTTTGTGTTGCCTAACAATGTTGAAATTTGTTTTATTTATTACTGCCTTCTTTATTCCAGGCATCCTCTGCACACTGTTGAATTCTGGGCATGGTTGACATATTCTTGCTGTGGAATAATTCATGATGAAATCCCATTAAGATATTGCAACATCAGTGACATCATGCATGTGACCTCTCCCACTCCCATGTTCTAGCAGTGAGGTGTTAATTTTTTCCCTCTCTCTACCCACCCGCCCACCTTCACCCTCACCTCTGACATTCTGTTGCATTATTGCTGTGAAGCTGTGGTAAGTGTATTGGTAAGTTTGCTGGTCAGAATACTTTCCACGTAAATTTCTTTACCATAATCACTATCACTGCTCGAATTTAAAATTATATTTACATTTTTGTCTTCCTGCATTTTATTTCCTTGCAGCAAAATAGCTTTGGCATTATTCCATTTGCCTTCTGTAATTCTATACTCCCTTTAGTAAAACACCCCAGTACAGCCACATTAGTTCCCTTCATGATTAAGGTCCTCACTACTTCGTCAAATTCCGGTGGGGTGTGTAGTATGCCAGGAGTGAAGAAGAAGAAATAGGACTTGTAAAATCTGATTCATTCATTGAATGGAAAGCCATTCTTCACACGCCCATCCGTTAATCCTCCTGGGCCCCTTGGGTTTCTTCTCCTTTTTGTAAGTTGTAGTAAAATAAACGATTACCTCTTAATGATCTACTTACAATATACAAGAGTTGGAGAGGTCACATGATTGATGTTGCAAGCATCACTACATCTTAAATTGTCCTCATGACTTTTAGTCAACTGTGCCCCAAACCTAATAATGTGTGGAGGATGCCTTTCCATTTGATGAATGAAGATCTTACAAGGTATGTAATCTTAATATTTGTCTGTTGGTATTTTTTAATCTTTCTCCATTAACTTATTAGAAAAGAGAATAGCAGGCCCCATTCTGGTACAGCAAATGTGTTTAAGTAAAAAACACTTGTTATATCTCACATGGATACTGTATGTATGGATTAACGTATGGATACATAGTAAAGGACTATTTGAATCTCGTCTTTTCAGAATACCAATATCATCTCCCCATTACAGCATGAAGCAATTTTAGTGTTTATCATGGTATTGTGGTTTGAATTCTGGATTGTTGTGTTCAACCTCACCTCTAGTACTGGAGCATACTGGGATGAAGTAACTGAACTGGAATCAGTTACTGTATTCGGTACTATGATTTGCTTGTCAGATTTATGAACATAAATTCAGCTTCAAAATTGGAGTTCTTTGAATATGGAAGGGGAGGCTTTTGATTCTCTGATTCATTGGTTGCATTAAAATACTCATACTATATAAATTATTTGAAAAAANTGACGGATTTACACCTGAAAGTGAAGAACTAATGTTTGAATTGTTTCTGGGTTTGCTTAATTTTCAGGTGAATGGATTGGTATGTCTGGTGTCATATCTGTTACCTTTATGGGTCTTTTTATGGACACAGTGAGTTTTAGCCCAGAGATTGAAGTGTTCCTGTTACGGTGAGTAATAGAACAGAATTCATAACTGGAAGAAATGTAAAGTATAGAGTATTTAATATTCCCTCCATGGCCTTGCTCCCCTTTACCTCTGCGACCTTCTAACCCCGTACCAAACTGCCTGCTCCATCCGCTCAGTGGCCTCTGGCCTGCTTCACGTCCCCCGCCTCGCCGGTCCCACCATTGGCGGGCAGGCCTTCAGCCATTCTGGAATTCCATCCTGCAATCATTCTGCCTCGCCCCCTCCCTTGCCTCTTTCAAGACCCAGCTCAAAATCCTCCTCGTCAACCGTGCCTTCGATCACCCTCCTTCCCCCTCCTGTCCGCCACCCTCCCCGATCCCAACCCCCAGCTCAAGTCCAAAATACTCATTGTCCAGTGCCTTGGGACGTCCTCCTGATGTGAAAGGCACTATACAAATATAATTTTGTTGCAGTTGTTGTTTAATGGTCACATGCAGCATGTCAACTTGGCTCAGTTTGCCGCAGGCTGTTTGTGGGACCTCGCTGTGCCAAGATGACTGCCGTGATTGCCTGCAAAAATACTTAATAATAATAATAATCCTGTAAGCCTTTCACTTCGGGAGGATGTCTCAAGGTGCTTCACAGGATATATTGTAAAGTGCAATGATTTGCTATAAATTGCAAGTTCTTCGATCTATGTCACAGAAAAGTCACTGAGTATAATTATGCAGTAAATCTATTGTTTGCTGCAGTAATATATTTCTAATGTAACATATTGGATTTTCAATTATTTTGTAGCTTCTGGGAAATGCTGACATATCTGGGTAATACACTTATTTTCATGATTGTTGGAGTTGTGATATCACAGAGATCTCTAGAACATATGTCTATCAATGATGGATTTTTTATCATTGTGCTCTACTTTGGACTAAACACTGTACGGTAAGCTTTGTGTCCATGTTCTCACTATAATAATTATAACTTGTTGTGATTTAAATGAAAAGGGTAAGTACTTGACATGTCCCAATTACTTTTGTTTTTACTTTAATTTAGTATTTTACCCTTTTTTGCGAAAATTCTTAGTGTCCTGAGGCTCTATTTGTTCCATCTATCTCATATCACCTTGTCGAATATATCTCCTTCACTTCATCTCTCCTCATCCATTCTCATTTCACGTTTTCTCCCACTCTCTTCAATTCTCAGTTATCTCTCTTTTATATTAACTTTTCTGCTTTGTTCTGCAACCCAGATTTGTTTATTATGAACCTTAAGCGTTTTTTTACATTCCAGCATTACACAGCCAATGAGATATTGGACCCAGATGACTGTTTAATAATAGGACTACCCTGTATCAATTTGATATATTTCCTATATCAGGAATGGAGATAAAAGGAGAGAGATTGATGGCTAACTGACCCTTACTTACTCCAGATTTTCTTACTCTGTTACCCTTCCTCTACTCTTTTGTAGGTTGGTGCTGATTGTAGCAATGTCACCATTACTATCCCGTATGGGATATGGTTTTAACTGGCGCTGGGCGGCTGTTTGTATCTGGAGTGGCACAAAGGGGGCTTTCACTTTGAGTCTTGCTCTCATGGCTTACCAGTTAGAAGGTCTTGATGAAGAGAATGTCAGGAACAAGGTAAGGACAGCAATAATGATTGCACTGCATTCATTCAGTTGTAAACTATCCATACAATTCCAAAAACATATCATTCAGATTGTTACATTGAAGGTGTTGGTTTAGAAAACAGTTTTGTTGGATTATTGGCATATAAGCCAATAATCTTGCTGTGGAGGAAGAGGATGGTCTTAAGGAACAGTGATGCCACGAGCACTCTTGGCACACTATTTGTTTGAGGAGGTATTCAAGTGGTAAATATATCATATTAAAAACGTAACCTTGTGGATATGACAGAGGAACAATGTTTTTATCATTTGTGGTTATTCTGAGAAAAAGTGGCTTCTCAGAAATTGATCACTCGTTTCATGGCTGTTTGTGGCACATTGCTGCTCTCAATTGGGCTACTCATTCACCCAGAAAATACACAGTCACTTCACTTCATGGTAAACCCTGTGACGTGCTTTAAGATGTCCTTCCAATATGAATGGTTCTAGAACAAATGCAAGGATTATTATTGTTGTTGTTATCATCATTGTAATGACTTCTATTTCTAGATCCTGCTGCATGTGTCAGGAACTGTAGTGCTGACGCTGTTAATCAATGGGACCACGATGGGATGGATTGTCAATCTGTTGGGTAATATATAGAATAAATATTCTACCTGAGTTACAGTTATTCAGTTATTAAATCCTATATACCTTGGACTGAGGGAATCACAGATTCCTATCCTTTTAGGTGATGCTGGCAATGGAGTGATGTTACTATGTGTCATTATATCAGTGTAATCTTTCCACAAAAATCATTCTGTAAAGACAATGTCAATTTCCTCTGTCTATCATTATATTTTTTAAAAGCCAGTGAGATTTCACTGTTTTTTATGTTTTTTAAAAATAATTCCCGCAATGATTTAAATGCCTGATACTATGTTGCCAAAGTTCATCATCAACTTGGGCCCCACTTGGACATTGCAAAACAGGTTTTAAGAATTCTATGTCTAGCACCTATTGTGAGAATTTACAGTGTAACAATACTGCATTTAATATAGTGAACATAATAACATATCTGATGTACCTCTTCGAATTCATCTTGGTGTTAACATTTGTTAACATTTCTATGAGAAGTATTAAGTTACGAGATGTATTGTGGAGCCAGGTGGAACTATTTTACAAAATGTTGACCTTCACCCACTCTCATATGCCCAAGAATCAAGAAGGGATTGACATCCAACCAAGACATTCACTTCATGACTGTTTGTGGGGCATCGCTATGTGCAAATTGGCTGCTGTGTTTGTCTCCAAATATATGATCACTACATTGCCACCACTGTCCTGCCCACACCCACTCATGCACCTCCAATTGAAAATCCACTAATGTTAATAACACAGGCAGCTCTTCTACTAATGATATATGTGTTGCATGAGAATAATATCATAAAGGTTATAATATTAGTAATATTTTGTTTCTTTTCAAGGTCTTAGTGATATACCAATTCCTAAACGCATGGCAATGTATAGTGCAATTCAACGTATCAAAGAGAGTCAGAATAACACTTTCTCTTTGCTGAAAATGGATAGATTCCTAGCAGATGCTAACTGGATAATGGCAGAAAGAGTAGTGCAGATTGAAGATCCATACAAGACATCTCATGATGACGTAAGCAATCCCCTACTATATATACTCTTAGAAAATAGGAAGTTCTAAAGATGAACAGCCTTGTTGTTAGTATGAACTGCTGAGTAGTTCAACAACAACGACAACAACTTATAATAATAATAATCCTTGCATTTAATCGCAGCAGTGGAGCAACGTTGCTGGAAACTTCAGCCCCTGGGAGACGGTGGTCGGTCACACTCCAAGCCTGGTTGGCCCCTCTGGCGAATAATAATAATAATAATCCTCGCATTTGATATAGCGCTTTTCACGTCGGGAGGACGTCCCAAAGCGCTTCACAGAACACACTGTAAAGTGAATTGACTGTATATTTGTGGGCGAACGCGGCAGTCAATTGCGCACAACAATGTCCCACAAACAGTCGTAGATTGAAAATGACCAATTTATTATTGTTTTTGGTTTTGGAGGGATTATTATTAGGCTCTGTGTGGAGTAAGGAAACTTGCCCAAGGTTTCGCCCTGACCTGCCTGGAATTGAACTCAGGTCTCTCACTTGCAAAGCGAGTGCTCTAACCACTGAGCTACAGGACTCCTTGCATTTATATATCACTCCTCACGCAAGGTAGGGGCCCAGAACCCTTACAGTGTCAGAGCATGACGTCTGGGAGAGGGGGAGGTGACCATAAGCACAGTCGAATAAGATGGGGAAGGAAGAGTGTTCCAAAGTTTCATTCAAATATAGTAAACATTACTAAGTTGTGTTTATCAGTTTTTTACTCACTGCTCCCATTTTGTGTTTTTTTTCAACATTTAAATGCTCTTTGCAGTTTTTTACTTTTTGTTTTCACCTACTTTTGTTTTCCATTACAACAAACACAAAAGATCACAATATACAGTTGAAACTGTAGCTGAAGCAGCTATGGATACAGACTCACCAAGTCTTAAAAGAGTATTTTATTTAATGACCATTTGTGTTGAGTGGAAGTAATAAAACACTCAATGTGATGTACATTAAGTAATACTAAGCCTTGCAACATATTACAAGAACTTTGGTACCCGTCCTCTTAATATTTTCAGGTTAATATTGATGAGCATTTGACGAATGCAAGAGCAGCTCGATGCCCCGATTGTGAGAAGGGCATTGCTTGGGAACCCTCGCTTCGTGAGATAGATGATATGATGGAAGAAGCTAGGATACGCGTTTTAAAAGCACAAAAGGTCAGACTTCATGAAGTGCTATTTTTATTTTCTAATTCTTCCTGTGATTTACTGCACTTGCCCTTTCCTGAAGGGAGTGACTCAAAGTAGGTTAAAACTTCTCAGCAGAAGTAGTTTTCCAGTATCTTGCCCAAGTCAAAATTTTTCACAAGCAAGTTGGACAGTATTCATTGGTGGGTAAATGAACCAGTAAATATCTAGAAATATTCCTACTAGAAACAGGCATTTTTCGCACAGAATAAGGCCATTTGGCCATGGTACTTCTACATTTTTTTAAATTCCCTCTCCCGACCCTGCCCAATTTGCTATCATTTAGCAAATTCAGAAAAAAAGTTTGATTTTTTTTCAAATGAATCAATTCGATTTTATATTGAAAATTCCAGATGTTTCCTCTTTTCTCTTAAAATATAAACAAACATAGTAGCAGGATATGTCACCTTTGTACAGAGGAGTAGAAAAGATCACATGGGCAACATTCTGGCTCCAGAGTTTCAAATTAATTTGAAGAGAAGTTGCATTTTGTGAGCTTACTCACCTGACACTGATACGTGCCTGACTTTTACTGTGAGCAGTGGATGCATTAATTTGAATAATGAAATCCATATTATCAGTTGGGTAATCTTTCTGTGCATTACCTTATTTGTTTCTTCAGTTCTCAGAGAATAAGAAGAGAGTAAAAGGGATGATGCATCAATACTGTATCATTAACATCAAAGATCTTTTAAAGACATACTAACCTCGAGGTTCTCCATGTTGATGCCCTATGCTTAGTCCTGATACTAATCAGATCTTTTTTTTATTCAAAAACAACATCCACCAACAACAAATTGCATTTATATAGTACCTTTCATGTTGGGGGGGTGGGTGGGGGTGTGTGCTGGCGGGGGTCCCAAGGGACTAGATGTTTGAGGGTTTATACCCTTATAAGATGGAACTTGACACTTTACTGGCTCTTTGAGTTTTAAATTATAGATATTTGTAACTTTTTTGGTTTTATTGCCTTTATACATAGACTAGTTACTGGCGGCAGTACAGTGCTGGAATGCTTAATCGACAGGCAGCACGAACTCTGATCAGTATCACCGAGAGCACCATTGATTCTGGAAGGTAAGGGCATACTGCAGGAAATTTCTGCACTCACAGTCTAAGTCAAATAATCTTGTATCTAAATCGTCTGTACTTTCAGGATTGAATAAAAACAAGTTCAGCTAGGTTCTTTTATCGTGAGACAGTATTTTCAACCTCATGTTCAAGCACAATTGATCAGTACAGATGTTCATCATCAAATGGTATGGAATGGGAGGAATGACATTTATCATCACATGAAATGATCTCCTGAGACTTTAAGAGTATTTCAGAACAGGTGATATGTGTCTGCAATTGAAAATGGCAAGGAAAAAATGTCAAGCAAGAGACCTCTTTGTTTTTTTTCTCTCTCACAAGATGATAGGACTAATAAGTTACCATCTGAATACTCATAGTTGAGAGTGCAACGCTCTAGGACTGTAACTATTTGACTACATTACCTGCTGAAATGGGGTATGTTTGATGACTGGTCATACAGGTATCAAAGAAACAGTGGATCACAATACAATTCCCTAATAGTGACACAGAGTCACTAACAGGAAATTAACAGAAGTCATGGCCAGCACATGGGATCTATGCTCCAAAGCGCTGGAAGTAAATCACATTTACCGGCTGAGACTCAGTTTCGTTTTTTAACAAGTTTTCTCAGAAAGGAAGCAAATGTTTTATTTTCCGAGTGAGTTCCAGCCGTGCTTAATTTTAATCTTATGGAAAATGATTTCAATTTGTTTTTTTTAAAAAAAGCAGCCATATCTCACAGCTGCAATATGAAGAATAGTTTTTCAAATCAACAAGAAGAAAAATGAACAGTGTGTAGTGATTTTCTCTTTGCCTGGTCTAGGTTTATGACAGTATTAGATGTGAAAAAGCACTGGGAAATCAAAGGATTGTTTTTCAATGTGAGGCAGAAACTAGAGGACTGGGTGTACAACGTCAAAGTAGAAAAATATAAACCATCAAAGTAAGTAGGCAATTATTTTTCATAATTTGAAGTACTTTTTACATCTATGACTAGATGATTGAATCATCAAATTTAGGTCCCATCTGCCTTGTAATTCAAGTGGATGTTGGGAATCAATTCTAAGAATTATTAGTATTATAATTGTAAGGATTATTAGTATTATTATTTGGCTAGCTGTTACTCTGATACCTACAAAACTGTTTCTTTTAGTCAGCTCTGGAGAATATAATCGCTCCCGGGGGGCTAAACTTTATACTGCTCATTTAACTTTATCAATGCGGCATTAGCTTTTATCAAGGACTATGTGGGAAGAACCTCAAAGGCATATTTATCTCAATAAGTTCCATTGATGAAGCAGAAAAGTGAATCAGCAATAGCACCTTGGACTGGAGGGGGGCACAGAACTAGCGTTTACCTCGATCTCTTCATATCATGGTTTCGGGGGATTCTTGAGTTTGATAGATTGATGGTAGTTCCAAAGATGGAAATCTGCCTCTTCACCATCCCCTGGACATCCATTAACTGTAATGAATACAGAGGATATTCTTGGGACGTCTTCCCAATTGACTGCCGCAAAATACATAGTCACTCCCCTTTATAGTATATACTATGAAGGACTTTGAAACATCCTTCTGACATGAAAGGCGCTATACCAAATGTAATTATTATTATATTCTAAAGAATGTGTTTCTTTTTTTTTACAGAAACAGATTATTGAAGCTTTCCTACTATGTGGTGTTCACCAATTCTTTTGACTGTTTTGTCTACATAGTAATAATACTTAATGTTTTCCCATCATATTGGAATACATTCCGGATCTGAGCACAGAACATGAGAGAGAGCTGAAACTCATAAATTACGTGTTTGTCTTTGTGTATGTACTGGTGGCAGTATTGAAGGTATGTAAAACTGGTGCAGTTCCAGTGCCTACTTGGTTCTTTACACAGAACCATTACCAATATGTTGGTTCATTTTTTAAAAAGAAAAATTCCTAAATTAAATCTAAACTTGTCAATATGCGGCAAATTGCAGTCTGAACTGAATTGCAACTGAAGACAAGATGATTAGTTTGTATGAAATGCATTTTTCTTGAATATATTTGATATCAAGATGATAATCAAAATGATTGAAATGATGGAGGGACTGGACTATGTTCATGCTGAAGAAGAGAAGTTTGGGAGGTGATATGATTATGTTTTTTAAGATTCTAAAGGCACTAGATAACATAGACCATGACAAGCTGTTTTATCTTGTACTGAACAGTAGTACCAGAAGACACGGCCTGTGATTGAAGGGGTAAATTCAGAACAAATTTGTGGAAACACTACTTCAGTGAGCGAGTAGTAAACTTATGGAACAGACTCCTGAGGGTGACGGTGGAAGCAGAAAGTATCAATTGTTTCAAGAACAAATTAGATACATTTCTGTTAGGAAATAATATCTCTGGATACAATATTTAGTTTGGGACACGACATGTCATGCGACTACCAGCATGTTGGAAGGCAAACTGGATGGACCCTGGTCTTTCTTTGCCTTGCAAATTCTTATGTCCTTATGTTCTTGTGATCCATTGTATGTCCAGATTAAAATTGGAGTTAATTGCATTTGTTACTTTGTAGTTTACTTTGCTTCCAAATTGTATACAGATTTTCATTGAAAAATGTAGTTTAAAATCAGGCTCAATATTTCTTATGGGAGGGATGTTTAACAGGATAGAATGCTTTTTGATAAATAATTATTTTATTGTTCATAATTCTTGCAGATTTTAGCGGTGCGTAAAGCCTATATCTTCGATCATTGGAACCAATTTGACATATTTATCATTGTGCTGGCAACAGCAGACATCATCCTTGACCAGCTCTTTGAACGCACTGTGCACATGATCCGAACTGTCCGAATCTTCAGATTAGTTCGTCTTGCTAGGGTACTCCGGCTTTTAAAGGTGAGAGTGAAGCTTCATGATATGATATGGCAGGTAGTGAAAGCCAAGTTAATTAAATCAAAACCAAAGGGTTCAAAGCAGACATAAAGAGGTACATTGTACATGTTTTTAAGGCCTAACAAACATATTGTTTCCTCCTAAAAGCAGCCCAAACTTGTTTGATTTAAGAGGAGCTAAGTGATAAACTAAGTAAATTGTTTTCTTATATCTTTACACATCTTATATACATTCATATGTACTCAGATGACCCACAACTCTATCTGTCAGTTTTCACCCTCAAGTTCAGTACCACTGCTGTTCTGACAGCCTAGTCAGACATCAAGTCTGGGATGAGCTTACGTTTCTTGAATTCAACATCAAAAAANCTGGGGCTATTCTGCTCAGCTCCCACCAGCACCTCCTCACCTTAGGTACTATTGACCTTCCTGGTTACTCATTCCAACTCATGGAGCCTGAGCAGCACTTTGGGGTTTTACTCTGCTTGTAGGTGAATCACACATATCAAACATCAATTAAATGGCGTTTTGACATGCATCATTCCTGTGTTCTGTCTTTCAGATTCTGATTCCAAAGTTCATACTTCTCCTCAACAAGCAGATTAGTAAACAGCTAAGGTTTGGTTATGACATTGGAAAAGGATATGTAGTGGGAGAAGAGGATGTCAGTAATCTTATTGATCACATTTCCGACCAAAAAGTGATTGCCGAGGTAATGGGAAATGGTTATGAGGATTTTTAAGTCTTTGCCTGAATGAGTAGAGGTAGATAAGAGTTCCACAATTTACATCTGAATGATTTATCGAAGTATACAATTGGGACTCATCTGTGCACCATATTATAATAGTGTTATTATAATTGTTACTTCTGCCTACAGTTTGGCAACTTTTAACCTTGCGTGAGATAACAAATGTATCTTTAAGTTTATGTTAAGAGAATTGTGTCAAATGGAGGAGGAAAGGAAGAAAAAACAAACATATGGAATGTACACAACCTGTCTGTTTGATTTATAGACCAGAAACACTTTGAAATGCCTTCAGGGTTTTAAGGTACTAAATCCCGAACTTCACTTCAGATTTTGTTTGATTTATTTTAGCAACTAAGGAATATTGTGGAACGGAATCATCAAGAAGCTGTTAAAGAACTCGGTGAGTAAAAATCATCTTGAGATGTAGTTAGATTGGAAAAGAAATTGGATTCTGACACATTTTAGCAAATCAGTTAATATTGTGTAAAATATTTTTTTCAAATCAAATAAGAAATCTTAAAAGGTAATGAGACAGTAATTTAATGAGTCGGAAATGAGAGTAAATTTAATAAATATAATCAATTATTTATTTCATTTCATCAATGTGCATCTAATACTCGATTAACTTTTGTCTAAGGCTAAAATTATTAAAGACTTATTGCTTTTATTAATTTTTTTATCATTTTATTATATATTTTCTAAACAATAAATTTACATTTATCCCACATTTCACATCTGGGGTACATCTCAAATGCTTCACAGAGCTGACTAGGAGCCTGAGCTAGGTGGGGGGGAGCTGCTGGAGGGGAAAAGGTAACCAAAAGTATGACCAAAAGAAAGGTTTTAAGATATGCTTTAATGGAGGAGAAGGATAGAGTGAGGTGGAGGGGCTCTGGGATGGAGTTTCAGAGAGCGGGGGCTGAAAATTCGAACAAAATGTGAGCTGGGAATATATTTACAATTTCTCCAATGCGTGCAGTTAATTACCCCAATCTTATCCCAACTCTCAAGGTCCCTTTCCTCTTGCACAAGTTGCATGAGGCTGTACTGATAGAAATGCAGCATAAAAAGAGCCTAGTTTGGCAAAGAAAGGCCCTACTATAACCAAAACCATCTTGCCAAATAATTGATTTAATTGGTGTTAGAGGTGTATGGTTCTGACATTTGGCTGCTTTGATTTTTGTGATGGATAAAAGTGCGAATATAATCTAATTTTTCAGGCATCCATTTTACTGTTAGTTCTGTCAGATTATTGTACTTTCTGGGACATACTTCCATTCATTTGATAGTAACAGTAGCTAGTTCAGCAATGTAAAAAAAAATGACATGTAGTTCAGAGTTTTTAAGGTAATCATCCTTTGCCATCCATCAAAGAAAATAGGGTCTGATTGCTAAAAGCCAACAATTAGATATGAAGGAACTGAGAGTGGTCAGGTAATAACACAAAATGGAATTGTGCTATTTTGCTATCATTGTGTAGAAAAGATGTGGTGGATTCCACAGTCAGGTGTCTGAAACATGCAGAAACCCATCAATCATCCTTAAGAGTATCCAAACCAGGTTCAGATTTTTCCCTATTCATGTTACCTATGTGTAGAAAATTCCAGTTTGTCTGGAATGGATTGCGCATTCTCTTTGTGGAAATATGCATCCTACTTACCGAATTCAGAAAAGCATTAAGTGCATGATGGCCAGAGGACCCCAGATATTCGCTGGGTTATTGCTGGAATTAAATCAGATAACACTGCATATATTCCCATTGTAAGATGAGTCTAGCAAGCTTTTTACATCTTATCCAGCTGGGACCATTCTCCAAATCCCTGCTTCCAGTATACCTCATAAATTTAGCACAGATTTGGAGTTGAGCTATTTTCATCCATTGAAATTAAACAAATCTACAAAATCTACGGCAAAGATAAAAGGCACTTTACAGGCATATTTTCCCTGAGCAAGTCAGAAACTTTTAAGTATGCAAAACACTTGACGTAACCAGACCTGCTGAACAAATGCTATTATTGTCCCGTCACGTCTTTCATGCTAATTTAGATAAATGTTCGAAGATTAATTCTGTCAGCATTGTGACAAAGTAACAATAAAGATTAAAAACGATTTTAGAAGTTTACTAAACAAAAACATCCAAGTGGAATTTTTCCAAACAGGAAAAGTAATTTTACTTAGTGATAAGATTTTATTTGTAATTTAAAAAGTTATAAGGGTGTGAATTATGAAAAATGTGTTTAATCCTTGGCAATAATAATAATCCTTACATTTGTTATAGCACCTTTCACTTTGGGAGGATGTCCCAAACCACTATTCCAAAGGATATACTGTAAAGTGTAATGACTGTGTTTTGAGTGAATAAAACAGCCAAATTGGGCTTAGCAATGTCCCACAAACAGCCATGGAGTGAACAATCAATTTTATTTGGGATATTGGTGGACAGGACACCGGGAGAAACTCACTTTTTTCGAATAGTGCCATGGGATATTTAACTGAACAGTCGGACAAGACCTCATTTAAAGTTTCATCAAAACAACAGCACCTCCAACACTGCAGCACACCCCCAGCGCTGCATTCTAGTGTCAGCTTGGACATTCTGAGTTCCCAACGTGGGGCTTGAACCCACAGCCTTCTGATTCAGAGGCAAGAGTGCTACTGAGTCAGGTTGGCCACTGATCATACTGTCATTTGCATCCGAAACATTAAAGAATTAAGTGCTCCGAGACTCTTACCCGTATGAAGGGCACTGTACAAGTTGTTATAGTTGAAGGGGTTGAAAAGTTAATTTACTCAGGGACTACTCAGAGCAAAGAATTCTTCTATGTTTCAGTACATTTCTGTCATTCTAAAACAGCCAAAGAAATCCTAAAAGAAAAATTGGATAGAAAAATATATTCGATGCTGCGCTGCCACATCTCATCGTGGCCCTAAATTATGGCCTCCTGATTGTTGGTTGCCTAAATCCATTAATAGCACTTTGAGTGAAAATTTCAGTTTAAATGCACTATCAGGTCCCAATCAGACTACATCCAATGCCATCTTTATCTCTGCTTGTTACCTCTTTAAGTATGCTATTAGAGCTGCTAAACGTAACTTTATTGGGGAAAAAAATCAACGGGTGTCTTCCTAACTTTAAAGTAATCATTCTTTACCATCCAGAGCAAAGTTGTCTCTCAAAATTTCTGTAAAATCTTTCCATCATCTTCCATCCTGATGGTCCCTGAAGAGAAAGCTGACATAACTTTCTCAACCAACTATATTCTTAATGGCTACACTCACAAATTACCTATCATGATTTCCTCATTATTTCAAAAGCACATTGTGTAAAGATGTACCTTCTATGTAACTGTCACTTTGCTTCAGTTCATAATGTTCCTTTTTCTGGGTCAGAACGTTATAGTTTCTTGCCCCACATTGCGACTTTCAGCTCATATACCAGGCTGATATTCTGGTGCAGCACTGGGAGGAGTATATTGTCAGAGTTACCATCTTTCGGATGAGTTTACCTGAGTCTAATGTGCCTGTTTATTCAGGTGAGCATTAAAATCACACAACACTATTGGAAAAGAGAAGGGAGTTGTTCCTGGTGTCCTGGTCAGAAATCAGCGAGATTAATTGGTCATTCATCTAATGCTTGTTTGTGGGACATTGCTGGTGCAAAACTGGCAAAATTTGCGTATAAATCAGTCACTACAATTGATAGTAAATATAGTGAAAGACTTTGAAATGTTTCAACTTGATAAGGTGCTATAAATATATATCTTCCTTCTCTCTTGTTTATAAATGTTCCTTTCCTGTACCTTACACGTTTCAAAGGTAATTCATGTTATTCATACACTCTCCTCCCTGCATTCTTACAGTGTTGAAATGAAATTCTTCACGCTCATTCTGTCTGAGTCAAATTCACAGATGTTAAAAACAAATGTATGATTCTGCACCAACTTCTACAAAATTTAATAAATCATTTAAAATCATCTACTTCATGCAAATATAGTACACAGTTAAAAAGTAATAGTACAGTTTAAAAATGTAAATATCAATCCTGCCATCACAGCAAACATCACATTTAAAAATGTAGCTGTATGGTCAGAACTATTAAACTGATTGTAACTAGGAGCTTTGTTGCTCCTTTAGGTCTCTTGCAACGTGACCATCCAGAGATAGCAATATCAGTGAAAACCAGACAGGCAATCCGAACTGTGCTCAACAGTGCCCGGGACACAATCCATGCTCTGATGGCTGGAGGTCTTCTTGATGACGCAGAGGCATTCAAACTGGAAACGGTACTGACTATTACGTACAATAGTCTTCATCTTACAATAATCAGCTAATATATCTTTGAGCAGACATTAATATGTACAGTGTTGCAAACACTGCACATATATCTGTACTTCAGAATAAAATACACAACATGTATACAGATACATGATGTATGAAGTACAAGATGAGAGCCAACATTGTATTGGAAGTCCAGAGTAATTCCTGAGCTGTAAAAAATAAGGCAAACACTCAGTTGGAAGTCTGTTCTATAAGATGCATGTCCCTCGATATACAGTGCAGTTTATTTGTGATAGCATAGTATTTGCTTTTGGATAATAATTAATTGAGATGGAATGCTAAAAACATTATTGTCCTTCCATGAGTCTAATGACAGCAGGAGGCCATTCAACCCATTGTGTTCGTGTCCGTGATTGCTCCTCCAATAAAACCATCTATCCCAATCCCAGTTTCCTGCTGTACACTCATACTTTTTTAAACCCTTTATCCATATGTCTATCAAATTCCCTTTTAAATGCTCAATGTGTGTAATATTGTTTGAATTAATTTAATTATAGCATTAATTATAAGCTTAACTTGGTAACAATTCCAAATCTATGGTAAAAGTCTAATGAGGTGGATAAGGAACCATTGTATAATGGAGATGAAATAGATTCACACTTGCAGCTATTTAATAACTTTGAAAAACTTTCGGATTATGCTCAAAACCCTTCTCTGCTAATGCCCTTAGGCGTCTTGCATTTCTTCCATTAGTATAAACAGTATAAAACAAATTAATAATAATAATCCTTGTATTTGATATAGCGCTTTTCACGTCTTCTTGACGTCTCAAAGTGCTTCACAGAATATGCTGTAAAGTGAATTGACCGTATATTTGTGGGAGAAACGCGGCAGCCAATTGCACATAGCAGTGTCCCACAAACAGTCGAGGATTGAAAATGACCAATTTATTATTGTTTTTTGTTTTGGAGGGATTATTGTTAGACGTGTGGAGTAAGAAAACTTGCCCAGGGTTTTGCCTTGCCTGGAATTGAATCCAGATGTCTCGCTTGCAAGGCGAGTGCTCTAACCACTGAGTTACGGGACTCCACATTCTAACTCAAAATGGATTCAACTTGATTTTAACAACAAAAACTTTTATAGCAGCTTTCACATAGAATGCAGCATTAAAAAAAGAGAGAGATGTTTATTAAGAGGGGAAGAAAACAAAGAGATGCCCTGTGGTTTGGGTTGCTAGTGGAGCTTGGTGAGGACTGAGGTAATGGATGTGTAAAACTGAACGTAGGAGAGAACTCAGGCTGCAGAGTTGTGAATGAGTTGGAGTTTATGAAGCATAGAGCTAGAGAGGCTGGCAGCAAGTTTCAAATTCAGCATATTATTAGGTACATATACGAGGGTTTGTCTTATGCGCTTAAATAGTCACCGCTTTGTTGACCAGCTAGCCACATAAACATCACAATTTGTTTTTACTTTGAACTAAATACTGTTAATTATTTGGAAACCAGATGATTGAAGTAAAGATGAAACGTCTACAGAAATTCCCTGCAGCCATACAACCTCCAACTGCTGAGGAGCTCCTAAAGAATCTGCCTTGGCTGCAGAATGCAGAGAAGCAAATTGAATTCATTAAGGTAATTATTGAATGATTTTACCAATTCATTTTCAGGAGAAAACCAAATTAGCAAGTTTCCCTGTTTCTGGAATCCCAGAGCCTCTCTGCTTTGCTCTCTCCCTCCATGCTTTCAGAACTACCTTAAGACCAATATATCTTTGTCCATGCTTTCAGGCACCTTCGACCACCCCCCGCCTCTGCTCTCCCATATCAATCAAAATTGTCGTCAAATTCAATTTGTGTTGAGCTTTTCCCCATAGAAATATAATATATTGTAGAATGATGAAGAGAAAAGAATTGCCTTCTTCCTAATTTCTGAACTTCACAGTTGTTCTCTGAGTGCTTGGAAGTGCTCTGAGACACTACCCCACATGAAGGGCCATATATAAATGCAAGTTGTTGTTGTTGTATTCTGTTCTATGCACTCCAAGTAGAGAATTTGTTTTACTTTGGCTTTCTTTTCTCTTCATCATTTTACAGTATATTATATTCTCTGTTGAGTAAGTTTTACAAATTTGGCCCTGAGTCCTTCACAATAACAAATGACATTTACATATAGGATTTAAATGTCACTTTGGCTCAGCCGATAGCACTCTAGGCTTTGGGTTCTCCTAGTAAATTGTGGCAGATCACATAACTGGGACCTTGTTTCCATTGAGTTCAGTTTCACGCTGATTTTATTTTGGATTATTATGTTATGTTATAGTTCTTTGAATTTCTATTTAGCTAAACGTTTTCAGGGCAAAACGTTAGGCAACTTTCCTTACTCCACAAGCCTCTGTTTACCTAGCAGTAAATAGAAACCCAAGCAGTTAGTCAATTGGCGGATCGCTTTTCCGGGATAATAATCCCTTCAAAAAGTAAATAAATAAGTAAATAATAATTTGGTCACTCAATCCACGGCTGTTCGTGGGACACTGCTGTGCGCAATTGACTGACCCATTTTGGTCATAAAATACACAGTCAATTTACTTTACAGCATGTCCTGTAAAGCGCTTCGAGATGTCTCGAAGACATAATAAGACACTATACCAAATGCAAGGATTATTATTATAATTATGATTCTCATTCTAGTACAAAGCAAAGCTGCTTTATTTTGATTATGGCGACATCGTTGTCCATCAAGGTGAAGATCCACGAGGAATCCACCTCATTGTATCTGGATTAGTGCGGGTAAGTGTTAGTTTGTATCGGGATTGGTGCAGGTAAACGTTAGTTTAAACAGTCAATTGAACAGTAGTGTTTTTTTTAATAATATACAGTATTGTGTTATTTCCTAATAACCAGGATCCTGTGTGGATTGTCACTCAATAACCATATGCCTTAATCTAGACTTTGTGCCACATCAAATGCATCATCAGATGGGCTGAGCATGAAATGGCGTCTCAGCTATTAATGTTCTTTAAGGCTCAACTTATTTTAAATGATTTGAAAATCGGGCAATTATGGTACCGTATATGGGAGGGGAGTAGACAAACAACAAGGGAGACGAGCATTAAATTGATACCACTAAACATTTTGATAGAATTTCACATTTTAAAGAGCTGTCACTTTATAGTCTGACCCAGTTAAATTGCGGTGGTTTGGGTCCTTAAAATCAGATTATGTAATACAATATGCTATAAAAATGACTATCACGGCCACCACTCCCTGCTTACTGTGCATGGAAATGCTCCTGGTGTCTCCTCCTGTCCTGCACGTGTGCAGCAAGCAGCGAAGTGTATCGTATCACTGGTGTAGCATGGGTCCATGGTGTGAATGCACTGTATACAGACCAGTTCTTTTATCAGGGTTCTGATTATATTGCTGTTTTTAGTAATCTGGTGTTTTCAACTATCAAGTAATGAACCACCACACACTTGATGAAACACTTATATTTATACAAATTTTCATTAGGCTGCCCACAAACTGTGCTCTTTATAATATGCAAAAAAAATCTTATCAGCAAGTCATTTGATTGACCTAACAAACCTCATAGAGTAGCCCTCATAGAATTCCCAACTTCAGTGTAAATTTTTGAGGAAGCATCAAACGGAGGCGAGACAGCGAAAGGATGGGGACAGCGGAAGGATGGGGACAGCGGAAGGATAGGGACAGCAGAAGGATGGGGACAGTGGAAGGATCATATCATAATGTTATCTTTCTCTCCTGAGAGTTTTCAGGTATCAAGTTCATCTAGGGTAGATTACACTCACAATTTTCACATTTCAGAGTTAATAAGTATATTACTAAATTCTCTTCAGAACAGCATTTGCCATTTATATCTACTTTCAGTAATAACTAGTTCATATTCAGTGACCATCCCTCATTACTCTATAATAGACTCACATGCTTTACTTGTGCTGAACTGCAACCTTAGTACCTTTTGATGTGACTGTAATTATTGGTTCTTTTGAGTGTAGGGAACAAAAACTTCATTTTTGCTTTCATCTTTTTACCTTTTGTACTCTAATGCTGAGATAATGGGATAATTTAAAATCATTTTCAGCACCAGTGTTCTTGCTGTCCACGATGCTACTCTCTCTCCCTCTTGGTTTAACAAACAGCCTGAATTACAGGTGACTTTTCAATCATCCAGTCCTTCTCACTCTGAACATCACCCTGTGATTAATAACAGGAGACGGTGAGGACCCAGGAGAAACGTTTGCATTTCACTTTCTTGCACCAGTTTAGAACGCATTGCTCATTCCTGTGTTATCACCATGCTTCAGGAGGGTTCTGTTAAGATATCAAGATTCCTGACTGCGCTTTATGCTTTCCTAATTGTAGCTACAGATTTTCTCTAGCACGGAGTTGGCTATATTGCAGCATTAGGGCCTTCATTACAGCTCCTATTGAAGTTAAGACTTGCATGGCTGTGTCTCAGGCTGACTAAAATCTACTATTAATAGCTAAGAAAATAAAGTTTTTCCTCTCCCTCTCTCTAATTCTAGGGTGAAATCCCACCAGCTATTAAATGCAATTGCTTTGTCGTGGTGTAAGGAAACATACAGAATTTGGGATTAGGTATAAAAATTGACCTTGAAAAAAACAGTTTTCTACCCTATTATTTTAGCAACTGGAACAGTGAGGTAGAAAACATCTAATTTTCTATTGAAATTTGTTACAACAGGTATTAGTTTTTAAGTTAAAACTCCCCATGTGCTAAGCTAAATACAGTACCCGAGGGTTAATTAATATCAGCCAGCCCTTGGCAGTGCATTAAAAGCGAGGACGAAGTTTCAAAACTAGAATTAGTTGTAACTTACATTTCTGATGGTCTGGAGCCAGCACAATGCAAGAGCAAGGAAGCGATATTTAATTTATACAGGATATTTGGTTAAGCCGTATTTGGGAGACTTCATATTATTGTGGGCGCCTCATTACAGAAAGGATTTCAGAGGCATACAGTGTTGATTCATATGATCATACCAATGATGAGAGTTTACAGCTATGAGGATAAGCTTGAAATATTGGTTCTGTTTTCACTGGAATGGAGAAAGTTAAGATGGGATATAGTAGAGGTCTGTATAATTCTAAAATCCTGAAAAGATAGTGAAAGATTATTCCTGAGGGCAGGAAAATTTTAATAAGGAGATGAAAGAGATGGACCATCACTTTGCATGTAATTTAATTTATTCATTGTTGTAAACATTTCAGAAAATTACGAGTATAAATAACGGATGGCAATATTACCGGAATGTCTTCCCATACATTGCTTATGATAATGAGGTTTGCTGACTTTAAGCAGATTAAGTATTGTTAGTCATTATCTTATAATGCCATCAAATGATCCAATTACCATGTGATGGACTTCCTAACATTTCAGCCATTTTTTGCCTGTCACGATTTGTTCTATTGAAAGAAACAACGGTCTTGCACGACCCACATTTGTATTTTTTCTCATTTTAATCCATCCTTTGAGTGAAATGCATACCATTGAGAGAAGATATTACAGAGGGAACTTGTAGAGGTGTATAAAATGTTAAATGGGATTGAAAAGACAACCCAGAAAAAANGTTTGGATGTACCAAGACAGTGGAGGACTTAGGTTAAGAGTTGCAAAGGGCAATTTCAAGACTGATACCAAGTTTTTCTTTATCCTTAAAAACCCTTTACTGGGCACTCTGCTATATTCATTATTTGTTTTCTGGAATATATTTGCAGACTATTCGATATTGTTTTACTTGCTCTCTCTCTGACAACAGAACCATGTTGTATTGTCCTAAATTAAGAAAATCATCAATAAATATTTGGGAATAGAAGGGTATGGGAGGGAGTAAGGAATGGGTGAAGAATTGTGTGGAGTATAAATGCCAGCATTGGTTGGCACCACCACTGGTTGGGCCGAGTGGCCTGTTTCCGTGCTGTACATTCTTCATAACAAGCATCTTTATAAATATTTAATTGTGCTGCAAGAAATTGCACTTTGCATGCTTATACACACGTGAGAAAGGGATGTTGGGAAGTGCACTTTGTTATTAGTTGAACAAGTTGTGGTTACTGGGATACTACATCCTTTCTCCTCCCTCCTTTCCCAATTTCCTCACTTTCACTCAATGACTTAAGAGAGCACTTCTCTTTCTGCTTTGTTTTCAACCAGGCTGCTCCTTAGTAAATAGCTCTGGTGCCCTCTACTGTTGTACACTATTATTTCCAAATGACTGTTCTTTGAAAAAGGGTACATCTTTTGAAATATCCAGTGAATGTTAATTGTACTTCTTGCAACAGCACAATGTACATGTTTTTTCATATGACCAAGTCTTTAGACCATCTTTTCGCTCCCCACCCCCTCAGCTCCCATCCCTAGCTCAGGTGTCAAGCCAGCACTGTCAAATACCTAAGGATGTCTTCAGGCATGAAAGTAATAAACTTAAATTTATATTGTATGTGCACATTGAAGCACATCTGACCAATATGCTCCAGTGTACAAAACGAGCAGTGTTATGAACAAGTGTCTAATCTTTGAAATAATTTCCATATGGTTAACCAGAACTCTCATATTCCTAGGTATTTTACATTTTAAGAATTTAAGGAGTCGCGTTCCTGATTGTTGGTCAATTATATGAATTTTGTGAGCAGACATCTTTCATCTGATATTCTGCAGCATGTTAATCTGAGTGCATAAGAGGTTATTTTTTCATACTGATATCACGGTATGTGTGAAATTAGTTTCTTCTCATTTGAAAGTTGGTGGCATTCAAGTTAAGACTGATTTTTGAGCTGCTTACAGGGCAGCAGCCTTTAACAATTGTACAAGAGTCTTACACTGCTCCAACAGCACATCAGTGCAATTATCCAAGAATAATAGAATGATAGAAAGAATAACCTTTGCTCAGTCCATGATTGTTCTGTTCTTATTTAATTTTCTGACTGTTCCTGTTGCCTACAAATGTCATGTTAAACTATTTTCCCTATATTTTGACCAGCTCCACGGTCTCAAGCCACAACTTGGAACCAACAAAGGAACTGAGCTGGATTCTGTAGATCGAGACAAAGAGCCAGGCAAAACTATGCCTGTTTTCACTGACTACAGAAGCAGTGGAGCCATTATTGGAGAACTGAACTGTCTAACTCAGCAAATAATGGAGGTCACTGTGACCTGTGAAACTGTAGCACAGGTAAGGACAAACTTTATTTCTTTGCTGACAGACATCTTATACACTACATATTTAAACTGTTAAACTTCATTGGATGTTACTTATTTGAGTGAATGCAACACATCAACGCATAAAATGTCACTTGAATTACCTGGTTTCAAAGAAGCTAATGAACCTTAAAATCTTACACATTTTTAATTTTTAAGTATGGTGATGGTTTTTTGCATGTGGCAGACATCCAAATGTCAAAACAAAATGGTTGTGTGCTGCCATTTTCATTTCTTTTCAGACTTGTTATATTTCAATTGATGACCTGTTTGAAGCGTTTGATGTCTTTTCTGAGTTTCCTTCTCTGGAGTATAAAATCTGGCTGGCACTGGCGATCCGCATTGCTGTTAGCATCATGATGGCTGACATAACATATCAGGTAACTTTGTTGTCACAACAAGGAACTGTGGGAATTGTTGGACACTATATTCTGAATCAACTGTGGGAATGTGAGATAAAGTTTTTGCACCATTCCTTAACTAACTATTGCCCACTAGGTGGCAGAATTAGTTCAATGGATTTTACTGTTGGGATTTGACCTTGGACCCAACTGAACAGGATCCAGCAAATTTTGTCAGAGGATCTATACTTTGCGTTTGCAACTGACTGCCCATCAGTAGTACCAGAAATAAGACATGAGACTCACATGTAAGAACCATGTCTTCTCTCTTCTTGGCATCCAAACATTTGATCCCTGAAATTTCTTATATTCTTAGCCTTAATATCATTAACTGTTTACTGCTCAAAGGCTCATCTGTTCCCTTTTGAATGATTATATTGATTGAGCCTCACTCACCATTTGTACTAATGAATTCCGGTCTTAACAACACTCTGAGTGAAGAAATTCCTTCTAATTTCTCTAATAGGAAATAGAAGGGTATGGGAAAGAGATGGAAAGTGTGATTAATAAAACAGGGAAACTTTTTTAAAAAAGGAAGGTAACAGTGGCAGTGATAAGCTTCCTTGTGTGCTGAAACTTGTTATGTTTCTATATTGAAGATTTTTCATTAAAATTTCTATTCCATTCCTTTTTAACCGTGCTTTCGATCATGTTTCCCCTCCCAACATCTTGGCTCACACTCCCAGCTTGAGTGCAAACCAGGACTGAAAAGCACCTTGGGATGTCCCCCTGATGTGAAAGGCACTGTATAAATGTAAATTTGCCCTGTACTGTAAAAACAACCTGACAAAATTGATCTAAATCTAAGAGAATCTAAATTTCCATTTCATTCTAATTCCAAACTACCTTTGCTCAGGGTTGGTCCTACAACAGCATCTGTTCTTACCTAGCTCGTGCTTACGTGGTGGATATAGAAAAAAATAACAGATTTGATCTTTATGATGGGACAGTGGAGGATGCATTTCTTATTTATGGAAGTTGTGAAGATATACAGTCACAGAAATCGTACGATGCCCCATCTTATATTGCCAAAACTACACATCAGGTAATAGAACCACTTTCAAACTACTTTCAGAAAGCAGATGCAAAATACAGGAATAGCATTATATGAATGCAAGTTCCTAAGCCTAAGTAAGTTTTATTTAAGCAATAAACTTAAACCTTGTATTCTTGAACAGCTCCTGACTTTCCTAACTTGTACCAAATGTTACTATGACCAAACTAATAGGATTAATTTTATCCAAGTAGAATTGTGTGTTCTTCACTCGCACTATACATTAGGACTGATTATAATGTGCTTCTCGATATTTACTTACCAAAAAAATCCCAAATGCATGCAGAAATCCGGCTGGCTCACTTCAAAATGCCGGCTTGTATTTTTGGTGCAAAAATGGCTGACCTTTGAACATAAGCATTAGGAGCAGGGTCTGCTGATGTAATTTCCAGATGCGTAGCCAACCTGATAAACAGGAAGTCAGCCATTTTTTAGTGCATGAACTAAATCTGAGAGTATTAGGCGCTAGTTTGCCCAGGGTGTGCTTTGGATGCTATTGGAGCTTAACCAGCTTAATTTACCCAGCTTGCCATTGAGCGCATGGTTTGGCAGGCTTCTTGCTGCTTGTCCAGTTAGTTTAAGATCACTCTACCAGTTAGGGCTTTGGTTTGTAGGGCCAAATTGAAGATTCCCTGCCTCCAGTGAACTCTAGTGTGTGTGTGTGTGTGCGTGTCTCCTCTCTCTCTGTGTCTCTCTCTTTCTGAGTGTGTGTGCGTGTCTCATTGCGTGCCTCTCTCTATTAGAATCTATCTCTTTTTCTCTGAGTGAGTCTCTCTGTGAGTGTTTCTCTTTCTTTCTCTGACTTTGTAACTTTCTGTCTCTCTTTAAACATTTTCTCTTTTCTTACTTTTCTTTCTCTCTCTCTCTTGACTCTCTCCCTGTCTCTAACCTACCCTGTAAATTGCTGAATAAAATTACCTTTTACGCTATCAGCTCACAGTCCTAATAATCTCACGTGGATGCACAGAACTAAATTTTGTTTCTGGTATTTTGTGTTCATGTATACATCGTAATCTGACTGTATTTTAACACTATTCTATCTGTTTCTATATAACATTATAGGTGATAGGAACAGCCAATATAAATAAAGTGCTGATTGTTAGTGCAACCTCAAAGCTTGCTGAGGAGTGTACTGATGCATCCTGCTTCCAACAACCACCGACTAACAAATATTGTAAGTAAAGCTGATGTTATAACTATTAGACAGTGCTTAGAATATTGATATACATGTGAACTGATGAAAATAAATAGCTCTTGAGACTGCTACTAATATTATTTTGATAGAGCCTTCTCTGCACCTAAAATAAAATTGCAGGAAGACTTCACTCTTCTTTGTAAAAGACAACCAGTGCTTTTTCACTGAATATCTGCCATGCTCCCAGGTTAGGTGGAGGAAAGGTTTGATCCAGGATAAAACTTCCAACATTAAAAAATCATTTCCAATCAGAAGAGAGTTCCATAGTTTCATGAATGTTTGCACCCAAGACATTCTTTTGCTGGTTGACCTATGCTATCACACTCAAGTGACCACTGTTCATGAGTGAGTCTTACCAGTGAACGTTGACAGGCCACTCAACTGTCACATCTAGGTCACACAGGCAACTAATAGAGAGACCGGGAGCAGGAACCCTAGGCTGTCTTTCCTTTCCGAAGCCTGGAGCCAATTTGGCCTCCACATGTAGCCCTGGCTGAAAGCAGCAAACTCAGCATGAACCAGGATTGAAGCTCCTGGTTCATAAACTCCATCTACTGCACTATCACCTCCAGCTCCACCTCCATATTTCTCATCTATCATGTCAGTCATATTCTCAAATCTCCAACAGTCAGCATAATATAATATAATAATCCTTGCATTTGATATAGCGCTTTTCACGTCTTCTTGACTGCAATAGACTGCAAAGTGAATTGACCGTATATTTGTGGGAGAAACGCGGCAGCCAATTGCACACAGCAGTGTCCCACAAACAGTCGTGGATTGAAAATGACCAATTTATTATTGTTTTTGTTTTTTTGGAGGGTGTAGTAAGGAAACTTGCCCGAGGGTTCGCCCTGCCTGGAATTGAATCCAGGTGTCTCGCTTACAAGGCGAGTGCTCTAACCACTGAGCTACAGGACTTCACAATTAAATATGTTTTTTTTTGATATTTCAGTATCAGCATCAACCCGGAGCTATTTAACAGAGAGATTCAGTTCAAATCCACTGGAGCCCCACGTGTCACAGGTACAGTGAACACAGAACTTAGCTTTACTTTGACTTACTTAATTTCACTAGATGAAAGTCTACTTTATATTCTTTCATAACAACGTTCCTCAGGTATCGAGCAGAGGAGTGCAGTAGGAATCGATCAGAGACATTGGGAGGTGATTGGGCTTGAAGAGGTTTATGGGTGAGGACCATGAAATCGATCTTCTGAGAAACCAGTAGAGCCTGGCAAGAAGTGGGTTGATGGGCAGGCAGAGTTTGGTGCTGATTGAGACAGGTTTTGATAGCCGAAAGGGGGGAAACAAGGCGTTGGAATATCAGAAGAGTTCCAGAAGTGCCAAAGGGACTGAAAGCATACCTGATAATGGTGGGGCTGAGCAGGCAGGGACATGAAGCAGGTTGTGGAACGGAGGCCTTGGAGTAGGGTCACAGGAGATCGTAGAGGTAAACTGCGGAAGCTTTTTAAGATAAGAACAAGTATCTCAAAGGCAATTTGCTGAGGATAGAAAGCTAGAGAAGTCAAGTGAGGAAGAAGGTGCTGGGCTTGTGGAACCTGGTACAGGAGAGAATATGGGCTGTAGAATTTTGGATGATCTGAAGCTTGGAGGTCAGGCAAACAAGGTGTTAGAAAAACTGAGGCTGGAAACAGAGAGGTCCAAGGATAGAGCCACGAAGAAGACTGCATGGGTGGGGAGGAGAAGCTGATAAGAGATGTAGTTCAGATGCTGAGAAAGGTAGGAGTTAAACCAGGAATGTACAGAACCTTGAAAATGCATCTAGAAGAAGAGACAGTGGAGAAGGATGGAATGATTGACAGTGTTGAAAGCAGGAGAGTTGAGGATAAGGAGACACAGGGAATTCTAGTCCCAGCTTGATGAGGATTCTTTGTGACTTTGACCAGGACTGTGTTGGATTCGGTCAATGTTGTTGAACCCAGATTTGTACGGAGCACATGCGTGGCTCATGAACAACAGTGTGAGCCACTCAGATTGTTGAAAGTAGTTGAAAAATGAAACAAGTCACAGAATTTCCTCTGAAACATTTATTTATAAGCATGTCATACTTTTTTCAGTTGTATGTGCAAATTGCTAGTATTTAACTGACACACATTTCCATACAAAGAAAGTAGACACATCATGAGGTGCAAATTATTTCCATTTAAATATTTAGAAAACAATCCGTGGAAATTGTGTGCTTAATAAACAAATCTATGTCATTATATTGTCACTCAAAAAACCTATTGAGTATACTCGTTTTATTTGATTATGCAGACTAGTATTATTTTAGATGATTATTTCAATTCAATATGTGTTAGTTTGTTGGTAATCTGACAACACAGTTACGTTCAGATGGTGTTTGATCACTGAAACTGATTCATTATACCTTTGTACTACATATTCTGCAAACAGTCAGGATTCTTACATGGTTTGCTTGTCCAGCATTCCTGGGATGTTTGAGGGTGCAGGTGAATCGCAGTTTAAAGATTGGGGTTATGGCCTGAGCCCCATTTGTTCACATGTTTCTTTTGCCCACACACCTTTTGTCTCTCATCCATTCTGACTGTAAGAATCGCATCTTTATTTATACAGAATATTGTGATTTTAAGACATTTACCTAGAATGCCAAAACAGTGCCTCGATGTGGATGGTAACCTAATTTAAACCCTCAGGACTATTATTCCTGAATATTAGAAATCTAGCTTTAGTTTCCAGTTATACAGTAAACTCTGGATGTCCCTCCAAGGGAAAAGGGTCAAGTGACAAGTTATCCGATCTGATGAGTTAGCCATATGCATCAATAAATAGTATGGGAGGTGCCAGGGCATATGTGAAGATCTTGAAATCATTATATTGTGTGATAGGGAGCCAGTGAAGCCTGGCAAGGACTGGGGTGATGGAGTGTGCATTAATATAAGGGTAGCGCGTGAGGATGAGGGAAAAGCCGGGGAGGTTAAAGAGGTCAGAGGCTCAGGTAAGAAGACGTTGATGGAAGCCAAGGAGTATGGCTTCTGTCTTGTCAACATTCAGCTGCAGAAAGCATTCCTGGGATGTTTGAGGGTGCTTGTCCAGCATTCCTTAACCTCCCCTCATCCAGGCCTTGATGTCTGACAAGCAAACTGACAGAACATCAGCGGACCTGGAGTTGCAGCTGTTGGAGGAGATGTAGATTTGGGTGTCATCCACATCCTGGAAACGCTGATGGTGAGGATATAGGTAGCAGTTTTCAATTAATTGATCCCACGTCTGTGGATGACATTACCATGAGGGAAAGAAGGGGGCCGAGGATAGAACCTCGCTCTAAGTGACCCTGCGGGAGAAAACATTTGCGGAGATGAAGTGATGGTGGTTCGTTAAGTAGGACTCAAACCAGTAGAGTGCAGTCCCACTGAGGTGGATGACCTTGTCGAAGGCAGTGGAGAGTTCCAGGAGAACAAGGAGGCAGAGGGAGCGCTCGTCGCAGAGAGAAAGGATGTAATTTGTGACTTTGACGAGAGCTGCTCTGTGCTGTGGGCATGGCAGAAACAGGACTAGAGGGGCTTGAGGGAATGGAGGGAGAGTTGTGAGTGAAGTAGATTTGCAATGTTTCCAAAACTGTAGCTGGTAGTTTGCATGGTTAGAGGAATCAAGGGTGGATTTTTTGAGGTGGGAAATGATGACAGGAATTTTGAGGGGGAGAGGAACAGTTAACTGTTGGAGGCAGAGGGGGAGTTGGGTGACCACAGCTGGGTGGAGAGAGGGTCGAGGCAGTAGGTGGTGGGCTTCATATGGATGATGATGGTTGACGGGGAAGGGAAAATGGGAGTAAATGAATGTAGGGTGGGGCAGTAATAGAAGCCATGGCGGAACAAATGGGTGATGTAGAAAGCATGGGCGGTGCTAAGAGACATGGGGGAGGAAAGAAGAGGCAACCAAGGGGATAATAATAATAATAATAATAATCCTATTAAAAATAATAATGTTGCCTATCCTTGGGGCGAAGAAGTCTTGGAGCTCTTCGCAACTTGTCATTTGAGGTGTGCTTGTGGGGAGTAGAAATGGGGCATTTTGGGAGAGGATGGTTGGGACCAGGGACGGCAGCAAAACATTCACATTGAGACTAGGTGCGAAGGGATCATCGGTGCATTGTCAATCCAAAGGGATGGAGGGGGCTAGAGGAGATAGTGCAGTGGGAGAGGGGGGATGCCACTTATTGTGTTATTTATTTAGACAAGAGCCTAACCTAATAAGTAATTTAGAGAGGGTTTGAGAGATAAAGAGAAAAGACAGAGAGGTGAAGAGAGGACTGGAAGGGACAGAGGGAGATCACAGAAACAATAAACAATTTGCATACAACAAAATATTGTATTCTTGATCATTTTCAAAACTTGACAGACAGATATCGCTCATCCGTTCTATCAATACAGAATTTTCCCTCTCTAATTGTAAGGTACTGTATTTCACACAAGAGCACAGGTGAGAGTTTAAGCACCTTGCCACTCTGACATTGTAGCTGTGCAGTTACAGTCATACTACTAAAAGCAACAAACATTTGTTACAACTGCAAATCAGAAATTAAAAAGTAGCTCACAAGTTGCTGTACTGATCTAAATTTACTTGGGAAAAATACTCCATGATATTCTTTTGTCGCGCCTGAGAGGAAACCAGACCAGCAAGTACCGCAGAAAGGCGGCTAAGTTTATATGGAGCATCATCGATGCCCTGTTGAGCCAGAAGTAACTGCAGCGTGTCAACTGCTGCAATGCCGGCTGCTAGTTTAATCGGGGGGTGTGGAATATCGGTGTCGTCATTTTCTTCTTCATCGGCCTCATCTTCTTGATCTGGCTTACCACTCTTTGATTGTGTGGCAATAATGTCACTCTCAGCAGTCAATTCCGATACACTGACTGCAGCGTCCACGTCGATGAAATCATCCTTGGAGACATTTTTTGGCCACAAGCCGATAATACGTAACTGTTCAATGGTGGTGCTGAAATGGCTAGATTCCTCTGATTCAAACCCCAAAACACTCTTATCATCAGCAGCTGGCTGATCACGAGTGAAACTGCAGTGCCGGAAGCAATTTGCAATGGTCTCTTGTTCCACCAAATCCCAGGCTTTTTTCATCATAATGATTGACGTCAGTACATCCGGTTTGAACGTCTTCCCGCCATCGGATGCCACGAGTATACGCATAGCCAGATCATGACGGTAATGAACTTTGAAACTCCTAATGATGCCACCCTCCAGGGGCTGAGTGCGTGACATTTTGTTTGGTGGCAGAAACTGTAGACGCACAGCCTTGAGGCCACTGATACGTGGGTGGGCAGAGCAACTGTTAACAATAAGGACAACCTTCCTCTTCTGGCCAACCATGTCACGGTCAAAGGCGCGAATGTATTGCTCGAAGATAGTGCTTACCATCCATGCCTTCGTGTTTGCCATATACTGGACGGGTAAGCGATTGACTTGTATCCCATTAAAACAATGAGGTTTTGCAGATGTCCCAATAATCAACAGTTTTCTTTTATCAGATCCATCACTGTTAGCAGCCAGTAGAACGGTAAATCGCTGCTTACTTTGCTTCCCACTCGAACATTTTTCTCTCTTGAAAGCCAAAGTTCTGTTTGGTAGTAACTGCCAAAATAAACCAGTTTCGCCTGCATTATAAATATCCCGTGGCTCGTATTCTGAAAGAATCGCAGCCAGTGTTGTAGTTTTCCACTTGTCAATTTTAATTGCGGAGCTGATTTGGCTTCTTCGCAAACTAACTCCATGTCTTGACTTAAAGCGCTCCAACCAGCCATTCGTGCACTCAAACTTTGCCTCGCCTAACTGCGCTGCAAATTGATTTGCTTTTTCTGTAAGAATTGCACCACTTACTGGAATGCTTTGAGCTCTTGCCTGACGAAGCCAGGCCAATAAGCAGTTCTCAATATCACTGTGAGTGGACGTCCGCATTCGTTTTCGATTCACGTTGAACGTATCTGCATTGATAGCACCGAGAATCTTGTCCTTATTCTCCAGCCACGAATAGAGGGTTGTTCTTGGAACATTAAACTTTTTCGCAACCACGGCTTTACTTTCCCCATTGAGCACTTCGCTGATAGCATTTGCCTTTGTTCTAATTGAAAGTGTCTTGCAGATCTTCTTATTAACAGTGAGTTTGCTCATTTTTATCAAACGACTGGGTTGCAACACGACAAATACCACACGGCTGCCCGAGCAGCGAACTTTTCCTGCGGTTATCGCGAGATTGCAGTTTCGGGTCACAAGGAGCAATGCTAACACACTGAACGTTGTACTGCTGGAACTCCGCAGAAATGGCCTTCCAATTTTCTCCTTTTCCCATCAACCCTTTCCGCACTCCCATTGGGCCAAATGCCTGTACGTCAACCCATCTCACACTTTCATTGGACCATTTGCCTTCCAGCAATGCACCCCAAGCTCCCATTGGACCAGCCATCTTGTTGATCAACCTGCCTCACAATCACATTGGTCCTTTTCCTACACATCAACCCATCCCTTGCTCTAATTGAACCATCCACCTGTCCCTTTCTCTTCAGTTGCGTGCCTTCGGGTCATAAGTGTCATGACTTGACGTGCATCTCACTCGTTGACACAGATTTTTATTTCTGAAGCGCTGGATTTCAGGTGCCAGAGCGACTCGCCGCCCTTCACCCATGTTATCCGATCAATTTTATACTGTTATAACAATAATTTCTACAATGCGACAAATTACGTGTTAAGCGGAGTGACAAAGTAAAGCAATGTATTTTAATAGTTTATAGGGGAAGTGCCGGGGTATTGATGGCATGACAAGTTAAGTGACAGTGACGATTTAAGTCAGGGTCAGGTTATCCAAAGTTTACTTGTGAGGATGGGAAAATTGTGGTTATTAATAATAATCCTTGCATTTGATATACTGTAACACCTTATTGTTGAGACTTCTCAAAGAATGTACAGTCAAGTGGATTGACAGTGAATTTTGTAGGTGAAATGAATTTTTGAAATAGGTTACATCCTGCTTGAAAATTATCTTGAACCACAGGATAGTGTATATGAGAAGATAGCATATGGACCTTCCAATTCTTTCATGTTCTTGCCCCTCCCTACCTCTGCAATCTTCTGCAGTTTCATTCTTTTGCTTCTTCTCCTGTCACCCTCCTTTCTTCCAACTGAAGCCTACTGCTTGCTCATCTATCCTTCCAGCCCAGTATCAGGGTCAGAGCTTTCAGGGAACTCTTCCTCTAAATCCTTAACTTTGCAATCAATGTTTCCTAAACACTTGTCTTTCACTGTACCTTCAGTCAGCATACTCAGACACTATCTTCCCACCCTCCTTAACTTTGCAAAGTGTATTGTGATATTATCCCACATGAAAGGTGCTTTATATCAATACAAGTTGTAGTAATTCTTCTGTCTGTGTTTGCAGAATGCTACGGCCAGCACTTCATCCGGTCAGTTGATAGTACCCAGTATTTCTCACGTGCCATCCAGAAATGAGGTTCACCCTCCTTCTGCTGGTGCTTCCTTATTCCGATGAAAAGGCACATCTGATTACAAATAGCTTTGTCAATTCTGGTCAGAGACCATGGATCCAGGACTGTGAGAGTTTAGGCTCACATTCTTTGTTTGTATATGATTATCTCAAAAGATATTTAAAGGTGAGAATTTTAGTAACAAAATTGTTTGTATTCTTTATTACTGACATGTATTTAACTGTTGAGCCATGGCTGCAAACAGTCTGTGTTCATTTTGACTTGTTGCAATGGCTCAGTGGAGTGCAGTGTGGAGAATGTTTTGTTTGTTTAAAACCTATATACTTGTAACATTTACATGTGTGTTTCTACATGTCCCATGCTGAGTAAATCACATGATGTAGGACTGTATTTCTCAGTAAAATATTGCAAAACTAGAAAATAAAACTTATGATTATGTATCTGTCCACACACATTTTAAACACATTGCTTACATTTGGTAAACCATGAAGGTAATGACAAACTCTTCACTTTAATAATAATAATCTTTGCATTTGACATAGCGCTTTTCAAGTCTTCTAGATGGCTGAAAGCGCTTCACAAAATATACTGTAAAGTGAATTGACTACAAATTTTGTGGATGAAACGCGGCAGCCAATTGTGCACAGTCGTATTCCACAAACAGTGGCCAAATAAGTGATTATTATCAGGCGTGTGCAGTAAGGAAACTTGCCCAAGGTTTTGCCCTGCTGGGAATCAAACCCAGGTCTCTCGCTTGCGAGGCAGGTACTCGTAACCATTGAGCTACAGGATTCCTTTAATGGAAGAGCTGGAACAAGAGTTAAAATATGACCTAGTTGGAGAGTCAAGGAATATGGAATGAATTAACTCAGAAGGCCATTGTTCGCTGCAACTAAGGCATTCTAAACGGAGATAGATATATACTGTATTTCATAAGTAAGAATATTGCATACATATGTGTCTGCTTGACTCAGCTGGTAGAACTCTGGACTCTTCTTGGTCAATAGTATATTCTGTGAAGTGCTTTGAGATGTCTCGAAGACATGATAAGGCACTAAATCAAATGCAAAAAATATTATTATAACATTGTGCATTCAAGCCCCACATCCCGTTTGAGCTCTCAGTCTAGGCAGACACTCCAGCACAGCATTAACAGAACTTCGGTGTTTCAGATGAGGTCAGATATTCAGATTAAAGATTCCATGACACAATTTGAAAGGAGAATGGATGTTCTCTCAGTGTCCTTGTAACTGGTAAAACATCTTGATGCTGTAATGAGAGAATGGTACAGTTGGTATTACTGGAAACACAAGATCAATGAAATGCGCACTCTCCCCTGTAAGGGCACATCCAGTTTAGCTAATTACAGAGTATTAGCGCACATTGGTCAGAGCCAGGGATTGGGGGATCCCAAAAGTGTGCGTAGGGCACAGGTGGACTGGGTAAAGAGAAACCAGGAAATGTTCCGAGCAATCTTGTGAATGACTCCCAATGCTTACCACTACCTGCGCTGAGTTCAGAAGTGATGTTTAAGTCTTGACAATGTTTCTTAACACATGGATTTTTGTGCTTTTTGGCGCCACCACTTACCCCCCAACACACATACACACATACACACATTCACACTCTCTCCCCCCCCTCCCCCCCCCCCCCCCACACACACACACACAAGGTGGTACCCCAATTTTACATCACCATCCGGATTGGGAAGCCACTCTGCCAATTGCATTGGGGTACTGCTGGGGTCTAATCAGCTAAAACTGTACAGTTTGCCACTAAGAGCACTTGGTGATAAACTTCCCACTGCTGTCCAACTCGAACCACTCAGTCCATTGGCATTGATGCAGTTTGCAGTTATAACAACAGCAAAAATCTAATACTTTCCTTAAACATCCACACATATATCTGAAGCCTCAGTACAGCAGCATTCAGCCCGTCTCAGCTCAGGCACTGCTGGAGGAGGGCTGAGCACACGGGAGGACCCGTCCGCGCTGAGCAACAATCCAACCCAACAGTGAGCAGCCAAACGGGAACCGCGGGGTAACAGGCAGCGGCGGGGCAGGGAGGGGCTGTCAGAGCAGCCACAGCGGCCACCGGGCTACCCCCCCCCCCGGGCTCCCCCCACCACCAGCCGGGCTCCCCCCGCCCCCACCCGGGCTCCCCCCGCCACCAGCCGGGCTACCCCCACCCCACCCGGGCTCCCCCCCCACCCGGCTCCCCCCACCCCCGGGCTCCCCCCCCACCAGCCGGGCTCCCCCCACCCCACCGGCCCCCCACCACCAGCCGGGCTCCCCCCCCCACCCACCAGCCGGGCTTCCCCCCCCCCACCAGCCGGGCTCCCCCCCACCCCAGGCCCCCCCCCACCAGCCGGGCTTCCCCCCCCCACCAGCCGGGCTCCCCCCCCCCCCCCCACCACCAGCCGGGCTCCCCCCCACCACCAGCCGGGCTCCCCCCCCACCAGCCGGGCTCCCCCCCCCACCCGGGCTACCCCCCCACCCCCCACCACCAGCCGGGCTCCCCCCCCCCCCCACCAGCCGGGCTCCCCCCCCCCCCGGCTCCCCCCCCCCACCACCAGCCGGGCTCCCCCCCCCCCCCCCCACCACCAGCCGGGCTCCCCCCCCCCCCGGGCTACCCCCCCCACCCCAGGCTCCCCCACCACCAGCCGGGCTCCCCCCCCCCCCACCAGCCGGGCTCCCCCCCCCCCACCAGCCGGGCTCCCCCCCCCCCACCAGTCGGGCTCCCCCCCCCCCCACCAGCCGGGCTCCCCCCCCCCCACCAGTCGGGCTCCCCCCCCCACCAGCCGGGCTCCCCCCCCCCCCACCAGCCGGGCTCCCCCCCCCCCACCAGCCGGGCTCCCCCCCCCCACCAGCCGGGCTCCCCCCCCCCACCAGCCGGGCTCCCCCCCCCCACCAGCCGGGCTCCCCCCCCCCACCACCGGGCTCCCCCCCCACCACCCGGGCTCCCCCCCCCACCACCCGGGCTCCCCCCCCCACCCGGGCTCCCCCCCCACCCGGCTCCCCCCCCCACCCGGGCTCCCCCCCCCACCACCCGGGCTCCCCCCCCCCCCGGCTCCCCCCCCCCCGGGCTCCCCCCCCCCAGGCCCCCCCGGGCTCCCCCCCCACCCCCCGGGCCACAGGCGCTGGGAGCTCCCGGCCCAGAGGCTGCAGATCGAGAGGCTCTTCTCGCCGCCCCCACACAATCCCATCCCGATCCCTCTCTCTCCCACTCGTAGACGCCCGAACTCGACGCGGAAGCGACGTCTCTGAGAGGGAAACTCGGGATCCAGAGATGGAGTTTAATCAACAAATACTAAAGAAACGTCTGGAGAAGGTGAGAGATATTTGGGAATTGACACAGTTCGTGTGTGTGTGTGGGAGTGTGATACCGAGTGATTGTGTGTGTGTGGGGAGTGATGCAGTGATTATGCGTGTGGGGAGTGACACAGTGAGTGTGTATGTGTGCGTGTGTGTGTGTGGGAGTGACACCGAGTGATTCTGTGTGTGTGGGGAGTGATACAGTGATTATGTGTGTGGGGAGTGACACAGTGAGTGTGTGTGTGTGGGAGTGATACCGAGTGATTGTGTGTGTGTGGGGAGTGATACCGAGTGATTGTGTGTGTGTGGGGAGTGACACAGTGAGTGTGTGTGTGTGTGTGGGGGGGGGGTGTGACAATGAATGTGTGTGTGGGGAGTAACTGAGTTTGTGTGGGGAGTGACAGTGAGTGTGTGTGGGGTGGGGGGGGGGGGTTTGGGGTGACATAGTGAGTGTGTGTGAGGGGAATGACCCAGTGAGTAAGTAATAATAATAATACTTGCATTTGATATAATGCTTTCCACGTCTTCTCGATGTTTCAAAGCGCTTCATAGAATAATAATAATAATAATAACAATCCTTGCATTTGATATAGCGCTTTTCATGTCTTCTCGACATCTCAAAGTGCTTCACAGAATATACTGTAAAGTGAATTGACTGTATATTTGTGGGCAAAACGCGGCAGCCAATTGCGCACAGCAATGTCCCACAAACAGTCGTGGATCGAAAATGACCATTTTTTTTTGTTTTGGAGGGATTATTGTCAGGCGTGTGGAGTAGGGAAGCTTGCCCAAGGTTTCGCCCCGCCGGGAATCAGACCCAGGTCTCTCGCTTGCGATGCGAGTGCTGTAACCACTGAGAGCTACAGGACTCCACGAGTGTGTGTGAGGGGAGTGACACAGTGAGTGTGTATGCGTGGGGAGTGACACAGTGAGTGAGTGTGACTGATTTTTGGGGGGCAGCTGACACTTGTGGAAACCCATCACCGCGCTTAAGAGCATTCAAACCAAACTGAGAATTCCATGCACCTACACATGGAAATTCCAGAGATGGACTCATCCTGCTTACCTAATTCCAGAGAGTATTAGGCGCAGGTTGGCAAGGGCCTAGGCTTGGGGAACCCAAGATTGCACTGGGGTAACCCAGCTTACCATTGATATCGCTATCTAGCAAGCTTTCCCACTGCTTGTCCAGCTACAACAACAACAACAAGATTCCATTTATAGAGCGCCTTTCACGTCGGGAGGACGTCCCAAGGCGCTGGACAGTTGGGTCAGGACCCGAGCATTGGGGGGGAAATGGTCAGGGTGAGGGGAGGGAAGGGAGGGGGCGAGGAGGGGGTAGAGAGTCGAGAGGGGAGCTGAAGGCACGGTCAAAGAGAAAGGTCTTGAGACCGGCCTTGAAGGAGGAAAGGGAGGAAGCAAAGCGAAGGCACTGGGGGATAGGGGCTGAGAGGCTGAAGGCCCGGCCACCGATGGTAGAGCGATTGGGGCGGGGGATGTGGAGCAGACCGGAACCAGAGGAACGGAGGGTACGGGCAGGTAGGTAGGGGGATAGTAGGTCGGAGAGGTAGGAGGGAGCGAGGCCGTGGATGGCCTTGTAGGTGAGGATGAGGATCTTGAATTCGATCCTCTGGGACCATCCTTATGGCTTTCGGTTGGAGGATTGACAGGAGCTGAGTGTGAAGAGTCCCTGTCCTTCAGTGACTGGTCTGCCCTTCCATGTCCTGACAATGAACCATCAGCAGTGCCCTGGAGTGCTGTGGACCTGCCTGGCTCAGCAACTAGTCTATCAAGACTGCCGCACAGGGTGGGCTCAATTCTGACAGTCTGAACACATACCCAATGAGAGGCACACAGTGAGACAGACACACACATACTCAGTGAGAGAGATACAATGAGGCAGATGCATTCTCCGTAAGCAGGACACAGTGAGATAGATACACACTGATGTGTGAGGCACTTAGACGTGAGAAACGTATATATACAGAGTGAGAAATGGACAGTCACAGTGAAAAGGATACACACACATACGGACTAAGACAGGCAGAGGGATTGATTGCTACTCATGTTCTGGTCCGGGTTCTGAAGCCGCTCGTTTCTTTTTCAGTATAAATTCCGGGACCTGACCATCGAGGAGCTGAAAAATGTGCACAAGAAATACCCAGAATTCCGATTTTCAATGGACAAGTACAGTAAGTCTGTCAGAGCAATGCTTTGTACGGTGTGACAACAACTAACTGTATTAATATAGCACTTTCAAGTGGGGACGACCTGTTAGGATGTGTTTGGGGGTTTAGGATTCGTTGTTGCTGTATTAAACCTGAGTTGACGAGAGTTTTGTCTTGAAGTGAGCACCAGTGGTCGAATTCAAGATCCTCATCCTCACCTACAAGGCCATTCACGGCCTCGCTCCCTCCTACCTCTCCGACCTACTATCCCCCTACTTACCTGCCCGTACCCTCCGTTCCTCTGGCTCCGATCTGCTCCACATCCCCCGCCCCAACCGCCCTACCTATCCCAGTGCCTTCGCCGCTTCCTCCCTTTCCTCCTTCAAGGCCGGTCTCAAGACCTTTCTCTTTGACCGAGCCTTCAGCTCCCCTCTCGACTCTCTACCCTCTCCTCGCTCCCTCCCTTCCCTCCCCTCACCCTGACCATTTCCCCCCTCTTCACTCCCTCCCTCCCTTCCCTCCCCTCACCCTGACCATTTCCCCCCTGCTCGGGTCCTGACCCAACTGTACAACACCTTGGGACGTCCTCCCGACGTGAAAGGCGCTCTATAAATGGAATCTTGTTGTTGTTGTTGTCTTCTCTCCTGAGAGAGGCTGCTCCCCGGCGGCACCCGGCAGCAACACTAACCCAGGCTAACCCATGCCATCTCCTGCCGCTTCTCCTCCCCTGGGCAATGTACAGCACCAGGAGAAATGACGATTGCAGTCACCCGCTCTCTCACTCTCCTCCGCACTCCCTGCCTTTCCTTTCCTTCCCTCCCAGTGGAACAGCCTGCTGGTGAACAGGGTGGTTCTCTCCCGGTGTGGGCGTGTTTGATTCCCAGTGAGTTTGGGTCTGGGTATGTCTGGTCTGGATGTGGGTGGGTTTGGGTGTGGGTGGGTGTATTTAGGTATGGGTGCGTTTCTCTCCTGGTATGGGTGTGTTTGAGTGTGGGTTGACTCCCGGTGTGGGTGTGTTGAGTGTGTTTGGCTCCAATAACGATCTCTGGGCTGTGAAGACAGAATCGTCTGCTCCGGACTGAGGTTTGCTTTTCAATTTCAGCGTTCAACGATGGCTCACAGAGAGACCTGCTCAACCTGCTGGGTACTGTACCCGTCACATATCAAGGTAATTCCGCCTCACCAAACCAGGCAATCGCTGCCTGTTACCTAATGGGTCATCCCAGCCTACTAACTAACAGGTAATCCACTGGTAGTTAAGACACATGGTAAGCAGGTAATGTCTCCTGTTAGTCTCTCCCCTGTCAGGAGTGGAGCTCTTTGTTAGTCAATAAAATCAAACTGTAAGGATTTTTAGGGTTAAATAGATAGCCCAGGCTGCTGCACGTCCTGTCCCCTTCAGCACCTCCATTGGTGACTGTACCTTCAGGCACTGCATCTCGCACCTCTGCAACTCTCTTATCCTGGCTCTTGCCTCTTTATCTACCTTTAAATCCAACTTCAACACCTACCTCTTAAGGCAAAAAGGCCACCTAGCCCTCCCCCTCACCCATATCCCTTGTGCAGGAACAAACCTGACCACATTCCTGCAATACTGCTGATCATCCTCATTCCTCACCTCTTCTGACGCTTCCTGTTTTTAAGCTGCTGTGTGCTCATGTGTTGAGAAAATTGAAACCTCAATCCTCTTCTGTTTTTCTTTAGGATTTTCCTACAATATTCCAGTCCGCCTGTGGATCCTTGACTCCCACCCGTTCGGGCCACCTCTGTGCTTCCTGAGGCCAACCCCGGACATGGTTATCCGCGAGGGGAAACATGTGGATGTGCAGGGACGGGTTTATTTACCTGGTCTACAGCACTGGAGCCATGTAAGAACCTTGAGCGATTACACCCACACACATGTTAGACATTGTGTCACAGGTGCCCACTGGCCATCGAGCTGTCATATAATTTATTATAAATTACATTTATGCAGCTCCTTTCCTGTCATGAGGACATCTCCAAGCACTTGGCAATGCTGGATTGATATCTAAGCTGGGTGTGGAAGCCTAGGTGGGGAGGGTAAAGAGTGATCGATGAGGTGGGCTTTGAATGAGGGGAGGGGAACGAATCCAAGGGATTCCGGGATGGAGTTCCAGAGAGTAGAGGCAGATAGCATGAAGGCCATAGCATACAATATAGAAGTAAAGGGGTAATAATAAACCTATATAAATCACTTGTTAGGTCACAGTATGAGTGTCGTGTCCTCGGGTAATAATCTCTCAAAAAAAAATTGGTCACTCAATCCACGATTGTGGGACACTGCTGTGCGCAATTAGCTGCTGCGTTTAGCCCACAAAGTACAGTCAATCCTCTTTACAGTATATGCTCTGGAGCTCTTTGAAATGTCTCAAAGACACGATAAAGCAAGGATTATTATTATATTATTAAAGTGAGGATCTCTCTTGTGCAGCCCAAGTCTGATGTGGTGAGTTTGCTGAACGAGATGTCGCTGACCTTTGGGAACGAGCCGCCCTTGTTCTCCAAGCCCAGCACGGACGGAAGGTCGGTGACCGAGCTCAGCGCCATCCTGGCTGAGGTCACCACAGGTTTGTGAACTCTTCCAACCTACACCTGGAAATCCCAGAATGATTGTCAAGGGACATGAAGAAACAGCCAGTCAGTGAAATATTAAGGGTTGTTGGATGAACTGGGAACTGGGAAGCAGCTGATTTAGTGATACAGGGACCCAGAGGCAATGGCTTGCTTCTGTACAGAGAATTCAGCCTAGATTAGTGCAATGTGCAATTAGTCTGCTGTCTGTCAGGGCCCCGGGGGAGAGGAAATGTGCCTGTCTCAGCCCAGTTCCCAGGTGCTTGAGTATAATAATAATAATCCTTCTATTTGATATAGCACCTTATCATGTTGTCGAGATATCTCAAAGCACTTCACAGGATTTATTGTGAAGGGTAGTGATTGCATTTTCTGGGACCTCCTAAACCCCTACCAACTCACCCGCTCCCTACGCTCAGCCGGCTCCGGCCTGCTCCACCTCCCCCGACCCACCTGTCCTACCATTGGCGGGAGAGCCTTCAGCCCGTGCCCCCAACCTCTGAAATTCCATCCCCCAATTACTCCGCCTCACCCCCTCCTTAGCCTCCTTCAAGTCCCGCCTCAAAACCCTCGTCTTCGACCATGCCATCGGTCACCCCCTCTTCCCCTCCCCGCCCTTCTCCCTCCCTGACCCCAGCTCGGGTCTGAAATGCTGTACACTGTCCAGCACCTTGGGATGTCCTCCCGATGTGGAAGGCGCTATACAAATGTAATCTTGTTGTTGTTGTTGTTCTACAGGTATCTCAGGCACCAGCCTACAAACAAAGGAGCCAAGTCCACATCTCCCACCTTACAGCAAAGTCACTGTGCTGGGCAGTGGGGATCTGGCCATGGCCTGTGTCACCAGCATCTTAGCTAAGGTAATGTGCGTTGGCCAGCCTGAAACTCCTCCACCTCCCGCACCATGCTCGGATCCAAAACAGCCAGAGTTTCACATGTGTAATTTCCTGTGGAATGGAATACGCAGTCTCTCCCTGGAGGGACGCACCCTGCTTCCCCAATTCCTGGAGAGTATTAGGTGCAGGTTGGCGAGAGCCAAGGCTTGGGGAGCCCAGAATGTGTGTTAGGGTAAGTGCTGCAATCTAACCAGCTAACACCACATAGCTTGCCATTGAGAGCACTATCTGCCAAGCTTTCGTGCTGCTTGCCCAGGGCTTTGGCTTTCAGGGTTAACGGGAGCTGAGTGGGAAGAATCCCTGCCCCCAGGGACTCGTCTGCCCTTCCAAGTCCCGCCAATGACAGTGTCCTGGATCTGCCTAGCTTTGAAAACCTAGATTGGACAGACAACTCACTTCTGACATTCCATTGGCCAACGTGTCATCTTGAAGCCAGTTCAGCTCAAAGAGACCCTGATTACCTTCCCGCCAGTATCTAATCTTAACACAAAGTGATGGAGCTGATCCATTCTGGATAGTTACTGTTTTCCTGTGTGAAGGGTCAGAGTGAGGGGGAGTTACACGTAATTCTGGAGTGTCCGCTCCGTAGGCCCTGAAGCCACAATCTTCTGACTTAGTGGAGCGAGCGACTAAGCCAAGCTGAGACCTGGTCCACTCTGAGGGGTGAGAATCCCATTGTGAATCTCAATGTGATGATGGGTCCCGAGGGTGGGGGTAGAACTGGATGCTGGGATGTCGAGGGAAGAACTCTCCCAGGCCACAAACCGGTGGTCTGACTCCTGTCTCTGTCCGCAGGAAATTGTGGAGAGACTGGTGTTCATTCAGACATCGGAGAACACGCTGAGAGGAGGTTCCTTGGAACTCGAGATCTTCAGTCTCCCCCGAGTGGACAGCAGCAAAGGTAGAGTTGTCAGTGGGCACAGAGGGTGTTTGGTGGGGGCCAGGTTTGGGACCGTTTCCCAGACTTTGACTCTCTCTCTATCTCTCTCTCTGGCTGTAGACATGTCGGCCTCGGCAGGCTCCAACGTGGTGGTTGTCACAGCGAACACGCTGGGGAAGGAGGGATCATATGTGAACGTGCTGCAGAGCAACGTGGAGCTGTTCAGGTCCCTCATCCCCAGTGCCGTGATGTACAGCCCCCACTGTGTGCTCGTCATCGCCTCCCAGCCAGGTACATGCACCAGTACATGTGTGGGGAACACGGGAGGAGGCATGTGGAGAACACAGGGGAAGGCATGTTGGGGAGGCATGTGGGGAACACAGGGAGAGGTGTGTGTGGAATACCTGGAGGGGAGAGACGTGTGGGGATCGTGTGCGGGAAGCGTGTGGGGAATACTGTGAGAGATGTGTGGGGAACACGGGAGTGGGGGTGCATGGGGAGGCACGTGGAAAACACTGGGGGGGAGGCGTGTGGGGAATGCGGGGGGAGCGTGTGGGGAACACTGCAGGGCAGGCGCATGGGGAACACAGGGTGGGGGGAGGCGCATGAGGAACACGGTGTGGGAGTAGGCGCATGGGGATCACTGGAGGGGAGGCGGGTGGGAGGTGTGTGGAGAACATATGAGGCTGGCCTGTGGGGAATGCAGGGAGGTGTGTGGGGAGATGCTTTTCTTTGGCGGTGGGAGTGAGGGGGTTCTCAGTGGGGATGAGGTCTGGACTTGTCTCTGATCTTCCTCACTCTGGTGACTAGTGGACGTGATGAGCTTCGTGGCCTGGAAGCTGAGTGGCTTTGCTCCACAGCGAGTGCTGGGGACCGGCTGTAACCTGGACACTCAGCGCCTCCGCTACCTGCTGCGGCCCCTCTGCCAGCCCCCGGCTCACCAGCCCTGGCTCATCGGGGAGCATGGGGAGAACCAAGGTACCAGCATCGCCTGCCTCACCTCCCCCCTCCCACCATCCCCATCCCTCTAACACAGCCTCCCTTTGAGCAACCACCAGGGACTCTCTCTGTCCGGTGACAACCTGGGCACCCCCTCCACTCTCTCTTTCTCTCCCAGAATCCCCTCCTTCCTCTCTCTCTGCCCAGATTCTTTCCCCCATCTCCTGGCCAGAGCTCCTCTCTCTCTAACTCTGTCTCTCTGGGTCCAGTGCCCCCCCCACCACCCCTCCCCCTTCCCACCTGTTCTGACTCTGGGTGGATGGGTGCTGACGTCTTGATGTGTCTCTCCCCTGTGTCTATGGTTGCAGTGGCTGTACTGAGGGGCCCAGGTAGGGATGGGACTCCAGACCTCACCGCAGACCATCAAACATACGAGGAGGCAGCACGTCGGTAAGCAGAGTGAAGCGGGGGTGGAGGTGGGGGGTTTGAAGCCCATGCCGTTCTCCTAGAGGTTGGGGCTTGTACACGTGTTGAGTTTACCGAGGAGCGTCTCTTACATGCACGTTACGTAACTGTCATAGGCTTCTCTGCAGTGGGACTGTGAAGGGGTGGGTAGATTTCAGATGGAGGTTGAAATCACCCATTATGAGCAGGCGTTTTGTGCAGAGGGACAGGGATGTGGGGAGAGAGAAGATATCTGTGAGGAAGAAGCCAGGAGGTTTGGGTGGTAGACTAGAAGAATTTTGAAGCAAAGAGGAGGGATGGTAGAGGGTGAGGTGCTCAAAAGAGGGGAAACAGCCAGAGGAATAGGGGAATAGACCAAGGGAGGTTTGGGAGGTGAGCTATGCGGTTTCAGCTGGTTAGACTCTAGCAATTACCCCAACGCACACTCTGGGATCCCCAAGCCTTGGCTCTTGACAACCTGCACCTAATACGTTCCGGAATTAGGTAAGTAGGATGTGTCCCTTCAGGGAGAGATTGTGCATTCCATTCCAACAATCTATCTCTGGGATTTCCAATTGTAGGTGGAAATCTCAGTTGGGTTTTGAGACTCTTAAGCATGGTGATGGGTTTCTCCATGTGTCAGACACCCGGCTGACCAAAGAAAAACAAAATTGCCGGGGAATTTTCAGCCTTGTTTTTCTGTGTTTCAGGGCAGTCCAGGGGCTGAAGGAGAAAGGCCAAAGGTCATGGTGTGTGGGGCTGTCGGTAGCTGATCTGACTGAAACCATCCTGAGCCAGCATGGGAGGCCACACTCCGTTTGCACACTGGCACAGGTGAGAGCAGCCCGGCTCCAGGTGTACTGCCTCAGCGTTCAGGCCCCAGGCCCAGTTTCCAGTGCCCAGGCCTTCAGACACAGTGTCTGTGGATGGGCAGCATTGACTGCCCTCTTCAGTAGGTGGAGCTGTAGGATGGCAGACTTTGGTGCGACTGAACTCAGCTGAAATTATCCACAAGCAGGGGTACAAGAATGAGAATCCTGTCTAACTTCCCCCCACCCAGAAACCAGCTGTAGCCCTGACTCGTGGTGACAGCCAGTGTACAGCTTATTGCAGGTAGCTGCTCCTGTGGTAGGAATAACTCTGAGAGCAAGCAACTGCTCCACACTCAGGGAGTTTCTTTCCCCCGATGTCCAGGCCAAGCTGGGGCCAATCTCTGAATTGGCTTCAAATCCAGATCCAACCTGCCCTCGTCACCACCAGGTAAAGAGAAAGGAGTTTCTCTCCCCTGATGTCCTGGCCAACAATCCCTCAGATAAAATCGGTCACTCATTCTATGGCTATTTGTGGGACATTGATGTGCACAGTTGGCTGCCATGTTTCACTCACAAAATACGCAGTCACAACACTTTACAGTATTTCCTGTGAAGTGCTTTGAGACATCTCAACGATGTGATAAGGCATGATATCAAATGCAAGGATTATTGTTGTCATTATTTGAGGTGAGGATTGTTAGTATTAAACTCTGAGACTGGTGTTGCTCACCACACACTGACCTTGTTGGCAGGGCTATCACGGGGTTGGCAGCGAGGTGTACCTGAGTCTGCCCTGCCTGCTGGGTGGCTTTGGGGTGCTGGAGGTCACGGCCCTGGAGCTGACACAGGAGGAGGAAGAGAAGCTGCAGAACAGCGCGACAACACTCCGGAACCTACTACAACAGCTGACGCTTTGACACCCATCACCCAAAGTTGATACAAGAGTGCATGAAAGGGGAGGGGTAAGTCGCGGTGGGTAGATGGGAGCCATAACTACTAACATTCATACTGAGCACAGCCACGCTCCCCAGCCTTGGCTGGTAACCCACAGTCTGTCTGGGGCACAGGCAGGGTGTGCCCACACTGCCAGCCTCAGCATTGAGTGTCCTCTTGGCTTCAGATAATCTTTTGGTCATGGATCATGCATTGTATCTGGGAAGATGTCTGCCCCAACTGTCTTCAAGCTAAATCAACCATCCACTTCCTAGCTGTGTGGGATCATTGCTGTGCAAAAATTGGCTGTTGCATTTGTTTTAAAAATACACAGTCACTCCACTCGACAGCAGTAACCTGTAAAGCACTTCTATAGATTACATCGAACATTGTAGCATGCAAACAGGCCATCTAGCCCAGCTCCGTGCCGGTATTTATACTTCACTCGAGCACCCATCCCTCCTAACAGGCTCTATATCAAGTGTCAAAGCGCTACACAGTTAATTGTCAAATGAAACACGTTCTAACTTTAAGATGTCTACACCCCTCACCCCATCCCTGCCCCACCAATGGTGGCCAAGCATTTCGCCCCCTTGCCCTGACTCTCTGAAACATTCTCCCTAAATCCCTTCACACTGGCCTGCTTCATGTCCCCCGTCCTGCCCGCCTCATCATCGATGGTCAGGCCTTCAGTCTTTCTGCCCCCATCTTTTGGAACTCCATCTCACAGTCCCTTCACCTCGCCCTTCCCTTATCTCCTTGAAGGCCCATATCATGACCCTCCACTTCAACCGTGCCTTTGTTCACCCTCCTATTACCTACCTTCCCTGCCCTCTTGATCCCAACTCCCAGCTCGGGCACAAATCCTTGGATGTCAAGCGCCTTAGGACCTCTCCCAACGTGAAAAGTGCTTTAAATCTTACCTGTTTGATTTTGGTCACCTTGTACCCTGCTCGTGCTCCCTCTCTGTACTGCAAATTGCTTTGAGACATTTAACTATGTGAAAGCTGCTATCTCAGTGCAAATTGTTGAAATAAATAATGCTAACTGGACAGCATAGCAGTGCACAACTCCTTCTCTGGGCAGATGGGTGTCTGACCCGCATGAAAATTCATTAGCGTGCTTGAGTATCCAAACCAAAGTGAGAGTTCCACATATGTATGTCAGAATGTGGCTGGGGTAACTCCTGGAGTCCAACCAGCTAAAACCACATAGCTTGTCATTGATAGTACTGTCTGGCAAGCTTTCCTGCTGCTTGTCCAGCTAGGATCACACTACCCCCCAACCCGAAAGATTGTCGAAGGTGCCATCCCTCAGATGAGACATTAAACCCAGGTCCTGTCTGCCTGTTCAGGGGGATGCTACAGCTGACATAACACTATGAAAGAAAGAAGGGAGTTTCTCCAGATGTCTTGGCTAAAAATCCTCCAAATAAAATGGGTCACTCACTTCATGGCGATTCAGACTTCTGTATATACATTGGCTGCAGTTACCCTACAAATACAGTCACTACAAATGACATCAGTTCCCAGCACTATGAAATGTCTCATTAAAAAAGGATCAACATCAAATGCAAGGATTATTGTTTTCTGTTTTCTTCTTGGTCCTTGCCTTCGGGGCCCAACTCTCAGTGACTATCTCAGAACAAGCCACACACTCTGCCTGTGCAACAGTGGGCTTTGACAGCATCGAGACAGCATGAGAAAGGGGGAGGTGAGGAGCGAAAAAAGGAAAGCGCGTCTTTCAAAAAGATGATCATATCTGTAAATTAAGATTATGATAAGGTGGATGTTTCCACTTATTGGTGAGTCCAAAACTAGAGGGGATAAATATAAGCTAGCCAGTAACAGATCTAATAGGAAGTTTAGGAAAAACGTATTTTAGGAAGATAGTATACAGTCAATTCACTTTACAGTATATTCTATGAAGCACTTTGAGATGTTGCGAAGATGTCATAAGGTGCTATATCAAATGGAAAGATTATTATTATTCACACAATGTGGAACTCAGTGCCGGAAGCTGTGGTAAAGCAAAAAGCATCAATGTATTTAAGAGAAAACTTGATTCAGACATTAGGGGAAAGGGAATAGATGGATAGAGGATTGCTAGGGCTTGTGTGGAGTGTAAACCCTGGCATGTTTTTGTCCTGTCACAATCTATTTACGGGTTGGTTTCCTCATCTACTAATCTAGGTCAGTGCTGAGCCAAGCAGCCTGGTCACCCAACAATAGGTCCTCACACACCATCAATATACCATAGAATTATATAGCACAGAAGGAGGCCATTTGGCCCATCGTGTTAGTGCCAGCTCTTTGAATTAATAATAATTGAAAAGAGCTACCCAATCAATCCCACTCCCCGCTTTCTCCCCATAGCCCTACAAACCTGTCCTCCACAAATAATTATTTTTCTATCGGGTGTGTGATAAGAGTGTATCACACTGTCACTGTATCTCACTATCACACACTGTCATTGTATCTCACTATATCACACACTGTATCTCTATCACACATTGTCACTATTCTCACTCACACACTGTCACTGTATCTCATTATCACACACACTATTTCTCTCACACACTCACTGTATCTGTCTATCACACACTGTCACTGAATCTCCATCACACTGTCACTGTATCTCACGATCACACACTATCTCACAATCACACACTCACTGTATCTTACTATCACACACACTGTATCTCACTATCACACACTGTCACTGTATCTCACTATCACACTGTATCTCACTATCACACTGTCACTGTATCTCACTATCACAATGTCACTGTATCTCAGTATCATACACTGTCACTGTATCTCAGTATCACACACTGTCACTGTATCTCAGTATCATACACTGACTATTTCTCTCACACATTCACTGTATCTGTCTATCACACACTGTCACTGTATCTCCATCACACTGTCACTGTATCTCAGTATCATACACTGTCACTGTATCTCAGTATCACACACTGTCACTGTATCTCAGTATCATACACTGTCACTGTATCTCAGTATCATACACTGTCACTGTATCTCACTATCACACACTGTATCACTATCACACACTGTATCACTATCACACACTGTATCACTGTCACACACTGTATCACTGTCACACTGTATCACTATCACACACTGTATCACTGTCACACACTGTATCACTGTCGCACACTATCACTGTCACACACTGTATCACTGTCGCACACTGTATCACTGTCACACACTGTATCACTGTCACACACTGTATCACTATCACACACTGTATCACTGTCGCACACTGTCACTGTATCAGAGTGACGTCACGCACACACACGGTCAGCTGGTGATCACGTGAACGTGGATTCGCGCACGCGCAGAGAAGACAAACTGATCATTTCCGGGTCAGAAACAAAGACAGAAACATTGAGAGGCCGCGAGGATGTCAGAGAGTAACCTGAAGAAACAGCTCTCCAAGGTACAGCCTGGCCCTGGGACTGGCACTGGGACTGGCACTGGCACTGAGACTGGCCCTGGGACTGGCACTGGCACTGGCACTGAGACTGGCCCTGGGACTGGCACTGGGACTGGCACTGGCACTGAGACTGGCACTGAGACTGGCACTGGGGGACTGGCACTGGCACTGGGGGTGGGACTGGCACTGGGACTGGCCCTGGGACTGGCACTGAGACTGGCACTGGGACTGGCACTGGGACTGGCACTGGGACTGGCACTGAGACTGGCACTGGGGGTGGCACTGGGACTGGCACTGGCACTGGCACTGGGACTGGGACTGGGGGTGGCACTGGGACTGGCACTGGGACTGGGACTGGCACTGGGGGTGGCACTGGGACTGGGACTGGGGGTGGCACTGGCACTGAGACTGGCACTGAGACTGGCACTGGGGGTGGCACTGGGACTGGGACTGGCACTGGGACTGGCACTGGGGGTGGCACTGGGACTGGGACTGGCACTGGGACTGGCACTGGCCCTGGGACTGGCACTGGGACTGGGACTGGCACTGGGGGTGGCACTGGGACTGGCACTGGGACTGGGACTGGCACTGGGGGTGGCACTGGGACTGGCACTGGGACTGGGACTGGCACTGGCACTGGGACTGGCCCTGGGACTGGCACTGGGACTGGGGGTGGCACTGACACTGGGACTGACACTGAGACTGGCACTGGGACTGGCACTGGGGGTGGGACTGGCACTGGGACTGGCACTGGGACTGGGACTGGGACTGAGACTGGCACTGGGACTGGCACTGGGACTGGCACTGGGACTGAGACTGGCACTGGGACTGAGACTGGCACTGGGACTGGCACTGGGACTGGCACTGGGACTGGGGGTGGCACTGGGACTGGGACTGGCACTGAGACTGGCACTGGGACTGAGACTGGCACTGGGACTGGGACTGGCACTGGGACTGGCACTGGGACTGGCACTGGGACTGGGACTGGCACTGGGACTGAGACTGGCACTGGGACTGAGACTGGCACTGGGACTGGGACTGGCACTGGGACTGGCCCTGGGACTGGGGGTGGCACTGGGACTGGCACTGAGACTGGCACTGGGACTGGCACTGGGACTGGGGGTGGCACTGGGACTGGGACTGGCACTGAGACTGGCACTGGGACTGAGACTGGCACTGGGACTGGCACTGGGACTGGCACTGGGACTGGCACTGGGACTGGCACTGAGACTGGGGGTGGCACTGGGGGTGGCACTGGTGGTGACCCTGAGAGAGACTGGCACTGAGAATGGCACTGAGAGAGACTGGCACTGAGTGAGGGAGACTGGCACTGCGTGAGGGAGACTGGCACTGAGTGAGGGTGACTGGCACTGAGTGAGGGTGACTGGCACTGAGTGAGGGTGACTGGCACTGTGTGAGGGAGACTGGCACTGAGTGAGGGAGACTGGCACTGAGTGAGGGTGACTGGCACTGAGTGAGGGTGACTGGCACTGCGTGAGGGAGACTGGCACTGCGTGAGGGAGACTGGCACTGCGTGAGGGAGACTGGCACTGCGTGAGGGTGACTGGCACTGCGTGAGGGAGACTGGCACTGCGTGAGGGTGACTGGCACTGCGTGAGGGAGACTGGCACTGCGTGAGAGAGAGACTGGCAAAGAATGAGTGTGAGACTGGCAGAGGAAGGGAAACTTGCACTGAGTGAGGGGGGGAGAGAGTGAGTGAGAGTCAGAACGAGATTGGCACAGAGAGAAAGTGAGATGGGGTTTGTAACAGAGGTTGGAGAGTTGACCTGAGAGGTGGTCAGTGTTGGCGGTGGGCACTGAGGTGTGACGGCTTGTGTGTTGCAGTACAAGTACAAAGAGCTGACAATGCGGGAAATCCTCGCTGTCACTTCCATTTACAAGGACCTGAAGCCTGTGATGGACACATATGGTGAGTAATAGGCTTACCATAGCCCTTGACAGCCATACAACATGATAGAAAGGTGACCATCTGGGGCTTGGAGTTGAGTGGAGTTGGGTAGTGATTTGACGAGGAAATGGGTCATTTGCCCCAACAGGGCTATGCAAGTGTTGAGAACTCCACTTGAGTCTCCGCACTCTCCCTATTTTCTTCAATCTCACCCCTCTATTCTCACAGAATGATAGACGTTTACGCTTCAGGAGAAGGCCATTCGGCCCATCGCGGCTTTTAAAGAGCCTTTAATCCTTTCAATCCCTTCTCTCACCTCTCCATTCAGCCCATTAAGCCTGTTCCAGCAGTTTTAGACCTTTAACACTGTGGAGTGGATTGATCACTGAGCAGGTCAACAACTTGCATTTATATAGCACCCCTCACACAGGGTGATGTTCCAGAGTACTTGAGGGTAGTGAAAGGTTGGACAGCACTCAGTCAAGCAGATGGCTGTTTGGTGAGTGAGGTGAAGGGAAAAATGCCAACAACAAGGTCGCAGCTTCTGGCAGGAATAGACCACATGATTCCTTCCATGTATCTATCTCCAGATACATTCAAAAGGAAGCTAGACCTTTACTTGAGGGAGAAGGGAATCGTAAGTAATGTGTGGGAGGTAGTAAGGCATAGACTGGTTGGGCCGAGTGGCCTGTTTCTGTGCTGTACACTTCTTGTAACGTGTTGTCCAGTCTGAACAAACACCTCTTCCCGACCTGCGCTGACCTTGCAGGGTTAACAGGAGCTGAATGGGATGACTCCCTGCCTCCAGTGACTGCTCTGCCCTTCCAAGTCCTGCCAATAAGCCAGGCTGTGCTGCCATCAGCAGTGCCCTGGAGTACTGCGGATGCGTCTGGCTCAGGAACCGGACTGAAGACCGTCACAGAGGACTGGCTCGATTCCGACATTCCATTGCTAAACACGTGATATGTTTTCAGTAATGTACAGTGGAATCTCGTTATAATACAGCAGGCCATAAAATTGCAGCCCACTCCAGTCAGGACTCCTGCATTCACTGTGCATATGCACAGAAAGACAGCCGGCAACGACGGTACTTTAAAACACTGGCCGGATTGTTGAAGATCCCAGGGCACTTTTCAAAAAGAAAAGAGTGTTTCTCTCTCCTAGCGTCCTGGCCAATGATCCACCAAATAAAATTGCTCACTCACTCCACAACTGTTTGTGGGACACTGCTGCGTGCAAACAGTTTTGCCCACAAAATACACAGTGAGTCCACTTTACATAATATCCTGTGATGCGCTTTGAGATGTCTCAACGATGTGATAAGGCACTGTATCAAATGCAAGGATTATTATTATTATATATTCCAACTTCTTGAACTCCTTCCCTCTATTCTGCTTCCATCTCTATTCTGCTTCTCTCTACCTGGCTTGAAATCTTGCTATAAAACCTACCCTTTTGGTCGCATCCAACGTTACCTCCTCCCCCTTCTGCCTTGTTTGGCGTCTGTATGAGATATTCTCCTGTGTGAAGGGTGCTGTATTAAATGCAAATTCTGTGTGTCAAGACTGACCTCAAATAAATTTGGAGCATTTTTCAATTTAGCCTCAATTGTCATTTCATAAAAAGAACTGTCAAATTTTAAGCCTGAGATAAATTTCTGTCACTCTGAGAGTTTAGAGCTGAAGTTCCAGCGCTGTCCAGCAGATGGATCTGTAAAACCTCCAATAATCATGGCCGGTCAGCTCAGAGCTTCTTACTCAGTGACACTGAGATTATCATCAAAGAAAAAAGGAGAGCCTTTGCTGTGCTGGAAGGGAAGGCGGGGAAGGGGCTCCCTCGCTGTCCGGGAAAGTGGGGGTCTTGCTGTCCGGGGGAATGCCCCTCGCTGACTCCTGGTGAGCTAAGGTTGGTGCTAATGGTAATCCTGTCTGATTACAGTGTTCACTGACGGAACACAGCGGGAGCTGATGAGCCTGACAGGGACCATCCCGGTCAACTACCGAGGTAAGAAGTATCGCACCTACACCTAGTGTTCACCTGCGAGATGCCCGGGGCCAGTGTACAGCATGTTAATGGGAGTGAGGGGGAGGGGGCGGGGGAGGAATGTGGTACCAGAGCGTGATTGGTGCATTAATGAGGGCTGAGGGTAAGGTAGGTTCTTGAAAATCAATCACCTTCCCCCCCTCTCTGGGCTGACACTCTAGTGCAGGGCCTGAGGAGCACTCGCAGCATTAGAGGTGCCGTCCTTCAGATGAGACATTAAACCGAGGCCCCGTCTGCCTGTTCGGGTGGACGTTAAAGATCCCGCAGCGCTATTCGAAAAGAAGAGGGTGTCTCCCAATGTCCTAGCTAAAAATAAAATGGTCATTTACTTCTTGGCCGCTTGTGGGACGTGTGCAAAATTGACTGACGCGTTCTCCTGTAAAATACAGTTGTTCCTCTCTACAGTGAACTGCTTTGAGATGTCTTCCAGCTGTATGATATGTAAGGATTTTTATTATGAAGCGTTGTTAAGTTGTGTGTTACACGCGTGCAGCTCTGACCTGTTTGTGCCATTTCAGGCAACACGTACAATATCCCTGTGTGTCTCTGGCTGTTGGACTCCTACCCCTACAACTCTCCCATCTGCTTTGTCAAACCCACCAGCACCATGATGATCAAAACAGGCAAACACGTTGACGGCAGCGGAAAACTCTATCTCCCGTACCTGCACGAGTGGAATCATGTGAGTCCCGTGCCCTGGCGGGGGGAATGGGAGTGGGGAGGATCAGATCATATGTCAGGGTCACACTGTGGTACATCAGCGACCACAGTTTGCATAAGCTGCCTTACTCAAGTGAGTATGGAAATGTTTCTCTCTCTCTCTCTGTACATCTCCTCTCCTCTGTTTTTCTATCTCTCTCCTTTGTTTTGGGTCAGCCAGGTGACAGACACATGTGGAAACCCATCACCATGCTTAGGAGTATCCAAACCAAACTAAGAATTCCATGGATCCCACTTACACAAGGAAATCGCAGAGACAAATTGTCAGATTGGAATGCCCACTCTTTCCCTGGAGGAACGCATCTCTATGTACTCAGTTATTGCATCTTCTTTGTTTCTGTTTCTCCATCTCTGATCTCTCTTTGTTTCTCACTCCTCCTTTTGCTATTCCCCTTCTCACTCTCTGTCTCCATCTTTGCCTCTTTGCTTTATTTCTGTCTCTCTTCCCTCCCCTCTCTCTTGGCTTACAGTGGGACACTATGTGATAAGGGTAGGATTTATTCTAAAGGTTTGAGCTGCGCTGGTCTCAAGACCTTCCTCTTCAACTGTACCTTCGGTCACCTTCCCACCCCCACCCTCCCTACCCTCCAAACCTCTTGATTCCAACCCCCAGCTCGGATGCAAACCCTTGATTGTCCAACGCCTGGGGATGTCCTCCTGATGTGAAAGGTGCTGTGTAAATGCAGGTTGTTGCACCAAATGTGTTTACAGTCGTGTGTCTCCCCCGCAGCCGCACTCAGACCTGTACGGGCTGATCGAGGTGATGACTGTGATGTTTGGTGAGGAGCCGCCAGTGTTCTCCAGGCCGGTTGCCCCCCCGAGCTACCCCCAGTACCAGCCCTCGGGACCCCCCACGAGTGAGTAACTCAGAGAGTCGCTGTGTTGCCTTGTGACGTGAAGGGTCTTTATAAATACAATTTAATAAGAATAAAAATGATCCCTGCGTCTGATATAGTGCCTTATCACGCCATTGAGACGTCTCAAAGCGCTTCACAGAATATACCATAAAGTGTATATTTTGTGGAGAAAACGCGGCAGCCAATTGCGCACAGCAGCGTCCCATAAACAGTCATGGATTGAGTGACCAAATTTTTTATTTGAGGGATTATTACCTTCGCCAAAACTAACAACCGAGTTGCTACTTACTGCTAGGTAACCAGAGACGTATGCAGTAAGGAAACTTGCCTTAAGCTTTCACCCCATCGAGGAATCGAACCATGGTCCTCTCACTTGCCAGGCTAGTGTACTAATCCACTACACTAGGGGAGATGGCGTCATACAAAGAGGCCGGCAGGGTGTGGGATCATCCAGCTCTTGCTGTGTGGGGTAAAGGCAGGTAGTTCTGGGCTGTGGACTGTGAGTGAAACCTGAACAATTGTAGATCGAGGAGTGTTTGGAGCTCATGGGGTGGGGGTGTGGGGTGTGGTTTGAAGCTCCGAGTTCATCATTCTTAAAAAAAATCAGCTTGATGCCATGATGGAGGGGGAGGGGGGTTTCTGGAGGGTTGAGATTAAATGATCCGAAGGGTCTTCTTCATCTGATCTGATCTTGTGATCTTGTTTGGATGAGAGAGAGTTAAACAGTATAGGAGACAGTCACAGTGCAAGCAAGAGAATGAGGGAGTGATAGTGTTGGCAGTGTGACCGTTAGTGACATCTCCTGGTAAAACATCAGACAAGACAAAGAGTAGCTAGTAAATGATTTAAAGAATGGCCCACATATCAACTCGTGTTTATAGTGACTTTCATGTAGATAACCATCTCAAAGTGATTTGCGTTTTCTTTCCCTGACACGCACAGAAATCCTTCACTGCCCTTAAGAGAAGGGATACAGGAGCACATAGACATGAGGCCCATCCAGCCTGTTCCACCGGTTTATTAGATTTTGGCAGGTTGTTTAATCTCAACGCCTGTCCTCTTGTCAGGCCGCTCAATACCCTGTCTGTGTCTTGGTGTGTTTTAAGCATTGACCTTGCCTTCTTACCCGTCAATTCCTTTCATTATTTAACATGCGTCAATCTGATCACCCTTTAACCACTGCCGTAAGGAATATAACCCCAGTCTACCCAGCCTCTCATTACAGCTAATCCCCTTCAGCCCAGGTACTGGCCTGGTGAGTTGTCACTGGTCTGCAAACAAACTAACTCTGCATTCCATGTGCAAACTGGGAATTTCCATTCAAATTGCTTTATAGAGAGGGAGTGGGAGGGGAGAGCGGAAGCTTGGGCAGAGGGAAATGAACAAAATTTCAGTCATAGTTGTTTTTTGGAAAAGGTTTGCAAGGCCGGGGGGGTTTAAAGAGAGTTCCACAGAGCGGGGGCGAGAGGTTGGGGGGCTGTTAGTTAGCCGGAGATAGGGGGTGTAGCAGGCAGATTTGGTGGAGAGTGTAGTATTCCAGGGAATTACAGACTCGAGGTGAGGCTAGGACACCGGCGTATGTGGAGGTTATAGGGCGAAGATGCTGAAGTTCATCTGCTGGGGTGGAGGTAGTGTAGCTGGGCAAGGAGCAAACATTGTGAATGTTTGTGTGATTTGTGGAGGGTTATGCTCAGAAGGCCTGGCAGTGTTAACTAACACAACAAAGGTGGCCTTGTTACCTGGGAGCAGAACACTTTATGTGTGTGATCTGGCTTTTCATACCTGCATTGTGCAATTGAATGAGGGCTTATCTTATCTGACGTTTGAGCCTGATGCAGTCACGCACATTCTTGCCTTTGAATCAGAAGGTTGTGGATTGAATGAAAGGCGCTGTATCAATTTTAAAGATTATTTTTATATCACAGTTCAGGTGAAACTTCAGCTGATTGGTGGATCATTTTGATTATATGTTTATTGTAGTTTGGGTTTATTGCATTAGACTGTTGTCTAGTTCAGCACATTACACACATATGTGTATTTATAATAGTGATCCTTGCACTTGATGTAGCACCTTATCACGTCTTCGAGGCATTTCAAAGCGCTTCATAAAATATACTGCAAAGTGAATTAACTATATATTTGTAGGCAAAACACAGCAGCTAATTGCGCACAGCAGTATCCCACAAACAGTCGTAGATTGAGTGGCCAAATTATTGTTTTTTTAAAGGGATTATTTGACTTTATGCCTCATCATGTTAAAATGTCTCAAAGATCTTTGCACAGTTTTTCCTGAAAAATGTAGTGACTGTGTATTTGTAGTGAAAAGCAGCACAGCAGTGTCTCACAGCATCCACAGAGTGAATGACACATTTATCTGGGGATTGTTGGCAGATCAATGGAATAGAGAAAACCACGACCAACAACTTGCATTTATGTAGCATCCCCCTCATGTAGGGTAGCCTCCCAGAGTGCTTCCTTTGCTTAGAAACTCCCTTTGCTTTTCCAATAACGTTGATCTTATGAAATGATCTTTAACATCTACCAAAATGGGCACAGACAGGACCTTGGTTTTAATGTCTCATCTGAAGGACAACACGGCTGACAATCTCGTGTGGCTCCAGCACTGTACTGGAATGTCAGCCTGCGGTGTGAGAGCTGCTAGAGCTGGTTGAACAGAGTTTACAGTTGTTAGTTAATAAGTTTAGTTGATTGACATTCTAATGGGCTTGTTTTCTTTCTATCGTAGCTTCCTATATGCCCGGAATGCCTGCTGGAGGCACACCATACCCACCAGCCCACACCAACCCAGGGTAGGGCCCTGCTTACTGCAGCTACAGCAAGCAATAGCTTGTACTATGCTAAGCCCATAAACTAAATAATACGCACATATGTACATACAAACGCATACATACATGATATGTACACAAACACATACAATGATAGACACAAACACAATGTTTTACACATGCACACAGAATGATACATATACCCTCCCACATAATGATACATGCAATTACAATGTCACACACAAGTACACAAATTGATGCACATATATGACACCTAGACACCAAGTACTGTGGAGTTGCTGAATGTTCGCTCGCTGTCTAACGTGCCTGTTGATGTGTAACCCGCACTGTTTGATTGAACCTCGTCTTGTTATTTGATGAGTGAGTTAACCCTGTGTTTGCTGTTACAGAGGCTTTCCCGTGTTCTCCTACGCCTCACCTGCCCCCTACCCCACTGCAGCGGGCTCCGCACAGCACACCCCCTACCCCAGCCAGCCCGCTATCCCCAACACTGGTAAGAGAAGGGAAAGTAATTCACAGTCAAGTACTCGGAAATAATGTGATGATAATTTGGTGTGGTTGAGCAGTTTGATGGAACATCGCGCCAAGTGAAGTGGTGGAGGCAGGGCCCACTCTGGGTTTCAAGAGGGAAGTAGAGGCTTGAAGGAGGGAATAGAGACAGGGTTGAATGGCCTCCTTTTGTCTATGATTTTACACCACAGAATTGATGATGGGAGATTATTGTAGGTTTTGAGATCTGTACAGCATTGTGGTCTTCGTCAAACTCCTGCCTCGAAGTTGGGGTTGGGGGGGTGGAGTCTATGTAGGGGGCTGCCCTGCCTCAGTGCTCTTGGCTTTGTAATTGTAATGGTCTCGGCTATATCAGGACCAGGAGTCGAGCTGACTGCAGTATCCAGATTAGGAAACCCAAGCTGATTAACTTAAATGTGAAGGTTTCGTTCACAATCTGCTGATGGAATTAAACGTGCCTGTCAGGGCAGTGCAGCCGCCCCAGCATAGGCGCTCAGACTCCCACCGGCAATCGGCACGGAAAGAGCTGCTTTCATCCCTGGACAGTCAGCCTGGCTCCGCTGCCTGCCATCGCTCTTTGCTCTCAGTCAGAGGTTCAAGCCGGACACTCGAGCTCACAGTCTGGACTGACCCAGGGCCGTGCTGGCCATGTGCTGCTTTGTTAGGTGCTTTCGGATGAGATGTTACACCGAGCTCCCGTCTGCCTGTTCAGGTGGATGTTAAAGATCTCATGGCACTATTCAAAAAGAGAAGGGAGTCTCTCTCCCGGTGTCCTGGCCAACAATCTCCCAAATAAAATTGGTCACTCACTCCATGGCTGTTTATGGGAGGTTGCCATGGACAAATTGACTGCCATGTTCGCTTACAAATTAAACAGTCACTGCACGCTGGGGACGTGGGGTGAGTTAAGGCGAGGGCTTGAGGGGCTGCATGGGGTAGAGAGTGCCAGGGGTATGAAGTGCCTTGTGTCCACGGTGTTGCAGGGCCTAGTAGAGACGGCACTATCGGTGAGGACACGATCCGGGCCTCACTGATCTCGGCGGTCAGTGACAAGCTGCGCTGGCGGATGAAGGAGGAGATGGGTCGCGCTCAGGCCGAACTGGACGCCCTGAAACGCACCGAAGAGGATCTGAAGAAAGGTCACCAGAAGCTGGAGGAGATGGTCCATCAATTGGACAAGGAAATTGTGAGTTTGAGGTAGTGAATGGGATTGTGTGTATGTCTCCAATGGAATGCCCTCTCTCCCAAGAGGGACGTGTCCTATTCAACCAAATCCCAGAAAGGTACGCAGAGGTTGGCAATCCCAGGCATGGGGATCCCAGGTTGGTTGGGGTCTAACCAGCTAATGCTGCTGGAAAGTAACCAGCTAGAACTGTGACTGGCAAACTTCCCATCTGCTTGTCCAGCTATGAACCCCCTACCCCTTTGGCTAGCAGGATTAACAGGAGCGGAGTGGGATGACACCTTGCCCCCAGTGACTGGTCTGCCCTTCCATGTCCTGCCAATGAGCCAGGCCGGCTGTGCTGGGCTGTCATCAGCAGTGCCCTGGAGTCCTGTGGACCCACCTGGCTCAGAAACCAGACTGAAGATCAGCACAGAGGATGGGCTTGATTCTGACATTCTAGTTGCCAGGCACAACATCTTGGAACTCCACTCCCCAGCAAAACGTACCTCTCATCAGGAGAATATTCACTAGTTGTTCAGTGAAAGCCCTAAAAGTCGCTATTGCCTTTTAGTGAGCTACGTTGTGAGCCTTTCTGGAAGTATTCAGGGAATAATACCTGCCTGACAGCCATCTCCTGGGAATTAGCTGGGAATTCTGGTCACAAATATAATAATCTAGACCTGACTGAAATCTTCAGCATGTAGCAGAGCTGATTGTGGATAATCAAACAGTGTGGATAACCGGCATTGGCTGCTGTGCACATTTAGAAGTTTGGGCAACTAAATATTTCAAACAACAATTTAATGTTATTCCTGAACTGAGGAAGGGAATGTGTTGAGGACTGTGGCAGTTTTGACCATGGGATCTCAGCCAGTGGAGGATTTGCCAAGCAACAGATGTGCTGTGTCCAGTGTGAGCTGCTGTGCAGTAATTGCCGCTGTTCTCTCAGGCTGACGTAGACCATAACATGGAGATGCTGCGGAAGAAGGACGAGGAGCTGAGCCAGGCCCTGGAGAAGATGGAGAACCAGGCTGAGAGTAACGACATTGATGAGGTGGTGGTGCCCACCGCCCCCCTCTACAGGCAGATCCTCAACCTTTACGCTGAGGAGAACGCCATCGAGGACACCATCTTCTACCTGGGAGAAGCCCTGAGGGGTGGAGTCATCGACCTGGACGTCTTCTTAAAGGTCAGTTAGCTCCAAGCCAACGTGGGGATTCCACGGACACGGGTTTAATAATGAATAATAATCGTTCCATTTGATTTAGCGCTTTATCACGTCTTCGAGACGTCTCAAAGCGCTTCCCAGAATATACAGTAAAGTGTATTTTGTGGGTGAAACGGAATGGGGGAGGTAGGTGGGTCACCGATGAAGGGGTAGTTCTCCTGTGAGGAGGGGGCTGGGGGAGAGGTGAGGTCTCCCATGGTGTGAGGAAAGGAGGTGGGGGTTGTGTATCTCTGGTGGGCTGAGTGAATTGGAGTGGGGGCACTCTGAGCCCAGGCCAGGTCACTGTCATACTCCACTAATACTCCGTAGTTTGTAAGTTGATAAAAGTGAGGACTGCTCACAGTTACAGGAGGAATGTGGGGCTGACTGACGGAACGCCATTCGGTGACAGGAGGTCACCTTGAAATGAATTCCCCCCCCATCCCTCGACCAAGTTGCCAGCACGGAGTGACAGTAATCTTGCCCCCTTTCTCCCTCTCGCTCACTCTCTCCCTGCAGCACGTGCGTCTCTTGTCCAGGAAGCAGTTCCAGCTCCGAGCGCTGATGCAGAAAGCCAGGAAGACGGCGGGGCTCAGCGACCTTTACTGATCTCCCTGCTGCTTCACTGAGCTCTGGCTTTCCTTCACTGCTGTCTGTCTGACCAGGGATAGGCGTCTTCTGGCAGGAATATAGGCTAAGTTATTACATATCCACAACTGTAAATGTTTCAACTTTTAAATCACACTATTTTTCTGCTGTTTGTTTGAGTCCTTTGTATCTCCCCAACAGGTGGGAAATAGATTAAACTCTTTGAATATTCTAAGTCTCTTTCCCGGCTGCCGGCTCTGCACTGTACAGTATAACAGGAAAGTAACGGGATCTGCAGGAGAGGAGGGAGTTGGCTGGGGTAAGACAGTGTGACCTGGGCTCAGTCAGGGAAGCACTCCCTTCTGGGGCAGAATGGCTCAAGATCTGGGCCAATAGAAAAGTGAGGTCAAAATTTTGCCACTGAATCCACTACACCCCCACTCCCTCTCCTACACACTGAAACCACGCTGTTGTGATTTTGTGTGGTCTCTTTCATCTGCATGTGTCTCCGTATGAGTGTGAGTGAGCGCAACTCTGAGTATGCATGTCTACAAGTGTGTAAATGTGAGTGTCTCACGTTTGCAATCAGTGACCGATTGCAAATGTTCAAATTTTCCAAACAATGTGAAGCGGCTCTAAGTGAGTGGTGCCTGCAGTGTAATGGTGAGTTGGTAGTGAAGACTTTGAATGAAAGAATTACAGCTCCAATCTGATCTACTTGAAGTTGAGTTGCCAGCGGCTGGGGTAACCTGTAGCCAGTTACTGTCAGGCACTGCTGCCTTCACCTCGTCACTAATATCCCATTATAGTGCAGTGCTAAGGTAGAGCTGTAGTTACTGGTAGATTGATGCCACACAAGGTCCCAGAAGACAAGTTGGGAGTTCTTTACTTTATTTCCCTACAACAGACGCTTGATACACAGTTGATAGTCTACACACAAATACTTAAGACATTGTGACAGCTGTGAGCTGCTCAGTGTGGAAGACACAGGTTGACTGGGAATTTGTGATTGCACGCAGGACTGCTGGCCAGTGGGGGGTGCTCAGCTGTGTCTAGTGAAAGGGTCACTATTTCAGGGAAGCAAAAGTTGTCACAAAGATGCGGTCACTATGTCTCGCTGGACGACACAGGACAACACCACGAGCAGCCCACAGAAACATTGGCTACAGCCAGCACGACAGGTTACAGTGACGAGCTTCAAAACTGCAGATCTTTCTGGATACCCCATAGGGTCTCAGCACTTTTCACCAGCTGGGCCTCCTCCTCCTGTTTCAGCACCATCTTGACAATGTCGGTCATTCCTGAGCTTCCCAGGATTGAAGGGACACTCAGGAAAACTTCATTAGAAATTCCGTGTAAACCCTGGTGAGCAGAGAGCACAGAGGTAGAGCTTAGGGCACTGGTTACTCAGCATTACAATTCAAGCCATTCTGCGCCCCCCACCCCCTCCCCAAACTCCCACAACATGCTCCTGCTCAAAACATTGCCCCTCCACCTGAAACAGCAGGTCCACCCTTATAGGGCCAGTTCCCATCACCTGGATTTACAGGTACAGTGTTGGTAGGGAAGTCTGCATGAAGGAACCAGGCTCTGGTATCACTGCTGTAACCAAACAGCAGCACAGGTGACAAGCTAAGCACCTCATGCAGGTTTGCCTCAGGTATACACATGCCTGTAAATCAAATCACACAGCAGTGGAACCTATCCCTGTGATGAAGTGGGAGTAACACAGGACTTGTTGCAGATACAGGTGAGAGACACTGCAACCCCCTCTCCCAGCCCCCAACTGCTCCGCTCACCTTGACCATAGTGGAAATAGGGTGGATTCTCCGCAGGTTCTTCATGATGCTCTCGGCCATGTCTCCCACAGACATGCCGATAGCCCAGGAGGTGTAGCCTTTCAGCCTGATCACTTCGTAAGCACTGCAGGAGATACAACCGGAGCATGGATTCATTTCCTCATTTGCGAATCGAATGCAATCACACAAATTCCCTGTTCGCCCAGCTCCAGACTCGAACGCACAGCACATCCCAACCACAGCACGAGTCAGGAGCAAACAGATATTGGCCTGACAGTACAGCAAAGAGCTAGTCACACTCTGCTTCCCCAACAGCATTCTGCCCCAAAGCCAAGTCTTTCCCAGACATCTAACACACAATCCGGCAAAGAGTGACTAGCTCACACCTTATACTGTTGGTTTTCCTCATTCTGGAGTTGGGCTGAGTACAAGACCAAATCCCAGTCATTCCTGCTCAGACTCAGTCCTACACCATGTGCCTTTGGACACAGAGAATGTCATTATACCAGTCGTGCTTTACCCTAACCATGCAGATGACCATAACCGGGAAGCCATGAACAAGCCCAGAGCAAAGGGAAGGACTAGAGTTTTGCAGGGGTGCTGGCTTTCTGTGGTGTGTCAGTCCTGCTCACCTGCACTCTCGCTCTCCTGTTAGTTTTTTGTCTAATTCCTTATTAAAAGCCATTCTTTAAATTGCAGACATTTCACTTCACTAAAACCCTCCCCACTGATTGCGTGAGGAATCAGCGCTGACCTCAGGTGCTCACCTGTCCACCACATCCTTGTGCAGCTTCTTCCAATGTTCCTTGTCTTGATCGGTCCCGATGTCAGGGTTGAGCTTCTGCAGGCACACACCTGCCACGTTCAGCCCGCTCCACACCGGCACTGTGAGAGGAGGCAGCGTTAATACCAACAGTCACACCAAGACTCCACTTCACCTGGAGCAGTGCAGTCTCAAGAGTCCGAGCAGATCACAGAGGTAAGGAAATCTGGAGGAGCACTAGGCACCTGACTGCTGCTCTAAACCCAGCAGCGAGGAAGGATGCTGTGTGGTAACATTGAGCCAGATTCTGGCACTCCCCCCACCCCCCCCCCACTTTGTTCCCTCGCCCCCACCCACAATGTCGGACATACCACTGGAGTCGCCGTGCTCGCCAATGACCCAGGCGTGGCAGCTGGTGCTGTGGATGCCAAGCTTCTCGCCAATCAGGTATCGAAAACGTGCAGAGTCCAGGTTACACCCGCTGCCAATCACACGGTGCCGCGGGAACCCACTCAGCTTCCAGGCCACGTAAGTCAGGATGTCAACTGGGGTGTGGGGGTGGAAAAGAGAGAGAGATTAACGCAACAACTCTCCCCATATTATCTCCCCTACACCCACCACACACACACACACACGCGCGCCAGCACTGACCTGGGTTGGACACCACTAGGATGACACAGTTGGGGCTGTACTTGACCACGTTGGGGATGATAAATTTGAAGATGTTGACATTCCTCTGCACCAGGTTGAGGCGGCTCTCACCCTCCTGCTGACGGGCCCCGGCAGTCACGATAACCAGCTTAGAGCCAGCGGTGACGCTGTAATCTGTCCAGTACAAGAGCATAGAGAAGGCTGTAAACTCTGTGCATTATCCAATGCAGAGTTTACAACCTTCAGTACTTTCGAGTCTGTGCTGCTGCTCTCTCATCTACTACTCTAATTCCATTCCCTGCTCTTCTCCCATCGTCCATAGTATGTGCGCTGGTGCTCACTCCCCACTGGAGCTCTCTAATCCAATTCCCTGCTCTCTCCCCATCATGTCTATACTTGTTCCCCCACTGGAGTTCTCGACTCTAATCCCATTCACTAAAAAATTTATAGTATCCAAAAAGTAACCGATTCCTTTATTTGGTGGTATGGCAAGACATTTCACATTCTAACCCTCCGTGTAAAATACCTTCTACTTGTGATAATCCTCAATTATTCATGTTCTTTTGATACTGACTCGTTGACGGATGGAATTTAGAATAGAACATAAGAATTTGCTACGTGAAAAAAGACCAAAGAAGACCACACTTACCCTTGTCGGCCACGATCTTCGGGGTGCGGAGGAAGAGGCTGCCATGCTGGAGGTCCATCATCTCCCCCTTCAGCTTGTCCTCCATCACATCCACCAGAGCAAACTCATCCGCCAGGTTCTGAACAAAAAGCAGCAATTCGTATTCGCAGACCAAAGAACGAGACTCCGACCACCGCAACCTTCCTCCCCCCCCCCCCCCCGGTCATGTTGGGAGGACGTCCCAAAACGCTTAACAGTCTAATGTTTGCACCCAACATAGTGATGGGATCTGAGGGGCTTGGGAAATGATGGCCAAAAGAGCAGTCAAAAAGGAAGGACTTGATAGGGACCCAATATACAGACTGACAGAGAAGAGTCTCACCTTCATTAAGATGCTGATGGCACATGCCATCCCCACAGCGCCCACTCCAATAACCGTGATCTTATTGCGCGGTGCCTCATCTCCCTGGGGCACTAGATTGCCAATCAGCTTCTCCTTGGTGGTGGCCATTTTGACTGGAAGACAAACAGGAAGCAATATATTAGTGCAATGGGGAGGCCGGTGGGGGGGGAGATTTGTTGACCAGTACACCAGAAGAGAGAAACTCCCTTCTCTTTGCAAATAGTGCCATGAGATCTTTCATGTCTGCCTGAACATACAGACGGGACCTCGGTTTAACGTCTCACCCGAAGGACGGATAGCAATCTTTTAAATCAAAAATGCTTCCCAGATGAACACTGCCCAGTGACGTGACGATATTTGTAGGCAAACAGAGCAGTTATTTGCATGAAGCTCTGCCCTAAGCACAACAATGAGGCAAATGATTGATTTTACTTGGGGGATTGTTGGCCAGGAGCAGAGCAAAAGAGTCAGAAGTCTACTAACTGAAACGTGGATGGGAATATTGCAATCAGGTGTATGAGAGAGAGTCACACCCACATACATGCACGTATACATGGCATTACCTAAGAGCATGTACATATTAAATATCCACAGTATAGTCACCTGAACTAACACTATAATAGGGTTAAAATACAGGTTCAAACCAACAGCAGCTGCGGAGTGGTGTGTGCCTGCATGAACGAATCCATCACTCTTTAATCTGTCTGCACAGTAACTGGGTCAGGGTTGCTGCAGGGAACTACGTGCGGATGAGCACATCCTGGGAATGTGGAGTACAATTCCAGCTTAGTCACTCGCTGCTGCTGCTCCTCTCTCCCAAGGATTACGCTCGGTGCCCATCCCCCAAACCTCAACCCCAGTGACTCGGCTGCTGCTCGATTTCCTGTTTCACAAGCTGCAAACACTTCATGTCAAGTGCGCAATGATTGTCAAACTAGTAAAAACTGAAAAGGAATTTTGCTGAACACAGCTTCCTGCACCCCCAGTTTGCTCCCAGTATCCCTGCCTGTACAACAACATCATTACATTAACAACATTACATTTGTATAGGGGGTGGGGAATCAATGCCATGATGTGTGCAAATTGCCCGCCATGTTTATCTATAAAACAGGCCCCCAAGACATTTTGACCTTAGATGTTATAAAAGCTTTTTGTAAATGAATGAGCAGCTATTTCCCCCCAGTCTCCTGCCCTTAGCCCCTGCCATGGCATTGTCTGTGATTGACTGCAACTGCCCGTTCATTCGGAACTGCCTATAAACTGCCTGCCGCTGTCACAAGCTATGCTGAATGAATGGCAGCTGTTTCCCTCCTCTCCACAGAGCTGACTGCTCCAGAGCTCAGGTAGAGTGGGCTATGCTTGATGTGTGCAAACCGGCTGCCACGCTGTGTGTGTTGGTGGTTGCCAACCCTACCTGGAGACTGTGATGCACCCAAGTCACAGCGAGGTGGAAGAGGAAGCCCACAAAGGGAGCGGTGTACACCGAGGCAGCCTTGAGGGTGTCCAGAGCCCAGAGAGGGAGAGAAGCGGAGGCAGAGGGAATCCCTGACCCGGCGCTGCGGAGCAGATCCCGTGAAGAGGCAGCTGAGCTGGTGCCGGTAATGCTAGCTATAGGCTGGTCTGAGCTATTATTGCGGCAAATCTCCAGGCTGCCATCAATCACAGGCAGGGGATAAGGACAGGAAATGGGGGCGGGACAAGGGAAACAGCTATCTGTTCGTGTAGATAATGGTTGCATTCTTATAGCATTTAAGGTGAAAATGTCGCAAGGGACCGTCTATGGGTAAACCTGGTAGCTAATGTGCACACAAGCTTCTGTAAACGGCCATGAGGTTATCCCAGAGAATAGGCCAGGGGTTTTGCAGAGATGTTGAACCCAACCTTTAAACTTTATAGTTGAGACATTAGTGATGAGGGTGCGTGGGAGGGGGGTTGTTACAGAAAGGTGACAGCCAGGGCACCCTGAAAGGTTACATAGTTTAGTCCCAAACAGGCCTGTCACCCGTGGCTGTAAAGAGCAGCCCACGTCTATATCAGGCTCTGACCTTTCCACCGCTCCCATGTAATCCCAGGCCATGGCTGCCATTTACTTTAGGGCCACTAAAGCTGTCATATAATATACCTGGGATTCCGGCACAGGGAATAGTGCTTGCCTGAGGAATTCCATCCTCTGAAGGGACCTAGAAGGCCAGGACCCCAGAGGGGCTCGAAAACAGAGAGATCACAGGTTTGATGTCAGTTAAAACAGCTCCCACAGTCCTGGAGGCACTGAACAGCTATCCTGCTGGGTGGGTCAGGCCATATCTCAACCATAACCTCCATTATACTGGATGCAGTCCAGCCAGTCAGTAATGTACACCCAGTCAGACAAAATCGCTATCTATTCCATCACCAATCTGTACTCAACCCAATCCAGTAAAGGTCGAGGATCAAATCTTCCCCTGAAACATTGCTACACCCAGCAGCAGCAGGAGAGACAGGAATCCTGAGAATGACCTTGAATATTCCACATCCAATCTTCTCAAAAGTGATTGACTGCGGAATAATGTGGGAGGGTATGGAGTTTGGTATATACGAGCAGCAAACTTTTGAATCCTTCTGGGCGACGTCATCTGCAGATACAGGGTAAACTTCCACATGTTTCACTGAGTTCTTTGAAGAGGTAATAGAACGAGTAGACAAGGGTAATGCAGTAGATGCAATATTTGGATTTCCAAAAGGCGTTTGATAAGGTACCACACAATAGATGAATGAATAAGGTCAGAGCATATGGAGTCAGGGGAAAAGTAGCAGAATGGATAGCAAGCTGGCTGGCTACAGGACAGAAAACAGAGGGTAGGAGTAAAGGGTAACTACTCAGACTGGCAGAGGGTGGGATTGGTATTGGACCCGTTGTTGTTCACAATTCTCCCGGTCTCCCCAGCTCCACTATTCAAAAGATTCAGCTCATTCAGAACTCTGACACCCACATACTGACCCGGACCAAACTCCATACCCACATCTCACCAGTTCTGGCCCAGGCTCCACTGGCTCCCCATCACCGGACGGATCGACTTCAAGATCCTCATGCTCGTGTTCAAATCCTTTCACTCTCTGGCACCTCCCTACCTCTCTGACCTCCTCATTCCCCAATCCACCACTCGACTGGCACCGGGCTCCTTCTCGTTCCTCACACTTTCCGCCCCACCATTGGATGCCGCGCTTTCAGCCACTATGCCCCGAAATTCTAGAACACTCTCCCTCAATCCCTCCGCTTTGCCCCCCCTCTCCCCCCTTTTCAAGTCCCGCCTGAAAACCTTCCTCTTCAACCGTGCTTATGGCAACCTCCCCTCCCCCACAGGCTCGGAGTCAGGTTCTGTCACTGTTAAGCGCTTTGAGACAGTACCCTGCATGAAGGGAGCTATATAAGTGCTAGTTAATCCCTCAAGAAAAAAAATAACTTGGTCATTCAATCCATGACTATTTGTGGGACACTGCTGTGCGTAATTGGCTGCCGTGTTTCACCCACAAAATTCACAGTCAATTCACTTTACAGTATATTCTGTGAAGCGCTTTGAGACGTCTAGAAGACATGAAAAGTGCTACATCAAACGCAAGGATTATTATTATAAGTTGTTGTTGAATCAATTGGACTCTGTGAATGATGGAGCTGGGGAGACCAGTGAGAGGAGGAGGGGGGATTGGAGAAATCTAGGTGTTTTTACACAAATAGATATTGAGAATAGTCGCTCCTTACCACATTTGACCTTCTCAGGTTTTGGAGGCGAGTCCATGACAGTGAACGAAAGGGACTGATTTGCACTTACAAGGAAAACACTAAAGGGTTTTTGAAAAGAAAAGTTGGGGCAGATAATAACAATGCTTATTATTAGTGAGGAAAACGCAGTCGGGTTAGTACACAGTGAGCTGTTATGAGCTGCCTCTCGCTGTGCTGTAAACTACTGTCTGGCAAATGGTGTCAGTTGGCATTTTTCAAACTTTGAATTCCTATGCAATGGCACAGGTAGAATGTCCAGAGATGAGCCTCAACACTGACCGGGGCCCCAACAGATAAAAGTAAAACCAGGACAACGGGGTAATCCGTTGCACAGCATTTCCGCTGGTCAGCAACCAGAAGGCACACACAGGCTTACCATCACACAAAGGAATTAAAGAGTAAGTTAGAGAAAATGTCAGAGGACGTGGAGAGTGGATACGCTGAAGCAATCACTGATTATTTAGGAGGCACTAAACGGATTTCTGGAAGAGGAATGTAAAAGACGAGAGGGCGGGATTAGTTTATGTGGTGCGCTTGGAGAAAAGCACCAGGACAGAGTCGATGGGCCGATTGGCTCATTTCTGGGCTGTGATAGTTTATGGTTTTAGTGGAGGCAGAACCGACTGCTGTAGCTGCTGTGAACAGAAACGAGACCGCAGGTGGGAGGGAATCAACTGCCGACTCAGGAAAGGGAGGAGGTAATTCTGGTTAATGTTAGACAAACCTCTTTTGTTGGATCTCAGAGTTGGCTACTATGGCTAAGGGGGAGGTAATCACTTCATTTATTTCCACTTAATCCCACTTACCACAAAGTCATTGTGAATTGCAACAGCTAAGATGTAATTGCAATACGTAAGATGCAACACTCATTTTGGAAAACCCTCACATTTCCGCAATACGGTTATAAATTGCAGCAACAGTTGACACAAGGTTGACTCAAAACGCTTCAAAACTAATTTCCACTTGTTCACTCACTCCTTCCTCTGTCAAAAATTTTCTTAACACCATTATTCTTCAGCCCAGTCTGGTTTTCAACCAATCTCACTTTCCCCTGCATAGTCCACTGTTTGTCCAGACACTATGTTAATCAGGCATTTTGAGATCTTCCTCTCCATGTAAAGCACTACCCACACAACCCCCCTCCCCCCACACACACGGTTCCTCTGGCATCCTTTAGCAAATTGAAGCAACGGGAGATAGAGGGAAGATGGCTGCCTAAAGGTTACACACCAGATTAAGACATGGAGAAGTTTAGAGGAAAGCACCTTCACTTCACAATGTGGCCTTTTAGTATATTATTATTATGGAATATATTTCGGACACATCTTCACATTTGCCGAACATTGAGAATACAGGTGGTAATTAACTTGCGTGGCCTCAGGGAACTGCTGCATGGTTTTAGTGAAAGCAGAACCAACCCCCCCCCCCCCCCCCCCGCCCTCCACACGCACATGGCTCTCACCACTACCCCACACAAAGCTATCACCCCCATCTCCTCCCCCACCCACATACACCAGGCACTTACCTTACACCCTCATGCACCCCCCACACACACACACACATACACCAGGCTCTCACCAACCTCCCCCCACATACACACCAGGCTCTTCCCTCCCCCGCACACACACGGCTCTCACCCCCCATACACACTAGTCTCAGTTACCATACTCTCTCACGTGCGTGCACACACACACACGCGCGCGCACGACTGAGACAGTGTGGAGAGCAGGAACCATGTCTAGCAATGATAGAGCTGATCTTAGTGGTGCTGTAAATGCATCGTGATGCAGACAGAGTTGGTGAATTTGTACACTTTCCGAGTTTCCTAAAAATCCACAACTGTGTGTGGAACACCGCCGTGAGCAGTCGGCTGCCCCGTTTCGCCCACAAAATACAGTCACTATCCTTTCACAGTATATCCTGCGAAACGCTTCGAGACCCCTCAACGATGTGATAAGGGGCCGTATCAAATGCAAGGATTATTATTAGTTATTATTAGTTTATTAAGGCTCTCCCTGCCCCACCCTCCCCACGCTCCCCAGGCTCTCAGCGCTGACCAGCGGCACCCAGCGATACAGCCTGCGGACCCGCACGGCGGAAGCCGAGAGCAGATTACCGTCGACTTAATTCATCGGTCACGTGGCAATCTGTGGGTCAACGTACAGCCCTGAACAGCGTTCATATTCCGGAATCGCGTCCAATATAATTCGTGTTTAGCTCAGTGTTTGATTACACGAGCGGATTCACAATAATCCTCGCATTTGATATAGCGCCTCATCTTGAGACGTTCTTGAGACATCTCACAGTGAGCGTTACAGATACATATTGCAGAGAAACCGTGTTATAGTCACTAGTGACTGAATAGAAATGCCCGGGGGGGTGGGGGGGGTGGAGTGGGGGTGGGGGGGTTGGAGTGGGGGGTGAGAGAGGCTGAACCACAGCGGAGACAGATTTGACAATTCACGCACGAAGCTGATTTTTTTAAAAAAACAAAAAAGAGCGGTTACTGGGACACGATCGGAGAAGACACGCGAGTGACGGGACAGCGGAGAGTGACTGCCGGTGTGTGTGTGGGGAAGAGCTCTCATCCTGTGCGCTGTTACATGATATATATATATATATACACATACATACACACGTGTGTGAGTGTGTGTGGGCGCCGTTACCTGGTGTTATATATATATATAGTGTGAGTGCCATTACCTGGTGTTATATATATATATATGTGTATACAGTGTGAGTGCCATTACCTGGTGTTATGTGTATATATGTGTATATAGTGTGAG